GATTAGCATAAAATCTCTTGAATGTTTCTTCTTTTTTGTTTAGGCGTTAAAAATTTATAAATCTTTATAACATTACGATAACAAAGGATGGTTTAAGAATTTAAGAATATAAATACTGCATTTAATGAAATTCTATGTATGGTGCCAAATAAGTAATATTTTTGTGCATTTGGACCAAATATCTGGTTTTCTCCAAAAAATAATTTTAACTAAACAGCATTTATTTAAAAAAATTCTAGCTTCTCTATTATGGACTAAGAATATCTGTATTAAAGGTAGGTTAATATAATATAACAAAAATATCATCTAATTTTGTAATTGTAAGGTTAGAAAAATTTATTTTGACCAAAATAAATAAGTATTTTGGATTTTTTAAAAGACTGTATAATATGGTATTTAAAAATTTGGTAGTTTTTCTTATCCAGCAAAGTGTACCTACATAAAGTTTTGTCAATACAAATAGTTAAAAAGCTTCGACTGAATTTGATCTACATCAAAAATCATTATAACTTTAAAAATTTTAATAAATCACATGTCATGGGAGTATTAAATATTTTCACATTGCAAGTTTCTCTAAAAATTGTTTGTTTTCTTATAATCTAACTTAAAGTAGGTATGCCGAGAGGTATGCACAAGTTTTGTCATTAGAAGTATAAAAGCTACAATTTAATTTGAACCATATTCAACAATTATTTAGTATACCCATATTTATTTATGACCATATTAACACACTCTTTCAAATAATCCACTTATTTATTTTGGTCAAAATAGATTTTTCTAACCTTAAAATACAAAATTAGATGATATTGTTTGTTCTAATACATTAACCTATAGGTTATATCAAAGGTATACCTTTGATACAGATATTCTTATTTCATAATAGAGAAGTTAGATGTTTTTTATAAATGCTGTTTAGTTAAAACTATTTTATAGAGAAATGTAGACCCAATGCACAAAAATATCACTTATATTGCACCTTACACTTTGGAATTTCATTAAATGCAGTATTCATATTCCTAAATTCTTAAACCAACCATTGTTATTATGATACTATAAAGATTTATAAAGTTTTAACGCTTAAACATAAGCGGTAACACTATAAATATTATTTCTTTCATTGACTATACTTTGACAGATACATATACTGCGTTCCGTACGTGGTCACGTGGTGGGACTTTGACACAGTGGAGTTGGAATCATTAAAACTCTTTTTAAATAAATGAAGTTCAATTAATTTTTTTAATGTTTTTGAAGGTAAGGTATTAATTAAAATACGTAATAAAAAATTTATATTTATTTTTTTAATTTTTTTATCATATTCCGTTCTTAATCGCAGGGCATTTAAAGTGATGAATAAACGAGTTGATAAAATAAAGTTATCTCTGCGTGTGCTAAAATTAATATCAGTGAAAACGACGTCATTTTGTCGACGGTAATCATATTAACTCAACTAGAGAGCGAAATAATGAAAAAACATCGCATAAAAAATGATCGAACAGGGCCGGTTTTCAAATTTTTTTCTTGCCATCATAACTCATATAACTTTTACAGCCAACTTCAGAAAAAAAGCACCATTGTATTTTAATATTTAAATCGAAGTTTTTATTTTGTTTCACATTTAAAATAAGTTATTTTAAGGTCGGGTAGTTTTTAATTGAAAGCCTGTGTTATTAATTATAACAATGTAAGTTCATTACTTAACGCTAGGGGGCTTTTAAAGCGATAATCCCAGATGAATGTCCCTTTAGCAGCGTTAATAATATACCTAATCTACTTATTTATTAACCGAATCATTTTAACTTGCTTATAATTTAGGTTACACAAAGGTTACACATTGTTTAAAAATAAAACGGTACATTTTCTAGTAAAAAAAACTGGAATGGTGTAAAGAGTATAAATCAAACAACACATTTGTCAAATGGGGCTGTTATTCAACTCGAGCGTGCTCCAAATGTCAATTGTAACTTTTTTTCTTTTATTTTTCCTGAATTATTCAGAAACAGAACATCATGTAAGTGCGAACATTGCATATCATACCAACTAGATGATATTTGGAAAGTTATACGAAACAATATTTTAGCATGAAAGAGTATTTATTGCTTGAAGAAAAAAGTTTTTAGTGGAAGTATAGTTCTCTTGAAAACAAATACAAAAATTATTTATATTTACAAAATTCATTCATATACACTACAGTGCATGCCAATTTCTTTGTCTGTTTTGATGTTACTAAGAGCTCTTTTTTCTTTACACTACTAGAGCACATTGTATCATAATTAAAGTTAAATTACACCAATAGTGGCAAAATAGACTGAAAAAACTGGTAATAACCGAAATGCGTTTTAAAATGTTTGGTTGGTACCTATCTACCTACGCAGTGCATGTCCGGAGATACCGCGTTGTGGAAGTGTGGCATTTTTGTTCAGTTAGATTTTAATTACGGTGAATCCTTATTTTTTGGTAAGTATTATACTTCCTTTTTCTTTAAGCCTTAATACTCAATAAATACCAATATATTAAAAGGATGTCCATACCCGACCTATATTATATATCAATAATTTACGGCAGTAGGTCGGGTACTTGTAAAATTAATAATATAAATACATACACACTTGATTTTCTTTTTATTTTCAAGCGTAATGGTTGTTATATTAACCTATACCTACATTTTTATTAATATTATGGAAAATTTGTACACGTGTAGTAAATCCCTGACATACAGCCGTCTGACGCCTCTCTACCAATGGGATCACCCATTTTTTATAACAGAAAAATGGATTACTGATGAATTCTCAAGATAATTCATTGCTTACAAGTTGACAGCCAGTAAAACATTGCATTAATCTAAAACTTTTACGTTTTAAGGAACCATTTTGCTTAAGCCAGTCATACGACTCAAATATAAAATTATATTTTAAAAGGCACCGATTTTGATAATTGTCATAGATTTTTGTTCCAAATAAATGTTTCTCTTTATTTTCCTTTTCGTTTTATTCACTACTACCTAGGGTTTACTCAAATAATAGTGTTAATTTACACTAGAAGTTTACACTAAAAGAGTAAAAGTACCTTTCTAAAATTAGAACTTTTCCAAAGTAGTGTTAATTTACACTGAACAAATGTGGGAAGTGTAGAAGTACACGATTTTAGGTAAATTAACACTTTTTATTACAGTGTAAAATTACTTTATCCTCAGTTTTTTTTACTGTGTTCGTTTAAGGATATTGCAATATCAGCTCTAATCAAGAGCAAGCGATTTCTTGATACAAGAACAAAAAATATTTCTTCGGAAGAAAAGAAAACTTCTTTGGGCAATAAATGTTCTAATTAACCCTTTTATCAGATTCAGTGAAAACTATCCGTTTTTTTTAATTAGTTTAGCCCATCTGTAGTTCTAACCTTATCTATTCCAATCTCCTCCTTAGGGAGCCTAGAAAGAGAAAAAGACCCTAATATAGTTAATTAGGTTAAACTGATAGTTTGTCAGATCGTCTACTTAATTCTTATTTAGCTAATGAAACAGAAACAAAAACCTTCCCGTCGAATAAACAGATAGCAACTTTACCAATCAATTGGATGAGTGAAAATTCACTAACAAAATCAAGGCTTAGCTCCCTGCTAACATTAGTTGAAAGAAAAACAAGATTGCTAAAATACATGTTTAAATCGGCAAAATTAAGTTTTTTCAAATGATTAAAATTTCATAAGTTCTGACTTTAAGCGTTGAAAAAGTTTTAAATTTCCCGAACAGCTGCTCATTAATTAGCAAAATTATGCTACAAAGGGAATGTTGAATATTGAATTATAATATATATATATATATATATACAGGGTGTTATGTAATTAATGTTATATATTAAAATACTGAATACCTTTTGACATAAGGAATAAAGGAAAAATATTTAAAAAAACATTTTTCCAAAGATAAAGAAAAAATATGCATTAGAAGTTTTTTATATTTTTTGTGATACGCCACTGGTTACACACTTGTTTATCTCTGCACACCTGTATTTTGTGAGTACATAGATACCAACCAACTAAGTAGCTATGCGTTGCCAGATGTAAAAAATTGTTACTAAAAATTTTTCTTGCAAAAAATAAATAAAAACTCAATAAATACAAAAGTTTTATGCCCTTAAAGCTCTAACACCCTTCTGTATTTATTTACTCATCCAGCTATTAGCTTAAGCAATGATTAGAAAATTTATTACCTTTGAAATTTGAAATCCATAACCACAAAATTAATTTTTTCATCAGTTTTTTTCTCTGTTTACTCAGATGAAATTGGGACCAGTTCACAGGTTAAACTTTAAACATTTAATTTGTGTAAATAAATCCAAAAGCACTTCCCTTAGTTAAGATATTTACAATTTGAAAACATAACCTAAAATTTAAAAGAAATGCACTAGATTCTGTCATAAAAGTTGGCAGATTTTGTTTGAATTTACCTTCAGTACAAAAATAAAATAACCAACAATTAATAAAAACGCCAAATTGACAATTTGCATTGTTAATTTTGTCATTTTTGTAATTAAGCTAAATTTAAACAATGTTTGTCAACTTTTTTGAGAGATTTTGGAAAAACTGTTGTTACCAACCATAACATAATAAATCCACCAGATTAACCTAAAGTTCCTAGTCGATCAGTGGCGTACTTTTTGGTGGGATAAAGGTTATTATAAATTATTTTTAGACTTTGGAATTTAGAAAAAAAAAGTTTCAGGTGCTTCTTTATGGACCCTAAGGAACAAACCCATTTTAATATATAACATTAATTACATAACACCTTGTATATTAAGTATTAAACCATAATGCACCAATATGATATCTGTCAACGGGGTTAACCTCACTTTTGCCTAATCTGACATCTGTCAATCGGTTTTAACCCAACTTTTTTCCAATTTAATGCAGGAGTGGGTAAAATATTTACTGAATTTCAATCGGTTCATGATACAAATGTCGTAAGCGGGTTGGTCACTAATTTAATCAAAACACAACCATGCCTACATTAGCGGTTTAAATTGGGGTAAATTACTTAACAAACCGCCAAACACTTGCGTCAGTTTGCCCTACTAAAGTGCTTACCAAAGATAAATGGGTGAATATATTGAGATGTCCCCCAAGTGAATTATTTTTTATTTTTGGTTGTTTCACTGTTAGTCTAGAACATAACCTAAGTGGTTCTGCACTAATGCAAGAATTTTAAGAAATCATACATTTTAAATATTAGAGCTTCACGGAGGTTAGGATTTCGTATGTTTTTTTAAACATCCCTTTGTATATTTGAAATAAGTTATTGTATCTTTTGACACCTTAATATTTTTTAAAACATACATACAATATTTATAAAAAAATCTACTTACTGAGATATTACACTTCACGGTGGATATGTTTTTAAAGAGCAAAAGCGCCATCCGTTGCATAAACTTTAAAGCAACAACAGATTCACGGAGGATAGAATCAATTTTTGTAACACCTACATAAATAATTATAAAAATTATTTCTTTAAATTTTTAATAATATTTTATATTTGATTCGATTGCTTTGGATGTGTTTAATTTACTTAGTGAACTGATATTTTTAGTATGCTTTTACTACCTCAGATATTTGAAAACATACAGGTTAACCTGTAAAGAGTAACAGTCACGGAGGATAGGTTTTAGACTTTTAAACACACTGTTTAAAGTTTGCATAAGCAGTTATCCTGAAAATAGCGACTTGGAGAATAAAGATCCCGGTGTAAAAAGGATTTTAGAAGAGAAATGACAGGGAGGTTCAGGGACGGAGTTTGGGGGGGGGAGTTAGAGCCTTAACCAAAGAATGGATGAAATACGAATGAAGCTAAAGCCGAATCTAGTGCATGCACTACAATCAATACCAGACAAGTCAAGTTTTATAATATTTGTTGGAAAAACTTTCGTTTAGTCTTGAAGAAAAATACGCGAAATTCCCCAATAAAAAGACGAATCAATAGTTTCAGATCTACCTACCTATGTGGCAAATAATACCTCAAAATTCATACAGACAGTAAAACAGTAAAAAAAATCAACTCTAAGCAACACTAATTAGAGTTCACACAGGTCCACACTAAAGAGTGTTGTTTTATAACACTACAATTACAGTTAATTTGTAGTGTAATTTTCCCCAAGTAAGCAAGTATGATTCAACACTATAGCACTGAGGATAAAGTAATTTTACACTGTATTAAAAAGTTTAATTTACCTAAAATCGTGTACTTCTACACTTCCTGGGTAAAATCCCACTTTTGTTCAGTGTAAATTAACACTACTTTGGAAAGGTTCTAATTTTAGAAAGGTACTTTTACTCTTTTAGTGTAAATTAACACTATTATTTGAGTAAAACCTATTGGTGGTAGTGAATAAAACGAAAAGGTAAATAAAGAGAAACATTTATTTGGAACAAAATCTATGACAATTATCAAAATCGGTGCCTTTTAAAATATAATTTTATATTTGAGTCGTATGGCTGGCTTAAGCAAAATGGTTCCTTAAAACGTAAAAGTTTTAGATCAATGCAATGTTTTACTGGCTGTCAACTTGTAAGCAATGAATTATCTTGAGAATTCATTAGTAATCCATTTTTCTGTTATAAAAAATGGGTGATCCCATTGGTAGAGAGGCGTTAGGCGGCTGTATGTCGGGGATTTACCACACGCGTACAAATTTTCCATAATATTAATAAAAATGTAGGTATAGGTTAATATAACAACCATTACGCTTGAAAATAAAAAGTAAATCAAGTGTGTATGTATTTATATTATTAATGTTACAAGTACTGCCGTAAATTATTGAAATATAATATAGGTCGGGTATGGACATCCTTTTAACATATTGGTATTTATTGAGTATTAAGGCTTAAAAAAAAGGAAGTATAATACTTACCAAAAAATAGGAATGTCCTCTTATGGATTCACCGTAATTAAAATCTAACTGAACAAAAATGCCACACTTCCACAACGCGGTATCTCCGGATATGCACTGCGTAGGTAGATAGGTACCAACCAAACATTTTAAAACGCATTTCGGTTATTACCAGTTTTTTCAGTCTATTTTGCCACTATTGGTGTAATTTAACTTTAATTGTGATACAATGTGCACTAGTAGTGTAAAGAAAAAAGAGCTCTTAGTAACATCAAAAGAGACAAATAAATTGGCATGCACTGTAGTGTACATTTTGTCACTATTTAACACATTAAGGGGTAATAAACACTCGCATTAAGTTTTTCTACCATTTTGATTTATTTTAATAATAAATAGTGTGAATGTACCTATGAATAATGTTCATATTCTTTAAATGTGTTTAATAAAGTTAATAAGCACTAAATGCTACCTATAGTGTATTTTGTAGACAGATCTCTCCCCTCAAGTAATTTAAAGAAAATTATGTAAAGATAGTTTCTGATTTGGATGAAGAAACATAGCTCTTGGTGAAAGGGCAATGGGGTAGTTAAATTTTTTCTGACCTATACTTTTTATGGTTTTATTCAAGGCGTTTTGTAATTTTAAACATTTCTGTGAAATCGGAATTTCAATTGAGTTTACCGTTTTCGAGATATTTACAAAAAAAATCTCCTAATTACGTCACTAGGCTATTGACAACGTTGCCAGCTTTTTCTATGGTTGCCAGTGTGTTTAGTTTAAGATTCTTACGGTAGATGGCGCCACGTTATAATATTTTAGTTTTAAAACCACTTGATCTATAATTTTAATTAAGAAGAAGAATTGATTTTTTGACGTTTCTTTTTTTCGGGTTATGTTTTTTTTTAACTTTAGATTGAAAATCAATGTTATTGTTATGTTATTTGTAATTGATATTAGATAAGTGATTTATTAATAACGGACTCCAAAGCAGAGGAATCTTGTGGAATGGTGGGTTACATTGAACATTGGAGCTTTTAAACAAATAAAGTAAGTACCTATAATTATAATCATATTTTGTCTTAAATGCATTTCATTAGTATAATGCCTAGTTCTTTATATTCTTTTAGATATATCTTGGACTCTAAAATATCAAACAGTAATATGATATCTCGTAATAAGGAATATAGGTACTTAATGAATTTGGTGACCATCTTTCACTCAACTGACAGTGACAGTATTTGTACATAACCTCTTCGGGTATTTTCTGACATAACCGAATGAAATCATTAACAAGACAACTTGACAACAGGGTAATTTTCAACCAATAGAAATCTTAGAATGTTGGTCACATGGCGAGGTTTGTGACGTCATAAAAATTTATATTTTTTGTAAATACCTCGAAAACGGTAAACTCAATTGAAATTCCGATTTCACAGAAATGTTTAATATTACAAAACGCCTTGAATAAAACCATAAAAAGTATAGGTCAGAAAAAATTTAACTACCCCATTCTCTGCAGGTTTCAACCTGATATGACTCTCTGGGTGACTCACCTGAAACCCGGAGCAAGTTGGCGCGCCTGAGGCGCAACTTCCGGCCGGATGCGGATGTGACGCGTACGTCGACCCGTAGTTCAGGTTGTGCGCGGTGTCCAGGATTTTTTTGTGCGCAGACGCGTGCGCGCGGTACGCACTAACCGACAGTTTCATCGCGTAAAACGCGCGATCACGATTTCAACTGCTTCATCGTTTGAGGTTAGGTTTGTCACTTTTTAGGTTAGATTCGTGGTTTCGTCACTAGTATTAAACGTCGACTGTTGTGAGGTTATGTTTTAGGATTTAAAGCTTAATTTTTGATCTTTATTATTATTAAAGCACTAACGAGAACATTTTATTAATTATATATATTAAGTAATTAGGTATATACATACATAGATAAAGGATAAATATTTTTATAACTTTTTTTTATTAAATATTTGGCATCAAACATTTGGTGTATTTCACATAAGATTTAGTTGAAGTGGCACTATTGTTTACATTAAATATTTTACTTTTATTTTTTTATTTAAGAACTATTACGTATTCACTAGAGGACGGCCATGTTTTAGGATATCCTGGACCAGGGCTACCTAAAAACAAAAGAATAAATTATACACTGATAGCAAAATTTGATTTTAAGAATCTTCTAAGAATATATGACCCGGAATAATGGAATATTCTTAGAACCTTCCCTTATTGCTAAGGATGTTCTTAGGGACTTTTAAAACATTCAATAGATACCCTTTTAATGATGCAATTAGATTTTTAAAAAAACCTTCCTAAAAAGCATCCTAAGAACATTTTAAGAATACGTTTTTGGAATGTTCTTAGAAGGTTTCTTATGGAGCTTCTAGGAAGCTTTTGAGAATATTTCCAAATGTGTCAGATACCCACGTTCTAATATGTTGTATTCTACATTCGTAAAAAAATACGCCTCACTGTCATAATATGACAGTGAAATGTATTTGTCGTCCCCTTAAAAAAATTTGCGACATATTAATATATATTTATTTAAAAATATTAAATAAACAATTTGACCTCTAAACCATAAGTTGTATGACATTATTTCATAAAAAGTAAAATTGGAAAATTTTGTGGAATAAGTCAGATTAGATTGAAGTTGAAGATAGTTAGGATTATTATACATAAAAATGTTAATTCAGAAATAAAAAATCGGTATGCAAATTAATAAATATTTATTTTTAACATAAAATAAAATACCTATAGTAAAAGTAGTTTTGTTATCGAATATTGTTTTAATTTGACAAATAACTATAAAAAAATATTTTGGATTGTGTTTTTTACTTAGTATTTAATACTAATTACTAATTAGTTACTTAAGTATAGGTATATACCTTTATATTATATTTTACTATTATATAGGTAACTGAACTAAATATGCTTAACAGGAATATTCCTAAATGAACTTTCTACAGAATAAAGTATTCAGATTACTTTCTATAAATGAGCAACCCCCCAATAAATAAATAAAAATTACGACATTCGCAATACACGAGGGTAAAGTCAGTCAAGTGAGGTGGAAACATAAAAATAAATTCAAAAGTTAAAGTTGGCAGCATTGCTTTGTTCTCGCCTTGTCGAGTATGTCTACGTTTGGAGCACCTTTCAAAAATCCACTTCACTTTTCCCATTCACCACCTACTCTGTTTATTTAGTTGCTTTATACGCGTTAATTTGTCGCGATACAAAATTTGAATTAAAAAAATTACAAAAGAAATATTTACAAAATGCTTACAATGCTGTGGATTGGGGCAGATTAGCTTTACAATTTAAGACATATCTCTAGTTAAACAAAAAATAAACGTGGTACACCCTGTATACAGGGTGTTATGTAATTAATGTTATATATTAAAATACTGAATACCTTTTGACATAAGGAATAAAGGAAAAATATTTAAAAAAACATTTTTCCAAAGATATGCATTATATTTTTTGTGATACGCCACTGGTTACACACTTGTTTATCTCTGCACACCTGTATTTTGTGAGTACATAGATACCAACCAACAAAGTAGCTATGCGTTGCCAGATGTAAACAATTGTTACTAAAAATTTTTCTTGCAAAAAATAAATAAAAACTCAATAAATACAAAAGTTTTATGCCCTTAAAGCTCTAATACCCTTCTGTATTTATTTACTGATCCAGCTATTACCTAGCTTAAGCAATGATTAGAATTTAGTACCTTTGAAATTTGAAATCCATAACCACAAAATTAATTTTTTCATCAGTTTTTTTCTCTGTTTACTCAAATGAAATTGGGACCAGTTCACACTTCACAGGTTAAACTTAAAACATTTAATTTGTGTAAATAAATCCAAAAGCACTTCCCTTAGTTAAGATATTTACAATTTGTAAACATAACCTAAAATTTAAAAGAAATGCACTAGATTCTGTCATAAAAGTTGGCAGATTTTGTTTGAATTTACCTTCAGTACAAAAATGAAATAACCAACAATTAATAAAAACGCCAAATTGACAATTTGCATTGTTAATTTTGTCATTTTTGTAATTAAGCTAAATTTAAACAATGCTTGGCAACTTTTTTGAAAGATTTTGGAAACAGTTGTTACCAACCATAACATAATAAATCCACCAGATTAACCTAAAGTTCCTAGTCGATCAGTGGCGTACTTTTTGGTAGGATAAAGGTTATTATAAATTATTTTTAGACTTTGGAATTTAGAAAAAAAAGTTGCAGGTGCTTCTTTATAAACCCTAAGGAACAACCCATTTTAATATATAACATTAATTACATAACACCCTGTATTTCTCTCAGTGTACGCAGAAACATTCTTAAAAATGGTAAAAAAATAGTAATAAAATTGAAGTGCTAATTACAAAATTAATGAAAAGTAGACTTTCTGCCTCTTTGCTTGAAGAAGGGCTCTTAAGTTTCTCCTGGAAGTCGCAAACTTTTTGTTTAGCCCCATTGAGTGTGAGCTTTGTATGCAGTTTTCCCTTCTAGACAATTCTACCTTCTTATCATAGCTGCGAATGTCAGGTTTATTAGAAAAAAATCAAGATTAACCAAGCAGTGTGCTTTGAAACATGTTTTTAAAAAAGTATGGTTTTCATGTAGGTATACTTTATTCTAAGAATGTTTTTTAAACCTTCCAGTGAGAATATTCTTAGGATCATGCAATATTTCTTTTAAAGAACATGCTTAAAAGATATATAGCACGATCCTAAGAATATTCTTACTGGCCTATAGGCAGGTTCTTAGAAGGTGCAAAGTTTTAGTGGTAAAAATTAGTCTACTCTAAACATATGCTTAGAATGTTAAGAAAGTAATTGCTATAGAAAGTTCATTTAGGAATATTCCTGTTAAGCATATTTAGTTCAGTTACCTATACAGGGTGTTATGTAATTAATGTTATATATTAAAATGGGTTGTTCCTTAGGGTCCATAAAGAAGCACCTGAAACTTTTTTTTTCTAAATTCCGTCTAAAAATAATTTATAATAACCTTTATCCTACCAAAAAGTACGCCACTGATCGACTAGGAACTTTAGGTTAATCTGGTGGATTTATTATGTTATGGTTGGTAACAACAGTTTTCCAAAATCTCTCAAAAAAGTTGACAAACATTGTTTAAATTTAACTTAATTACAAAAATGACAAAATTAACAATGCAAATTGTCAATTTGGCGTTTTTATTAATTGTTGGTTATTTCAATTTTTTACTGAAGGTAAATTCAAACAAAATCTGCCAACTTTTATGACAGAATCTAGTGCATTTCTTTTAAATTTTAGGTTATGTTTTCAAATTGTAAATATCTTAACTAAGGGAAGTGCTTTTGGATTTATTTACACAAATTAAATGTTTAAAGTTTAACCTGTGAACTGGTCCCAATTTCATCTGAATAAACAGAGAAAAAAACTGACGAAAAAATTAATTTTGTGGTTAGGGATTTCAAATTTCAAAGGTACTAAATTTTCTAATCATTGCTTAAGCTTATTAGCTGGATAAGTAAATAAATACAGAAGGGTATTAGAGCTTTAAGTGCATAAAACTTTTGTATTTATTGAGTTTTTATTTATTTTTTGCAAGAAAAATTTTTAGTAACAATTTTTTACATCTGGCAACGCATAGCTACTTTGTTGGTTGGTATCTATGTACTCACAAAATACAGGTGTGCAGAGATAAACAAGTGTGTAACCAGTGGCGTATCACAAAAAATATAAAAAACTTCTAATGCATATTTTTTCTGTATCTTTGGAAAAATGTTTTTTTAAATATTTTTCCTTTATTCCTTATGTCAAAAGGTATTCAGTATTTTAATATATAACATTAATTACATAACACCCTGTATAATAGTATAATATACCATAAACAACGTATAAAGGTATATACCTATACTTAAGTACCTAATTAGTAATATTTTTTTATTTAGTATTAAATACTAATTATTAGTATTTAATACTAAATAAAAAACACAATCAAAAATATTTTTTATAGTTATTTGTCAAATTAAAACAATATTCTATAACAAAAATACTTTTACTATAGGTATTTTATTTTATGTTAAAAATAAATATTTATTTATTTGTATACCGATTTTTTATTTCTGATGTATAATAATCTTCAACTTCAATCTAATCTGACTTATCCCACAAAATTTTACTTTTTATGAAATAATGTCATACAACTTATGGTTTAGAGGTCAAATTGTTTATTTAATATTTTTAAATAAATATATATTAATATGTCGCAAAATTTTTTAAGGGGACGACAAATACATTTCACTGTCATATTATGACAGTGAGGCGTATTTGTCGTCTCCTGAAGAATTTTACGAATGTAGAATACAACATATTAGAACGTGGGTATCTAGCATATTTGGAAATATTCTCAAAAGCTTCCTAGAAGCTCCATAAGAAACCTTCTAAGAACATTCCACAAACGTATTCTTAAAATGTTCTTAGGATGTTTTTAGGAAGGTTTTAAGCAGCTTTTAGGAATCTAATTGCATCATTAAAAGGGTATCTATTGAATGTTTTAAAAGTCCCTAAGAACATTCTTAGCAATAAGGGAAGGTTCTAAGAATATTCCATTATTCCGGGTCATATCTTCTTAGAAGATTCTTAAAATAAAATTTTGCTATCAGGGTTGCGGAATGGTAAGATGCACTGAGATGATTAATCTTTAATGTAGAATAAAAATTGTAAAATGAGCTGTACCACATAAAATGATGGAGGGTGTACTAAAATTTAAATTTCATAAAAGTTTTTAATAAAATATTAAATGACTAAAGCATTTAAAATTTTGCTATCGATTGAATAATTTGCCCTAGTTTGAGAGTTCTGCTTGATTTAGGGTGAGTAATTAAATTTAATACTTGTTATGTTCCGATAAATTTATTCATCAAATTTACTAATTGAACTTTATAAGGATATATACTTTGAATTTTACTTACTATAAAAAAACATTAATAATTAAAATTTGAGGTTGGGGAAGAATAGAAATGTTCTAAAATATTTAAGAATTTTTACTTGGTCGGCATACTTTCTTTGTTCATAATTACACGGGTAGAGCTTCTTAAATATGTACTTATAGAAAAAAAAAATAAGTAGGTTAAATTATAATTATTTCAGATAACATACTTTTACTATTACTGAAAATCATGTTTTTAACATAAAAAATCGATTTGATCACAATCAGGAGGTCAAAATTATAAAAAAAAACATGTCACGAACGAAATTTTCACCAAAATGTCATTTTGAAAAAGTGGTATTTGCTTAGGCCTTTCTGAAAATAATGGAAGTTTGTTGCTTGTCGCTTGTTCAGAATTATTCAAGGAACAATCTATCACCATCTTATCTTCTTGTTCCTAAAAAGACTGAGTGTATTGCCTACCAAAAAGCCTTAAATGTACTCTTTTGAAAAAAAAAATCATAGTTTCGTTGCTAAGATTCCAATTCGAAAAATTTGAAAATCTTTTCAAGGTAAGACATAATACTTCATTATTTCAAAGTAAAAACGAGAAAAAATATTTCCTTTTTCAAACGGGGCTTGGATGAAGTTATTGAAATTTTTCACCGTTTAACAAATCACCCTGTAGGAAATTTACTTGAAGAACCGTGAACTTCATATGTATAGCATGAATTGCCAGAGGATGGGGCTAGCAGACATCACATACCAAAATAAAATTGTTCAAGAAACAAAAATGTTACATCGTTTTGAAAAAGTACGAACTTTTTGGTCGTTGATATAAAGATAATCATATATTATATCACGAGAACTATGAATTTAATCGGTTAAACTAGGCTCAGTAGTTTTTTGTTTGGTTTTTCTTGGAAATTGTTGAATGCAAAATTTAATAAAATCACGAGACCGCGTAGCGGTCGAGGGGTTTTAATTTTAATTATTTTGCATGAAACTATTTTCCAAAAAGAAAAATCAAATAAAAAACTTACTGAGCATAGTTTGACAGATTAAATTTATAGGTTGAGTGATATACGTCTAGATTATTTCTCGAATTAAAGGAAACTATTTGACAATTCATAAAATCTGACGTATGTGTCAAAATTTATAAATATTTTTTTAAAGAAAATTCCATTAAATTAAGTAATAATTGATATTTCGTAAACTAGATAACTTATTTTTTATTGTTTTTTAAAAAATGTTTGTTAAAACTTGTAAATAACACCATAAAGTCGTAAACAAAGATCCAATATGGAGGCTAAAATTTAATCTCTGTTAAATAGTTCTAGTGATTTAATCGCTTATTTAAACGAAATTTATTCGAAAATTCAAGGCTTTTGATTGGTTCATATTATAATGAGGGAAATAATCAATGATATAAAGAATATCAATCGCAATCGTGTACTGAAAAAGTTTTTTAATTAATAATTTCATATTTTTCATACTTTTCTGTAATTAAATTAATTAATTTCAATTCAATTTTTGAGCAAAAATTCACTTTTAAAGTGTCACTTTATATCTAAAAGGCATCTATCAACTCGTGCCGTGATGTTCGGTCGTTTATTCTTTTGTTTCTCATTTCCCGCCCGCTTGATTGTCGATCCCCGGCCTCCTGTGAGTCTTTTGTCGGCGCTTTCGTTTTTGAAAATTGTAAAATGCAATTGAAAATTTAAAATATTATGTTGTTTTTGAGTAAAGTAAAACTACTGAAAAACATATTGAAAACCATCAAACATTTTTTATGGTTGGTTTGGCATGACCCTGTATATATATATTTTTATTTTCTTACCTTTGTTGAAGAAAAAATATTCCACTAGCAGCAAAAGTTCACATGTTAACCACATCGCGGTTGCATTGGTAGTTTTTTTGTTTTAAAATTTTTAAATTCAGATAATACGCCTCCCGAGATACGAAGGACACGCGTGTTTCTTGTCCGCACTCTAGATTTGACTGAAGTTTCGGAGCATCCAAGGCCTGCCGGGGTTGGGGCAGGGTTGAGCCGCTAGGTGGCGTCATCAAATGTTTTTCAAATGACTGCTGTGAATGCTGAATTTTTTTACCAATAAACACTGGATTGCGTTGTTTAATTAAAGACATCTCGTTTTATGAAGTTGCAGTAAAGAATAATAAATTCCTTTTTCTAGGTAAATAGTGTTTATGTGTACAAGGCTTTTACTACAAGCAGGATAATTTGAAAAGAAATTTTCTACATATAGGTGTAGCACACTTTATTCTAAGAATGTTTTTTAAACCTTCCAGTGAGAATATTCCTAGGATCATGCTATATTTCTTCTAAAGAACATGCTTAAAAGACATATAGCATGATCCTAAGAATATTCTTACTGGCCTATAGGCAGGTTCTTAGAAGGTGCAAAGTTTTAGTGGTAAAAATTAGTCTACTCTAAACATATGCTTAGAATGTTAAGAAAGAAACTAATTAGTAATTAGTATTAATACTAAGTAAAAAACACAATGCAAAATATTTTTTTATAGTTATTTGTCAAATTAAAACAATATTCGATAACAAAAATAGTTTTACTATAGTTATTTTATTTTATGTTAAAAATAAATATTTATTTATTAAGAAACTAATTAGTAATTAGTATTAATACTAAGTAAAAAACACAATGCAAAATATTTTTTTATAGTTATTTGTCAAATTAAAACAATATTCGATAACAAAAATAGTTTTACTATAGTTATTTTATTTTATGTTAAAAATAAATATTTATTTATTTGTATACCGATTTTTTATTTCTGAATTAACATTTTTATGTATAATAATCCTAACTATCTTCAACTTCAATCTAATCTGACTTATCCCACAAAATTTTCCAATTTTACTTTTTATGAAATAATGACATAAAACTTATGGTTTAGAGGTCAAATTGTTTATTTAATATTTTTAAATAAATATACGACAAATACATTTCACTGTCATATTATGACAGTGAGGCGTATTTGTCGTCTCCTGAAGAATTTTACGAATGTAGAATACAACACATTAGAACGTGGGTATCTGACATATTTGGAAATATTCTCAAAAGCTTCCTAGAAGCTCCATAAGAAACCTTCTAAGAACATTCCAAAAACGTATTCTTAAAATGTTCTTAGGATGCTTTTTAGGAAGGTTTTAAGAAGCTATTGAATGTTTTAAAAGTCCCTAAGAACATTCTTAGCAATAAGGGAAGGTTCTAAAAATATTCCATTATTCCGGGTCATATTTTCTTAGAAGATTCTTAAAATCAAATTTTGCTATCAGGGAAGCAACATATTTTTAAATACTCCCCAACAAATTAATAGATTTTAATATAAACGAGAAAAAACTATTTTAGTAATATTCTTTCAAATATAATTATAATATTTGTAAATACTCTGGAATTGTTTAAATAATTACCAATATCATGTCATTGGTAATTTTTCAAGTCTATTATTTTCCCAAATAAATATAAAAAATTGTCATCGTTTTTCCATGGCCAAACATTTCCAAAATTAAACCAACGTAACCAACCTAACTTAGTCCAAAGTGCTTTTGCATATTATTGGGCACAATTTAATCATTTTTTGTTGGCCATCGCGATTGCACAAAAATCATAGGAATATTAAGTCCTATATTGTACATTTATTGGCATAACTTTTTTAAAGGCAATTCTTGGCCAAGTTTTAACCTGATATGGCTCTCTGGGATTTTTCTTAAAGGTAAAAGTTAAATAAGAAAATATTGTGCATGTATTAAGTTTATCAGGTATAAAAATATTTTATGTTGCGTAAATCATATTTTATAAATTTGTATAACTTATTTAATTTGCATTGAATTATATCCCCCTTTGATGGTAACAGCAAAATATTTAAAATCATCAACAGGGATTCTCACATTCCCTTTTATTTTAAACCCTGAAATAAGTGGCTTTTCTTTTAAACAAGTTGATATCATTGATTTATTTGCAGGACTGTAGTACGGTGCATTAATGTGTTCATAAAAATCAACTTTATAAAAATACTCACTGGGTTCTTCATTTGGGCAAATCAATTCAGCAGCAAAATAAACATATGAATCTTCAGTATGATACGATATTCTAAATAATCTTGAATCATATACCATATACCCATGACATTTTGAATACTTTTGGATCATATACCGTTGGTTCTTTAGTATGCATTCTATATGTTTGTCTTCCACATGTTTTGATATATCATTTGTGTTTACAAATTCTGGGCAAATCGGGCATTTGTGTTTGTTAACCATACACGATTCTTCATGTTTCTTGATTTCATCTTCAACTCCAGTAACTTTGCAACCAGATTTTTTAAACTTGCAGGGATATTTTAATTTGCTTGTAAATGTTTCCAAACCGTAGTTTCTAACATTGCTCAATGCTTCTCTGCATGTAGGACATGCCTTTACATTTTCACGACATTTGTTGCAAATGCTATGTCCACGATTGCACTGGTATATCGGAGGTCTCATGACGCTCATGCAGATGGGACATTCCAATAGTTTCAGCATATTTTCATCTATTCCTTTAGGATTCAAATTAAATTCGTTTAAAATCATGTTGTTTTCATCTGCAAGATGTTTCAACAGGTTGATGTCTACCACAGTCGCGTTGGGGTTTTTATCCAGGTTTTCTTCATCATAAAAACCATTCAGTTTGGTGAGAGTACCTACAATTTTTAACTCTTTATTGTTTTGTTCTTTAGTACTTTTGTGCATCACTGTATATTCCATATTTTCTTTAGATTTTCCAAGTGGATTTAAGGAGTAATAAAATTTATCATCAACAACTGAAGTCTTTAAAAGGCAGTTTTGATAATCATCAGAAAACAATTTTACGTTGAAATGTTCTGACAAGGATGTTTCAACTTTAAAAATATTGTTTCCACTTTTAATAACGTGATTTTGATGATTTTTTAACAAATGTTCGCTTAATTCAAAATTGGTTCCGCTCCAACCACAAACATCAAGATTTTTCCTCGGGCATGGCTTAATGTTGAAATCGCAACTACCAATATGCTTGGAATAATTCTTGGATTTACAAGGCAACACAAGCTTGGCCACAATTAACATTAGGGGCGTGATTAATTCAGCCGTCGATTTCATTTCCTCCCCACACTTTTCTTCAAAACATTTTCCACACACGTTTCCTTTACCTTTGACCAGGAAAATATCGGACGTGCAAAGATCATCGCAAATCTTGCAGTGGAATATTTTCTCTTTGAAAAGATCATCAGTAAACTGATTCATCGTTTCGTTGGCCATCTTGCCTTAAAAAAAATTAACTATAATTAATCATATTTTAAAGTCAAACCATATACACTCACAGGCAAAATAATCGATCCACACAAATTTTCGATCAATTTCAATCGCAAATAACTTTTTTATTTGATTTCGGATTTAAACAAATATTAAAGAATATTGTAGATACATTAATGGAAAATCGCTCACATTTTAAAAATTACTAAAAAATACACGTACGTTTATAATATACAGGTTTAAACAAAAAGATGTGTTTTACCATAAGTTTAAGACACTCTGTAGAGTGGCAAAACCGTATATTGTTCTAAATTAAGTTTTAATTATCAAGTCACATCTATTTTTAACAGTTTTGTTTTTGGTTCACCTTGATATATTTATTTATGTGGAAAATATGGATTTTTTTAAAAAAACATTGCAATTTCCAATAGTTTTCCTGTATGAAGAACTAAGGTTGCTATGGTCCATCCATAGCCTATGGAGGATGACAGTGACAGTTTTGTTGAATCATCCCATACTTGGACATGTCATATACAGCTTTCAAAAGCTATCAAATTGTTTTTTGTAAATTATTGTGTTAATTTTGAGGTGTCTTCTTTTAAAAATGTCTCCGACTGATGTTGCCCTTTGTACTTTACTTCTTGTGACTTTTAAAACACTTGCCACGTAATACTGTGACCGTCAATCCTGGATTAAATTAATGGCTCTGGCAACATCAGTCGGAGACATATCCATTTTTTAAAGTAAGAAGGCACCTCAAAATTTAAACATTAATTTGCAAAAAACAATTTGATACCTTTGGAAAGCCGTGTATGACATGTCCAAGTATGGGATGATTCAACAAAACTGTCTCTGTCATTCTCCATAGCCTATGGATGGACCATAGCAACCTTAGTTGACAGAAAAATATTGGAAATTGCAATGTTTTTTTAAAAAATCCTTATTTTCCACAAAAATAAATATATCGAGGTGAACCAAAAACAAAACCGTTAAGAATAGATGTGATTTGATAAATAATACTTAATTTAGAACAATATACGGTTTTTCCACTCTACAGAGTGTCTTAAACTTATGGTAAAAAACATCTTTTTGTTTAAACCTGTGTATTATAAACGTTCGTCTATTTTTTAGTAATTTTTTAAAATGTGAACGATTGTCCATTAATTTATCTACGATATTCTTTAATATTCGTTTAAATCCGACATCAAATAAAAAAGTTATTTGCGATTGAAATTCATCGAAAATTTGTGTGGATCGATTATTTTGCCTGTGAGTGTATTCCCGATGTAAATTTCAAAATAGTTTTGAAGGATTTAAAAAATACATTAAAAATAACAATAATTGTGTACCCTATTGTAAATGACCGATAGAATCCAATAAAAAATGAGTAATTGGTTTGAAATGTGTTTTGGCGAGCCATGAATCACCAATTCATTCCAGTTGCATTCCTATTGGTAAGTTCCAATGAAGTCAGCGGCTTAAATTGGAATATACCAATCCATGCCTATGCTTGTCTCTATTGGCTAGAGCCAAACCCATTCAAACCAATTTATTTCTTTAAATTTGGATTAAAAATACCAGTTGATTTTTCATTCAAAAATCCCAGAAGAATAACCGGGTAAAAACCAGAATTCATTTTTCACAGAAGAGATAAAAAAATTTTATAACTGAGTAACTTTATTTCTTTATTATTTTTCTGTGTCAGTGAGATATGTATTTATATATATAACTTACTAACACAAAAAAGTAATAAAAAATAAATAAAATTACTCGGTTATAATCATTTTTTTGTCTTTCTTGCAAAGGATGTTTGTAGGCATGGTCGAAATCAATATTATTTATGTCAAATTTTTTTTATTTTGTCCGCTTAAACCACCATTCTCACGCCATCCTCCCTAAACCTTACGCATATAAACATTTTTTTAAGGTACATATAAGTAGACAACTATAGTTACCACTATATATAGCACAGAAACCCATAGATTATAAAAGAAACCGACTAATAAAAAAACCACATTAAATATAGCGCCCTAAGACTTGTTTGTTTCTCTATGATCTTTATGAATCTTACATTGAATTCAATTGGAAATTACCTAATGGTAGCTTTAACCACTCGAAACCACTAAAAACAGTAGAATCCTAATCGGATTTTCCATCATGGAAAATACCAGTAAAAACCAATTTCTCTTTTATATCGCTCCCAGTTAAACCCAGTCCAATTCAGACCTATTGATACCAACCAATACTTCAATTGGTTTCTATAAGAAATTAATCGGTCATTTACAACATGGTACCTATTTTCTAAAATCCATAAAACTTAAAACTACAAATGTAGGTAGCCATGAATTTTGCAAATTTGACATGAAAAAACCTCATATGCTAGTGATATTGTTGGGAATCCCCCAATTTTGACCACACCTTTATAATGATATCAACAATTGTTGATACACTTAAGTGTTCAAATATTTGACAACAGAGAATTACATTTTGGTACCTTAGAATGACAATTAAGGTTCTATGTGCGAAAATGCCTTATCTGCAATATTTAATATTTTAGGTAGGTACCTAAGTAATTTTTGTTTAAGATTGCAGCTGCACTTAGAACCTTGTCATTCTAAGGTACCGATTTCGTAAATTTAGATATAATAACACATTGTATTATTATTTTATTTTAAAAATATAGTCACCTTAAACAGTACAACTTCTACTTTTATTTTAACTAGATTATTATTATTAATAGATTATTAATCAAAGTTTTATAAAAAATACATAAAAATTTATTTTGATAGTGCAGTAGAAGCACACATTTAGAGACATTAATATGTGACCAAACCCATAGCTATATAAAGAAACCAATTAAAAAACTTACCTGAATAAATAGTTATAACTTAATTAACACCTCCAAAGAATTAAAATACAAAAAATAAATGTTAATCTCTGAATATTTTGACTCATTCGCGATAACAAATATGCCAATTCATTAAATTTTATTTTATTTTGTTTCGGCATATTTTGAGTCCTTATAAATATCGGTACGTAGGCAACCAAGATGGCGAGACTTTAAATGTTTTAAAATGTTATCTTTTAACCGTGATAGCACAGTTTATTCTAAGAATGTTTTTTAAACCTTCCAGTGGGAATATTCTTAGGATCCTGCTATATTTCTTCTAGTCATGTTCTAAGAATGTTTTTTAAACCTTCCAGTGAGAATATTCTTAGGATCATGCTATATTTCTTCTAAAGAACATGCTTAAAAGAAATATAGCATAATCCTAAGGCCTATAGGCAGGTTCTTAGAAGGTGCAAAGTTTAGTGGTAAAAATTAATCCACTCTTAACATATGCTTAGAATGTTGAGAAAGTAATTGCTATAGAAAGTTCATTTAGGAATATTCCTGGAACATTCTGTTAAGCAGATTCAGTTCAGTTAGGTACCTATATAATAGTAAAATATACCATAATCTACGTATAAAGGTAACTATACTTAGCATTAAATACTAAGTAAAAACCACAACCCAAAACATTTTTTTATAGTTATTTGTCAAATTAAAACAATATTCGATAACAAAAATACTTTTACTATAGGTATCTAAATTATCCAACTTAAATACAATGAAAAATGTTTTTTTTATGAAGAACTATTTGGTTTTTTCTTTTATGAAGAATTATTTATAAGGAAATATTTTGTTTTTTTATATTTTATTTTATGTTAAAAATAAATATTTATTAATTTGTATACCGATTTTTTATTTCTGAATTAACATTTTTATGTATAATAATCCTAACTATCTTCAACTTCAATTTAATCTGACTTATCCCACAAAATTTTCCAATTTTACTTTTTATGAAATAATGTCATACAACTTATGGTTTAGAGGTCAAATTGTTTATTTAATATTTTTAAATAAATATATGTATTAATATGTCGCAAATTTTTTTAAAGGGACGACAAATACATTTCACTGTCATATTATGACAGGCGTATTTGTCGCCTTCTGGAGAATTTTACGAATGTAGAATCCAACATATTAGAACGTGGGTATCTGACATATTTGGAAATATTCTCAAAAGCTTCCTAGAAACTCCATAAGAAACCTTCTAAGAACATTCCAAAAACGTATTCTTAAAATGTTCTTAGGATGCTTTTTAGGAAGGTTTTAAGAAGCTTTTAAGAATCAAATTGCATCATTAAAAGGGTATCTATTGAATGTTTTAAAAGTCCCTAAGAACATTCTTAGCAATAAGGGAAGGTTCTAAGAATATTCCATTATTCCGGGTCATATCTTCTTAGAAGAAAGGGATTTGCGATGTTTTAATCACTCTCGATAAATTAATAAATGGTACAAATGTTTTCGCTTTATCAAGTTGATTTCGTGCAGTTTTGGGGCAACAGTGAGACAAACTCAATGATAGATAGCGTTGGAATGTTTTGTGTTTAACGCAATGTCGTAGGCAACCAAGTATACATTTTTTTAAACAATATTTCTTGAAATTATTTTATAACCTATATAGGGCAAGTACCAGAGATATATATATATCTCTGGCAAGTACCTAAGTTGTTTTTTTAATATTTGGATTAAATATTTTTTTATATTTTGTTGTGTAGAAGTACAATGCAATATCAACCCTCCAAAAAATCGTACCTACTAAAATGAAAATATGTATTATATAGTAGGTATAGTAATAAATCTATGAAAACTTTAAAAAATAGGTATATATGTACATATATTAGAGCACACCCCACATTGTAGATTATAAAAAAGTTCTTTTAGGGTAAAAGTTAAATAAGAAAATATTGTGAATGTATAATTAAATTTTTATTTAAGTTTAACAAGTATAAATAAATTTATGTTGGTGGCATTAAACATTAAACCTATTTTATGTATTTATATGACTTAAATTTGTTTTGAATTATCTACTTTTCTGAAGGAAATATCAAACTTTTGAAAATCATCAACATGGCATTTCGCATTCCCTTTTATTTTAAACATTTGAAGTAGTGGCTGCTCTTTTAAACAAGATGATGACATTGATTTTTTGTTGTGATTATATTTGTTCTCAAAAGTAATTTCATAATAATACTCATTGAGGTCTCCATTAGAGCAAATCAATTCAACAGCAAAATAAACATATGAATCTTCAGTATGATACGATATTCTAAATAATCTTGAATCATATACCCTATACCCATGACATTTTGAATACTTTTTAATGTCCTTATATCTGGATATTATGCATTCTCTATGTTTGTCTTCCACATGTTTTGATATATCATTTGTGTGTACAAATTCTGGGCAAATTGGGCATTTGCATTTGTTAAACGTGCAGGATTCTTCATGTTTCTTGATTTCACCTTCAACTCCAGTGACTTTGCATCCAAAGTTATAAAATCTACAACTTATTAAAGAAACAGAACAAATTTCTTCATGTTTCTTGATTTCACTTTCATTTTCAGTAACTTTGCACCCAGATTTTTTAAACCTGCAGGGATATTTTATGTTGGTTGTGAAGTTTTCCATGAAGAAGTTTCTCGAATTGGTCCATTCTCCATCGCATGTAGGACATACACTTACTTTTCCACGACATATGATGCAAATGCTATGTCCACGATTGCACTGGTATATTGGAGGTCTCATTGTGCTCATGCACACGGGACATTCCAATAATCTCAGCATATTCTCATCTATTCCGTTAGGATTTAAATTAAATTCGTTCGAAATCATATTTTTTGGGTCTGCAAGATGTTTTAGTGAGTCGATGTCTACCACAGTCGCGTTGGGGTTTTTATCCAGGTTTTGTTCATCATAAAAACCATTCAGTTTGGTTAGAGTACCTAGGGTCTTTAACACTGAATGATTTGGTGTTTGAATACTTTTGTGCACCACTGAATATTCCAAATTTTCTTCGGATTTATCAAGTGGACTTAAAGCATAATAAAATTTATTATCGACAACTGAAGTCTTCAAAAGGCAGTTTTGGTAATCGCCAGATAACATCTTCACTTGGAAAGGTTCTGACAAGGACGTTTCAACTTTAAAAATATTGTTTCCACTTTTAATAACGCGATCTTGATGATTTTGTAATATATGTCCACCAAATTCGCAGTTGGTTCCCCTCCAATCGCATCCTTCAAAATTTTTCATCGGGCACCGTTTAGTTTTAAATTTGCATTTATCAATGTGATTGGAATAATTGTTTGACTTCACCCTCTCCTGGCAGCCCTTGGATTTAAACTTGCACGGTAACATTAGCTTGGCTATGATCAAGATGAGCGCTGTGTTTAGTTCAGCCTTCGATTTCATTTCCTCCGCACACTTTTCTTCCAAACATTTTCCACACACGTTTCCTTTACCTTTGACCAGGAAAATATCGGACGTGCAAAGATCATCGCAAATCTTGCAGTGGAATATTTTCTCTTTGAAAAGATCGTCAGTAAACTGATTCATCGTTTCGTTGGCCATCTTGCCTTAAAATAAAATTAATTATAGATAATTACATATATATATATATATATATATATATATATACAGTGTGTCCCGCTTTTCATAAATCCACCCTTATATCTCAGTTATCATAAATGCGATTTTCTTCAAATTTGGGTGATGATTGTATGTTGGAGAAATGAAATATATGCCATGGTAAAATTTTGTATTTATCATTGGCGTAATTAATTTATTAAGACATCACGCTGACCAGTGCACATTAAATCAAAGAGTTCTTTGAAACCCAAGTTTTTGTTTGACATTTGGCAATTCGTACGAATTGTCAAAAGTTAAACAGTGTCATTTATCAATGCATTAATAAAATGGCACAAAATCAGAGAGTAGTTCTTACAATTGAAGAAAAAGTTGAAATTATCCGCTTAATTGGTGATAATCAAAGATCTACGCGTCAGGTTGCTCGAATATTTAATCAGCGTCATCATCGCATCTTAGCAGAATTTCGGAACAATCCAAATGGTAGTATAAGGGCAGTTGCGAGGACACTAAATTTAACCAAAAATAAAATATGGAGGAGTTTAAAGCGCAATAGGATTAAGGCATTTCTATATACTTTCTATACATTTCTACATACTCTCTTAGATGGTGATTTTGAACGACGGTTTGAATTTTGCTTATGGTTGCAAGGAAACTATCTTAACGATAGATATTTTTTTTAAAACATAATGTTTACTGACAAGGTAACATTTACCACAAACGGTGTGGTGTCTAGTCAAAAGTGTAGATATTGGGCATCCGAAAATCCCAACTTTGTAATTAATTGTAAAAACCAATACAGTCAAGAAGTTAACGTTTGGTGTGGCATATTAAACGAACGAATTGTTGGCCCCTTTTTTCTGGATAACCTCAACGGAGAAAATTTTCTACATTTTTTAGAAAATGATTTTCATGATTTTTTAATGGAATTGCCTTTAGCACAGAGAAAATTTATACTTTCAATTCGATGGTGCCCCCGCACATAATTCCCTGAGAGTGAGAAATTTTTTAAATGAAAATTTTCCTATGAAGTGGATAGGTAGAAATAGCCCTTTAGAACCATGGCCCCCTAGATCGCCTGATATTACCCCTTGTGATTTTTTTCTATGGGGATACTTGAAAAATAAAGTGTATTTTACTCGGCCGCGTAACAGAGAACAACTTTGCGTCAGAATTAGGCAAGCGTGTCAAGAAATTACTCCCCAAACTTTAAGAAAAGTGAGTGAACGGTTAAGAAAAGTTGTTGAAAAGGGTATTGTTTTGGAAGGTGGTTGAAGAGACCAGAATTTAAAAAAATATTAATTTTTAGGTTTGTTATTGCAATTAAATAAACAAGTTGTAAAAAATTAAAGTGTCTTGATAAATTAATTAATTTTTCGTTTCTGCCATAATCAGTTTTTCAGATTTTAGGAATATGGATTAAGGGGTTTTTGGGGATGATGAATCTAAATATGATTGAAAAATTTATCTAAAATAAGCCCTAATATCCTTTTGCGGAAAAATCGACCCCCTTTTACCCCCTAACACCGTACGCCAATGATAAAGAAAAAAATTTACTATAGCAAATATTTCATTTCTCCAACATACAATCAGCACCCAAATTTGCAAATTTGAAGAAAATCGCATTATTAATAACTTAGAAATAAGGGTGGATTTATGAAAAGCGGGACACACAAATAAATAGGTAGTTTTTTCACAAAAGAGATTAAGGCAGAAGTTTACTCGACAAATTTGTGTTTAACGTTGCAAGGAAAAATTTAACAAACTTTTTTAGTACTCGATTTCGATTGATTATTCCTTATATCATTTATTAAGAAACTCAACCCTTAAATGCTTATATAGTTACGTTAGTGTGTGTATTTTATCTACGGGATCATGGTAAATTATTGTGTTATTAATAATTAACAATTATTGTAAATAAAATTCAAGAACTAAATCGTTGCATTTTTTAAAAGTACATTTGTTGGTGCAGAATTAACTAATGATAACTTTACCTAATATAATTTATATTTAAGTTTGGACATTTTTAAGAATTTAGTAAAAAATAATTTTTGCACAAACATAACCTTAAAATCAACCATTTTTATGTTTGAGTTCTCTAATAAACGCCGACAACTGCATTTTAAACAACAAAATATACCTACGAATCATGGCAACATAATATTATATATAAAACATAAAATAATGGTATTTTACCATTGAGTGGAGACTTTAATAATCAACGCTTTTAATAATGTTAAATGCTGTTTAAATTTAGACGACTTATTTGTTTGACGATTTTTACTAAATTGAAATGTTTACACTTTTCACGTTAATCACTACTAAAATGTGTATTTATTGCATCTAATAGGTACAATTTATATTTACAGAGACTGTATGCAATTTATTTCCTCATTCAGATTAACAATGTTTATTGGAAAACCGGTAAAAACTCAACCCAGGATTTCCTCTCGAAATACACCCAACAACACAACAAATCGAGCCACGGTTTTTTTCCGATATTTTTTAACATTTTCCGGCTTTATTCTCAAAAACACTCGTTTGTAACATAAGCGTTTGACAGCTGATTATCAAAAGTTGTACTTTTGTTACGATGATAACAGCCGAGTGGTGGCGCTACTAGCGATACTTCTTTAGCGTATTATCTAACAAGTTTTTAACCGATCTAACCTCACTTTCTCTCAATTTATTCCAAACTTGTTACAGAATCTACTATTATTTATCTACTAAATCCGTTATAACAAATCTAAAAGCTGCAAATGCGTATGAAATATGTTGTTACCCATTTTGCAAATTTGGAATGAAATAATTTTGACCACACCTTTAACGACTTCAACAGGTGCTCGAATATTTGATTTTCTTGTTTAAAAACTATACTAAATAGTACTTATTGCTATACGTTTAGGAATGATTACTAAACAACCAAGAAAATTTGATATTTTAGGTGCAAGCTCTTGTGTTTACAAATGATTCCTAAAGAGTTTGAAAGGCTTACCTGAATAATAACTAAACACCGTAGACAAATGCTAAACACTTTCAAAAAATCAAAATATAAGAAATAAATGTTCGATGCTACAAAAACAACATACACGAAATGAAAAACAAAGTTTGTTAAACAAACGCGTTCAAGTAGGCGGTGATGATCAGTGTTGCCAGATGTAAAAAGTGAAATTATCAAACAGGGTTGACAAAATTATTATGTTCCAGAAATGCTACAATACTTAATTATAATAATAATGTTACAATAATTATAAAAAATATTATACTTTATAAAATATGTAAAAAGAGAAGAGCAGAGTTGAAAGAATTTCGAATTTTTATAAAATAATGTTAAAATTATAAAATATTAAAAAAAATAGGTCATTAAATAAATTTGAAGGTTGTACTTATACAATTTTTTCCGTTCAAAAATTAGCTAGTTTGTAAACTAACCAACTAATTCTCTGGCTATTGTCCATTTTAGTTGGGTTTTTTGCTCAATGGGGCGGGGGGGGCCCAATGGGGCGGGGTCGGTTGGGTTGTGTTGTTGAGTTTTCTAACAAGGAAGCGTTAAAATTTTGCCTATGATTCATTTTAAAAACGTTAAAATGCATAAAACAAATCCGGTTAAGCCGGCAAAACGAAAAACAATGCCGTAACCTCACTTTTTTAATAAATTAGCCAGAGAATTGGTTGGTTAGTTTACAAACTAGCTAAAGCTTGGCTATTTTGTGTTACTAGAAATTTTGGTTTTCATATTAGCCAAAATGAATTTGATAGTATACAAACTATCCAGCTATTTCCCTAATAATTTCAAGTAAATTAGCCAAGATCCTTGGTTATTTTGTAAACTAGCCGCTAATTTAGTTGAAAATACATAGTTTGTAAACTATCCAGCTAGTTTATAAACTATCCAAGTTTGCACATTAGCCGTAACATATACATATACATATATTAGAGCACACCCCACATTGTAGATTATAAAAAAAGTTCTTTTAGGGTAAAAGTTAAATAAGAAAATATTGTGAATGTATGATTAAATTTTTATTTAAGTTTAACAAGTATAAATAAATTTATGTTGGTGCTATTAAACATTTTGTGTATTTATATGACTTAAATTTGTTTAATAATTAAATAATTATCTACTTTTTTGAAGGAAATATTAAACTTTTTAAAATCATCAACATGGCATTTCACATTCCCTTTTATTTTAAACATTCGACCTATTGGCTGCTCTTTTAAACAAGATGATGTCATTGGTTTACTTCTGATAAGATCTTTGCTCACAAAAGTAATTTCATAATAATACTCATTGGAGTCTCCATTAGAGCAAATCAATTCAACAGCAAAATAAACATATGAATCTTCAGTATGATACGATATTCTAAATAGTTTTGAATCAAATACCTTATACCCATGACATTTTGAATACTTTTTAATGACATTAGAACTGGATATTAGGCATTCGCTATGTTTGTCTTGCACATGTTTTGATATATCATTTGTGTGTACAAATTCTGGGCAAATTGGGCATTTGCATTTGTTAAACGTGCAGGATTCTTCATGTTTCTTGATTTCACTTTCAACCCCCAACTCTTTGCATCCAAAGTTATAAAATCTACAACTTATTAAAGAAACAGAACAAATTTCTTCATGTTTCTTGATTTCACTTTCATTTTCAGTAACTTTGCACCCAGATTTTTTAAACCTGCAGGGATATTTTATGTTGGTTGTAAAATTCTCCATAAAGAAGTTTCTGGAATTGGTCCATTCTCCATCGCATGTAGGACATGCACTTACTTTTCCACGACATATGATGCAAATGCTATGTCCACGATTGCACTGATATATCGGAGGTCTCATGACGCTCATACATACGGGACATTCCAACAATTTCAGTATATCCTCATCTATCCCTTTGGGATTTAAATTAAATTCGTTCGAAATCATATTGTTTTCATCTCCAAGATGTTTCAGTGAGTCGATGTCTACCACAGTCGCGTTAGGGTTTATATTCAGGTTTTGTTCATCATAAAAACCATTCAGTTTGGTTAGAGTACCTAGGGTCTTTAACACTGAATGATTTGGTGTTTGAATACTTTTGTGCACCACTGAATATTCCAAATTTTCTTCGGATTTTTCAAGTGGACTTAGAGCATAATAAAATTTATTATCGACAACTGAAGTCTTCAAAAGGCAGTTTTGGTAATCGCCAGAAAACATCTTCACGTTGAAAGGTTCTGACAAGGACGTTTCAACTTTAAAAATATTGTTTCCACTTTTAATAACTCGATCTTGATGATGTTGTAATATATGTTCACCAAATTCGCAGTTGATTCCACTCCAATCGCATCCTTCAACATTTTTCATCGGGCACCGTTTAGTTTTAAATTTGCATTTATCAACGTGATTGGAATAATTTTTTGACTCCACCCTCTCCTTGCAGCCCTTGGATTTAAACTTGCACGGTAACATTAGCTTGGCTATGATCAAGATGAGCGCTGTGTTTAGTTCAGCCCTGGATTTCATTTCCTCCCCACACTTTTCTTCAAAACATTTTCCACACACGTTTCCTGTACCTTTGACCAGGAAAATATCGGACGTGCAAAGCTCATCGCAAATCTTGCAGTGGAATATTTTCTCTGTTAAAAGATCATCAGTAAACTGATTCATTGTTTCATATGCCATCTCACCTAAAAATAAAATTATAAATAATTAGGTATATCGATGGTTATTTGACAAAACATCGTAAGCGACAATTTTGTTGAATTACTTTATATTTTATCAAAGTGTCAGTTACGATAAGCTGCACATGTTAACATAATAGTTATCCCAATTTTGGAATCTAATATTGGCCTGTTTGAATATTTTTATTATTGTAAGCGCCTCTTCTTTTTAATTTGTTACCGATTTATAACGTAAGCGCCTATATGTTCCCGACAAACAATCGTAAGCAACTCCGAGACATGGCGTTTGCGATTTGACATTGTGTCGCTTACGATAATATTGTGCTCCCGCCTTGATCTATCAAGGCGTTATTCCCGCTCTAAACAGTTTATTCGTGAGTATACCTGCATCGTGGTGATTGCTACCAAGTTTTTTTTTTTTTTATTTAATCAAAAGCTTATAATTCCTTTTTTTTCATTGCATTATTAATAGTTATCCTAATTATAACTGGTTTTGCGTATTGTGGTTCGTTCAAAGTGTTTTTTTTGTAGTAATTGTATGTTGTTATAGCGTCATGGGTTAGATCATGGAGCCTACACAAAGAGTCCGAACATCATGCAAACAAGAATCTTCCTAAGATAAGAGTTGCTGGTGTTCCGTTTATTCTGAAACAACCCAGCTAACATTGCTTGAGTTCAAACAAAACTCAAACCTTGATTTATCAAGTTTTGATGTTGTCTTGAGCACACATTGATTTAAATTTTTGAGGTTAAATCAATGCTTGAGCTCGCATTGATTTTAATTTTTGAGGTTAAATCAATGCTTGAGCTTACATTGATTTTACCTCAAGAGTTGAAATCAATGTGAGCTCAAGTTTTGAGTTAACCTCAAAAAGTCGGTCCAAGGTTTGTAGTCATAATTTATAAATTTATATACATATATATATGTATAGGATGGATAAAAAAAACCTTATGGGTATACTTCTGTTAGTATTGTAAATCCATATCAAATAATGGCAGGCTTTTGCAATGGTTTAAAATATAATTTTAATAATAATAATTATTAAAAATATAATAATTGAACCAACAAGGATTCAATTTTTAAATAATATAATATTTATTAAAAATATAATTTTAATAATAATAAATATTAATATTAATATTATATTTTTAAACAATTACAAAGCCCGCCATTAATTGCAATTGCAAGCTTTCGCGAATCGCGGGCTACTTTACCGGCTTTATTCAGAGATTTTTTTCGTGCATCAATACGCAAATTATTCTTGTGTCGTGAAAGTTAATATTAAAAATAAATTGGTAAGTAAACTTAAAATCCGTTAGTAATTACTGTTTTCTTAAGGAAAACATTGTAAATAAATACAACAAAATCAGGAGAAAGTGAGGTTATAATAAAGTTTGTTATTAATGAAATTTACATAATTGGAGTAGATAAAGCATAGTATTACACTCGAGATAATGCGCATTATTAACTCGTGGGTAATAGGCTGCATTATCTCTTGTATAATAATATACGATTATTTTTAATTTCCTTTATTTGTTTTTAGGTCATCTGCTTAAACTGTAGAGGAAAGCAGAATACTTCAAGAGCTTGCTGAAGTTCTGCTTAATCAAAGGTAAATATATACTATAAATACTGTTGAAAATGCAGGTATTCTAAAACTTAACCTGAATTATTTCTCTTAGGGAAATTCTTCAAAGCTTTGTCAAACAGAATTGATGCTTTGTATGAGGGGACCAGTTTTGACGCAAAAATTTCCAGCATCCAACAGTTGAAGGGATTTCCATTGAAAAATTGGGCAGAATTTAACCAGTTCAAGTCCAGTGAAACACTTAATGAAAGAAAAAGTCTGGTGGGTTGAAATATCGTCAACCTAATATAACAAGGTTGTATGTTAAAAAAAACGAAAAATTTAAGTCTATGTGTCTACAGGATTATACGTGGCCTACGCTTCACATACCACTTAAAAATAATTCTATAGAATGTATATTGTATGTATACATATATATATATATAGAGTTATTTTCAAGTTGTATCTCAAGGGTGGATTACATAAAACCTTGTAGAAGCATAAACTCAAATTTTTCGGTTTTTTAACATACAACCTTGTTATATTAGGGTGACGATATGTTGAATGTGTGCCAGTGTTTATATTAAAGATAAAATTTTATTGCAGTTCATTTACCTAAAAATCTTGGTGCCAAAAGTGTTTGCAAATATGGCTCTTAAAGAATCAATAACTCATATTTTGACAATAGAGTTCACCTTTCTGGGAAATAATAATAAAAGGGCCTTCATTGATACAAATTACAGCTCTTAAAGAAGCGATAACTGATATTTTGACAATGGAGTTCACCTTTCTGGGAAATAATAATAAAAGGATACAAAATTATATCACGTAATCTATTGTAAGTCAATGTTTTCATTAAGTTTTAGTTTTCATTGGCAATTTCTTCTGTCTACAGTTGCTGTACAGGGTCTTGTTTTGAAGGCCCCACATCAAATAAAGAGTTCTTGCCACACATTCAAGAAGCATTAGGAATCAACAGACAACGTGAGGCAAACAAATTAAAAAAACAGCAGAAAACACCAGAAAGTGAAGCAACAAATGATAATCCTCAAAACTATAGTTTTGTATACAGAGTCAATAAGGATACTGTTGAAAAGGAGCAAATTTAAAAATTGTTTTTTTGTATATTTTAATATTTTGTTTATAAATTTTGGTTGTGTTTTAATTGCCTATTTTATTTTATGCAAGAAAACCTAAATAACTATATATAATTATGGGTTTTGAAAGGCAAAACGACTGTTTATTTGATGCAAACATATCCAAATTTAAAAAAATTATCAATTTAAATGCTAACATTTAAGTTGGTAATTATTTAGATATGTTTGCATCAAATAAACAGTATTTTTGCCTTTCAAAACCCATAACTTGATTTTTTCAAATATTTGAATTAATCCGCCAAAAGTAGGCAGCGCATGCGCGCATCCGATTCGAATTTAATCGAAAATCAAGGTTTGATATCACATTGAGCCCAAATGAGGAACCAACTTGATATGTTTTTGATCTCAAAGCTTGAGGCGTAAAAATCAAGTATTGAGCTCGCGTTGATATCAACTTGAAGACCACTTTGTTAGCTGGGAACATAACCTTAAAATCAACCAATTTTATATTTGAGTTCTCTAAAAAACGCCGACAACTGCACAAAATATACCTACAAATTCATGGCAACATAATATTACATATAAAACATAAAATAATGGTATTTTACCATTGAGTGGAGACTTTAATAATCAACGCTTTTAATAATGCTAAATGCTGTTTAAATTTAGACGACTTATTTGTTTGACGATTTTTACTGAATTGAAATGTTTACACTTTTCACATTAATCACTACAAAATGTGTATTTATTGTATCTAATAGGTACAATTTATATTTACAGAGACTGTATGCAATTTATTTCCTCATTCAGATTAACACTGTTTATTGGAAAACCGGTAAAAACTCAACCCAGGATTTCCTCTCGAAATACACCCAACAACACAACAAATCGAGCCACGGTTTTTTTCCCGATATTCTTTAACATTTTCCGGCTTTATTTTCAAAAATACTCGTTTGTAACATAAGCTTTTAACAGCTGATTATTTAAAGTTGTACTTTTGTTACGATGACAACAGCCGAGTGGTGGCGCTACTAGCGATACTTCTTTAGCGTATTATCTAACAAGTTTTTAACCGATCTAACCTCACTTTCTCTCAATTTATTCCAAACTTGTTACAGAATCTACTATTATTTATCTACTAAATCCGTTATAACAAATCTAAAAACTGCAAATGCGTATGAAATATGTTGTTACCCATTTCGCAAATTTGGAATGAAATAATTTTGACCACACCTTTAACGACTTCAACAGGTGCTGGAATATTTGATATTCTTGTTTAAAAACTATACTAAATACCTAGTACTTATTGCTATACGTTTAGGAATGATTACTAAACAACCAAGAAAATTTGATATTTTAGGTGCAAGCTCTTGTGTTTACAAATGATTCCTAAAAAGTTTGAAAGGCTTACCTGAATAACAACTAAACACCGTAGACAAATGCTAAACACTTTCAACAAATCAAAATATAAGAAATAAATGTTCGATGCTACAAAAACAACATACACGAAATGAAAAACAAAGTTTGTTGTTAAACAAATGCGTTCAAGTAGGCGGTGATGATCAGTGTTGCCAGATGTAAAAAGCAGGGACCCGGACCGGACCGTTTTTGGACAGAAAACCGGACCGAAACCGGTATATATTTGTGGACCGGAACCGTAACCGAACCCATATTATTTTTAAATGCAAGCCTAGAGACCGAACCGGAACCCTTTAAATTTAAAACGGTTTTTTAGGTTATTTTCGGTTTTTTTCTTAAATTCTTTTTGCAAAAATTAAAAAAAAAAAAAATTTTAACCAAATAATTTTTGATTATTTTGGCAACAATGCAAAACAACTATGACTAACACATGTCAATGACATGTTAGTGAAATTGCCTACAGATGCAGCATCGAAGTATGTGAAAAATTTCCATACAAGTAATTAAAAGACGCGCCATTTTGTAAGAAATGAACGACCATCTTTTATATGTGCTTCTTTGGGGTTTTCTAAGCCATTCTCTATGTTCAAACTTGGTTAAAATGGGGCGAAAAACAACTAACCCAGCCCATCAAAAAGAAGAACAAAAGCTCTGTTTAGTTTTTTTATTTTTATATAACTTATATTAATTATAAATTTTCTAGTTTCTCAATCACAAGATCAGAAGAAAAAAATAAAGAAAGCCAGCCGATCGATAATAAAAATAAAGAAGAGAATGAAGACCCTAAAATTAGAGAACCTCATTTAAAAAATAAGAAGAGACAATTAATACTTTATTTAATTACTTGCCGAAAAAAAAAAAAAAAAAATTAAGAAACTTTTCATTTTATAATTTAAGTACTTATTTAAACCTAGTAAAAAAAATTGGAACCGAAAAAAACCGTATGGACCGAAAAGATTGGTCCGGACCGGACAGAAATATTTTTTTTGGAACCGTAACTGAACCTGAACCGAAATTTGTCGTTTCTCTCGGAACCGGAACCGGACCGGAACCGTTATTTCATTTGGGTCCGGGTCCCTGGTAAAAAGTGAAATTATCAAACAGGGTTGACAGTTCCAGAAATTATGCTACAATAATTAATTATAATAATAATGTTACAAAAATTATAAAAAATATTATAATTTATAAAATATGTAAAAAGAGAAGAGCAGGTTTGAAAGAATATCGGATTTTTATAAAATTATGTTAAAATTATAAAATATTAAAAAAAATAGGTCAACTAAATAAATTTGAAGGTTGTAATTATACAATTTTTTCCGTTCAAAAATTGTTCTTAAATTTATTTTCAAAAAATTTGGCTGTATAAAAAAGCCATCGGCGCGAATGTCAAAATTATGTTACAATTCGATAATTATGTTACATCTGGCAACACTGGTGATGGCCTTGAAATATTTTTGGTAAGGCAATCCAGTATACAATTTAATGTGTTTGTATTGCATATTTAGAGAATTTAATCTACAAATACAAATACGATATATATCGTTTAAAAACCTTTTTTAATCAATTAAGTTGTTTTTTATTATTTGAATTCATCTTGCATTTTTTAAATAGGTAAATGTGTATTAAATAAAACGGCCATGGTGTTGATTTGAAAAGCAAAATTTTTCAAAGGCCTTTATTAATGTCAAAAATTATGTCACAAACAAATCAATGCAGTGATGCCTAACAACGTGAATAATGAATTCATTATTGCCATTGCAGGAAAAAAAACTAATGTCATTTTTGAAGCATTTGGATTTAATAATTTTATAATATTTTTACGGCTAAATTAAATGTTTTTGCAAAAAAAGGACCAAAAGGCCAAAACCATATTTAATTTGATTAATAAAAGAAAGTTTGATAAAAGACATAAAATGTGAAGAAAAATACAGTGAAAAAAATCTACTGTGGTGTTACACCTTTAATCTATAAATATAGTATATTATGTATCAAGTTTGATAAACGCCATTTTATACACGAATTTAATTTAGGCACGAGCGAGCTTGCGAGCGAGTGCTTAAGTTAATGAGTTTATAGAAAAGTTTATAAACGAGGTGCATATTATACTTTTTCTACGACAAATACTTATTATTAATATGGTAAATTTTTATAGAGCGCCATCTATGAAACAATAGGGGAATCTGTGTGTCATCGTCAAATGTCAAATTTTTACATTTTATAAACACAATTATAAAGGTTATAAATTGAAATGTATTTCTTGAAAATTGACAGTTTTTCACAGTAAAAGGAAAGAAAATGTTTTATGAGCACTTTACAGTGGAGTCCTTGCCCGAATTTAAGTTATACTGCCGGCGAAATTAAAAGGTCAGTACAATGTTCATATAAACTTTTCAAATATTGGCGTTGAGAAACTATTTAATGCTTTTGTATTTTAATAATAAAATAATTTTCACATTTAGTATTATTTTACAAGAAAGGCACTTTATTTTAACGATTGTATGACTTTTGACAACTGTCAACTAACTTCAGCCCGTGACTAAAGCGCCGTAAAGCCACAACTTGTCAATGTGTATTTAAAAGGTCATGAAAACATGTACGATAATGGTCGTTTTAAATGTGGGAGTAGAAAAAAAACTTTTCTTAGGATTCTTCGTAAAAAATATTTTATTCCAATTTTTATTATTTAAAATATTTTTTAATTATATTTTTTATTGTAATTAAAAAATTTAAATACAATTTTTTTAAATTGTTTTCTTTACCTGTATTTGTAAATTTTTCAAGTCTAATGTTTTCCCAAAAAAAACATAAAAACTTTGTCATCGTTTCTCCATTCCCAAAATTAACCTAACCTAACCTAACTTAACTTTAAGTGCTTTTGCATATTATTGGGCACAATTTGATCATTTATTGTTGGCCATTGCGTTTGCGCAAAAATCCCTATAGGGATATTAAGTCCTATATTGTACATTTATTGGCATAACTTTTCCAAAGATGAAAAGGCAATTCTTGGCCAAGTTTTAACCTGATATGGCTCTCTGGGATTTTTCTTAAAGGTAAAAGTTAAATAAAAAAATATTGTGCATGTATTAATTTTATTTAACTTATACAATTTGCATTGAATTAGATCCCCCTCTGATGTTAACAGCAAAATAATCAAAAAGTCCAACAAACCTTCCCACTTTCCCGTTAAGTTTAAACCCTGGAACTAGAGGCTCCTCTTTTAAACAATTTGATCCACTTGTTTCCACACTTTTGTAATGTTCATTTTGAAAATCAACTTCGTAAAAATACTCACTGGGGTCTTCATTAGGGCAAATCAATTCAGCAGCAAAATATACATATACATCTTCAGTATGATACGATATTCTGAATAATCTTGAATCATACACTTTATACCCATGACATTTTGAATAATTTTGGACCTTATAACGTTCGTTCTTTAGTATGCAGTCTCCATGTTTGTCTTCCACATGTTTTGATATATCAGTTGTGTTTACAAATTCTGGGCAAATCGGGCATTTGTGCTTGTTAACCGTACAGGATTCTTCATGTGTCTTGATTTCACCTTCAACTCCAGTGACTTTGCACCCAGATATTTTAAACTTGCAGGGATATTTCACGTTGCTTGTAAATGATTCCAAACCGTAGTTTCTAACATTACTTAATGCTTCCCTGCATGTAGGGCATACCTTTACATTTTCACGACATTTGTTGCAAATGCTATGTCCACTATTGCACTGATATATCGGAGGTCTCATTACGCTCATGCATACGGGACATTCCAATAATTTCAGCACATTCTCATCTAGTCCATTGAGATTCAAATTAAATTCGTTGGAGATCATATTATCTTCATCTGCAAGATGTTTCAACAGGTTGATGTCTACCACAGTCGCGTTGGAGTTTTTATCCAGGTTTTCTTCATCATACAAACCATTCAGTTTGGTTACAGTACCTACAGTTTTTAACACTGAATCGTTTGAGTGTTTGGATACTTTTGTGGATGTGAATGTTTGAATACGTTTGTGCACCACTGTATATTCCATATTTTCTTCAGATTTTCCAAGTGGAGTTAAGGAGTAATACAATTTATCACCAACAACTAAAGTCCTCAAAAGGCAGTTTTGATAATCATCGGATAATAACTTTACGTTGAAAGTTTCCGCCAAAGATGTTTCAACGTTAAAAATATTGTTTTCACTTTTGATCACCTGATCTTGATGATTTTTTAAAATATGACCGCTAAACTCGGAAATGCTCCCACTCCAATCACAACCTTCAAGACTTTTCATCGGGCACGGATTCATTTTAAAATAGCAACCTTCAACGTGCTGGGAATAACTTTTGGAGTCCACCCTTTCATCGCAGCCCTTGGACTTAAACTTGCACGGTAACATTAGCTTGGCTATGATCAAGATGAGCGCTGTGTTTAGTTCAGCCCTTGATTTCATTTCCTCTCCACACTTTTCTTCAAAACATTTTCCACACACGTTTCCTGTACCTTTGACCAGGAAAATATCGGACGTGCAAAGATCATCGCAAATCTTGCAGTGGAATATTTTCTCTCTAAAAATATCGTCAGTAAACTGATTCATCGTTTCATTGGCCATCTTGCCTGAAAATAAAATTAATTATAGTAAGCGCGCGCCATCTGGTGGACTTCAATAGCATTGCGTGAATTTAAGAGTTGTCAACAATACATTTGAAGCATACGAACTGTACATCATTTTTAAATAAATTGGTAGTTTTTTCACAAAAGAGAGGAAGGCACAAGTCTTACTCGACAAATTTTGTTAAATTGCACAGCTTTGTAAATCGCGCACGTTATTTGTGTTTTACGTTGCAAGGAAAAAATTAAAAAACTTTTTTAGTACTCGATTTCGATTGATTATTCCTTATATAACACTGTGCAACACAAAAAATGAACTGGGATCAAATCTGAAAAAATCGAATCTAGGCAACCCCCAAAACAAATCCTTTAAGGGGTTTTACCAGTTTAGCTCGAATAATGGAGATATACATATATATATGTACAGGGTGTTTCTTTTAACTTGAGACAGCTCAATATCTCGAGAAATACGCATTTCACGGAAAAATGTCTTAAATAAAAGGTTAATGTGACTAAAGGGGACATTATTTGGTGCTACCGCTAGCCACCCCCTACCCCTCCTTAAGGGTGAAACGGGGGGTAAGTTTGGAAAGTCAAATGGAATGACCCGATTTTTTTCACAGAGTTTGGTAGTACATAAAAAAATAAATAACTTTTATTTAAAACTTTTTTCAATTTATCAACAGATGGCGCTGTAATTCAAAATTTAAGAAAAATGAGTTTCCTTGTAAAATGTATTATTTGAAACGTTTGAAAAACAAAAATTAACATTGACAACAATAGTCGGCTATGAAAACAATTTATAACAAATGTTGATTTAATGTTAATTTTTGTTTTTCAAACGTTTCAAATAATACATTTTACAAGGAAACCCCTTTTTCTTAAATTTTGAATTACAGCGCCATCTGTTGATAAATTGAAAAAAACTTTCAAATAAAAGTTATTCATTTTTTTATGTACTACCAAACTCTGTGAAAATCGGGTCATTCCATTTGACTTTCCAAAGTTACCCCCCGTTTCACCCTTAAGGAGGGGTAGGGGGTGGCTAGCGGTAGCACCAAATAATGTCCCCTTTGGTCACATTAACCTTTTATTTAAGACATTTTTCCGTGAAATACGTATTTCTCGAGATATTGAGCTGTCTCAAGTTAAAAGAAACACCCTGTATATCTCCATTATTCGAGCTAAACTAGCAAAACCCCTTTAAAGATTAGTTTTGGGGATTGCATAGATTCGATTTTTCCACATTTCATCCCAGTTCAAATTGTAAGGTCAAAATTTGTCGCACAGTGTAATTGATTAAGAAACTCAACGCTTAAATGCTTATATAGTTACGTTAGTGTGTGTATTTTATCTAAGGGATCATGGTGAGTTATTGTGTTTTTAATTGTAAATAAAATTCAAAAACTAAATCTCTGCATTTTCATGAAAATGTACATTTGTTGGTGCAGAATTAACTAATTAACTTTACCTGATATAATTTATATTTAAGTTTGGACATTTTTAAGAAGTAAAAAATAATTTTTGCACAAACATAACCTTAAAATCAACCATTTTTATGTCTTAGTTCTCTAAAAAACGCCGACAACTGCATTTTAAACAACAAAGAATACCTACGAATTCAAGGCAACATAATATTATATATAGGTAATACATAATATAATGGTATTTTACCGTTGAGTGGAGACTTTCTTAATCAACGCTTTTAATAATGCTTAATGCTGATTAAATTTAGACGACTTATTTGTTCGACGATTTTTACTGAATTGAAATGTTTACACTTTTCACAATAATCACTACTAAAATGTGTATTTATTGTATCTAATAGGTTCAATTTATATTTACAGAGACTGTATGCAATTTATTTCCTCATTCAGATTAACACTGTTTATTGGAAAACCGGTAAAAACTCAACCCAGGATTTCCTCTCGAAATACATCCAACAACACAACAAATCGACCCACGGTTTTTTTCCCGATATTCTTTAACATTTTCCGGCTTTATTTTCAAAAATACTCGTTTGTAACATAAGCTTTTAACAGCTGATTATCAAAAGTTGTACTTTTGTTACGATGACAACAGCCGAGTGGTGGCGCTACTAGCGATACTTCTTTAGCGTATAAGAGCATCTAATTTTTCCGAAAAAAAAATTGAAAAAACACGTTGCTAAGTAATATTTTATCCCTTATTTTAACAAAATCCACAAATGCGTAGGTATAAAATATTGACCACATGTGTGTGGTACCTTTATAATAAATTCAACAAGTGCTTGAATTTTTAATTTTATTCTTTAAAAAATACTTATACTTATTTCTCTACTTTTATTTTAACCAAGAATATTCATTAAGGGTTATAGGCTCACTTAAAATAAGAAATAAGATAAAAAGTTGAAACTGAGCCCTATTATCCGAAGTTTTATAAAAAAAATACACACATTTCTTTTGATGGTGCAGTACCTACAGATTATATACAGGACAAGCGCATATTTAAAAAAATTGAAATGTGAGTACAAACTATAGCTATGTATATATAGAAAACAATTCAAAGACTTACCATTCAAGTAATAACTAACACTTCAATAAATCAAAATACAAAAATAAATGTTATTGTCGCAGATCTTAGAGGTTAGGTAGGTATAAAAACAACTTTGTGCACTAAACAAACAGTGCTGCCAATGCCAATATTAAAAATTCCTCAAAAAAATACCGTTCCAATTCTCCAGATATATATCAAGAAAAAAACAAGTCTCAATAAAAATCTATAATAATAATTAATTAAATTTTATTTTGCATCGATATATTTTGAGTATATATATCGGGGCATAGGCAACACAGATGGCGAAACTTTAGATATTATAAAATGACGCCATCTGTTAAGGGATTTGCGATGTTTAAACGCAATGTCTTAGGCAACCCAGTATACATTTTTTATTAAGTATTGTTTGGAAATCTTTTATAACATAAGGTTGAAAATAATTAGAAAACACATTTATGTACAATGTCTTTTAATAATATATAAAAATATGCCAAAATTTGATTAACAAAACTCGGTGAGTTTACCTAATGATAGCGGCTAGCCTTGAAATATTTTTTGCCAGGCAACCAAATATACAATTACATGTGTTTGTATTCTTTAAAAATCATTTTAATCTCTTTGAGAAATCCTTAGGACTATTTAAGTGAAAAATTACCAAATATATTGATTTTAAATCTTGAAATTTGTATTTTATAATTATGTTAATAAAACCATTAAATTCTCAAAAATGCTTTAATAAGATTTATATTAACAAATCAAATCATTTAAATTGTGAATATATTAATTACATTTTTCAATGGAAACCATAAATTTGCCAGCGTCATCATTGCCATTATCATCAAATTTTACACTGTTGGATATTTTTTGCAAAGGTTGAGTTCTTTCATTTAAGCAAACGGAGCTTTGATCACATGATTTTATGTAGGTTACTTTATACTTGTATGGTTTGGCATTTTCTTGAGAACAGACCAACTCGACAGCCCAGTGCATTTTCCCCTCAAAAAAGTAAAACGACAATCGAAATAACTTTAAATCGAACATCATCCATTTAATGGTTTCTTTTGTATTCCTTGAAAATCCTATTGTTGTTTGCTTCGTGTATTTCATGCCCGTGTGTTTATTATTCAAATGTTCCGAAATGCATTCATAGTTTCCAGATTTAGGACAACCCATAGGACATTGATAGACTATAAATGCACATGATACTTCGTGTTTGTTCAGCCGATTTTCAACGTCAATTTTTTTGCATCCAAATTTACTGAACCTACACGGGAACTTGATGTTTGTCAGAAACTGTTCAATCAAGTAGTTCCTTACGTTGCTCCACTTGTTTTTACACGTAGGACACTCGTTCAACTCTTCATGGCACAGCATGCAAACACTATGTCCTTGAGAGCACTGATAAATCGGCGTCCGCATTGTGTTCATGCAGACAGGACATTCCAATAATTTAAGAATGCCTTCGTCGATTATCTTCGGGTTGAGATTAAATTCGTTTAAAATCATATTTTTTTCGTCCGCAAGACCTTTCAGCGAATCAAGATCCACCACAGTCGCGTTGGGGTTCTTATCCAGGTTCATTTCATTATAAATACCGTTCAGTTTGGTAAGAGTACCCACGGTTTTCACGACTGTTTGGTTGGTGGCTTGAACACTCCGTAGTAAAATTTATTATCTTCAACCAAAGTCTCCAAAATACAGTTGTTGCAGTCGTCGGATAATAACTTGACGCTAACAGGTTCTGTCAAAGATGCCTCAACCTTAAATATATTATTATCACTTTTAATAACGTCTTCTTTATGAATCTCTTGAATATGCTCGGCTACTTCCAGATTAATCCCCTTCCATTCGCAACCTTTAAAATTGACCATGGGACAGGGTTTTATTTTAAATTCACATCTTCCAATGTGCTTGGAATATTTCTTGGGCGCCACCCTTTTATCGCAACCTTTGGGTTGAAACTTGCACGGCAACTTTAGCTTGGATATAATCAAGATGAGCGCCGTGTTCAATTCACCCCTCGATTTCATTTCCTCCCCGCACTTTTCTTCAAAACATTTTCCACACACGTTTCCTTTACCTTTGACCAGGAAAATATCGGACGTGCAAAGCTCATCGCAAATCTGGCAGTGGAATATTTTTTCTCTCAAAAGATCGTCAGTAAACCGATTCATCGTTTCGATTGCCATCTCGCCTGAAAATAATTATAAAAAAAAATTTAAAGAGCAACTCGGAACACTTACATTTAGCATTGTTGGCGTCATGCAACGCAATCTTGATATTCTCCTTCTCTTTGGCTTCTGCCTCCGATTGGCTGAAACCCAACCCCAACTGCAACCCCTCTTGCTTGTCTTTTTGTGCGTCAGGCTTTTGGGGCATAGTAAGCTGTTCAAAGTAAAAAAAAAAAAAATTTTTCTCGTGTTTTCAACATTTTTTTAATTATTTTGATAACAGGGTGTATCTGAACTGGAGGAAAAGCTCTCCAGTTCCTTTTAAGTGACCACCAAGGGAGTAATAATAATAATTGAAGGACTTGATAAAAAGGTAAAGTTGAGAACCTGTTCCTTGTGACATTTTTGTAAAGTGTTAGTGTTTTTAAAGAGTTAGAGACTTCACGTCCAACTCGTAGCAGAGCAGCAACAGCAGCCCAACAGATAAGACCTGAAGATGGTACATGAGATTGTACCGAAACGTCGTCAGATATACGGTTTTTTTTAAGAACCAAAAACAGACAACATATTATATTATATAATATTTGGAGGAGAATTTTGAACAACTACTCTAAATTATGAGAATTCGAGTATTCACTTAGCGTGAACGGTTCTCCTTAGAACTTTAAAAACTGGTTTTCATCACCAAATAGTTAACATTACTCCACTAAGATTTCGATACTTTGCTCAATATTACTTTCTTTTACTTTACTTATACGTGGCGAAGACAGAGATTTAAATCTTTCTTGTAGTTCCTTTGTAAGGACGATTGGGTATACAACCCGGATAACCCAACTACATGGTTCCTATGAAAACAATGATTTTGCTCGTTAGTTCAATTGAACTGAATTTACGATTCCGTTTCCCACGGTGGTAGTTTACTACTGGAAAGCGTTTCCGCCAGTTTAGTAAAGGAAATAAACAAAATGTTGCCGATATTTAAAGTTTACCTGTGCGTAACAGCCGTCGCAAACCCTGACATCTATCTCTATGCCGAATTTCGGCAGCGGTATCTTACTCTGAGAGCAGTCGAGACAGAAGACCTGGCCGCAGTGGCGGCAGTTGTACTTGCGGTTGATCAAAGTTAACTGGACGCGGCAACGTTGGCAACTGTCGCCTATCGCCCACTCGGGGGCACAGTCAACCGCGAACATGGCGTCCGATTCGCGTAGCGGCGGGAACTTGTGCCCCTCCGATTTCAGGTTCGACACCAGTTCCTAAGAAATACATGAAAATATGTAGGTTTTGTTTTAATTAGTTAGAACCCTAGACCTAGGGTTAGAACGCTCCAAATATAGTAAATTCAAAAGGAAACGACATACACGTCATCAATCGGTTGTAAATGTGATGCTAAAATCATTGCATCAAGTGAAAGTGGTAGTGCAACTGCATGGCGATAGATGGCGTTTGCATGAATAATACCATAGGGGCCCTAGATTTGGGACCTTAGAATACCAAAATGTCAAAACTCTAACAGCTGTTAAAGGTAACAACGGTCCATTATTATCCCGTTCTACCTCAAAATAGCGTATTAAGGATGATACCAACTATCGACTCCGACTATTTAAATGCTTCGGCATTTTAAATATGGGAAAAACAAAAAAACGATATATAACAAACACAAAAACGACAATGAAAACTTAAACGATATAAAATAACACAAACAACGAACAAAATAAACGAAATTATACAACTGACAGCTTCGAAATTCTAAATGACAACATTGCATTTGCTGCCAACTTAATTTGGTTAAAATCTAAGACAAAGTCTTAGGTTAAAATGCATTGAAATATTTAATAACATTTAGTGTTGGTACCAGTGCGTAAAATTATGACGTCATCGATGACGTGTACGTCGTTTCCTTTTGAATTTACTATAGTAAATTTAAAAGTAAACTACGTACACGTCATCAATCAGCTGATCGGGCACGGTTGTCAATGTGATGCTAAAATCCTTGCATCAACGGAAACTGGTAGTGCAACTACAGGGCGATAGATGGCGTTTACATGAATAATACCAAAATGTCAAAAGTCTGAGTTTTTATAACCTATATGATGCACCGCCAAAAGTATGTTTTTAGCCATTTTTAAAGACATTTTCTGATATAAATCCCAAAAATTTTGCCATCTAAAGTCAGTCTCTGGTATATATATTATTATTTCATGTATCCAACATATATTTTGTTAAATATTCTAATATATAATTAATAATAATCCTATTTACCTCTCTAACAGCTGTTAAAGGTAACAAAGGTCCATTATTATCCCGTTCTGCCTCAAAATAGCGTATTAAGGATGACACCAACTCTTGACTCCGACTATTTAAATGCTTCGGCATTTTAAATATAGGAAACACAAAAAAACGATATATAACAAACACAAAAACGGCAATGAAAACTTAAACGATATAAAATAACACAAACAACAAACAAAAAAAAAGAAATAATACACGAATTAAACGAAATATTCAAAAACACAACTGACAGCTTCGAAATTCTAAAACGTCAAATCCTTTTTTATGTGTCATTTAAATATGAAATATTTGAATGTAAATATGACAACATCTTAATTGTTGCCAACTGATGATGTTTAAAATGCATTCAAATATTCAATTACAGACTTCGATTTAGTCATTTAGTGTTGGTCCCAATGCGTAAAATTTTTGTTTTATTGATGACGTGTACGTAGTTTACTTTTAAATTTACTATATATGAGTACATTAGATGCAAAACTCGGTTTTTGCACATTTTTAAAAAATATATATTTTATCTTATTTATGTTCATAACTGCACTGCCCACAGGATAACTAAGTAAACCAGATGCATAAGTTAATATTTGTAGAATAAAATACATTTATAAACTTACCGCAGCTGCAAAACTGGGTATTTGTCGGATGCAAAACTCGGTATTTGACCAATCACCAATCACGTCGCTAGTATACGCATTAACTGACGGCATAACAATCACCTGATTAATTGTTATTTTTTTGGTATTTGCACTTTTCACTTGCAAAACTTGGTCTTTGAACGAGGAAGATGCAAAACTATGTTTTTAAATATTTTGATTTCAATTATTTACTAAACTACTTAATTTTAAAGGACTTTTTTTTACTTTTTTGAATAAGAAATGATGCAAAAGCACGTCTATACGATTTTTGTATTTTTTTTTTCAAATATGACCTTATGAGCGGTTTTTCGTGTTTTTCTTAAAATCACTTATCCTGCAAATACAGAGTTTTGCATCTAATGTACTCATATGTGGCGTCGCGGCGAACCAGGGACATTAATTTAAAATTAATTAATTCTTTGTCTAAGATACGAAGTTTAATTGTTATTGTGACCCCTTGAAAATGATACGCTACTGATCACCTAACCTAACATTTTAAGTTTTTTATTCGTACGTCGAGAAATATATAAACATTCGCCGCGACGACTATAATATTGTAATCAAAATTGGTCATTTTTAGAAATAATGGAGTCATTTCAACAATAAACATCTAAAAAAGTTGTAATTGAAACATTTTAAATAAAGCAGCTTAGGTTAAGTAAGTCTTTTTAAAGTAAAGTTCTTCTTCTTCTTCTTTGTTTGGTTTGGCCTTTCCCATCCAGGATTTAGCCAGCTTAAATGTGTATACTGCTATAACTGGGGAGGGCGAGTCTAGGAGTTCCTATAGCCACTCCCTTTCTTTTCAATATTAATTATTTTTTCTTCTCGTTTTCATCTGGATTATTTATTTTATTCTTCAAACTTATATGTCCATCAATATCACTTCAGTCTTTATAGTTCATAAAACAATCTTTTATTTTAGCATTTCGGTTCGAGTTTAACAAAACTTATCGGTACACTTATAATTTAAAGTCATTCTTATTTCACTAATACACTAATGTCTCAAACATAAACGAAATCACGATACACGCAGCGGAAGTCATACAAAAAATAGAGGGCAAAAAAAAATAGCGGTTGGCGGTTTGCACATGACTATTCAATCTTTTAATATTTCGACCATCCTTTGTGGGAACTTATTGCATCTTCACAAATCTAATGTACACTTGCTTGCAACAAAATCGCGTACACTTCAGTTGTCGCAAATACTGAGCTGTGTAAAAGTGTCTTTTTTAAAATTTTGACTTTTCAAATTGATGTTTATTTATTTGTCAGTGTCAGTGTCATATTATAATGGCAAAATTAAATGAACGCCAGAAAATTTTAATCCTCTCGAAGTTGGAAGAAGGATGGTCCATCAGGGCAGTTGCGAACCATTACGATGTTAATAAAAGTACCATAATGAGGGTGAAGAAAAGGTGGATGAAGGAAGAAAGCGTATGCAGAAAAGAGGGTTCGGGCCGCTCGAGAAAACCTAATGTCGATCAGGATGAAGCGCTTATTGCCTATTTAAGGGAAAATCCATTTAAAACCGCAAGAGATGCAGTGTTCGAAACTAACTTTCCAGCGTCGTGGTCAACAGCATGCCGGAGAATAGGAAACTTGGATATCAAGAATTGGGCAAGTGCCAAGAAGAGCATCCTAACAGAAGAACAAAAGCAAGCCCGGATCTTGTTTTGCTTAAATTATGCCTTAGATTCTTGGAATAATGTTGTATTTACTGACGAAAAAGTTTTCCAGTCTAGTAATGACGGACATATTCGTGTATATCGACCTGCAAATTCCAGGTTTCATGAAAAATACGTGTCTCCACGGAACAGGTCCGGACGATTCTCAGTTAATGTTTGGGCATGGATAAGCGTGCATGGACCTGGTGTAGCATGGCGTTTGGTTGGTAGACTCAATGGGCAGGTTTACAGGGATATTTTGGAAATTGTTATGCTTCCTTCAGTGGAGCAATTATATCCCAACAACAACTTCATCTACCAACAGGACAACTGCCCTGTCCATACAGCAAGAATAATAACACAATGGTTCGGAGCTAATAATATTGAACTATTACCGTAGCCTTCTTATAGTCCAGATCTATACCCAATTGAAAACGTTTGGGGTTTGCTAGTGAAAAAAATTTATAACCGAAACTTTAGGCCAAGAAATGAAGAATAACTATGGGTGGCTATTGAAGATGGTTGGGAGGAGCTCAGAGAAAACGAAAACTATTTTCGTACACTAATTAATTCTATGCCCACAAGACTCAATCATGTCTTGGAAGCTAATGGAGCCTTAACAAAATATTAGGCCTAGTTTGAGCCATAGAATAAGTTAGAGCAATATATATTTTTAATTTTTATTCATATTTGTGACAACTAGGTTACTTAATATTAAAAATGTACGCGATTTTGTTGCTGTTAGTTTATAACCTCGTTTATAACCTATTTAAAATAAAAAGTCAAAATAACATGTATAAAGAAAATGTCACTTAGTTTATAACCTATTTGAAATAAAAAGTCAAAATTTAAAAAAATACACATTTACACAGCACAATATTTGTAACAACTAGGTTATTTGTTTTTTGAAGTGTACGCTATTTTGTTGCAAGCAAGTGTAGATTTTGGAGTTTTGGCACTGATCAGCTTAATTTTGTGCTGTGAGCCCCATATTGTCCTCCCAAGGACTCTTGTCGCTTCAGCGGACAACACAGAACTGTAAAGTAAAGTTAATTTTTTTTTATCTGGACTCGTGTTTTTTTATTAAGTTGGTAATTTATAAATTTTCATTTTTGTATATTTAGTATTGATACATCTGTTTACGGTTGTCATTAAATACTTTGACAGTTATTGTCATTAAAAATTTAAACAAAGCAAAATATCAAATTTCAATGTATTTATGTGATTTAAAAAACGTCTTTGTACAAATAATTATTCTAGGTACATGACAATAACAAAATACTATTTTGGTTAAAAACCTATTAAAAGGTAAATATATTTTTAAATTCTTTAACACAAACATAAATTTAGTTTTGAAATTTTATAGCTGTCAATATGAAAGAGATAATTGCCAACCAAACCCCTAAATTTGCAACGTTGCCGCAGTCCAAATAAAAAAAAGAACTAAAGTTAAGTGAATTACAAGTTTACTATTTTGATCTGTGACCAAAAGTGAGGTTAAAACCGCTTAGTTGTCTAATAAAATTTACCTAAAATTCTGAAAAAACATTAGTTTGCGCACAATCCACAGAACAAGGTCTGCTCTATCTCGCTAAAAATCACGAAGTTAGGCAACCCACCGCAAAGACTCTAACGGCGGCCATTTTTATGTTCTTTACAATTTTTGTGCTGTTTATACTGATTAAAAATCGTGTTTCTTACAGAGGCACTTGTAAGCCTCAAATGAAGCCTTATAGTGCCAAGAACAACCATTTTACTCCTTTTTGGTAAAAAATAAACCTTATTCCATCAGGGCTGTCATCAAACTGTCAAATGTCAATTTTAAGGATATAACCCAAAGATAATAAGCCACAAATTAACCTTAAAATTGAAATTTGACAGTTTGGTGACGGACCTTGTTGTGTGGATTGTGTCAAAGATATTATCTTTGGATTGTGTTACCTTGATTAGGTAACTCCCTTATTTCATATAAACCAATTTATTAGATAGAGGTATCTAAAGTAAATATTTACCTTCAAATGACCATGTTGGGAATTTTTTCTCAAAGCAAAAGCGCAGGCCTGAATAAGCTCCAACAATTTTTCCTTTACTTTTGAATGAGGCGTAGTTCTCGCCAACTCATAGAGAAATTGGCAGTTCATCTTTGTTGTCAACTCTTTACAAACAGTAAAACCTTCAAAATGATCACAAATGTTAATTTTTATTTACTATAATTTGACATGTAATTTACCGCAGTTTTTAATAATACCCTCTAAAACAATCAAAGCATACAAAGCTGTGCAGGGGTTCTCAGATTTTAGCTTCTCCTTAATCAAAACAAAAACAGTTCTAGGCCTATAAAAACAATTTATCAACCTGTGAACTTTAAACTCCACTTAAACTTACTCTACGTCGTTTTGGCTAATTAAATCGCATATATGCATAATTGTGACCCAGTCTGATTCCAGTAAAAGATGACTTGTTGCTTTGTCTAAAAAATACACATTTTAGTAAAAAAAAATTTAAAATAAGCCAAAACTCACCAATAAGCACACCTAAGACGGAGCCGCGAAACATTTTTCTTTTTCTTGTTGAAAATCAACTGCAATAAAATACTTATAACAACCAAAATCTCCAGATTATCAAAACGAAATAATACTTGCTATCAAAGAACTATCATAGAAAAAGGATATTGCTATCAAAACAGCTGATTTTGGGCGGTATTTTATCAACCTGTGATATGCAACCAGTAGAGGTGTGTAGTTCGCGAACGAACTAGTTCAAAAGATCGAATTTCGTAACTGAACTAAAAGATTCAATCACCAAAACTAAAAAGAGCGAATCAATTCGAACTAAACTAAAAATCCGTAGATATATTTCATTATATCCGTATTTACTAATGGATTTTTTTTCACGAAAATTCGTAATTGTTCCTAAAACAGGCAACCAAATCAACCACTTAATGGTCTTGGCAACAGCGTACCATTTTGACCAGCAGCAAGTGCAATTCCAAGAACACTTCTTTGGTGCAAATCAATCAATCAATCTCAATATAGTTCACTTGAACTACTAGAGAAGTGTAGTTCGCGAACGAAACTACGTAAATCCGACAAATCCGATTATAAATCAGTGAACTAAACGAACTAGTCTTTTGTACTATTCACTTTAATGAACGAGATCGAAAGATCGAAATCAGGAAAATGAACTAAACTTCCCACCTCTAGCAACCAGCATTACAATACGTTAAGTGTTGACTATTCAATGAAAAACGCTGCACACAGAACCAGAGACAAACCACAGAACTATCGATAGATCTCTGTGGTTTTATCATTATTTTTTATGCTTTATAGATTTCCTTTCTTTCTTCCTTCCTCCCGTAAAAGATGAACAATACGAAAATCGTAGTGTCATTTATAGATTTCCGTACGGGAATCTATAAACAGCACAACTGTTTTTGTATTGTTCATCTTATACGTAAGAAGGGAGGAAGGAAGGAAGGCAATCTATAAATCAGGCTTTAGAATGTTCTTAATAAATATACTCAATGAATTTATTTTATTACTAGTGGCGACATCTCTGTCTATTATTTAACAACTTTTAAACCGATCTAACTTTCTCTTAATTTATTCCAAACTTGTTACAGAATCTACTATTATTTTAACAAAATGCGATAGGGGACATCAATTAATTACGTGAGGCATTTTTCTGATAATTTTGACCCCTCCCCCCTTGGTGAGATTTGGTAAGATGTGGTAGACCCCCACTATCCATCACGTGAGATTCTAGCAAAAAAAATTTCTTTCTTGACATGATAAACCCAAAAAATAAAAATTGATAATTTTTTTTGACAAATTTGAATTATAATATATATTCTTTAAACCCAAAAGTTGACGTGAGATTTTAAATGACCCCCCCTCCATTAACATGGGATTTGGTGAGATTTTGCTAGACCCCTCCCCCCCTATTTTTATCTCACGTAATTAATGGATGTTCCCTTATCACGAAACTTAAAACTGCAAATGCGTATAAAATATGTCGTTACCACAGACCTACAAACGTTTTGTTTGTAGGTCTGTGGTCGTTACCCATTTCGCAAATTTGGAATGACACAACCCATATGCAAGTGATATTGTGGAAAATCCCCTGAGTTGGCAACACTGATAACCGGACCACAGATTATAAAGGAACCGGACCACATCACAGATTATAAAGGACCACATATTAAATAAATATGTGGTTTAAGTAGGCGGTGACGTTTTGTTAGGCAACCCAGTATACAATTTCATGTGTTGGTATTGTTTACAAACCTTTTTTAATTTATTGTTGTTTTTTTATTTTGATTTAAAAACTGTAATAAATTATTAGTAAAGATGGAACTAAAAAAACACCATATCATATATTTATTATGATGGATTATTTCTGCTGTTTCCCCAGTAAAAAAACAATTAATTTTACTACTTTATTTTATTTTATTTTTATGAGTGTTTCTTGGGTTTCTTCCTTTGTTTCATTTTTGTTTAATTTAGGTTGCTCTTTTGTAGTAACTTTTTCTGCCGATTTATTTATATCCTTGTCTACCTTATTCAAAAAATCCACTGTAATTTTCAAAAATTCTATGGGTTTTTCTGTTTGTAACCAATGTCCAGTCCCCTCCATATATTTTAGCTCGGCTTTCGGAAATAGTTTTTGAATTTTGGACAAATCGCTTTTCCTACAAAAAAATGTACATAGTACCCTGTGGCACACCCTGAACAAAGTACTTACTGTATAAAGTCGGAGTTTCCCCCACCCAAAAACAGGACCGGACCTTCGAAAGCAGCGTTGTGCATTTCCGGAAATCCGGCAACGTTTTCGTAGTTGTTCATCAAGGTAGGCAGATTTAGACTCCATTTGTAACTAAAAAAATATGTATAGCACATTCACATAACGAAAAATAGCGTCATTTTTCTATGGCAGTACCTGCCATCTGTTGTTTGTACCAAGTTATTCATCATAAACGTTCTTAAAGCTTTGTTTGGCACCACTGGTATCAGTTGTCGGTTAACCTCACTTTTTGCTTGAGATAGCGGGATATTTTTCGGCAATTTGATCACCTTCATTATGGAAAATAGCAAGCATATTGACTTAAAATTGATACTTGTGGTTATAGGGGAAATATCAGACACTATAAGTTTATCAACTAATTCTGGCTGAAATAATAATAAATTAAAAATATTTGAGATTTCAGAATTACTTATTTCCTCACATATTTTAGTGAAAAAAGCATACAGGCTCGGCCTCCCATGCAGTGACCTAATAGGCTAACTTTGGGCAAGTTCATTTTTTTTACAAACTTCTTTAAATCCATCACCATGTCGTCATAACTGTGGCTTTCAGTGAAGGGGCTATCTGCGTGATTTCTTGCGTCAACTGCAAAAACCCGCCTTTTCCCAGGCTTTCCCATGTTGTGATACACCTTAGAAAAGGCGTTCCAATTACTTTTAGATCCAAATAGGCCGTGGAATATCACCAATGGCGTGGGTTCATTGGGTATTGACATAGTCGTTTCGTAAGAAGAGTAGGCCATGTTGACGCCATCTTGACTTTTCGTATTGTCCGAGAAAGAGTCTTTCTTCATAAAACTGTTGTTACCTAAAAAAATAATTTTTTCTTTCTTGTTCTTGGTTCAGTTTTAAACAAATTTAAGAAATCGTCTCACCACCGAATGTATAGTTAAGTCTTTTCACCAAAGACTGTTGGAAAATGGTCGGTTTTAAAAACATTACTACAAATTTTGATGAATAATTGTTTACTTCTTCAATGAATGATGATGATGTTATGCTACGAGTATTCTTGACATTTCACTGACGTACATCAATTTTGATATACAGTGCGCAACAAAATCTAATTATTCTGAAATTATGCACATTCTGGCAGCGCCGCAGTGGTGCACAATCCGGCAACACCGGTTCATTTGAACTACTTGCGTGCAGTTTGTCAGAAGAATTCAAGATGGCGGCGGCCAACTTGACGTTCTGAATCGCTAAAGTTTTTTTTCGTTATCTCGTAGAATTTTATTTATTTTTTTTCGATCGAAATTTCAATAGCAAGTTTAAGGTTCTGTGTCGGTGCTTTTAATGTAACTCAACGCGAATTATTTATTTATTTATGCAAATTATATACGATATGGCTACTCTATAAAAAATTTATAAACCTACTGTGATCCTTTTACAACTTATTGATTTTGTACAATATATACATATAGAAATAAAAAAATGGAGGCAATGCAATACGAATTGGCTAGAAACATGACTTTGTTGTTTTTCTTCGAAAGACTGCTCGACAAAGGTGAGCCAAGAACTCTGCACGATCTGAGCTGTCAGTTTGGTTCGAAGGGGTTTACAAAAGAAATGAGGCAAATTGCTGGGGGCTCCCAAAGTGGCCTTAAAAAATTCCTATTACAGTACCCTTCATTATTTGAATTGGAAGGCGAATATGTGACGATCAACACTTTTCAAAATGACAGTTGTAAAAGTAGCACAGGTAAGTTTTGTTTTTTTTGACATTTCTATGTTAACTTGATGTTAAAAATCGCTTTATGATTGGTGGTTTATGTAAATTAACCTACAATAATAAATACTGATGCAATTTTTCCATAAATTACTCAGGAATTTTCTTTCTTTAAGCTATAATTAGTTACTGTGTTATTAAGTTATTTTCTCTAGTATTTATGTTAAAAAAATTATCAAGAAAATCCTGTTCAAAATAGATGCATTGTTACAAGTTATTAAGGGGGGTTTCCACACGCTTTTATTTATTTATTATTTATTTATTATCTATAATAAAACGATATTCAAAAATCAATAAATAAATAAAATCTGACATCTGTCAAATGGTTAACCTTAATTTTTACCAATTTTGGGCCAATCACTAAAATAATAATAATAATAATAATAATCTTTATTTCAAAGTTGAAAATAAATAAATACAATTCATAGTACTAATAAAATAAAATAAATAAAATATCACATTCTTTTGTTCAAATAAAATAAAATAAAATATCACATTCTTTCATTCATTTTCAGCCTATTGAAATTTCTTTAAGAATACAAAGTCAGTCTATAAGACTGGTGACGTATTCTAACTTAAACATCCTGCCTTAAGGTAACAATAAATAATAAAAAATGGTTTAACAAATTGTTTATAGAGAGATTAAACTAAATTAAAGTAGAATATTTAAAACTCAAGGTACTCTTGTATCTTTTTCTTAAACAGGTTATAGTTTAAAATATTTTTAATTTCTAGAGGTAGTTTGTTGAACTCTATGATAGCATTATTTATAGCACTGTAGTTTCCACTAGTTGATAAATATTGTGTCCTATGTATATCGTTTTTTTGTCTTGTTATGTGTTGATGTAGTTGGTTATTTGTTTGTAGATCTATTTTTGTTTTTTGTTTTTTATATTTTATCCTATGTATTAACTTTAAAAGTTCTAAAGTCTTTAATCTTTTTAAACTACTTATGCCTAATGTTTTGTACAATTCACTACTGGGAAAGTATTTGTTTATGTTAAACAACGATTTAAGGCACTTGTTTTGAGTTCTCTGAATCTTTTCCAAGTCACTAGTACACGCACAACCCCACGTAGTAATCAAATATCGAATATGAGACTCTATAAAAGACCTGTAAACCAGCATTTTGGATTTATCACATATTTCTTCACCGCACCTTCTTAAACATCCAACTAAAGGTATTATTTTTTCTTCTATATGTTGTAGGTGTCTTTTCCAAGTTAACTTATTGTCGATCCACATTCCCAGGTATTTGTATTCAGTAACTGGGTTCTTCTGCCCTATTGTGATATTAATGTCAATGTCTATTTTATTTTTATGTTTAAATATCATCTTTACCGTTTTATTATTGTTTAGCTTTAAGTTGTTATTTTTTGTCCACTCTAAAAATAGTTTTAAGTCTTCATTAGCCTTGTTTTGTATTTCTTCCTTATTATTTCCTGAGTATAGTAGGACGGTATCATCTGCATAAGAAAAGTACGTTGTGTTTTTACATAAAAATCTAAGATCTTGAACATACAATAAATAGAGAATTGGTCCAAGTACGGAGCCTTGTGGGACACCTTGTTTAAGATAAAGCTTCTCACTTTTATGTTCACCAATCTGTACAAATTGCTCTCTTTTTTGTAGATATGATGTTATTAGGTCAAGCGCTTTTCCTCTAAAACCCATTCTGTCCAATTTATAAAGTAGCTGCCTAAAATTCACAGTATCAAAGGCCTTGGAAAAATCTATGAAAATACCTGCCACATATTTTCCCTTATCCACTTCTTTTAGAATGTGTTCTGTAAAGTCTGTAACTGCTGCTTGGGTGTTACTGTTCTCTTGATATCCATACTGACTCACATCAAATTTTGTTGTTTGTTTAATAAATTTCACAATCCGAGTTTTGAGTAGTTTTTCTGCTATTTTACTAAAAGTTGTTAATAAAGAGATTGGTCGATAGTTTTCCATTTCATTTTTACTGCCTTTCTTATAAATTGGTTGTACTTTTGCCTTTTTTAATTCCTGAGGAAAAACACCTGTTTCCAACATATTATTCAATAATTTTGTTATTGTTGGTATAATTAGGTCACTCACATCTTTAATTTCTTTTGTTGTGATGTTATCATACCCAGGTGCACAATTTTTTTTTAGGTTTAGCACCATGGTTTTTGTTTCTAGATCAGTGCATGGTTCCAAGTATAAAGTTTTGTTATTTATTGGATTTAAGTCTTTTAGTGTGGTACTTCTCTCTTTGTCATTTTCCCCTATGTAGTATTTATTAAAATGATTAACAATTTTTTTTTGATCTTCTTCTATTATATGGTTTATTTTTAATTTTATCAGTGTTTTTTTGTTTTTCTCATCACTTTTGTTCATTATTTTATTTATAACTTTATAAGTTTGTTTTATATTGTTTTTATTTTTTTCAAGCTCAATATGAAAATATTTTCTTTTTGTGTCTCTTATTAGATTGTTTACTTTGTTTTTGTGCCTTTTAAATTCTTCTTGTTTTTTTTTATCTTCAGGATTCTTTTTCATTTCAATATATCTTCTCTCTTTTTCTCTTATTGCATTTTTTAATTCATTGTTGATCCAGTTTTTATGTTTTACTTTTATTCTTTTTATATGTGTACTTTTTTCTTTAATGCTGTTTAAAAATAATGACAATTCATGAAAACTTTTTATTTCTGTGTGTTGTAGGGATTCTTCTACTAGATTTCTATATTTTTCCCAGTCTATTATATTTTTAATTATATCATTTTTTTGTACCTGTCTTTTTTCATCATTTTTAATTATTATTTGTAAAATCTTGTGATCTGAAAGTGATGTGTCCTGTAATTTTAAATTAATATCCAAAGATTTAACTGATGTTACTACATGATCGATAATGCTTCCAGTATTGTGATGTTGGTCTATTCTGGTGGGGTTCTTATTATTTACAAAGCGAGCCCCGTATATTTCAACTGTTTGCCTATATTTTTTTGTTATTTCATCATTAGCTAAAAGATTAAAATTTGTGTCACCAACTAACAATAAGTTTTTTTCTTGTAGAATTTCTTCTAGGTGCTCTAAATATTCAATATTGTTTGCAGTCGGTGATTTATAGGTTGCAACAATGTTAATTTTAGCTTTATTATGATTTATTTCCACCATTAAAGTATTAAAGTATTCTGTAGTGACGGTTTTTTTCATTTCATATTCAAGTTCTTTTTTTAAAATGATAGCTACACCACCTCCCCTGTTTTTTTCTCTGCAAGAATGAATAGTTGTATAATTATCAAAAGTATAATATTGTGTTTCTGTATTTCTTAACCAAGTTTCTGTGAGAATTACTATTTCTGGATTATTGTAATTACTTAATAATACTTTTAATTCATCCAGTTTATTTCTAAGGCTTCGTATATTTAAGTATAGTATATTAAATTTTAATGTGTTGAATTTTACTGATAAATGTTCTTTGACGTTCACAACATTTTTAGATTTATAGGTAAGTGAAATTGTTTTATTTCTATTTTTGTAGATTTTCTACATCTTCTATGCTATTTATTTTGATTTTGTTGCTATTTTCGTCTTTGCGAGCGGAAATCTGTCCATTTTTGCACCAGACAAATTTGTATTCATTTTCTTTTTTTAATGCTCTGGCTTTTCTAAATATTGCTTGTATTTCATATGGTAAATCTTCATTAATAAAAATTGTATTTGTGTCATTTTCATTTATACCACAGTCTTTGTTTGTTAACTTTTTGATTTTCTTTTTTGCTTCCATTATGCGATCCCTTATATCTTGGCTTTCTAATTTAACTATAAATACTTTATTTTCTTCTGTTTTATTTACCTTTATAATTTCTTTAATATGTTCTTCATGAAAGTCTTGCATAACTTTATGCAAAACCATTGATACTCCTTGTTTGTTGTTTCCACTTTCAGAATCAACCCCCATTATTACTAAGTTCTGAGATCTTCTTCCTACTTCTTGCTTTAACATTATCCTTTTTATTTCTTCCACATCCTTTTTTAGTACATTGTTTTCCTTTTTAAGGTTTTTTATTGTCTTCTCATACTCCTCGTTTAGTTTTTTTTGATCATCATATTGATCACTTAGGAATTGTATTGTTTTTTGCAGCTCTTTAATTTCATCTTTTAATGTTGTTATATGATCCGTTTGGGCTTTAACTAAACGTATTTCCATAAGAATATCATTAATTGTTGCAGTATTTTCTTTGCTTGTACTGGAGTTAACCTCACTTTTACAGTCTTCGCATTTCCACTCAATTTCTCTTTTTTCCAACTTTTTAACATCTGCTGCACTTAGCTCAGTGCATTCTAAGTGATGCCAGCTCTTACATTGCCCAGCACATTGTATTTTATAACCAGATTTATTTATGTTATTGTTACAAATATTACAAATCAACTTTGTCATTTTTCTTCTTCTTCTTCTAGCAACGTGAATAATGAGTTCATTATTATTATGTATTTATAATGTTTATCATTATATTTTATCATTTTAGTCAATTATTTAGTTTGGCATTAAATTGGTTAATTATTTTTTAATTGTAATAATAATAATTAACATATTTTACTGAATGAGTTATTTTAAATTTTCTATTGGGTAGGTACTAAAAATGCAAGAACAATAAAATATTTAATTTTAAGGTAATTTAACTTTTCTGATAAACAATCATACCCCAACATATGGGTCATTCCATATAAAATATTTTTATATGGAATAACCCATATTAAGTAAAAAATTCATTGATAAGATTTTTTTAACAATTCTAAAATTCTGTATTTTATACAAGATATCCTCGACTTCCATCAAAAAATTTAAGGAGTCAAAATAAAGCATTTCTAAAATTTTAGGACGGAATTTGAAAACACCCCGTATATTTATTTAAATACCTATAATACTATATTAAACAGAATTTAATTTTTTTCTGATAAACAATATTACCTCAACATATGGGTCATTCCATATAAAATATTTTATATATGTACATATAATACTATATTTAACAGAATTTCTTTTTTTCTGATAAACAATAATATTTTATATGGAATGACCCATATTAAGTAAAAATTACACTCCGTATATTTATTTATATATAATACTATATTTAACAGAATTTAATTTTTTTCTGATAAACAATATTACCTCAACATATGGGTCATTCCATATAAAATATTTTATATGGAATGACCCATATTAAGTAAAAATTCCACTCCGTACATTTATTTATATATAACACTATATTTAACAGAATTTAATTTTTTTCTGTTAAACAATATTACCCCAACATATGGGTCATTCCATATAAAATATTTTATATATATGTAATACTATATTTAACAGAATTTAATTTTTTTCTGATAAACAATATTACCCCAACATATGGGTCATTCCATATAAAATATTTTATATGGAATGACCCATATTAAGTAAAAATTCCTTGATAATTTCAAAGAAGATTTTTTCGTTAACATTTACCAGATTTTTTTTATAATAGACAGAATATTATCTTCACGTCATATTTATTTAATTTAAGGCGGGAAAGATTACAATACTCAGGCAGTGGAATATTTTTCCGAAAAACTGTCCCAGTACGGGGAAGGTACCGAAGTACCTATACGCAGTCTACTGGGACACCGGTCCCAGGCTAGCCCAGAGGTTCGCCACGTATCTGGGCAACATTTCCACGAATTTAGGTGAGAAAAAAAATTAACACATCGGAATTTTCGTATATTTTTTATTTTCAGGGAATTTCTGTTGAAACACTCAGACTCCTTCACAATAGACGATGAAAAGGAGACGGTTGTTCTATCCAATTACACCGACGTTAAATCACACGCTCCCCCCGAATTGCATTTTCAGCCCGACGTCAAAATTGATCCCGTCGAAACGCAAACCCTCCTGGACTTTTTGGCCCAGTGTATAGAGGTTAAAGGTCCCATCTTGGTGGAACAGCTCTTCCAGATAGTTAGCTGCAACCTTCCAGAATCACTGTGGAGCAATCTCTTTAATACCCCCACCCACCTCACCAGCTTCTTGCGTTTGTTTTCCGAAAGCTTCCACATACAGTCGAACCTTGTAACTCTCCTCCAACCCCCCAAGATTAGTCAGAAACACATCAACTCCCCAGTGGTGTGTTTGAAGGTTAAAGAGAGCGATTTGGAGGTAAAAAACGCCAAAAATTTGGCCAACAACAACAACATCATCGATGTTGATAAGAGCGCGGAGGGGTTATCACCACCTGTTGCTCAGGTCAGCCCCAGATCCATAAGTGATAGGTTGAAGCAGCCAAAGTTGCAGCAAAAGTTGAATGAGGCTCAGAAAAGTCTATCTCCTGAGCCGCAACCACCCACTAGAGATAGAGGTGTGGATTTTCGCCTGGGTAAAGAAGAACAACCCACTCCCTTGGAAAGTAGACCTAAGGTGACACCAAACAACAATCAAAGTTTGAAACAACGCATCAACAATTTGGTTTTGAAGACTCTACAAGAAAATACGGGGAGAGAACGGCAGAATTTTATCAATCAAAACAACGTACCTAATTCTGAGTCGTGGAAAATAAAACTCTTCCAGAACACGCGGGTTATATGCAGCACTCGCGAATGCCAGATGGTTATTGACGAAATACTCTCTAAAGTACAACCCAACAATCAACAACAAAACCCTTGGCCTTTTACCGACGAAAAAGTCGTCATAGGGTTTGACTGCGAAGGTATAAACCTTGGAGTCAACGGACAATTAACGTTGATGCAAATAGCCACCATGTCAGGTTTCTCCTACGTCTTTGATTTAATAACGTGCCCGAAAATGATCGACTTCGGTCTAAAAAAAATCCTCGAATGTCCAGACGTAGTCAAAATCATCCACGACTGTAGAAATGACGCCGTCAACTTGTTAACTCAATTCAACATAACTCTAAGAACCGTTTTCGACACACAAGCAGCACATGCAGTTCTGACTTTCCAAGACACTTCCAAACCAGTCTACAAAGCTAAAAGTGTGGCTTTGAACGCTTTATGCGAGTGTTACGGCGCCCCAGCTAACCCCATGAAGGACCAACTGAAGAATATATACAAGAGGGATCAAAAGTACTGGTCCAGAAGACCTCTAATCAGGGAAATGATTTTGTACGCCTCAGCTGACGTTCTTAGTTTAATAAACGAAAATATATACCATCCCATGGTGAAAGCTATAAGACCTGAAAATAGAGGTCTAATGTTGGAATTGTGTGAAGAACAGATTAATATGAACATAAACCCAGACGCAGTGAAGCTGAAGAAAAGGCAAAGGAAAACGGAAACGGAAGTTAGCGAGTTGAGAGTCAAGTTGGCCCAAGCGACAAAAAGCGTCGTTCTAAGCAACAGGGAAGTTCGTTTACTAAGGTAAGAATGTTTTTTTTTGTTTTTTCCACCAAATTTCCACGTTTTAACATTCTAAATTGTTTTTGACTTATTTAACCGTTTATGCATTACGTTGGCATTCCAAATTAAGGCTTTGTCGACATTCTAAACGCGTTTTTCATTCTCGATTGTGGTTTTGACACTACAAATGTGTTTTTGACTTTCTAAATGTGTTTTTAACAATCCCAATGGGTTTTTGGCATTCCAAATTGTTTGTGACTTTCTAAACCGTTTTACATTTCACATTAACATTCTAAATTATGTTTTTGACAATTTAAATGTGTTATTGACAATCCCATTTGGTTTTTGACTTTTTAGTTATGCTTTTGACACATTAAATTGTGTCTTTGATTCTAGAATTTTTTTTCTTCTATTAAATTTAACATTCTAAATTACGTTTTTGACTTTTTAAACTGTTTTACATTAACATTCTAAATTATGTTTTTGACAATTTAAATGTGTTTTTGACATTCTGTTAATTATTGTTTTTTATTCTAAATTGTATTTTTGACACTCCAATTGTGTTTTTGACTTTCTAATTGTGTTTTTAAACAATCCCAATAGGTTTTGAGCAGTCTAAACCGTTAAACATTTTACATTAACATTCTAAATTATGTTTTTGACAATCACATTCTAAATTGTTTTTGTTTAAATTATGGCTTTGACATTTTAAACGTGTTAAATGTGTTTTTGGCATTCTAAATTGCATTTTTGACTAACATTTTTTGTGTTTTTGACTTTCCAAAGGGCTTTTTGATATTTTGAATTATTTTACTTTCTAAAGCGTTTTTACATTACGTTGACATTCTAAATTATGGTTTTGACGTTTTAAATGTGTTATTGACAATCCCATTTGGTTTTTGACTTTTCAGTTATGCTTATGACACATTAAATTGTTTCTTTGACTTTTGAAATGGTGTTTTCTATTAAATTTAACATTCTAAATTTTGTTTTTGACATTTTAAATGTGTTTTTGACAATATCAATGAGTTTTTGGCATTCTAAATTGGTTTTTTTTTACATTCCTAATGTGTTTTTAACATTCTAAATTGTGTTTTGAAAATTCAAAATGTGTTTTTGACTTCTTAAATGTGTTTTTGACTTTCTAAACCATTTTTAAATTACATTGACACTTTAAATTATGGTTTTGACGTTTTAAATGTTTATTGACAATCCCATTTGGTTTTTGTCTTTTCAGTTATGCTTTTGACACATTAAATTTTGTCTTTGACTTTCATAATGGTTTATTTCATTAAATTTAACATTCTAAATTGGTTTAGACTTTCTAAACCGCTTTACATTACATTAGCATTCTAAATTTCTAAACCGCTTTACATTACATTAGCATTCTAAATTATGTTCTTGACAATCCCAATGGGCCTTTGAATGTCTAAACCGTTTTTTTAATTTTGAAATCCTTTTTTTTATTTAATTTATCATTCTAAATTATGTTTTACACATTATTATTGTTTTTTTACATTCTAGAATGTGTTTTCACATTCTAAATTGTGTTTTTGACATTCTAAATTCTGTTTTGAACATTCAAAATGTGTTTTTGACTTTTTAAATGTGTTTTTGACTTTCTAAACCATTTTTACATAACATTGACATTCCATTTATGGTTTTGACGTTTTAAATGTTTATTCACAATCCCATTTGGTTTTTGACATTTCAGTTATGCTTTTGGCATATATTTTGTTTTGACGTTTTTTTAATTAAACTTATCATTCTAAATTATGTTTTTGACTTTATTATTGTTTTTTTACATTCTTAATGTGTTTTTGACTTTATAAATGTGTTATGACAATCCAAACTGTTTTTGACTTTTTAAAATGTTTTTACATTACATTTACATTCTAAATTCTGGTTGTAACATTTTATCCCATTTGGTTTTTGACCTTTCAGTTATGCTTTTGACACATTAAATTGTGTTTTTGACTTTTGAAATCGATTTTTTTAATTTTTTCATTCTAAATATATTTTTGTCATTCTAAGTTGTGTTTTCGACATTCCAAATGTGTTTTTGACTTTTTTAATGTGTTTGACAATCCAAATGGATTTTGAAATTCTAACTTATGATTTGTGAATTGTGTTTTGCACATTAAAAATGTGTTTTTAACTTTCTAAACCATTTTTACATTACATTGACATTCTAAGTTATGGTTTTGACGTTTTAAATGTTTATTGACAATCCCATTTGGTTTTTGACATTTCGTTTTTTTTTAATTAAACTTATCATTCTAAATTATGTTTTTGACTTTATTATTGTTTTTTTACATTCTTAATGTGTTTTTGACTTTCTAAATGTGTTATGACAATCCAAACTGTTTTTGACTTTCTAAAATGTTGTTACATTACATTTACATTCTAAATTCTGGTTGTAACATTTTATCCCATTTGGTTTTTGACCTTTCAGTTATATTATGCTTTTGACACATTAAATTGTGGTTTTGACTTTTGAAATCGATTTTTTCTATTTTTTCATTCTAAATATATTTTTGACATTCTAAGTTGTGTTTTCGACATTCCAAATGTGTTTTTGACTTTTTTAATGTGTGTTTGACAATCCAAATGGATTTTGACATTCTAATTTGTGATTTGTGAATTGTGTTTTGCACATTAAAATGTGTTTTTAACTTTCTAAACCATTTTTACATTACATTGACATTTTAACGTTTTAATTGTTTATTGACAATCCCATTTGGTTTTTGACCTTTCGTTTTTTTTTTAATTAAACTTATTCTAAATTATGTTTTTGACTTTATTGTTTTTTTACATTCTTAATGTGTTTTTGACTTTCTAAATGTGTTATTGACAATCCAAACTGTTTTTGACTTTCTAAAATGTTTTTACATTACATTTACATTCTAAATTCTGGTTGTAACATTTTATCCCATTTGGGTTTTGACGTTTCAGTTATGCTTTTGACACATTAAATTGTGTTTTTGACTTTTGAAATCGATTTTTTCTATTTTTTCATTCTAAATATATTTTTGACATTCTAAGTTGTGTTTTCGACATTCCAAATGTGTTTTTGACTTTTTTAATGTGTGTTTGACAATCCAAAGGGATTTTGACATTCTAACTTATGGTTTTAACATTTAAAATGTGTTTTTGACATTGTGAATTGTTAATTAATTGCAGATACATCGAATTGACAGAGGAAGAAAAGGAGAAACTAAAATCTTCTGCTAAGGTGGCTAAAAAGCTGGAAAAGCTGGAAAGTCTCGGCCAGGATCGCGACCAGGATTCCTCTGACGAAGATCAGGATCCTGACCTTGATTATCCCAGCCTTGACAGCGACATGACGTCACCGCGAAACTCAGAGCCCACTTCTCTTACTGAATCGATGCAGCTAGTCGATGTCATTTTAAGCGACAGCAAAATAGACAAGCTGGAAAAAATCGAAAAGCTCGAGTCGATTCTCAGCGCCGCTGCGATGTTGCCGAGCAGTGCCGCGCAGTGTTGCCAGTGCAACTGCCACCCCGGCAAACTGAACGGCTACAGGCACGAGAAAGTCTTGTCGCCTAGCAACGGCTACGTTGCCGTCGTCAAAGACAGCGATGCCGCGTTGACCAAGGAGAATCAGGGAAACGTGGCAACGCAGACTTTGAGTACGGGCGACATCGTGGTCACGAAAATTTATTTCAACGATCGCGCCGAGTAAAAAAACACGGAAAATTCCGAAATCACCAAAACACGGTAAATTGGTAGTATTAGCAAAATGAATGCTCAAAATTTTCGCACTTTTCGACAAAAAAGTTAAACGGCCTTGAAAATAAACTTTTGGCGCCGAATTCGAATTTTTCGGTTGGTTTTAAGTTCTGAATCAAATTTTTAATGGTGGTGCTCTTTTTGATTGTTTTTTTTTATTATTGGAATCTAACATATGATATGTTTAATTATATTAATTATTTATATTAAAAAGCAATGACGTAGGTGAGTAATACTCTATAACGAGGTTTTTAACGGGCGTTTAGTAAAATCTGAAATACTAGAAATGTACTATTTAATAAACGTAATTTTTACTGCTATTGCACAATATTTGGATAAAGTGAGGTTGGAACTGCCTAACAGATGTCAGATTTTTTATTTATACGAGAGACGACTGTAATGATCTGTGGTTTTGACATTTTGACATTTAAAATGTGCTTTTGACAATCCCAATGTGTTTTTGACATTTTACATTGATTTTGACTGTCTAAATCGTCTAAATCTTTTAGACAATCCGATTTGATTTTTGACATTTCAGTTATGCTTTTGACATTATAGATAATGTTTTTTTGACATTCTGTTTTTATTGTTTGAATTTGTTTTTGACATTTCAAATGTTTTTTTAACAATCCCATTGCGTTTTGACATTTTCAATTATGTTTTTGACTTACTAAACCGTAATTCCTAATTATGGTTTTGACATTTAAAGTGTGTTTTTGACAATTCCAATGTTTTTTTTTCTAAATTGTTTTTGACTTACTAAACCTTTTATATGACAATTAAATTTTTTATTGTTTTTGTCATTCTAAATGTGTTTTTGACATTTCAAATGTATTTTTAACAATCCCATTGCGTTTTGACATTTTCAATTATGTTTTTGACTTGAATTTACTAAACCGTTTTTATATTAAATTTTGATTCTTAATTATGGTTTTGACATTTAAAATGTGTTTTTGACAATTCCAATGGGTTTTTTTTCTAAATTGTTTTTGACTTACTAAACCTTTTTTATGACAATTCATTTTTTTTTTTGTCATTCTAAATGTGTTTTTGACATTTCAAATGTATTTTGACAATCCCATTGCGTTTTGACTTTAAATTGTGTTTTTGACTTACCAAACCGTTTTTATATTAAATTTTGATTCTTAATTATGGTTTTGACATTTAAAATGTGTTTTTGACAATTCCAATGGGTTTTTTTCAAAATTGTTTTTGACTAACTAAACCTTTTTTATAACAATTATTTTTTTTATTTTTATTGTCATTCTAAATGTGTTTTTGACATTTCAAATGTATTTTGACAATCCCATTGCGTTTTGACTTTAAATTGTGTTTTTGACTTACCAAACCGTTTTTATATTAAATTTTGTTTCTTAATTATGGTTTTGACATTTAAAATGTGTTTTTGACAATTCCAATGGGTTTTTTCAAAATTGTTTTTGACTAACTAAACCTTTTTTATAACAATTAATTTTTTTATTTTTATTGTCATTCTAAATGTGTTTTTGACTTACTACCTAAACCGTTTTTATATTACATTTCGATTCTAAATTATGGTTTTGACATTTAAAATGTGTTTTTGACATTCTAAACCGTTTTTGCATTACATTAACATTCAAAATATAGTTTTGACATTTTAAATGTTTTTGACAACCCCATTTGGTTTTTGGCATTTCAGTTATGCTTTTGACACTTTCAAAATATTTTTTCTCAGTAAACTTAACATTATAAATTATGTTTTAACCTTCCAAATGTGGTTTGACTTCCCAAATGTATTTTTGACAATTGCATGGCGTTTTTAACACCAAATTATGTTTTTGACTTACTAAACCGTTTTTATATTACATTACGATTCTAAATTATGGTTTTGACGTTTAAAATGTGGTTTGGACAATCCCAATGCATTTCTGACATTTTTTACTGTCTAAACCGTTTTTTTTATTAAATTCAACGTTTGAAATTATGTTTTTGACATTCTATTTTTATTGGTTTTTGCCATTCCAAATGTGTTTTTGACTTACTAGACCGTTTTTATATTACATTACGATTCTAAATTATGGTTTTGACATTCTACATTGTTTTTGACTGTCTAAACCGTTTTTACATTACATTAACATTCTAAATTATAGTTTTGACATTTTTGACACATTACATCGTTTTTCTCATATAACTTAACATTGTAAATTATGTTCTTTTACTCCTATTACATGATATTGACTTAATTTTGGTTTTCCGTATATAATGATAACCATTATACTGCGATATAACCAATCGGGTTTTAAACTATTAATACACGACTTTAATTATGCACGAGCGAAGCCTGTGGAGCGAGTTTTTAATAAAATGATCTATAAAAGTTTGTAAAACGAATTGCTAACTGACATATGTCAGGCGGGTTTAACCTCACTTTTCCAAATCTGACATCTGTCAAACGACTTTAACAAAAGCTGCAAAAATTTGATCACCAAAAATATCCGTTTAAAAATAAACTTCTAATATTTCAGATTTATCCTAAATATAGTAAATTAATAAATTTATAGGCAATATTATTACTTAATTAACCATTTACCATTGGATATATTTTAATTATTAATATTTTTTAGTAAAAATACCCAACTAATATAGTTTTAGTTAAAAAAAACTATAAGGTTAAGTTTGGATTATCAACAACTTAACCTAACTAAAGATCTGTCAAAATGCCTGTATACAAAATATACATGGTTTGGTTATATTCTTTTTTTATATATATTTCTTATGACTAAAGCAAAATTATTGTTTTGCTGCCATATACAGTAACATGCAGTAATTATAATTATAATTACCTGTATTTTTATTTATACATTGTTAAACTAATTGTTAAAAAATCGATTTTACGAATCGTTTTTTTATTTTAATATCACACTAAGCGACATGAAAAAGGTTTTTTGTTGCTCAGTGTTTGTATTGTTATTTAGCAAATTAACAACTATTTATTTATTAACGCCTTTGTGTCTTAAAGTAGAGTTTAAGGTGACTAAGGCTATGTTTATATAACGTCGATTAAGCAAGGTCTATGTATTTTAAACTATACATTATTTTTGCTGGTAGAGGTTGAATAAAGAAATTAAATATTGAATGGGATTTTTACTTACCACATCCAAATTCGTTTTGAGGTTTGAAATCAAAGGTCTTATAAATTTGATGCTTTATTATTTATAATAAATAAATTATTTACAAACAAATTTTATGTAATTTGTAAAAAATACTATAAAGACACGAATTAAATTCAAAATATAAATGCAGAAAAATTACAAAAATAAAGTTCAGCTTTTAAAAGTATTATACAATCAGAAATCACTTTAAAAAAAAATCTAAAATAACCCCTTTTAACACAGATCTGCATTGTGGGGGTATCTCTTCATATGTGGTTTTGTACTATATGTCTTGTCAAAGAAGAAATATAGTTGTATGATGAACCACATATATCACATCTGAAAATAAGAATTTTGAGATTTTAAATATTATGGTTTTAACATTTTAAATGTGTTTTTGACTTTCGAAATTGTTTATAACATTTAACTTAACATTCTAAATTATGTTTTTGACACTCAATGTGTTTTTGACATTATAAAATGACTTACTAAACCGTTTTTACAATACATTTTAAATAATGGTATTGACATTTTAAATGTGTTTTTGACATTTTAGTTATGCTTTTAACACATTAAATTGTGTTTTTGACGTTCCAAATGTGTTCTTAATTCTTAATGTGTTGTTGACAATTCCATTGCGTTTTTGACATTCTAAATTATTTTTGACTTAATTTCATTAACTTTCTAAATTATGTTTTTGACAATTTCATTTGATTTATGAAATTCCAGTTATGCTTCTGACACATTGTGTTTTTGACACTATTACTATAAGTTTTTTGACATTTTAAATGTGTTTTTGCATTTCTAAAATATGTTTTTGACATTATAAATGTAATTTTGACAATCCAATTTTGACATTTTTAATTATGTTTTTGACTCATATTACATTAGGATTCTAAATTATGGTTTTGACATTTAAAATGTGTTTTTGACAATCCCCATAGGTTATTGACATTTTAAATGGTTAACGTTAAATGGTTAACTCTCTAAACCGTTTTTTCTTTACATAAACATTTTAAATTATGTTTTTGACAATTTAAATGTTTTTTGACAATTCATTCCATTTGGTTTTTGAAATTTTAGTTTGTTTGTGGCATTCTAAATTATGTTTTTGACATTCCGAATGTGTTTTTGCCTTTCTAAATAATGTTTTTGACATTCCGAATGTGACTTTGACTATCTAAATGTATTTTGACAATCCCATTGCATTTTAAACATTTTCAATTATGTTTTTGACATTTAAAATGTGTTTTTATAATCCCCCAAGGGTTTTTGACGTTCTAAATTGTTTTTGACAATTTAAATGTCTTTGAAATTTTAGTTATGATTTTAACACAAAGTTTTTGGCATTCTAAATTATGTTTTTGACATTCCGAATGTGGTTTTGACTTTCTAAATGTATTTTTGACAATCCTATTGCATTTTGACACTTATTTGTGTTTTTGACATCTTCAATTATATTTTTGACATCTTCAATTATATTATTGACTTACTAAACCGTTTTTAGATTACATTGGGATTCTAAATTATGGTTTTGAAATTTAAAATGTGTTTTCGACAATCCCCATGGGTTTTTGACATTTTAAATGGTTGTTGACTTTACATTAACATTCTAAATTACGTTTTTGACAATTTAAATGTGTGTTTGACAATTCCTTTTGGTTTTTAAAATTTCAGTTATGATTGTGACACATTAAATTGTGTTATTAACTTTCTCATTACACATTCTAAATTATATTTTTGACTATTTTAAAGTTTTCGACATTATGGTTTTGAAATTAAAAATGTGTTTTTGACAATCCCATTGCGTTTTTGACACTTTGACATCCTCAATAATTGATAATTAATAATTATTATAATTTTGACTTACTAAAATGTGTTTTTGACAATCCCAATGGGTTTTTGACATTTTAAATTGTTTTTTACTGTCTAAACCGTTTTTACTTTTTAGTAAAATTCCAAATTATGTTTTTGACTTTCTAAAGGTATTCTTGACAATCTCATTGCGTTTTTGACACTTAATTGTGTTTTTGACATTTTAAATTATGTTTTTGACTATGTTAAAGCTTTCTTGACATTCTGAATGTGTTTTTTGTAATCTAAATTATGTTTTTGACATTCCGAATGTGGTTGTGACTTTCTAAAGGTATTCTTGACAATCTCATTGCGTTTTTGACACTTAATTGTGTTTTTGACATTCTAAATTATGTTTTTGACTGTCTAAACCGTTTTTACATTACATCAACATTCTAAATTATGTTTTTTGACTATGTTAAAGCTTTCTTGACATTCTGAATGTGTTTTTGACATTCCAAATGTGTTTTTGACTTACTAAACCGTTTTTACATTTTAAATTATGAAAAATCTGAAAATAAAAATGTTTAACGTCTTTTCACATTTTAAAACGTGTTGTTGACTTTCAAGTCAAAGTTTCGACGTTTTAAAATGTGTTTTTGACTTGCTATGCAATTCTTACGTGTATAGGGCCTCTCCGCCTCTGTGGATCTCGACGTGCCTCATCAAATTTGAGTATCTGGAAAAGGATTTTCCACAGGTGAAGCACTCAAAGCACGAATCGTTACTGTGCACCTTTTTGTGCTGATTGTATTCGGCGAAGCCGACGAACTTTTTCATGCACACTTCGCATTGAAACGACTTCACGTGAGTTGCCATGTGCTTCTTGAATGCCAGCTCGTGGCCGAAACGTTGAAAGCAAGTCTCGCATTTGAGCCTAAAAGTTTTTTGGTTTTTTTTTTTGATATCCCAAGATTCTAAATAGGGTTTTTATTGCGCTATACCCAAGTAACACATCACAAGATCCTTTTATTGCCTTCCCTTGTGGAAATTTTTCTCTGAGAAAGTCTTACTTTCTCTTAAAAAGTCTGAATAATACTTATTAAGTCGGAAAAAAGTCAGAATAAGACTTATTAAGTCAGACTAATAGCAAGATTTGGGAGTCTTCTGGAAGAGTTAATAAGACTTTTTAAGACTTGTGTTTTATTTTAGACTTTTTCAGAGAAAGTAAGACTTTCTCAGAGAAAAATGTCCACAAGGGTTGTGTTTCTGAATACTCACTTGTTGTTTTGCATGTGCCTCTTGAGGGATTGGGGGTTGGAAAAATGTTTACCGCACTCTTGGCAAGAGTGCTTTTCCTGACCGGGAGTTTGAAAATTTTCGTCGTTCAAAATGACCTTGACTTTTCTCTCCCCGTTCAATTCTATCGTCATTTGAATCGATATGTTGACCGAATGTTCGTACAAAATGCTGAAATTTTTGTTGCAAGAATTTTGTTGTACCCACGCTACAAGAAAACAAGGTGTGCTCTTGCGCATTTGAATTTAAGAATTGTCAACAATACATTTAAGTCTTACTCGACAAATTTTGTTCAATTGCACAGCAAAATCGCGCACGGTATTTGCGTTTTACGTTGCAAGGAAAAAACTAAAAAACTGGTTTAGTACTCGATTTCACTTGATTATTCTTTATATCATTGATTAAGAAACTCAACGCTTAAATGCTCATATAGTTACGTTAGTGTGTGCATTTTATCTAAGGGATCATGGTGAATTATTGCGTTTTTAATTGTAAATAAAGTTCAAGAACTAAATCGTTGCATTTTCATGTTTTGCCAAAGGATCCAATTCGGTAAGTACATTTGTTGGTGCAGAATTAACTAATGATAACTTTACCTAATATAATTTATATTTGGGTTTGGACATTTTTAAGAAATTAGTAAAAAATAATTTTTGCACAAACATAACCTTAAAAGCAACCATTTTTATGTTTGAGTTCTCTAAAAAACGCCGACAACTGCATTTTAAACAACAAAATATACCTACGAATTCATGGCAACATAATATTATATATAATACATAATATAATGGTATTACCGTTGAGTGGAGACTTTCTTAATCAACGCTTTTAATAATGCTAAATGCTGTTTAAATTTAGACGACTTATTTGTTTGACGATTTTTACTGAATTGGAATGTTTACACTTTTCGCGTTAATCACTACTAAAATGTGTATTTATTGTATCTAATAGGTACAATTTATATTTACAGAGACTGTATGAAATTTATTTCTTCATTCGGATTAACACTGTTTATTGGAAAACCGGTAAAAACTCTACCCAGGATTTCCTCTCGAAATACACCCAACAACACAAAAAATCGTGCCACGGTTTTTTTTCGATATTTTAAAATATATTTTTTTTTTGCTCTGTGCAGAAAATGTGCCAAGATGATCTTATTTTATTAAAAACATAAATTTTTCTTGTCACTTTTTTCATATATTTTATTCGGTATATAGTAAATATTATTTACTTTAAAACAATATGTTTTATTTGATTGAAAACCCCTATAAAATAGTTTTTTTTTTCATTAATAATATTTTCTTGAAATTTTAATGTTGTGAGTTTGTGTTTTTTACCTAAAAATCGAATAATTTTATAGAAATTTGGATGAATTTCATAAGAGACAATATTTAAGTTTAAATTTAAAGGCGGGAATGAACTAAGATAACTAGGTGGTGAGCAAAGTAAACTAAAATTTGTCCTACTGAAGAAGAAACCTTGTTTTCTTGTACCATGGTATTACCTACATACTTACACTTCATTTTCATCTGCATGCTGTACATAAACCCATTTTTCTTCATTTTCCATCTCATTCTGCTGCTGCTCCATATGTCCTACGCTGTAAGAAACTCTCTAAAAAATGGTTAAGTTTTATACAGAGTGTCTCACCCCTTAAAGGACAATAATTTAAGTATTTCTTACGTATATGGGACCATCTCTTTCATTACTAAGTTACAACTAAAGTGGGAAACAAATATCGAGTTCCAAAAAGATAACAAATATGTCACTAGCTATAAACCCTGCTACTATTTGTAAAGTAGCTGCTACGTTACTAGAACGTTCCAATATCGTTGCCAGAGCGTTATAATTACTTTTATTTATTTGTTTTCACTTCTATATTAACTTAACTGTCTTTGTCAAACTTATATTAGATTATACTATCCCTCCTTTTTTAAATGGAACCACTACGGACTTGGCTTTTCAATGTCGTCGTTTATTAAATATGTACTGGTGGTTTATGACTTCCAGAATAACAATATAATGTTTAATTAGGCAGGTAAATTTATAAACCCTTTAAATTTTACTGTTGAACTTATGAATTTAGTTTTTGTAAAATAAATGCGCTTCATTCACAAATTATTTATTTAATAATGTTTATAAACAAAAAAATCTTAATATTTATTATTCATTTTTTATTTAATTATTAATACCGTCTATTACCAACAAAATTACTATTTATTGAAAAGTAAACAACCATTTACAAACAATTAAAATAATTTATTATTTACATTACCACGTGGTACTGTACAGTAAAAAATGGCCGATAAGAAGCATTTTCCTATAAAGTTTGTTCCACCTTAATTTACTTTACGGTAGTTTTGGTTGGTACCATAAACGTTCCAAATACTAAAATAATAACTTTTAAGTTATTAACTTTGTAGTTTTTAAGTCATGTTTCAGTTTCGAGATTTTAACTTGCAAAGGGACTACAAAGTAAAAATAATTATAATGTAATCTTTAGGTAGCACTGCTACAAATTAAATTTACTTGAAAGTTTTTTTACTTATAACGCCTTTTTTAAAGTTGCAAAGTCTTTTTGGGGCAACCAAGTTTTACTTAAATGTTTATTACTTTATAGTAACCATTTAAGGATAGAATACAGTTTCTGTTACAAAATATTGCTATTTAAAAGTTAGAATTACTTTTAAGTAAAAATTAAAGTAGCTGTTTAGTATACTTAACTAATTTAAAGTTAACTTGACATTCTAAATTATGTTTTTGACATTGATTAATGTTTTTTGACATTCTAAAACTATGTTTTTGTCTTTCTAAATTATGGTTTTTGACATTTTAAATGTGTTTTAGACAATCCCATTTGGTTTTTGACATTTTAGTTTTGACCCATTAAATTGTATTTTTGACTTCCAAAATTTTTTTTTCATTAAACTTGACATTCCAAGTATGTTTTTTGCATTAATTAATGTTGTTTTACATTCTACATGTGTTTTTGACATTCGGTTTTTTATTGTTTTTTGACATTCTAAAAATATGTTTTTGACTTTTTAAATTTGTTTTTGGCATTTTAGTTAGGCTTTTGAAATATTAAATTGTGTGTTTTTCCATTAAATTTGATATTCTAAATTGTGTTTTTGACATTAATTAATGTTTTTTGATATTCCTAATTTTGTTTTTGACAATCCCATTTGGTTTTGGCATTTTAGTTGTGCTTTTGACATATTAAATTATGTTTTTGACTTCCAAAACCTTTTTTTTTTCATTAAACTTGACATTCTACAATATGTTTTTGACATTATTTAATTATGTTTGACATTTTAAATGTATTTTTAACATTCGGTTTTGTATTGTTTTTTGACATTATAAAAATATGTTTTTGACTTTCTAAACTATGGTTTTGACATTTGAAATGTGTTTTTGACTTTTAAAAGCGTTTTTTTTATTAAACTTGGTATTCTAAATTATGTTTTCGACAATCCCATTTGGTTTTTGGCATTTTAGTTATGCTTTTGACATATTTAATTATGTTTTTGACTTCAAATTTTTTTTATGAAACTTGACATTCTAAATTTTTGACATTAATGAACGTTTTTTGAAATTCTAAAATATTTTGACAATCTAAATTATGTTTTTGACATTAATTCATGTTTTTTGATATTCCTAATTTTGTTTTTGACAATCCCATTTGGTTTTGGCATTTTAGTTGTGCTTTTGACATATTAAATTATGTTCTGACTTCCAAAACCTTTTTTTGTCATTAAACTTGACATTCTAAAATAAGTTTTTGACATTATTTAATTATGTTTGACATTTTAAATGTATTTTTAACATTCGGTTTTGTATTGTTTTTTGACATTATAAAAATATGTTTTTAACTTTTTAAATTATGGTTTTATCATTTAAAATGTGTTTTTGACAATCCCATTTGGGTTTTGACAGTTCAGTTTTGCTTTTGTGTTTTTGACTCTTAAAAGCTTTTTTTTCATTAAACTTGACATTCTAAATTATGTTTTTGACATTAATTAATGTTTTTTGATATTATTATTTTTATTAAATAATGTTGTTTGATATTCCAAATGTGTTTTTAACATTCGGTTTTTTATTGTTTTTGACATTCTAAAAATATGGTTTTGACTTTTTAAATTGTGGTTTTGACATTTTAAATGTGTTTTTGACAATCCCATTTGGTTTTTGACATTTCAGTTTTGCTCTTGTTGACTTTTGACTTTTAAAAGCATTTTTTTCATTATACATGACATTCTAAATTATAATAATAATTAATGTTTTTTGATATTTTTATTATTATTAAATAATGTTGTTTGACATTCTAAATGTGTTTTTAACATTCGGTTTCTTATTGTTTTTGACATTCTAAAAATATGTTTTTGACTTTTTAAATTATGGTTTTGACATTTTAAATGTGTTTTTGACAATCCCATTTGGTTTTTGACATGTCAGTTTTGCTCTTGTGTTTTTGACTTTTAAAAGCATTTTTTTCATTAAACATGACATTCTAAATTATGTTTTTGACATTAATTAATGTTTTTTGATATTTTTATTATTATTAAATAATGTTTGACATTCTAAATGTTTTTTTAACATTCGGTTTTTTATTGTTTTGGAAATTCTAAAAATATGTTTTTGACTTTTTAAATTATGGTTTTGACATTTTAAATATGTTTTTGACAATCCCATTTGGTTTTTGACATGTCAGTTTTGCTCTTGTGTTTTTGACTTTTAAAAGCATTTTTTTCATTAAACATGACATTCTAAATTATGTTTTTGACATTAATTAATGTTTTTTGATATTATTATTATTATTATTGAATAACGTTGTTTGACATTCTAAATGTGTTTTTAACACTCGGTTTTTTATTGTTTTTGACATTCTAAAAATATGTTTTTGACTTTTTAAATTATGGTTTTGACATTTTAAATGTGTTTTTGACAATCCCATTTGGTTTTTGACATGTCAGTTTTGCTCTTGTGTTTTTAACTTTTAAAAGCATTTTTTTCATTAAACATGACATTCTAAATTATGTTTTTGACATTAATTAATGTTTTTTGATATTTTTATTATTATTAAATAATGTTGTTTGACATTCTAAATGTGTTTTTAACATTCGGTTTTTTGCTCTTGTGTTTTTGACTTTTAAAAGCATTTTTTTCATTAAACATGACATTCTAAATTATGTTTTTGACATTAATTAATGTTTTTTGATATTATTATTATTATTATTGAATAATGTTGTTTGACATTCTAAATGTGTTTTTAACATTCGGTTTTTTATTGTTTTTGACATTCTAAAAATATGTTTTTGACTTTTTAAATTATGGTTTTGACATTTTAAATGTGTTTTTGACAATCCCATTTGGTTTTTGACATGTCAGTTTTGCTCTTGTGTTTTTGACTTTTAAAAGCATTTTTTTCATTAAACATGACATTCTAAATTATGTTTTTGACATTAATTATTGTTTTTTGATATTATTATTATTATTGAATAATGTTGTTTGACATTCCAAATGTGTTTTTAACATTCGGTTTTTTATTGTTTTTGACATTCTAAAAATATGTTTTTGACTTTTTAAATTATGGTTTTGACATTTTAAATGTGTTTTTGACAATCCCATTTGGTTTTTGACATGTCAGTTTTGCTCTTGTGTTTTTGACTTTTAAAAGCATTTTTTTCATTAAACATGACATTCTAAATTATGTTTTTGACATTAATTCATGTTTTTCGATATTTTTATTATTATTAAATAATGTTGTTTGACATTCTAAATGTGTTTTTAACATTCGGTTTTTTATTGTTTTTGACATTCTAAAAATATGTTTTTGACTTTTTAAATTATGGTTTTGACATTTTAAATGTGTTTTTGACAATCCCATTTGGTTTTTAACATGTCAGTTTTGTTCTTGTGTTTTTGACTTTTAAAAGCATTTTTTTCATTAAACATGACATTCTAAATTATGTTTTTGACATTAATTAATGTTTTTTGATATTTTTATTATTATTAAATAATGTTGTTTGACATTCTAAATGTGTTTTTAACATTCGGTTTCTTATTGTTTTTGACATTCTAAAAATATGTTTTTGACTTTTTAAATTATGGTTTTGACATTTTAAATGTGTTTTTGACAATCCCATTTGGTTTTTGACATGTCAGTTTTGCTCTTGTGTTTTTGACTTTTAAAAGCATTTTTTTCATTAAACATGACATTCTAAATTATGTTTTTGACATTAATTAATGTTTTTTGATATTATTATTATTATTATTGAATAATGTTGTTTGACATTCTAAATGTGTTTTTAACATTCGGTTTTTTATTGTTTTTGACATTCTAAAAATATGTTTTTGACTTTCTAAATTATGGTTTTGACATTTTAAATGTGTTTTTGACAATCCCATTTGGTTTTTGACATGTCAGTTTTGCTCTTGTGTTTTTGACTTTTAAAAGCATTTTTTTCATTAAACATGACATTCTAAATTATGTTTTTGACATTAATTAATGTTTTTTGATATTATTATTATTGAATAATGTTGTTTGACATTCTAAATGTGTTTTTAACATTCGGTTTCTTATTGTTTTTGACATTCTAAAAATATTTTTTGACTTTTTAAATTATGGTTTTGATATTTTAAATGTGTTTTTGACAATCCCATTTGGTTTTTGACATGTCAGTTTTGCTCTTGTGTTTTTGACTTTTAAAAGCATTTTTTTCATTAAACATGACATTCTAAATTATGTTTTTGACATTAATTAATGTTTTTTGATATTATTATTATTGAATAATGTTGTTTGGCATTCTAAAAATATGTTTTTGACTTTCTAAATTATGGTTTTGACATTTGAAATGTGTTTTTGACATTTCAGTTTTGCTTTTTAAGGATAGAATGCAGTTTCTGTTACAAAATATTGCTATTTAAAAGTAAGAATTACTTTTAAGTCAAAATTAAAGTAGCTGTTTAGTATACTTAACTAATTTAAAGTTATCACCACTTTGGTAATGGTTTTTGGAACCAAAACATTTTAAGTCGCCTTCATTACTCACCTTCCTGCTTTTATTTTCCTTGATGTGCTTCTTTTCCAACAACCTTATCACTATGGTTTTATCCAGGAGCTTTTTTTTGACAGTTTCCATGGTCATTATACCGGCAAGGGTGCGGGAAATGTGCTCTTGGTCCTCCGGGTCTACTTTGCAGACCTTTTTGGTCGATACTTTCCTCTCCTCTACCACCGTTTGGGGCGGAAGTTGCACTTGTTCTGTTTCCGTCTCGCAGACGTTTGTTTGCATCTCGCCGGTGTTACCCTCGCTAGCCTCTATATCAACCAAACGCTTCTCCACGTGGATTACCTTACCGATTAGCCTCTTACCATCTGAGGTCTTGCAGAGAGGCAGTTTTTTGTTGAGGAGGTTGTTGAGGTCTGTTTTCTTGCGACTCCACGATTTGATTTCGGTGTTTTTACGGTGGATTTTGTCCAGGTACTTGTGCAAGGTGACTGTTTGGCCGGTTAAAAGATTTTTGCCGGTTATTTTCGAGAGGTCTGTCTCGTTTACGTCCATCGTGTTTAGCAGTGGATCCACTTCTTGTTGTTCTTCGGGAGTGTAAGTTTTTAGGTGCAATTTGCCGTCTTTTAGTACCGCGTAGTGATAACCATTTAGTAAAAAACTAAAACATTAGGTACACACTACTAAATTAGCACACATACTGTGGCAAAATCGTAATGATTTTGTTTATGAAAAATTGTTATCAAAACAACTAGATATTTGTATTACAAAACACTGAATCATAATTGAAAAATATCGCTTTGTTAAAACAATAATTAAATAACATTAGCTATGTGTTTGATATTTAAATTATGTTTTTGATTTTCTAATTAACATTAACATTCGAAATTATGGTTTTGACATTGTAAATGTGTTTCTGACATTTTTGACACTTAAATTGTGTTATACATTCTAAATTCGTTTTTTTATTTAAACTAACATTTTAAATTATGTTTTTATTGGATTTTTGTCATTCTAAATTAATGTACTTTTAACCATTGTGTGTTTGACTTCCTAAACCGTTTTTACATTTTGTTGATTTTGGACACATTAAATTTTTTTCATTAAAATAACATTTTAAATTATGTTTTTGACATTCCATGCGTGATTTTGACTTTTTGAATGTATTTTTGACAATCTAAATTGGTTTTGACTTTTTAAACCGTTTTTACATTACATTAAGATTCTAATTTATGTTTTTGACAATCCCATTTGGTTTTTGACATTTCAGCTTTGCTTTTGACGCATTAAATTGTGTTTTTAAGTTTTAAAAGCTTTTTTTCCTTAAAATTGACATTTCAAATTATGTTTTTGGCATTAATTTATGTATTTTGATATTCCTAATTGCGTTTTAGACAATCCCATTTGTTTTTTTGTTTTGCTTTTGACACATTAAATTTTTTTCATTAAAATAACATTTTAAATTATGTTTTTGACATTCCACGCGTGATTTTGACTTTTTAAATGTATTTTTGACAATCCCGTTGTATTTTTGACAATCTAAATTGGTTTTGACTTTTAAACCGTTTTTACATTACATTAAGATTCTAAATTATGGTTTTGACATTTAAAAGCGTTTTTTCATTAAACTTGACATTCTAAATTATGTTTTTGACATTAATTAATGTTGCTAAACATATTAAATGTGTTTTAGCATTCGGTTTTTTATTGTTTTTTGACATTCTAAAAATATGTTTTTGACTTTCTAAATTATGGTTTTGACATTTTAAATGTGTTTATAACAATCCCATTTGGTTTTTGACTTCAGTTTTGATTTTGACACATCAAATTGTGTTTTTGACTTTTTAAAACCGTTTTTATATTACATTAACATTCGAAATTATGGTTTTGACATTGTAAATGGTTTTTGACATTTTTGACACTTAAATTGTATTTTAAATTTTGAAATCGTTTATTTTTCATTAAACTCAACATTTTAAATTATGTTTCTTTGGATTTTCGTCATTATAAATGTTTTTGATATTGCAAATTGTGTTTTTGACATTACCAAACGTGATTTTGACTTTTTGATGTATTGGATTTTTGTCATTCTAAATGTGTTTTGGCATTCCAAATTGTGTTTTTGGCATTCCAAACGTGATTTTGACAATCCCATTGTATTTTTGACAATCTACATAAGTTTTGAATTTCTAAACTGATTTTTCATTACATTGAGATTCGAAATTATGGTTTTGACATTTTAAATGTGTTTTTGACAATCCCAACGTTTTTTTGACATTCTAAATGTGTTCTTTTCATTCTGGTTTTTATTGGATTTTTGTCGTTCTAAATGTAATGATTTTGTTTATGAAAAATTGTTATCAAAACAATTAGATATTTGTATTACAAAACACTGAATCATAATTGAAAAATATCGCTTTGTTAAAAAATAATTAAATAACATTAGGTACGTGCTCTTGATATTTAAATTATGTTTTTAATTTTCTAATTAAATTTAACATTCTGACATTATTAGTGTTTTTTGACATTTTAAATGGGTTTCTTGAACCGTTTTTATATTACATTCGAAATTATGGTTTTGACATTGTAAATGTGTTTTTGACAATCCCATTCGGTTTCTGACGTTTTTGACACTTAAATTGTATTTAAATTTTGAAATGGTTTATTTTTCATTAAACCCAACATTTTAAATTATGTTTCTTTGGATTTTTGTCATTCTAAATGTTTTTGATATTGCAAATTGTGTTTTTGACATCACGTGATTTTGACTTTTTGATGTATTTTTGACACTTTCATTGTATTTTTGACAATCTAAATTGGTTTTGACTTTCTAAACCATTTTAACATTACATCAAGATTCGAAATTATGATTTTGACATTTTAAATGTGTTTTTGTCATTCTGGTTTTTATTGGATTTTTGTCATTCTAAATGCGTTTTTTCATTTGTCATTCTAAATGTGTTTTTGGCATTCCAAATTGTGTTGTTGGCATTCCAAACGTGATTTTGACTTTTTAAATGTATTTTTGACAATCCCATTGTATTTTTGACGATCTACATAAGTTTTGACTTTCTAAACTGATTTTTCATTACATTGAGATTCGAAATTATGGTTTTGACATTTTAAATGTGTTTTTGACAATCCCAACGTTTTTTTGACATTCTAAATGTGTTCTTGTCATTCTGGTTTTTATTGGATTTTTGTCGTTCTTAATGTGTTTTTGACATTCTTAATTGGTTTTGACTTTCTAAACCGTTTTTACATTATATTAACATTCTAAATTATGTTTTGAAATTTTAAATGTTTTTGACAATCCGATTGCCAACATCATGATGACACACTAAATTGTGTTTTTGTTTTGAAATAGTTTTTTCATTAATCTTAACATTCTAAATTATGTTTTTAACATTAAAGTTTTCTGACATTCTAAATGTGTTTTTGACATTCATTTTTTTCTTGTTTTTGACATTCTAAATTGTTTTTGATTTTCTAAACCGTTTTTAGTTGCATTAATATTCTAAATTATGGTTTTGCTATTTTAAATGTGTTTTTGATAGACCAATTTGGTTTTTGTCATTTTGATTGTGCTTTTGACACAATAAATTGCCTTTTTGAATTCCAAATGTGTTTTTGACATTTTAAATTACATTACATTACCATTCTTAATTACGGGTTTGACGTTTTAAATGTGTTTATGACAATCTCATTTGGGTTTTGACAATTCAGTTAAGCTTTTTACCCATTAAATTATGTTTTTGACTTCCAAAATCTTTTTTTTCAATAAACGACATTCTAAATTATGTTTTTGACAATCTAAATTATGTTTTTGATATTAATTAATGTTTTTGACATTTTAAATTTGATTAAAACTTTTTTATGTTCTTAATTGTTTTTGACTTTCATTAACATTCTTAATCACTTTTTAAATGTGTTTATGACAATGTCATTTGGTTTTTGACATTTCAGTTTTTGATTCATTAAATTCACTTCCAAAATATTTTTTTCTAACATTCTAAATTATGTTTTTGACATTAATTAATGTTGTTAAACATATTAAATGTGTTTTTAGTATTCGGGTTTTTATTGTTTTTTTGCATTCTAAAATTATGTTTTTGACTTTCTAAATTATGGATTTGACATTTTAAATGTGTTTTTGACACTCCCATTTGGTTTTTGTCACTTCAGTTTTGCTTTTGACACATTTAATTGTGTTTTTGACTTTTAAAAGCGTTTTTTTCATTAAACTTGACATTCTAAATTATGTTTTTGACATTTATTAATGTTTTTTCATATTCTTAATTGTGTTTTTGACAATCCCATTTGGTTTTTGGCATTTTAGTTATGCTTTTGACATAATACATTGTGTTTTTTAATGAACTTGACATTCTAAGTTGTGTTTTTGACATTAATTATTGTTGTTTTACATTCTAAATGTGTTTTTAACATTCGGTTTTAATTGTTTTTTGACATTCTAAAAATGTTTTTGACTTTCTAAATTCGGGTCTAAATTATGGTTTTGACATTTTAAAGTGTTTTTGACAATCGCATTTGGTTTTTGAAATTTAAATTTTGCTTTTGACACAATTATGTTTTTGACTTTTGAAAGATTTTTTTTAAATTAAACTTGACATTCTAAATTATGTTTTTGACATTAATTAATGTTTTTTGATATTCTTATTATTATTAAATAATGTAAACTTGACGTTCTAACTGTGTTTTTAACATTCGGTTTTTTATTGTTTTTGACATTCTAAAAATATGTTTTTGACTTTCTAAATTATGTTTTTGACTTTTAAAAGCGTTTTTTATTAAACTTGGTATTCGCATTTGGTTTTTGGCATTTTAGTTATGCTTTTGACTTCAATTTTTTTTTACTTGACATTCTAAATTTTTGTCATTATGTTTTTGACATTCTAAATTGTGTTTTTGACAATCCCATATTATTTTTGACACTTTTGACAGTTCCAATGGGTTTTTGACATATTAAATTGTATTTATTACTTTCTAAAACATTTTGTTTTTACCATAAGAAATTTATTTAATTAATAATTAAGATTGATTTTATTCATTAGAAAACAAAAAATTAACCAGATTAACTTCTTACCCATTTTCATCCACTATGGTGCTTCCACCTTGATTTTCTTGTTGCATTATGTCATCAAAATCCACCACTTCACCATTTAATTCCAATTGATTTACCTCATACTCATCATTTTCCAAATTATCAGTTTCTATCACATCATTCAAAATCAACTGATCACTGTTCGAGATATAAACCACCTGTTGTTCTCCATTGCAATCGTCCTGTTCAATATACTGAACCACACTGTTTTCCTCCATAGCATCCTCATTTTCCTCGGTTATAAGAATTTGCTCATTATTTTCATCAACGTAATACTGAGCCAAATCGTCACCTTCTTGCAAAACAATTGTTTGCGAATCACCCTGTATAATGTGACCGTTCACCAATATAGCCTGCGTCCCGTCAGAATAGATTATCTAAAGGATAAGTTTTTATTTTTTTTTACACAACAAAAATTAAAAAAACACATCATATGTACAATAAATCGTTATTTTAGGTTAGGTTTTGCGCTTCAACTTACATCTTCATTTATTTCAGAAGAATCCAGAACCAACTCTGAATTATCGAAGACATAATGAACTTCCTCCTCTTCTAATTTTAATAGTTGAGACATTTTTATTGGTTAGCACCAAATGAACCCCTAAAAATACTAAAATTAAACATTAAAAAACAGTGTACATTTAACAAGTAAATATTAAATTAAATAAAGTTCTAGTAGTACAAGGAATTTTAAATTTTATTTTTAGTTCAATCGGTAAAAATACTTACAGAATCAACTAGCCCTGGTCCCGTCGGTATTCAAAATGGCGGAGTGACAGTGTGCTTCAAAAATCCAAAAATAAACCCTCAATAAACCCACAAACACAGCCGCATCAATAAAAACAAACTAAATATACAAAAAATAATAAATACAATCAATAAATATCGTTTAAAAACCCAAAAAACTAAAAAAGAAATGCCACCGCAGTAGCGACCCCTACAAAATTATCGCCGTACCAACGTAAACTGTAATCTGACTTACCGACATCGCAACCCTAACCTCAAAATGACGGAGAGCCGTATTTTTGAGTTAATTTTAAAAAATAATACTGAAATTACCGATTATTCCTTCGCAAAATTAAACAGGGATTCGGTTAGGGTTATTTCCAGTAAGTTCGCAGAGGTTATATACGAAACATTGAAGCAGAAAAGCAAAAATAGTGCCATAAAAAGAATTAATATATTAGTATGGTACAAATTATTGTGTATATATATTGTTTTAATTGTTTATTTTGTGTTTCAGAAATTCCTAAACAATCTATGTGTTGTAAATGAGTCGCATTTGCATAAAGAAAGTTATAGTTATCATGTAAACAAAATAAAATGCCGGTATAAAAAATACGATATTTTGGAAGATATAAGAAGTGATTTAAATGGTTTGAATGTTGATTTAAGAGGTGAAATTTTAAAATGCAGTGATAGAAGGAATTATAAGGATAGACGTAAGCATTTGGGTTTGTATTTTTATTTGGAGGTGATTGTAGGAGATAAAAAAAATATTTTAGAAAACATTAAAAAGTTTGATGAGGAGAAAATTAATTTACATTTCAAGAAGCCTCTACTTTTAACAAAAAAAGTTTCTTGTTGTAAAACGAGTAAAGTTTTGGTTCAAAGTTTATTTGGGGAAGAAGAAATAAGAAACGTTGATAAAAAAGTAATACATGATGTTGAGTATAGGAGGAAACAAATAAAATTTGGATATTCTGTGACTAATTTACAAATAAAGGATTTTTCTGAAATTGTTTTTATTATTTTTAATGAATTGAAAAGCTATGGAAAACTGGAGATGTTTGAATGTGAATTTATTGAATATACGTTTAATAATTGTGGTATGTACAAAATAATTTAAAAAAATATTTTTAAATTGTTTTTTTTTAGATAAAAATAAGGTTGTTAACTTTATAATACTAAACTTCCCATTTGCTTACGAAAAAATCACGATAAAACTTTGCAAAAACATTTTAAAATGCCAAAATGAACAAGAAATTAACAATTTTTTTACAGATTTGGGAGATAATAAACATTACAAATTAATTCAGAATATATGCCTGGAAAATATTGAATTGACTTATAAAATTAAAAGTATTATTTATGAATTGTTTTGTTATAGTTATTGTAATGAGAATGTATTGAGGTTTTGTAATTTATTTTGAAGAAATATACACGTTTATTAATTTATTTGTTTTTTATTTATTTCAGTGTCGAAGTATTATGCATCTCAGTGTATTTGCCGGCAATGTAGGAATCTGCGCGTAGTTCCGCTGGCCGCCGCAATCGCAATCAGAAATAATGGACAAAAATGGTGGTCACATAAAATTAAAATGTGGTTATTTTGTAGAAAAGACTACGTGAAATTAAACGAAGTTCGCGCACAAACAAGAAACTGACAAACGGAAGAAATAAAACGGTAATTTTTACGCTTAAAACTGTTGATAAAAATGTGCAAAGTGCCGATTAGTAATTTCGCTGTGCCTCGGTAATTTTTTCCGTGCAACTTTTTCGGCTTAGTGTAATTTAGTGTAATATGGCCCCCCCTTCTCCGGAAAATGACCACAGTCCCAAAGCGCCCGACAAAAAAACAACGGACGAAACTTCAAAAGAAAATGACAAGGATACCAAGGTATGGAACATAACCCTTCAAAAAACGCCACATCTGAACCCTTTAGTCATCAATTTTGAACCCCAATTGATCGCCAACACTACAATTGAGTTCATTTTACAAAAATAAATCGATATATTGTAAAATAATACCAGTCATTATAGTTTTACAATTTGACAGTTGACGTATGAAAACCGATGTTTTTAGAACGTTGAAAATCAAGAAAATCATTCAGTTTCCATCTAAAATTACAAAAAAATAACGAAAAATTGCACTAAACTAACATTTTTTTAAGACAGGTGTCATTATATGCCAAGCAATAACTAATTTGCAATCCAAACAAAATTTTACAATGTGTGATATAATTTCGTCAATATTAATATACACACTATATAAATGCATTAAATTTGACCCAATTGTATAACATAAAACAAAATAATTGTTCTAGGTACTTTCTATAGAAAATGATCTCTATAGAAAGCAATAAACCAATCAAAACACGGCATTCTCCACAGCACACTATACTATGGAAAAGTAAATCATATTTTTTGATATAGTAAATGTAAAATAGATTTTTCTTTGTGTAAAGATTTTAGAAATATTCGCTAAAATTAGTAAACGCACAGATTTATAAACAATACCGCTTTTATTGCCAAATACCTACGTATTTAAAATAGCTTTTATACCTTTTTTTATTTCAACGCTTTGTTTTGATGAAAGAATGCGATGATTAGGCATATTTTTATTCATAACTTAAACACGAAGCAAGATATGAAAAAACTTGTAGGACAAATATTTAGCAAATAGTGCAAGAAATCTAATTTAATTTACAAGTTTCACCAGAGGCGTGCGGGAAAAAAGTTCTGCTACAATAAAGATATTATGAAATAAAAAAAATCGTTCATTGGAGGCGCGTGGATGACATGCCCACTTTGCATTCAAAATTAATTAACAATCAGGCCAATGTTTATTGAAATAACAAGTTTACAGTCATTTGGCATCTATGACATAACCAGACAAGACCAAACAGAGATAAATTGCATATATACATACACCAAATTTGTCTTGTTGTATCTTGTGTTAATTTGTTTATTTTTAAACTTTTTAATCTTTATTAGATTTAACTAGCACCATGCCATGTAATTTGATACAAAGCCTATTATTTTTCACTATGGGGGCGTATTTTCTCCCCCGATATCTATAAAAGACGTTGCAACGTCGCGACTGGTTTCTATGGTGATGTAAGTCCGGTCATATTAATAAGGCTCAAAATACATAACAACAATGTCAATCTGACTCGAAACTGTTTATTGGCGATTTTCAAACCACTCAAAATGAAGAAACGCAAATTTTTTGCTTTGAAAGTAAAAAAAATCAATTTCTTTATGCGGAAGTTCTGCACATTTTTTCGCGCCGTGATCTCTAATTCATATTTTTGTTTTGTTGCAGACGTTATCCAATTTAAATGAATTAGAGTTAAAGGCTTTGCTGGATGAAGCTATTAATTATAAGAATCCAAAGGACAAGGAAGGCAAAAGTAAACTTTTTAAGGTAAGTCTTTAAAAAAATTTATAAATTTTATTAAATATAAATATGAAAATGCTCGGGCAAAACTAGTGATGATTCCAAAGGAGAACTCAGTAAGGTTCGTTTATTAAACAGATGTCAATGGTAAATTGTTGCGGATGCGGAAGCGGAAGTATAAATAGCGTACGAAATATTTTTTTTTTATTAAATTATTATTCAAAATTAAATACGGGCGAGTTGTATTCATAAAACGCGCGGAACTTCCGCAATTGCTGAAGCGGAAGCAGACGTCCGTTGCAACGCTGGTTTTAGTGTTGTTTTTTTTTGTTAATTCATTTCAATTTGCGGTTTTTATAATTTGCTCATCAAGGCTTGAATTCTTTCGCATTTTCCATCACATTCAAAAAGCAGAGTTGCCAAGTTTATACTGAGAAGTCGGAAGTTGTCACTAAACTAAAAAACGGAATTGTGAAAAGAGCGATTTTTAGTGAAAATTTGTGATCATAAAGGAGAACTTGGTAAGGTTCGTTTATTATATTTAACAGATGTGATGGTAAATTGTTGCGGATGCGGAAGCGGAAGTATAAATAGCGTACGAAATATTTTTTTATTAAATTAATGTTTAAAATTGAATACGGGCGAGTTGTATTTATAAAACGCGCGGAACTTCCGCAATTGCTGAAGCGGAAGCAGACGTCCGTTGCAACACTGGTTTTAGTGTTGTTTTTTTTTGTTAATTCATTTCAATTTGCGGTTTTTATAATTTGCTCATCAAGGTCTTGAATTCTTCCGCATCTTCCATCACATTCAAAAAGCAGAGTTGCCAAGTTTATACTGAGAAGTCAGAAGTTGTGACTAAACTAAAAACGGAATTGTAAAAAGAGCGATTTATAGTGATAATTGGTGATTCTAAAGGAGAACTTGGTAAGGTTCGTTGATTATATTTAACAGATGTGATGGTAAATTGTTGCGGATGCGGAAGCGGATGTATAAATAGCGTACGAAATATTTTTTTTATTAAATTAATATTCAAAATTGAATACGGGCGGGTTATATTTATAAAACGCGCGGAACTTCCGCAATTGCTGAAGCGGAAGCGGAGGTCCGTTGCAACACTGGTTTTGATGTTGATTTTCTTTAATAATTCATTTAAATTTGCTTATCAAGTTCTTGAATTCTTTCGCATTTTCCATCACATTTAAAAAGCAGAGTTGCCAAGTCTATTCTGAGAAGTCAGAAGTTGTGACTAAACTAAAAAACGGAATTGTGAAAAGAGCGATTTGTAGTGAAAATTGGTGATTTTAAAGGAGAACTCGGTAAGGTTCGTTTATTATATTTAACAGATGTGATGGTAAATTGTTGCGGATGCGGAAGCGGAAGTATAAATAGCGTACAAAATATTTCTTTTTATTAAATTAATGTTTAAAATTGAATACGGGCGAGTTGCATTCGTAAAACGCGCGGAACTTCCGCAAAAACTAAAAAAAAATTTTCTCTCAGAACCTTCTGAGCAAGGCGGTGGAAGATGAGCGCAAGAATCGCGCCACCTCAGCAGGCGGGTCAGAGCTAGTGCGATACTACAACACGACGGCCGCGAGGCGCCACGGCGGGCGCCACGGGCGTCGCAAGCCGTCGGCAAGCGTCTCGGAAAACGTGATGCACGGCGGAAGTCTGGACAACCTGGCCAAGGAGGAGCTCTACGAGGCCGAGCGACGACACAGGACCAGAAGAAACGTCAGCGCCAGGATGCGGGAGGGAGGTGAGTTTTTGACAGACGATTGCTTTTATTTGCAGGTCATGTATTCATCTTAAACGCCAAGCTGTCTTTTTTTGACGTTCTTTATCGGTTTTTGTCCGTTTCGATCCTTGTGAGTGCTCCGTGCACTACCACAAATTTGAGCTCCGTATCCAGGACAACAGCGTGTAGAAATCGGCTAGACAAATAAATATTTTAAGTAACTTTTTTATCAAAACTCAAAAATAAAAAAGTTATAGCCCATCAAAGTTTAATTAAATTTTAAGCTGGTCCTGGCTATTGTTAACGGAAAACATAACCATTTTAGCATGTCAAAATGTCAGTAATGGGGTAGTTAATTTTTTTCTGACCTATACTTTTTATGGTTTTATTCAATGCGTTTTGTAATATTTAACATTTCTGTGAAATCGGAATTTCAATTGAGTTTACCGTTTTCGAGATATTTACAAAAAATATAAATTTTTATGACGTCACAAACCTCGCCATGTGACCAACATTCCAAGATTTCTATTGGTTGAAAATTACCCTGTTGTCAAGTTGTCTTGTTAATGATTTCACTCGGTTATGTCAGAAAATACCCGAAGAGGTTATGTACAAATACTGTCGCTGTCAGTTGAGTGAAAGAAGAAGAAGAGGAGGTTAAAGAAAATTCTGAAATTAAAAGTTTTATTGGTAGGTTTACACATTGAAACACCGTGTGAAACCTAATAAAATGTAATAAATAGGTACCTAATAACTGTCTAAATAAGTTTAATATATTTCATAGAAAAAAGTGGCAAAATAAAGTCCAAGATATATCTAAAAAAATATAAAGAACTAGGCATTATACTAATGAAATGCATTTACGACAAAATATGATTATAATTATAGGTACTTACTTTATTTGTTTAAAAGCTCCAATGTTCAATGTAACCAACCATTCCACAAGATTCCTTATCACTTATCTAATATCAATTACAAATAACATAACAATAACATTGATTTTCAATAATCTAAATTTAAAAAAAAAACATAAACCGAAAAAAAGAAACGTCAAAAAATCAATTCTTCTTCTTCTTCTCAACTAAAATTATAGATCAAGTGGTTTTAAAACTAAAATATTATAACGTGGCGCCATCTATCGTAAGAATCTTAAACTAAACACACTGGCAACCATAGAAAAAGCTGGCAACGTTGACAATAGCCTAGTGACGTAATTAGGAGATTTTTTTTTGTAAATATCTCGAAAACGGTAAACTCAATTGAAATTCCGATTTCACAGAAATGTTTAAAATTACAAAACGCCTTGAATAAAACCATAAAAAGTATAGGTCAGAAAAAATTAACTACCCCATTATAGCAATAATGAATTAGTGGAAATGTTACTAATTTATGGAGAGTGTCGTCAAAATGCAAATGCTGCAACTTAAGTAATGACATTTTTTATTGCAAAATGTCAATTTGATTTATGTTTGTTGTCAAATATGACATTTTGCATTGTTTATTTTGATATTTTTATGGTTATGTTTTTCGTTAACAATAGCCAGGACCGGCTTAAAATTTAATTAAACTTTGATGGGCTATAACTTTTTTATTTTTGAGTTTTGATAAAAAAAGTTACTTAAAATATTTATTTGTCTAGCTGATTTCTACACACTGTTAAAAGGAACGCTTCAACTTAAAACTCACCCTGTATAGCAAGTGTAGTGTTTGTTTAAATCATCAAATAATTATTAATAAATACCTATCCGCGCAGCCTATTGAGTCATAGCCTAGACTATTTCTGAAAAAATGTTTGCATATAATCGTCAATTAAAATTTTATTGCCAAGGCAAAAATTTGAATAATTTATTAGCAATTTTACTTAAAAATGTGTAGGTACTTGCGTTATATCGGTAATATTAATAAGAAAAAACAAAACAAATAATTGTGGAATAATATACTTCAAACCTGACCTTCATCAAAATTTTTTTTAGGAATTTATAATTTAAACATTGAACCTAAACAATGTTTTATCTTAAACCGTTCTATTTTTAAACATAATATGTGCATATGCTTTGATTAAAAAAAAATCTACATTTTTTTTTTACTTTTGATTAATTAATAGTTATCAAAAGAAGCCTATTTCAGTAGAGAATAGAATACTCTACAAAAAAGTTGTCTCAAGTTTTTTTTCGTAAAAGTAGCCATTCGAAAGATAGCTTTGGTCAAAAAACGCCCTGTATAATGTTTTGCAAAAATATATTTTTAAATCATAGCTTAATAATCAATTAATTAATAATATATGATGGAAATAACGATTTTTAGTGTGATATTTACTGTTAACTGTCAGTTTTGTTTGGGTACTTATTTTCAAAATTAATTATTTAAAGTCTGAAATGCATTATTTATACATTCAAACGCTATGGGTCAGCCCTGCGATTTCGTTTGTTTTCATTTCAGCAAACCGTCTTTTATTTTAACCAAGGCCAACTTGCCGCTTTGTGACACTTGCGGCGTTGCCAGGTTTACGTTTTATTAATAAAAACGCCGATGCTGCATAAAGTACATTTTTATCTGCGTCTTACTAATTTGTCTGTATTACCACTAAATGTAATGTTAAAAAGTTTATTTTTGGTGTACATGTTAACTAAGGAGCACTCTATTGAAAGCCATTAATGGTATTTGAAAATTTTATACAGGGTGTCTGGTATTTACATTGTAATATACACTCACAGGCAAAATAATCGATCCACACAAATTTTCGATGAATTTCAATGGGAAATAACTTTTTTATTTGATGTCGAATTTAAACGAATATTAAAGAATATTGTAGATAAATTAATGGACAATCGCTCACATTTTAATTTACTAAAAAATTGACGTACGTTTATAATATACAGGTTTAAACAAAAAGATGTTTTTTACCATAAGTTTAAGACACTCTGTAGAGTGGCAAAACCGTATATTGTTCTAAATTAAGTTTTATTTATCAAGTCACATCTATTCTTAACAGTTTTGTTTTTGGTTCACCTCGATATATTTATTTTTGTGGAAAATATGGATTTTTTATAAAAACATTGCAATTTCCAATATTTTTCTGTATGAAGAACTAAGGTTGCTATGGTCCATCCATAGGCTATGGAGAATGACAGTGACAGTTTTGTTGAATCATCCCATACTTGGACATGTCATACACGGCTTTCAAAAGCTATCAAATTGTTTTTTGCAAATTAATGTTAAATTTTGAGGTGTCTTCTTACTTTAAAAAATGGATATGGCTCCGACTGATGTTGCCAGAGCCATTAATTTAATCCAGGATGGACGGTCACAGTATTACGTGGCAAGTGATTTAAACGTCACAAGAAGTAAAGTACAAAGGGCAACATCAGTCGGAGACATTTTTAAAAGTAAGAAGACCCCTCAAAATTAACACATTAATTTACAAAAAAACAATTTGATAGCTTTTGAAAGCTGTATATGACATGTCCAAGTATGGGATGATTCAACAAAACTGTCACTGTCATCCTCCATAGGCTATGGATGGACCATAGCAACCTTACTTCTTCATACAGGAAAAATATTGGAAATTGCAATGTTTTTTTTTTAAATCCATATTTATTATTATTTATTTAGAACAATATACGGTTTTGCCACTCTACAGAGTGTCTTAAACTTATGGTAAAAAACATATTTTTGTTTAAACCCGTATATTATGAACGTACGTGTATTTTTTAGTAATTTTTAAAATGTGAGCGATTCTCCATTAATGTACCTACAGTATTCTTTAATATTTGTCTAAATCCGAAATCAAATAAAAAAGTTATTTGCGATTGAAATTCATCGAAAATCGCGAGTGTATATAAAAATAAACGTATTTTTTACATTTTTTGTAACGTAAATACTAGGCACCCTGTATAAAATTTTCAGATTCTATTAACGGCTTTCGATATAGTGCTCTTTAGTTAACAGGTAGACCAAAAATTAACTTTTTAACATTAAAATTAGTGGTAATACAGTCATTAATAGTTAATAAAATTTATCCCCTTAAAACTCTTCGTTCGTCGCACTGTGCGACGCGATCCGGCAACGTCGCGCGCGGCCGCCGCGACCCGTACGTTGCCAGTCATTTTTTTTTCGGCCGCCGAACATAACCTCAAATGTGTTTTTTCTCTTCTTTCGCGTTCGGCCGATGGGTTTTTTCGCAAAAACCAACGAAAATGGCTGCCGGCACGCGATCTACGTGACACGCGGCCACTCGTGAGTGAAAAATCGCCGGCAAAGTGAGTTTTTGGTTACTACGCGAAAATTAAGCTGCAACTTGTTGAGCGTAATTTCCGAGTTATGAGCACGCTGCAGAACTTTTTGAACGGCGTAACGAAATGTAAGTGAAAATTCAATTTAAAATCAAGATTACGCAACCCAGCGTTCGATTGTTTCAAACAGCCTTCGGTTGTTTTTTTTTATCATTTCGCCTGCCATTCCAGGCGACTTGATGATAACGTTTTTATGCACCAGACACGTAGAAGGCGTTTTATACAATGTGTCCCAAAAATTTGGTTTCCATAGCAAATGTCATATTTCGGGTTTTTTAATTTTTAAGTGAGTCATTTTATTATCTCATTTGTAACACTAAACGTTCAATAAATTAAACGTTATTTGCTTTTTTTAATCATTATCCAACTTGCATGTGTTAAAAAATGTATTGAACAAATATTAATCACAAAAAATAAAAATAAAACAGTTAAAAGAAAATTTAAATTATCTAGGTATCAACAAAAACATTAAACTGTAATCTAGGTATTTTAACTACATATTCAAATGAATTTTGTTGTTATTTTGTTCCTCAGACCTTTAATAATTAATAATTTTAATAATATTTACCAAAACAGCTAAAAATATACGTTCATTCTGCATATTAAAACAATTATTGATACTTTTAAAACTTCAAAATATGATTGTTATTTTCGACAAGAAAGAGCATTATGCATTAAATAAAGAAATAGTAAGAATGTTTTTTTATGAAAAACTTCTAGATCTACATAATTTTTTTTTATTTTTAATACATTTTTGACAAGAACTTATAGGTTTAGAGCAATGTTGCCAGATGTAGAATATTTCCACTTTTTGGGAAAATTTGATTTATTATTATTATTTAATATAAATTTTATACAGGGTTGGTTTGGGTGACTATTTATTAAATAATAAATGAAAGATATCAAGAAATAGTAAGTAACATAAATACATATACACTCACACAAATTTTCGATGAATTTCAATCGCAAATAACTTTTTTATTTGATGTCGGATTTAAACGAATATTAAAGAATATTGTAGATAAATTAATGGACAATCGCCCACATTTTAAAAAATTACTAAAAAATTGACGTACGTTTATAATATACAGGTTTAAACAAAAAGATGTTTTTTACAATAAGTTTAAGACACTCTGTAGAGTGGCAAAACCGTATATTGTTCTAAATTAAGTTTTATTTATTAAGTCACATCTATTCTTAACTGTTTTGTTTTTGGTTCACCTCGATATATTTATTTTTGTGGAAAATATGGATTTTTTTAGAAAACATTGCAATTTTCAATATTTTTCTGTATGAAGAATTAAGGTTGCTATGGTCCATCCGTAGGCTATAAAGAATGACAGTGACAGTTTTGTTGAATCATCCCATACTTGGACATGTCATACACGGCTTTCAGAAGCTATCAAATTGTTTTTTGCAAATTTTAAGGTGTCTTCTTACTTTAAAAAATGGATATGTCTCCGACTGATGTTGCCAGAGCCATTAATTTAATCCAGGATGGACGGTCACAGTATTACGTGGCAAGTGATTTAAACGTCACAAGAAGTAAAGTACAAAGGGCAACATCAGTCGGAGACATTTTTAAAAGTATAAAGACACCTCAAAATTAACACATTAATTTACAAAAAACAATTTGATAGCTTTTGAAAGCTGTATTTGACATGTCCAAGTATGCGATGATTCAACAAAACTGTCACTGTCATCTTCCATAGGCTATGGATGGACCATAGCAACCTTAGTTCTTCATACAGAAAAAATATTGGAAATTGCATTGTTTTTTTTTTAAATCCATATTTTCCACAAAAATAAATATAGCGAGGTGAACCAAACACAAAACTGTTAAGAATAGATGTGAATTGATAATTAAAACTTAATTTAGAACAATATACGGTTTTGCCACTCTACAATTATGGTAAAAAACATCTTTTTGTTTAAACCTGTATATTATAAACGTACGTAATTTGACGTTTACGTCGAAATTCCTTGTACATCATGGCTTGTGTAATGTTCCAGGGAGCTTACCCTGTAACGTCAACTCCAGCATGGCGCCCGCGCAGGGCTACCAATTTCTAGAAGAGGCTCGTCGCAGCAAGAAGGACAAGGAATTCACCGCAATAGACATGGAGTCGGTTTCTCTTCTAGAAAACGACTCGCTAGCGCAAAACTACCAGACCGAGGCGCCCGCGCATGAGTCTGCGCAGGCGCTTGGGACCGGGGCGCCCGCCCCGGGCGTCGGTAGCGCCCTCGTCGAGCTGCCCAAGAAGTACACCACCAAGGCGTCTCTGCAAGTCTGTAAGTAGACGTTTTAAATTGTTCTTTCGTTGTTTTTAACGTCGGGAGATTTAAAATACCTTGAAGATATAAACATAACCTAAAAACACCATAATTCATTCGTAACTTCAATACCTACTTCATTCGCGACTGTTACAATGTTATTAAAAGAATTTATATATCTTTTTACAGTTAGCTAAAACTTTTTTTTTTACTCTATAAAAACATTTTTAAGAAAGTTTAAAAAATTACCTTTTTAGAAAAATATGGAAAAAAAAATTTTTTAATATTTTTTTAATACATTTTCTGCAAATTCTGTGAAGTGGTAATCATCAAAAAAAATTGTTTTTCGAAAAAGTAAGAAATAAATTGAAGATTGTTTTAAATATTTTTTTATATATTTTTTAGTGGTTAATTTGTGATGAAATTCGTTTTATGTTTTTTTCAATACGACGCTTTTTATTTGTTCAAAATTACTAAAAAAAAAACTAGTTTATTAAATAATTTTATTTATTGTGTCTATTGAATGTAAAATTATTTTTTATTTTCTTTCTTTTTAAATGTGGTTTTCAAAAAATATATAAAAAATATTCAGCACTACCTCTATTCTATTTTTCTTACTTTTTCGAAAACCATTGAAATTTTTTCGATGATTACCAATTTCAATTGTAATTTTTTTGGAATTTTCGAAAAAAACGAAAATTATCCGATTATTGTCATTTTTAATTTTTTTATTGGAAACCGACATTTTCTGCAAATTCTCTGAAATTTTCAGTGGCGTTTTTTTGTTTTCTATTTTTTTTCAATTAATTTTTTTACAGCTTATTTCTTATAATACCACTCAATGGATTTTTGAGGATGTATAGAGAACCTCAAAGTTAAAAAAAATGAAATTGAAAGTGGTAATCATCAAAAAAATTGTTTTTCGGAAAAGTAAGAAATAAATTGAAGATTGTTTTAAATATTTTTTTATATATTTTTTAGTGGTTAATTTGTGATGAAATTCGTTTTATGTTTTTTTTAATACGACGCTTTTTATTTGTTCAAAATTACTAAAAAAAAAACTAGTTTATTAAATAATTTAATTTATTGTGTCTATTGAATGTAAAATTATTTTTTATTTTCTTTCTTTTTAAATGTGGTTTTCAAAAAATATATAAAAAATATTCCGCACTACCTCTATTCTATTTTTCTTACTTTTTCGAAAACCATTGAAATTTTTTCGATGATTACCAATTTCAATTTTAATTTTTTTGGAATTTTCGAAAAAAACGAAAATTATCCGATTATTGTCATTTTTAATTTTTTTATTGGAAACCGACATTTTCTTCAAATTCTCTGAAATTTTCAGTGGCGTTTTTTTGTTTTCTATATTTTTTTTCAAGTAATTTTTTTTAACAGCTTATTTCTTATAATACCACTCAATGGATTTTTGAGGATGTATAGAGAACCTCAAAGTTAAAAAAAATGAAATTGAAAGTGGTAATCATCAAAAAAATTGTTTTTCGAAAAAGTAAGAAATAAATTGAAGATTGTTTTGAATATTTTTTTTATATAATTTTTTGGGGGTTAATTTGTGATGAAATTCGTTTTAAGGTTTTTTTCAATAAGACGCTTTTTATTTGTTCAAAATTACTAAAAAAAACTAGTTTATTAAATAATTTTATTTATTGTGTCTATTGAATGTAAAATTATTTTTTATTTTCTTTCTTTTTAAATGTGGTTTTCAAAAAATATATAAAAAAATATTCAGCACTACCTACCTCTATTCTATTTTTCTTACTTTTTCGAAAACCATTGAAATTTTTTCGATGATTACCAATTTCAATTTTAATTTTTTTTGAATTTTCGAAAAAAACGAAAATTTCCCAATTATTGTCATTTTTAATTTTTTTATTGGAAACCGACATTTTCTGCAAATTCTTTGAAATTTTCAGTGGCGTTTTTTTGTTTTCTATTTTTTTTCAATTAATTTTTTTACAGCTTATTTCTTATAATACCACTCAAGGGATTTTTGAGGGTGCAGAGAGAACCTCAAAGTTAAAAAAAATGAAATTGAAAGTGGTAATCATCAAAAAAATTGTTTTTCGAAAAAGTAAGAAATAAATTAAAGATTGTTTTGAATATTTTTTCTTATATATTTTTTAGTGGTTAATTTGTGATGAAATTCGTTTTATGTTTTTTTTCAATACGACGTTTTTTATTTGCTCAAAATTACTAAAAAAAACTAGTTTATTAAATAATTTTATTTATTGTGTCTATTGAATGTAAAATTATTTTTTATTTTCTTTCTTTTTAAATGTGGTTTTCAAAAAATATATAAAAAAATATTCAGCACTATCTCTATTCTATTTTTCTTACTTTTTCGAAAACCATTGAAATTTTTTCGATGATTACCAATTTCAATTTTAATTTTTTTTGAATTTTCGGAAAAACGAAAATTTTCCGATTATTGTTATTTTTAATTTTTTTATTGGAAACCGACATTTCCTGCAAATTCTCTGAAATTTTCAGTGGCGTTTTTGCGTTTTGTATTTTTTTTTCAATTAATTTTTTTACAGCTTATTTCTTATAAGTAAATAGATTTTTGAGGAAGTAGAGAGAACCTCAAAGTTAAAAAAAATGAAATTTTAAGTGGCAATCATCAAAAAAAAAGTAAGAAATAAATTGAAGATTGTTTTGAATATTTTTTTTATATATTTTTTAGTGGTTAATTTGTGATGAAATTCGTTTATGTTTTTTTTTCAATACGACGCTTTTTATTTGTTCAAAATTACTAAAAAAAACTAGTTTATTAAATAATTTTATTTATTGTGTCTATTGAATGTAAAATTATTTTTTATTTTCTTTCTTTTTAAATGTGGTTTTCAAAAAATATATAAAAAAATATTCAGCACTACCTCTATTCTATTTTTCTTACTTTTTCGAAAACCATTGAAATTTTTTCGATGATTACCAATTTCAATTGTAATTTTTTTGGAATTTTCGAAAAAAACGAAAATTATCCGATTATTGTCATTTTTAATTTTTTTATTGGAAACCGACATTTTCTGCAAATTCTCTGAAATTTTCAGTGGCGTTTTTTCGTTTTCTATTTTTTTTAAATTATTTTTTTAACAGCTTATTTCTTAAAATACCACTTAATGGATTTTTGAGGATGTATAGAGTGGTAATCATCAAAAAAATTGTTTTTCGAAAAAGTAAGAAATAAATTGTAGATTGTTTTGAATAATTTTTTAAATATTTTTTTTTTAATTTCATTTAAAAACAAAGAAATTAAAAAAACAATTGTATTTATTGGACAAAACATGTTTTTTTTACAATCATCTATTGAATGTAAAATTATTTTTTATTTTCTTTCTTTTTAAATGTAGTTTTCAAAAAATATATAAAAAAAATATTCAGCACTACCTCTATTCTATTTTTCTTACTTTTTCGAAAACCATTGAATTTTTTTTGATTTCATTTATTTTTTTTAAGCTGAGGTATATGAGGTGGTGTGAACACTAAAATAATAATCACACATTCCTGACGCCAAAATAAAGCTATATAAGTAAAGTTGATGATAATAACGAAGAGTTATTATTATCGAAGGTGAATTTTAGAGGAAAATATTTTTTTCAGCCAACGTTGACGATCCCATCCAACTTTCGGATCTGGACGGAAATTCGGAAAAGAAAAACTACGATCTAGACACGATCCAAAGCAACGTGTTGCACAGCAAATACAGTGTATATTTTCCAACCTATAAACTCGATGATTCCAAAGTAAGTTGCCCAAAAAAAAAAAAATCTGTCGAGTAAAAAAAATTGACAAGTTAAGGAAAACAGTTTGTATACAATAACGTCAATCAAACTATATAAAAACGACAGCTGTTTGGAAACATCGTAGGAATTTTACCTGTTTTTTATTTATTTATTTAAATGGGGTATTACAATTTGCGACAGGCAAAAAAACGCATTTTGGAACTTGGTCCAAATTTTGATACCGCATCTTTAGACGTTGTGTGGTAGTTGCTAAAATGCATGTTTTTTTTTGTGAGAAGAATGGTTGTATGTTTTGTATACACCCTGTATTTCTTTGGAACACATCATGATTCAGTTCAAAACACTCATAAAAAACAACAAAAACCTCGTCATTTGTTGTTGTTGTTGTTTTTTCGTTTGTTTACTTTTTCAATTTGAAATTTCAAAAACACAATTTACAATTTCAAAAACACAATTTAGAACGTCAAAAACAATTACAGTGTTTGAAATGTTGCAATGTTTGAAAATGTAAAAAAAACAATTTACAGTGTCAAAAACACAATTTAGGGTGCAAAAAACATAATTTACAATTTTTAAAACATTTTAGAATGCCCATCAAAATAAAAAATGTTGAAAAGACAATTTAATATCAAAAACACTATTTAAAATGTCAAAAACACGATTTAGAATGTCTAAAACATAATTTACAGTGTTTAAAACGTTTTAAAATTCCCTTCAAAATAAAACATGTGAAAATCACTTAAGTATGTTAAAAGCACAATTTAGAATATAAAAATTACAATTTAAAATGTCAAAAAACACAATTTAGAATGTCAAAAACACAATTTAGGGTGTAAAAATCATAATTTACAATGTTTAAAATATTTTAGAATGCCCATCAAAATAAAAAATGTGAAAATGTAGAAAAGACAATTTACAATGTCCAAAAAAAATAGAATATCAAAATCACATTTTACAATGTTTTAGATATTTTAAAATGTTGAAAAGAATTTACAATATCAAAAACACTATTTAAAATGTAAAAACATAATTTACAATGTTTAAAACATTTTATAATGCCCATCAAAATAAAACCTGTGAAAATTACTTAAGGATGTTAAAAACACAATTTCGAATATAAAAATTACAATTTAAAATGTCAAAAACACAATTTAAAATGTCAAAAAACACAATTTAGAATGTCAAAAACACATTTTACAATGTTTTAAACATTTTACAATGCCCTTCAAAATAAAAAATGTGTTAACAATTAACATTGTTAAAAACACAATAAGAATATCAAAAACACAATTTAGAGTGTCAAAAACACATTTTACAAGATTTAAAACATTTTAGAATCTACATCAAAATAAAAAATATAAAAATACAATTTACAGTGTCAAAAACAATTTAGAATATCAAAAACATAATTTATAATAACAAAAACACAATTTTGGGTGTAAAAAACATAATTTACAATGTTGAAAACATTTTAGAATTCCCTTCAAAATAAAACATGTGAAAATCACTTAAGGATGTTAAAAGCACAATTTAGAATATAAAAATTACAATTTTAAATGTCAAAAAACACAATTCAGAATGTCAAAAACACAATTTAGGGTGTAAAAATCATAATTTACAATGTTTAAAATATTTTAGAATGCCCATCAAAATAAAAAATGTGAAAATGTAGAAAAGACAATTTACAATGTCCAAAAAAAAATGGAATATCAAAATCACATTTTACAATGTTTTAGGGATTTTAAAATGTTGAAAAGAATTTACAATATCAAAAACACTATTTTAGGGATTTTAAAATGTTGAAAAGAATTTACAATATCAAAAACACTATTTAAAATGTCAAAAACACAATTTACAATGTTTAAAACATTTTATAATGCCCATCAAAATAAAACCTGTGAAAATTACCTAAGGATGTTAAAAACACAATTTCGAATATAAAAATTACAATTTAAAATGTCAAAAAACACAATTTAGAATGTCAAAAACACATTTTACAATGTTTTAAACATTTTACAATGCCCTTCAAAATAAAATATGTGTTAACAATTAACATTGTTAAAAACACAATTAAGAATATCAAAAACACAATTTAGAGTGTCAAAAACACATTTTACAAGGTTTAAACCATTTTAGAATCTACATCTAAATAAAAAATGTGAAAATACAATTTACAGTGTCAAAAACACAATTTAGAATATCAAAAACATAATTTACAATATCAAAAACACAATTTTGGGTACAAAAACATAATTTACAATGTTTAAACATTTTATAATGCCCATCAAAATAAAAAATGTTGAAAAGACAATTTAATTAAAAACACTATTTAAAATGTCAAAAACACATTTTGTAAATGTAAAATTGTTAAAAATAAAATTTACAATATGAAAAACACAATTGAGAATGTCAAAAACATAATTTACTATTTGTAAAACCAAAAACACAATTTAGACAGTTAAAAAGCACATCTTTAGCACAGCATCTTTAAATGTCTGTGGTTTAAAATTTTAATGTTGATGCTGCTAAAATGCATGTTAGAAAAATATTTTTTTGTGAGAAGAATGGTTGTATGTTTTGTATACACCCTGTATTTCTTTGGAACGCACATCATGATGCACTCGACACTCATAAAAACAACAAAAACCTCATCATTTGTTGTTGTTTCGAGCCAATGTTTTTTCGTTTTGTTTACTTATTTTTTTTACTCGTTTCGCGCTTGTGTTAACATATTTGGTGGCTTCATGTTTCCTTATTCGAGTAGTTTTCTTGCATTAAACGAGTCTTTTCTTGAGGCCTTGATGTTTTTTCAGAAGGTGGACGAGAATGGCAACGCGTTGCAGCAAACGAAAACCAAAAAGAAAAAGGCACAGAGCGACAAGAACGTCGTAGTTCTTGCGTCCGAGAATGTAAGTAAAGAACGCTAAAAAAAAAATGGTCGAAAAAGTGCAATTTTTCTCTTTTCGCCAGGTGGAGGGTCACAGGGGGGACATCATCAACGACATACCGAAGCTGGTGGAGTTTATAGGGGGTGGGGATGCCCTGCCCAAAAAGTCCAACTTGCACAAGTCCAAGCAGCTTCACAAGCAACACACCGCCGACGAGGCGACTGTCAAAGGTTTGCTTTGTGTTTAAATTTTGTAAGGTAGAGCGGCTAAAAGTGCGCAGTGTGCAAACGCGCACTCTTGGACCATTTTACCTTACATTTTTAAACGGCGCCGTACACATTATAAAATTGAAATTTGACATTAATTGGAATTGCGCAGTGTATAAGTGCGCACAGTTGAGCTGTTTTACCTTACATTTATCAAAGGACGTCGAATTTAACATTTTACCGTTTACGTTTTAACAATAAAATATAAAATAAGGTGTGCGGCCAAATATGCGCAGGGTGAAAGTGCGTACATTTGGGACGATTACCTTACTCTTTTTCATAACCACATTCCTTGAAACAAAACCGTAACCGCACATTCTTTGAAACAAAATTAGCTGATCATTATATATCATTGGAATTTGTTAAGGTAGAGCGGCCAAAAGTGCGCAGTGTGTAAAAGCGCACTCTTAGGCCGTTTTACGTTACACAATAAACTTTAATATAGTTAGCTCGCGCGCAGTTTAGAAGTGCGCACATTTGAGCTGTTTTACCTTACATTTATCAGAGGACGTCGAATTTAACAATACAAATTGAAATTTTACAGTAATCAGCATACAGTAAGGTCGTGCGGCTAAGAGCGCGCAGTGTGCAAACGCGCACACTTAGGGCGTTTTACCTTACGTTTTAGAGCCCATCAAGTTTTAACGATAAAATATAAAATAAAGTGTGCGGTCAAACATGCGCAGTGTGAAGGTGCGTACACTTGGGACGTTTACCTTACTTTTTTTCATAACCATATATTCCTATATAACCAAAATAATTAGAATTTGGTAAGGCTAAAAGTGCGTAATGTGTAAACGCGCACTCTTAGACCGTTTTACCTTACATTTTTAAATGCCACCACACTCAATAAAAAATTGAAATTTGACATTAATTGGAATATAGTTGGCTCGTGCGCACTGTATAAGTGCGCACAGTTGAGCTGTTTTACCTTACATTTATCATAGGACGTCGAATTTAACAATACAAATTGAAATTTGACGGTAATCGGAATATAGTAAAGTAAAGCGGCCAGGAGCGCGCAGTGTACAAACGCGCACTCATAGGGAGTTTTACCTTACGTTTTTAGAGCCCATCAAGTTTTAACAATGAAATTTAAAATAAGGTGTGTGGCCAAATATGCGCAGTGTGAAAACCATTTCAGAATATTAGAAACGGTTTTTAAGGGTCAAGGCAGTTTGAACGAATAAAAATTACTGAGGAATTTCAATCAAAAACACAATTTAAAATGTCAAAAAAAATTTTAGAATGCCCATGAAAATAAAAATGTGAAAAGGTTTAAAAACACAATTTAGAACTTCAATAACATAATTTACAATGTTTAAAATATTTTAGAATGCCCATCAAAATAAAACATGTGAAATTTGTTTAAGGGTGTTGAAAGCACAATTTAGTGTAAAAAATAATAATTTTAAAATGTCAAAAAACACAATTTAGAATGTCAAAAACACGTTTCACAATGTTTTGCACATTTTAGAATGCCCGACAAAATAAAAAATTTGAAAATGTTGAAAAAACAATTAACAATATCAAAAACTTAATTAAGAATATCAAAAACACAATTAGGAATATCAAAAGCACAATTTAGAATGTCAAAAACATAATATACAATGTTTAAAACATTTTAGAATGTCCATCAAAATAAAACATGTGAAAATTAATTAAGGATGTTAAAAACACAATTTAGAATATAAAAAATACAATTTAAAATGTCAAAAACACAGTTTAGGATGTCAAAAACATAATATACAATGTTTTAAACATTTTAGAATGCTTGTCAAAATAAAAAACGTAAAAATTTAGAGAATAGTTATTTGTTTTACAAGTGTTGAAAAGCGACTTTTTCATGCGAGTTTTTAAGTTGCCCACGAGGCCGTTAGGCCGAGTGTGCATTAACACGAGCTTGAAGAAAGCTTTTCTCACAAGTATAACACAATGTTTTTTCTGCGACCCTTTTATTTTTTATTATTTTTAAATACAAAACAAAATAACCTAAAAACTTTTTTGACAGCTGAATGTCAAACGATGCTTTCCGGTTCTTTTCACACAGACCTGTCACTTTTCACACAGAAATGTCACTTTACATTCGTGTTTTGCCTTGCCAATGAAAAGATTCATTTTCTAAGCAACGATGCCATCATGAAAAGTGACTTTTACATAGTGGTCGTAGAAAAAACAATTTACAATGTTAAAAACACAATTTAGAATATCGAAAATACAGAATTTTTTTATCACAAACATTTTAAAATGTTCTTATTCATATAGAATGCCTGTCAAAATGAAAAACAGGTCTAAATGTTGAAGTGTTGAAAAAACAATTACAATATTAAAAACACAATTTAGAACGTCAAAATGTTTAAAACACGTTTTAGAATCTCAATAGTAAGTAATTAAAGTTATGTAAGGTAGAGCGGTTAAGAGTGTACATTAAATAAAATGTTACGTTAAGCGCCCCAAAGTTTTACCTTACGTTTCAAATTTTAAACAATAAAGTATATGTAAGGTAGCGCGTCCAAAAGTGCGCAATGCACGAGTGCGCACAATTGGGCGCTTTACCTTACATTTTGCGAAAATGTCACAAAATCGATATTTTTTTTAATTAGGCGGTAAGAAACAGAGGGCGCACTCCACCAAAGGTAAGGAATCGCGCGGCGAGCTGAAGAAGAGCAACTCGCTGGGCGAGATATCGACCGCCAATCTGGAGGATTTCGAGTTCGACGCCGCCGAAAATAGCGACGTCGGCAAGGTGGTGCTGAGGGCGGCGAAAAACGGCGGCGGCTCCGACAGGCCGAGGGAGCGGCGTTCCTGGGGAACAGTCGAGGTAAGGTTCAATTTTTAGTTTTTTTTAGTTTTTCTTCGAAATTTGACAGTCATTGGAATTTAGTAAGGTTGCGCGGCCAAAAGTGCGCAGCGTGTACATGCGCACTTTTAGGACGTTTTACCTTACATTTTTTTAAAAGAGCGTCAAACACGATAAAAAGTTAAAATTTGTGCGTCGTGTATAAGTGCGCACAGTTGAGCTGTTTTACCTTACATTTATCAGAGGACGTCGAATTTAACAACAAGGTCCAGCGGTCAAGAGCGCGCAGTATATAAACGCGCACACTTGGGGCGTTTTACCTTCCGGTTTTAGAGGATATCGAGGTTTAACGATAAAATATAAAATAGGGTTTGCGGCCAAAAGTGCGCAGTGTGAAGGTGCGTACATTTGGGACGTTTACCTTACTTTTTTTTTCATAGCCACATATTTCTTGAACCAAAATGAGCTGATTTGACAAAAACTTATTTCAGAATATTAGAAACGCTTTTTGAAGGTTAAGGCATACGTTTGAACGTCAAAACTAAAACTACAAAACACCAACAGAATGTCAAAAACGCATTTTATAATGTTAAAAACATTTAACATCAAAATAAAAAAATACGAAAATTACTTAAGAATTCTAAAAAATCAATTTAGATTGTCAAAAACACAATTTAGAATGTCAAAAACACATTAAAAATGTTTAAACCATTTTAGAATGCACATCAAAATATAAAAAAGAAAAGTACTTAAGAATGTTTAAAATACAATTTACAATCTCAAAAACATAACTTGGATTGTCAAAAACAGAATTTAGAATGTCAAAAACACATTTTACAATATTTAAATTATTTTAAAAACACATTTTGCAATTTCAAAAACATAATTTGATTGTCAGAAACACAATTTAGAATGTGAAACACATTTTACAATGTTTAAAAAAAACATTTCAGAAAGCCCGTCAAAATATAAAATGTGAAAATTACTTAACAATGTTAAAAAAATAAAACAATTTGCAATGTCAAAACACAATTTAGAATGACAAAAACACATTTTGAAATGTTTAAAACATTTTAGAATGCACATCAAAATATAAAAAAGAAAAGTACTTAAGAATGTTTAAAATAGAATTTAAAATGTCAAAAACACATTTTGCAATGTCAAAAACATAACTTGGATTGTCAAAAACACAATTTTAGAATGTAAAATATATATAAAAACCACTTAAGAATGTTAAAGACACATTTTTTTCTATGAAATTTTAGATTGATTAGAGTTTGTTGAGCTAGCGCGGCCAAGAGTGCGCAGTGTATAAACGCGCACTCTTGGTTAGTTTACCTTACATTTTTTAGACGACGTCAAATTCAACAATACACATTAAAACTTTACAGTTATCAAAATATAGTCATGCGGCTAAGAGCGCGCAGCGTAGGTGTGCGCACACTTGATATATTTTACCTTACGATTTTTTTTAAAAGGGTATATGCAATTTTAACAATAAAATATAAAATAAGGTAGGGGTGGCCAAGTGTGCGCAGCGAGTTAGTGCGCACACTTGGGAGGTTTTACCTTGCATTTTTTGAAAATGTTAAATTTTGACGTACATTTGTCAAAATTTTAATTGTAGCCGCCTCCGTTCCCCGCGCTCTCTGCCAACACGTCGGCCGAGCACCTGGAAAGCTCCGAGAGCTGGATCGAGACCAAGACGAAGAAGAAGAGCAAGCGGCGCCGCAACTCGGCCTCGTCTTCGGGAGGCGGCGGGCGGCGGCGCGCCGCCGACCGCGGTCCCGGCAGCGACGCCGGCGGCGGCAACAGGTCGCGCACGCGCCGCCTCTCGCCGGAGGCGGGCGGCAAGGCGTGCGCCTCCGTGCCGCACAGCGAGAAGTCCAACGACTCGTCCGACGTCGATTCGGTGAGTCAAAAACGCATTTTAGAATGTCAAAAACACTATTTAGCATGTTATTAAAGAAACACAAATTTATAATGAAAAAAAACATAAATCTCTAATTGACGCTCTACGTCACAAACACAATTTAAAATGTCAAAAACACTATTTAGCATGTTATTAAAGAAACACAAATTTATAATGAAAAAAAAACATAAATTAGAGCGTCAAAAACACAATTTAGAATGTCAAAAACACATTTTGCAATGTTTAAAACATTTTAGAAAGCACATCAAAATAAAAAATACAAAATCAATTTACATTGTCAAAAACACAATTTTGAATGTCAGCAACACTATTTATCATGTCAAAAACACAATTTAGAGTGTCAAAAACACTATTTAGCATGTTATTAAAGAAACACAAATTTATAATGAAAATAAAACATAAATTAGAGCGTCAAAAACACAATTTAGAATGTCAAAAACACATTTTACATTGTTTAAATTTTTTTAGAAAGCACGTCAAAATAAAAGAATGTTGAAAAAGCAATTTACATTGTTAAAAACACAATTTAGCAACACTATTTAGCATGTCAAAAACACAATTGGAGTGTCAAAACACATTTTAGAGTCTCAATAATGAAACACAAGTTTAGAATAAATAAAAACAAAATTTAGAGATTCAAAAACAATTTAGAATGTCAAAAACACATTTTGCAATGTTTAAAACATTTTAGAATGCACATTAAAGAAAAAAAAATAGTTAAGGATGTTTAAAATACAATTTACGGTGTCAAAAACACAATTTACATTCTTTAAATTATTTTAGAAAGCACGTCAAAATAAAAAATGTAAAAATTACCTAAGAATGTTAAAAAGGCAATTTACATTGTCAAAAACACAATTTAGATTGTCAAAAACACAATTTAGAATGGTCAGCAACACTATTTATCATGTCAAAAATCCAATTGTAGTGTCAAAAACACATTTTAGAATGTCAATAAAGAACTACAAATTTAGAATGAAAAAAAACAATTTAGATTGTCACATAACAATTTAGAATGTCAAAATCACATTTTTCAATGTTAAAAACATTCTGGAATGCACATCAAAATAAAAAAAGAAAATTACTTAAGAATGTTTAGAATACAATTTATAATGTCAAAAACACATTTTAGAATATCAATAAAGAAACACAATTTAATATGTCAAAAACACAATTTAGAATGTCAAAAAGACATTTTAAAATGTCAAAAACACAATTTAGAATGGTCAGAAATACTATTTAGCATGTCAAAACACAATTGGAGTGTCAAAAACACATTTTAGAATGTCAATAAAGAAATACAACTTTAGAATGAAAAAAAACATAATTTAGATTGTCAACATAACAATTTAGAATGTCAAAATCACATTTTTCAATGTTAAAAACATTCTGGAATGCACATCAAAATAAAAAAAGAAAATTACTTAAGAATGTTTAGAATATAATTTACAATGTCAAAAACACATTTTAGAATATTAATAAAGAAACACAATTTAATATGACAAAAATACATTTTAGAATGTCAAAAAGACATTTTAAAATGTCAAAAACACAATTTAGAATGGTCAGAAATACTATTTAGCATGTCAAAAACACAATTGGAGTGGCAAAAACACATTTTAGAATGTCAATAAAGAACTACAAATTTATAATGAAATAATTTAGAATGTAAAAAACACATTTTGCAATGTCAAAAACAAAATTTAGATTGTAAAAAACACAATTTAGAATGTCAGTAACACAATTTAATATGTCAAAAAGACATTTTAGAATGTCAAAAACACAATTTCATAATTATTTCCTCTATAGGTCCATTCTTTACCAATCGACGGACTAAACGCGCCAATTTCCTACGCAGACATCGCGAAGAACAGCGAAAAACTAAAAGACAAAAAACTCACCCCCGAAAAATCGAACCAAAACCAACAACAGCAACAGAACCACCCCCCTTCAACCGGCGGCGGCGGCTCGCCCGCCGAAAAACAAGTGCCAAACCACCCCCACCACCACCAAAACTCTATCGCAACCATCTACACCCAACAGCAACAAAACAACAGCAACGTTAACCGCTCCCCGCAAGCGCCCGCCCCCAAAACGCAAACGGAAAACCACCACCACCCCGCCGAAGAACAACCGCCGGTCAAAACGACCGCCGCCAAAATCCTGCCGGTCATCGTGATGGGGGCGGCGAACGGGGCGGCGGCGGCCGCCCCCGCCCCCAAGAACCCGCCGCCCGACGTGACCAACTTCAAGAGTTTCCCGGCGATCTGCGGCAAGGGCGCCGCCGCCCCCGCCAACGGCCCCGCCCCCGCGGGGGCGGCGAGGTTGCCGGTAGCGGGCGGGCAGACGTTGGCGTCGAAGGTGAGGAACGGCCCGTCGCCTAGCAACGGCAAGGTGAAGGCGGCGGCGGCCGGTAAAGTCGGGGGCGGTATTTCGGCGGGGGCGGCCACGATCGCGCAGGTGGCGGCCCAAGTCAGCCGTCAGAACGACGTCAACATTCAGAACGACCTGTCGGTGAGTACAATTTTTTTTACGTTAAAAAACACTTTTTTTATGTCAATAAGTTCATAGAATGTTAAACAAACACAATTTTAACACATTTTGAAATGTTAAAAACGCATTTTTGCCATGGTCATATAATGTTAAATTTACTAAAAAAATGTTATAATTAATAAAATTCTTATTTTGTTAACAAAAACACAATTTATTAAGTTAATAAGTTATAGTTCATTTTAGAATGTAAAATGTTAAAAACACATTTTTAAATGTCATGGTAATAAAAAAGTTAAAATCAATTTAAGAAAGGTTAAAGTCGCTTAAAAGTGATAAGACTTTTTAAAATGTTAAAATCGCCATTTTAAAACATTTTAGAAGGTTAAAAACACATTTTTAACATTCGTTAAAAATGCATTTTTGCCATGGTCATATAAATGTTAAATTTACTAAGAAAATGTTAATATTAATAAAATTCTTATTTTGTTAACAAAAACACAATTTATTAAGTTAATAAGTTATAGCACATTTAAGAACGTTAAATGTCGTGGTTATAAAACGGTTAAAATTATTTGAAAATATAAATAATATTTTTAATTCGTTAAAAAACAATTTAAGACAGGTTAAAATCACTTAAAAGTGACAAGACTTATTTAAAATTGTTAAAATCGCCATTTTAACACATTTTTAACACTGAAATGTTAAAAACGCATTTTTGCCATGGTCATATAAATGTTAAAATTACTAAAAAAAATATTATTAATAAAATTCTTATTTTCTTAAGAAAAACACAATTTATTAAGTCAATAAGTTATAGCACATTTTTAAAATGTTAAAAAGATATTTAAGAAAGGTTAAAATCACTCAAAAATAACAGAATTTATTTTGAAATGTTACAATCACAATTTTAATACAAATGTTAAAAACACAGTTTTGAATGCCATGGCTATCAAAAGGTTAAAATTACTTAAAAATGTTAAAAAAGATTTATTTAAAAATGTTAAAATCGCCATTTTAACACATTTTAAAATGTCAAAAAACACATTTTTGAAGGTCATGGTTGTAAAAAAGTAGAATTTATTAAAAAAAACAGCACATTTTAGAATGTTAAAACAACAATTTTAACACTTTTTAAAATGTTAAAAACATAAGAAAGGGTAAAATCACTCAAAATGGCATGATATATTTTGAAATGTTAAAATCACAATTTTAATACAAATGTTAAAACACAGTTTTGAATGTCATGGCTATCAAAGGTTAAAATTACTTAAAAATGACAAGATTTATTAAAAAAACAGCACATTTTAAAATGTTAAAAACATAATATTATTTAAGAAAGGTTAAAATGGCATGATTTATTTTGAAATGTTATTTTAACCCAAATTTAAAAACAAATTCGTGGTCGAAAAAAAGTTAAAACTAAAAAAAAATTGACAATAGTAATTTTTATTTTGTTAAAAACAATTATTGTCAAAAGGTTACAACACATTTTAGAATGTTAAATGTCATGGTAATAAAAGGTTACAATTACTGGGTACTATTATATCATTTACAATAACGAAAAAACGTACCTAGACAATTTCCTGGAATCAGTAGATTAAATAATCCATAAATCAGGTAATTACAGATAAACAAATATTATAATTGCATTTTAAGCCCCCCTCCATAGAAGAAAAAATGTGCATTTAGTTTATCAGGTAGATTATCGCCAAAATAAAATGTACAAACAAATTTAGTTGTTGTCATATTCTTTAACGAGTTTAGTACGAGCAACCGTCTCGATCTTCAAGTGTTTTTTGTAGTTTGGTGCAATTGTTTTTGTTTTTTTACCCAAAGTTATCATGGTTTATATGGAGGTAACCACTAATTTATTTTTCCTTTGTTACTCTTGCTCTCGCAGGTTTTTCTTTTCGAGTTTTTTTTTCATTTATATCTTGCTTCGTTTAAAAAATGAGTGATGTTTGTGTTTCTCTCAGATAATCCAGGCGAACGAAAAGGAAAATATCCAGTTTAACGCTAGCCGATTGCCACCTAACATCCCAGACGTGCAATCTATCGAAAAACATTTCCTTAGCAACGCCGCGCAAGAGCACCATCAGAGAAACAACCACCACAACAACCTTAACAACCTCAACAACCAAGACAAATCGCCATCGTCTTCTTCTACGTCCACTTCTAGCGTTTCGCAGGTAAGAAATTCGCACCGAATGTGGTGTTTTCCCCAAAGAATACCAAAACAAATGGTCGGCGCATTGCCATTCAATAACAATGCTTTGTTTGCGGCCAACAAACGGTCACAGTCTAAGCGTCAAATTGGAGATAGAATTTTATGTTTTCTTCCAGTGACGTCAACAAACGGTCACAGTCTAAGCGTTAAATTGGCGATAGAATTTTATGTTTTCTTCCAGTGACGTATTGGGATTAAAAAAATAATAAGTAGGTAGGTACTTACAAACGATATTTCCATGTATTGTTATTTTTAGTAAAAAATAATGTATTTAAACTCCATAATTAACTTAAACACAATAGAAATACACAAAGGAAAACACAAAACAACAAGCTGTCAACCTTTTTATATGCTGTCAAATATGTTGTTAATATTTAATTTTAATAATTATTAAATGATTTACTTTCTTTAAATAGAGTAAAATATCTAAAGAAAATGATGAAGAAATCCTTTTTACAATTTTTTTATTATTCATCCGAATTACTGGTAATTATTAATGTTCATGATGTTATGATGAACGTCCAAAAAGGCGTGAAATCTATACTTCTGACAACGTTGGAAGCCGTGTTTCTTTCGACGGTGTTTAGAATGTGAAACTATGCTTTACTCGCTTTTTAAACGTAAACAAATCCGTCCATTTGTTTTGGCGGTCTGTGGTTTTCCCCAACTTTCGGTCTCGATCCCACTTCTGATTCTTTGAAGTTAAAAAATCGTTTTGGCTGCATAACATCGCAAATTTCTTCCGGAAACGTTTTAGGACGCCGCAATCGGCTACGATGTGGACGCAGCCTTAGCGAACGGGGTGTGCGACGCTCCCGCTAGAGGGCGCCGCGACGTCGACGCGGAGGAGGGAGAAAGGTTGGGGGAGGAGGAGGGGGAGCCTGCCGTGGTGATACTGAGCGGCTCGAACAACAAGGAAGTGCCCGGTTTGGTTTTCGGCTTCGACATAAACGAGCAGCTGCTCAGCGAGGACGTTTGCGAGAATTTCGTCGCGCGCTACGCGTTCCCGAAGACGTGCGACGCGCAGCACGACAAGATCGTCAACTTTATCGGTTTAGGTGAGTTGATGTATTTTATTTAGGACGTTTAAGACAGCCCTTTTAAATCTTGATAGTTAAGACATTTTCGGACATTCTACGACAATTTTAAGACATTAGCGAAATAAAATCGTTTTCGTCTCAAATAAATTCTGGGAGCAGCAAAAATATTACGACTCCTTAAAAAAATTCTGGGAGCGGTAATATTTTTTTCCGCTCCCAGAATTTTTTCGAGGAGTCGTAATATTTTTTGCCGCTCCCAGAATTTATTCGAGGAGTCGTAATATTTTGCTGCTCCCAGAATTTTTTCTGGGAGTCGTAAAAGCACCGGGAGCAAAAATGACGCGATTTTTAAGGGACGCGTATTTTTTTTAAATTTAATTTGCGTGTCAAAAAAACGTTTTTTCGTCAATATATTATTAATTTGCTTGAAATGGACAGCAATTTTAAAGCGGATTTAAGACATTTAATACCGTTTGGGTTTTAGGACATTGTGACAATTTATACGGTTTTACATCTTCGTAAGACGTTTTAGGATATTCAACGACAGTTTTTAAAGCAGATTTAAGACATTTATAAGCAGATTTTAGGACATTTTAAGACAATTTTAAATTGTCCCAAAACATTTTACAATTTTAAGGCGAGTTAATAATATTTAATACAATTTAGAATGATTTTAGGATATATTAAGACAATTTAACACAATTTAAATCTTCATAAAGTTTTAGGACATTTTAAGAGGAATTTAGGACAATTTAAATATTTTAAGACAGTTTACAATTTTATAACTTTATAAGACGTTTCAGAACCATTCTACAATTTTCGGGCGAATTTAGGACATTGTGACAATTTACACGGTTATATATCTTTATAAGACAAATTTAGGACGTTTTAGGACATTCTACGACAATTATAAAGCAGATGTAAGTTACCATTTTACCATTTAGGAGGTTTTTAGGACATTTTAGGCCATTCTACAATTTTCAGACCAATTTAAATCGGAATATTTCATTAAATACCATTTAGGAGGGTTTTAGGACATTGTGACAATAAACACAGTTTTAAAGCTGATTTAAGACTTTAGTACCAATTAGGATGGCTTTGGGACATTTTAAGACAATTTTAAAATGTCCTAAAACATTTTACAATTTTAAGGCGGATTTAAGACATTTAATACAATTTGGGATGGTTTTAAGTTATTTTAAGACAATTTAACACGGTTTTAAATCTTCATAAAGTTTTAAGGCGTTTTAGGACAATTTAAGGGGAATTTAGGACATTTTAAATATTTTAAGACAGTTGACAATTTTAAAGCGAGTGTAAGACATTTAATACCATTTAGGAGGTTTTTAGGACATTTTAGGCCATTTTACAACTTTCAGAACAATTTAGGACATTTTACGACAATTTTAAATTGGATGTGTCATTAAATACCATTTAGGAGGGTTTTAGGACATTGCGACAATAAATACAGTATTATATCTACATAAGACAGATTATAGTTATTTTAGGACATTCTACGACAATTTTAAAGCGGATTTAAGACATTTAGTACGAATTAGGATGACTAAGACATTTTAATACAATTTTAAAATGTCCTAAAACGGATTTAAGACATTTAATACCAATTTTTTATGACATTTTAGGCCATTCTACAATTATTAGACGAATTTAGGACATTGTGACAATTAACACAGTTTTATATCTTCATAAGACAGATTTAACACGTTTTAGGACATTCTACAACAATTTTAATGCGGATGTAAGACATTTAATACCATTTTGGAGGGTTTTAGGACATTTTGGAGCATTCTACAATTTTCAGACGAATTTGCGACATTGTGACAATCAACACAGATAAGACAGTTTAGGACAATTTAAAAGCGGATTTAAGACAATATCGTTTTTTAACAATGTTCAATTTTTTTATTTCAGCATGGGAATCGGTAGTGAACACGAACGAAAAAGTGTCCTATTACGTGGAAGGTTTGTAAGTTACGTTAAAAAAAAACAATAAAACAAAAAACGGACGAAAGTGTGGTGCGCAGGTGTACGCGAAAAATAAGACAAACCAGACGCGAAAAAAAACAAAAACAATCGAAAATAGTTGACGCGAAAAACGAAAAAATCGTGTAGTGAATTAAAAATAAAAAACAACGGCTAGTCAGAATAAAAAAATAAAAATAAAAAGAGAGAAGACTTGATATACGGTGTGTTTAGATGGACAATAGGTAGGAAAAAAATTGAATACGAAAAAAGTGAAAAGTGTGCGAGAAAAAAAAAGAAAACTATATGAAAACTGCGCCCCGGGCGCCGAAATCAGCGGGGCGTCCTGGGACAAATCGGTTTTTTTCTTTTGTTATTTATTGCGTAAGTTGCACTCTGTAACGCGATTGGTCACTTTACAAAACAATGCCACGCGAAGAAAAAATTGTTTAAAATTTTTTTTCTCCAGTTCTTTCATATCATAATATTACTTACACGCATGTACTTATTTCTTAATTATTTTGCATGTAAAGTGATCATTTAATTTATTTTTGATGTAGACACAATCGTGGTTTTAATATGTCTACGATTATAAACTAAAAACCAACATATACATATGTACAAAGTGTCTATACTTTATTACATGTGTTTTGGGCCTTTTTGGTTAAATTTAAACTCGAAAATCCCGACTAATAAGCATAGGGGAAAATATTTTAACATAAACGTCATTTATAATTTGTATACTTCAACGAATTCGGTTCGAATGGTATTTTTCCCAATTTTTGATCTTGATGATCCCACTTCTGATGCTTTGTAGTCAGCAAATCATTTTCGATGTATAATATCGCAAAAAATCATCTTTATACACAAAATGTGTTTCTGATTTTTTCCTTTTTAAATTTCCGTCATTTCAATCGAATATACCGGATGTATTTTTTTTAATTGTGCGAAAAAACCGTTTTTCGACGTGCGTAGATCATGTTTTTAGCGAAATAAAAACGTCTCAAATAAATTCTGGGAGCAGCAAAAATATTACGACTCCTTAAAAAAATTCTGGGAGCAGTAATATTTTTTGCTGCTCCCAGAATTTTTTCGAGGAGTCGTAATATTTTTGCTGCTCCCAGAATTTTTTCGAGGAGTCGTAATATTTTTTGCTGCTCCCAGAATTTTTTCGAGGAGTCGTAATTTTTTTTGCCGCTCCCAGAATGACGCGATTTTGTTAAAAACACGATTTTTAAGGGAGAAAACTGAATGCGTATTTTTTTAATTTAATTTGCGTGTCAAAAAACGTTTTTTCGTCAATATTTTATTAATTTGCTTGAAATGACCGCAAATCAATCAATCAATATTAACTCGATAATGACGGTTATCGACATTAATATTTCGATTAAAAATTGAAAAAACACAAAAAAATCCTAAATGTAACGTTTTTATTATGCCTAATTTTATAGCGAATCACAAAATCGAGAATTTCAAGCGCTTAAAAAAAATCACAGGGTATAAATTAAAGTTTGGTTACGTCATCAACTTATACATTATTGAAAAGGTTTAGATTTAAAAAAAAATGTTTTTTGTACATAAATGTAAGAGCGGTTGAAATTCTTGAAAGTACGCAGAAACACATTGACTCATACGTAATAAAAAAGCTCAGGTTGCAAAATGGTTTTTTGGTTTATTTAATCTAATAATAAATTTTACAAAAATTTGTTTTTATCAAAGGTTTATTTTATTGTATTGAAATTTTGAGCTTTTTAATGTTTACCTTTCAACCTGAGCCGAAATAAATCAGTGTAACATAGATATCAAAAAAGTAAGTAAAACTTATTTATTGAATGTAAGGATTAATTATTAACTTGGTAAATTTTTCACGCTTTAACGTTTTTTAAAATTGAAAACGTTAAATCCTGAAAATCGCCTTTATACATATAAATGTAAAATAGTTGTAATATTAAAAAAAAAGCTAAGTCATGTTTTAGTTTTTAATAATAATGGCTATAATAGTTATTTTTGAAAAAAAAATAGACAGTTAGAGGGAAATTGTCGCCTAGATTTTATACCAGTATTTTTTTCCGAGTAAAATTCATTGCAACAGGTTAAAATTGAACTGGTTTCTACAAAGAAAATTTAAAGGCCACCAAACGAAAAAATTAATTAATTTTATTGAACGTCACATCCAATTTTACGGTTTATTTTATCGCTTTTAAATTTTTTAAGGAAATCAGTGTAAGTAAACATAAAAACTATTATTATTATGTTGTTATTTTTTGTTATATTTTGGTTATTTTATTCGCAAAGTTTATGTAATTATATTTTGTATGATAAAATAATTGTACCATGTGATTTCTTTCACTGTAATTTTACTGGGTCACATTATTAATTTTTTTCATTGAGTGTTTCAGAAACACAACCGTTTTTCGTTCATTAATTTTCGGGTATTTTTGCAACTACAAATGATTTTGAATTGTTATATTTTTAAATGAAAAGTAAGTTAATTGCTTTCAATAAAACGATTATTTATTTATGTTTTGTTTTATTTTGTTATTTCCAGGTAATTATATATTAAATTAAAAGAACTCTCCCAAAAATAATACTTTATTATATTAAAAAAAATATGTAACAACTAAGTGTTTTTTTTGGCTTCAGCCTCTTTTGCTCTTTTCACTTGCATTTCTTTTTGTTGCTGAACTACTTTTTTAAAAGTCTCCATTTCCTCTTCATTTGTGTCGCCTTAAAAAAAATTCCAGAAAAATATTTTATTATTAATTTTAAAAATATTACCTTCAAATGGCGCCTCTTCACCTTCTGAATCAGAACTGCTGACTTCATCAGGTTGCCTCAGAAAAACATCTGAAAGTTCCACCCCTGAAGGTACCTCAGTTAATAAACTGGTTTGAGCGGGTTTTTTGTCTTTGGTTTCTTTTTTTTCCTTAGATTCTTGCGCGCGTTTCTCCTCAGTTTCAGCCTTAATTTTTTCCCATTCAACCCTGTACTCTCTGCAAAATTGTATAGTTTGTTCACAATGGGATAATGTTGTACTTATAATTTGGGAATAAGTTGAGATAAAAGGTTGAAATTTTGTATAAAGTTTAACAATATTAAGTACTAAATTACGACCAAATTTCACTTTTGTATCTTTGAAGGTTTTAAAGATATTCGAAATGTAAGTATTTCCCAAAATTTTTCATAAATTGAATCCACTATTTATGAATATTTTATTGTTTATGATTATTGCCAATCGTTTACTACCAACTTAAATAACTAAAGTATTTCTGCTGATTGACACAATTTGATATAGTATATTCAAAATATGAAAAAGAGTGGGATAATTTTCTTTTGGTAATACTTTGGGAATGAGTTTAGATAAAGGGTTGAAATTTTGTATAAAGTTTAACAATATTAAGTACTAAATTAAGACCAAATTTCACTTTTGTAACTTTGGAGAATGTAAGTTCTTCCCAAAATTTGTCATAAATTGAATACACTATACATAAATATATCATTGTTTATGATTATTGTCAATCGTTTACTACCAACTTAAATAACTAAAGTAATTTCTGCTGATTGACACAATTTGATATAGTATATTCAAAATATGAAAAAGAGTGGGATAATTTTCTTTTGGCAATACTTTGGGAATGAGTTGAGATAACAGGTTAAAATTTTGTAAAAACTTTAACAATAGTAAGTACTAAATTACGACCAAATTTCACTTTTGTATCTTTGAAGGTTTTGAAGATATTCGAAATGTAAGTTCTTCCCAAAATTTTTCATAAATTGAATACACTATATATGAATATATTATTGTTTATGATTATTGTCAATCGTTTACTACCAACTTAAATAACTGAAGTATTTCTTCTGATTGACACAATTTGATATAGTATATTCAAAATATGAAAAAGAGTGGGATAATTTTCTTTTGGTAATACTTTGGGAATGAGTTCAGATAAAGGGTTGAAATTTTGTGTAAAGTTTAACAATAGTAAGTACTAAATTACTACCAAATTTTACTTTTGTAACTTTAAAGGTTTTGAAGATATTCGAAATGTAAGTTATTCCCAAAATTTTTCATAAATTGAATATACTATATATGAATATATTATTGTTTATGATAATTGTCTATCGTTTACTACCAACTTAAATAACTGAAGTATTTCTGCTGATATAGTATATTCAAAATATGAAAAAGAGTGGGATAATTTTCTTTTGGTAATACTTTGGGAATGAGGTCAGATAAAGGGTTGAAATTTTGTATAAAGTTTAACAATATTAGGTACTAAATTAAGACCAAATTTCACTTTTGTAACTTTAGAGGTTATGAATTTAATGTTATTTCTAAAATTGTTCATACCTTTCATATTCTTGTCTAGCTTCTTCCACTAGGTTAAACAACTCATCCATTCCTTGACCAGTTGCAGCACTAACCCCACATACTTTTAAATTTTGATAAAACTCGTCCAAAGCTAAAGCCATTGATCTGGTTAAATTACTTATATAACTTTCGTCATTTTCCAAAGCCTCTTGGAAAGATTCAAAATCATTCATCCAGTCTTTAGCGTAGGAATGATCAACTATGTCTGTCTTATTCATTACTACAATGAACGGTAGACGAGTTTTGTACAATATCGAACACGCATACAGCATATTTGACATGAAAGTTACAGGTGAAGTGCTTCGAACACAGTCCACTACATATAGAATTACTGTTGGGAATGTTGAAGCCAAAGTTTCTGTGATTATAGACCCTAAATTTAAAATGGTGCTAAAATATCATTTTAATAATAAAATAAAGTTTACTTACCTGATACAGACCAAGTAAACACCTCAATTTGACCTGGAGTATCCAATACACAATGCTCGTTGGTGGATTTCTCTATATAACTAATAACTTCCGGAAATTTGGTTGAAAACAAATTCAACGACGTTACAATAGCCCCATTAGGCCCCAACTTATACTGCTTCATAACCTCTTTGTAATTAACAGTATCCCTGATATCAATATTAGCGAAGTAAGGCAACTGTATACAGGCAGGATCCAAATTTACCAAGTAAGGCTTATTTTTCATCGTAGATATTCTGGAAACCAAGGATGTTTTACCTGAACCTGCCATGCCTAAAACTATGAGGCAAACAGGGCCTTTTGTTGCGTTTTCTTTACTTGTCGTTGCCTCAGCCATTTTTAATCATTAATTTTCGGTATAACGCTATTGTTTAACAACGATTGTATGTGGGGTTATGTTTTCTAACCTCAAAATGTGACTGGTTAGTTCTGATTTATTCCGCTGGTAGTTGCAATGTACCAAAAAGATTCTACACTGAGTAGCGTAAGTTTTAAACCACTGTTTTTTGATAGTATTTACGAATAAATAAATAAATAATGGTGATTCTAATTTACCTTGTTCTATTTTTTTTAGAAAATTTGCAAGTTAAATGTGAGATAAAGATAACATAATGTAAATAAATTATGTAAAAGTGTAATATTTAAAGAAATGCTAGATAAGGTTTAGGTTTAATACTTTTCGGCGGTTTTAGTAGTTTTTGCAATGAAATTTTTTATTGTTTTATCAGTGTTGTTTTTTATGGGTAAGATTTTTAAAATTCACTGAATATCTTATAATTATTTATGTATGTTTTTTAAAAGGCAATTCAGCTCCTGTTGAAGAAGGCAAAAAAGAAAATAATGGTAAGTAGAGATTTATTTGATTTTCGCCCAAAATTTCTGCACGTTCTTTAACTTTAAAATAATTATTTTTAAATTACACAATTCATTTTTTTCTTTCAAATATTGGGGTAAAATAAAAAAAATATACAGAGTGATAACCAAAACCCTTTATTAACAGGACTGGCAGCTTTAAACCCATTTGGAACTAAAAATGAAAATAATAAGAACCAAAATACACAGGACAGTGGTCCTTTAGGGGCAATAGGTAATCAAAAAAATTTTACCAACTAAAAAAATTATTACCAAGCATTTTTAGGGAATGCCATAGGCTCGGTAACAGGCCAAGGTCAAAATACCAACAATCAAAATTCTGGGAACCCCCTGGGAGGTTTATTCGGCAACGCCATACCGTCGGGAATACTGGGAAATAACGGCAACGCAGCATCGAAAATTCAAATGTACTTTGGCGGCAACGCTGGAATTTTGGTACCGCTTGATGCTTTACCCGCTGCTTTCATGCAAGGTATATTAAATATGGCAACAGCGGCTAACGGATCAGGGGGGAATCCCATACAGGGTATAGCAGAAGGTTTAGGGGATTTTTTGAGTGGCAAACAGTAAATTTAATTTTGTTTAAGTGTAAATAAAACATTTTTTTCTGTTTATTTTTTTTAATATTAGGTAGGTACAACACAAATCAAAAATAACATTAACAAACAAGTGAATAATAATAAACATTATTATTAATATTTAAAACTATTTTTATATTTGGTATGAGTAAGTAAGTAGTTATGCAAAATCCCTGTGATTAAAAATAACTAAAAATGGAAAAACATTCAAAACAATTTTTTTGCATATAAATATAACATTAAGCAAAATATACAAAAAAACATGTTGCTAATATATTTAGGAATAAATAAATAATAAATAGGTAGTTTTAAACAATACACATTTTTAACTTTGGAAGTTTTAAAAGAATATTTAAAGTACTAATTTTTTTTAATTCCCAAATTTTGCTTTAAAAATTGTACAAAATACTCAAGTATTTGAGACAACATTTTCATATGAAATCTTGTATTTTTTTTATTTGTTTAGGGTACAAAAAGAAGATTCTGTTGTTAGTAGTATTAAAAATCAGTCTAGCTATATGTTACTGGCCTTATTAATATTTTTTTTATTATTATTGCATATCTTTGCATATTCTTGAGGCCATTTCCACCAAAGGTTCTAATTCCTTCCTACTTACCAGCTCAAATTCAGTCACGAAGTAGTAGAAATGCTTGTAGCACGTATTCACATGAGCCTCCTAAAAAAAAAATTTTTTTTATCGGGAAATCCGCTGTTCCAGTACTTACAGCAGCAATCGTGACGATATTCTGAAAATGGTGTATGTAGACATGCACGAAAACACGGTGCAACCTGGCCAAAATTTTGCTGCAATGGCTGGAGAAATTTTTCGGGAACGGTAGATCGGATGTGCACGGAAATAGGTTCTGATTGTTTATCTGCATCTCTATCCAGTCCATCAAGTGGCTTATATACTCTCGGGCTGGCAGTGGCGTGGGTTTTTTGTATTTTTCGCCGTCGGCCCATAGGTATTCGAAACGGGGCCCCCCCGACATAGTGGGGCATGTTTGTTCGGTGCAATATTCGGAAATCGTACCGTAAATGAGGTTGATTCTATTGAAAAAATCCACCACTAAAACGAAGACGGTAGCATTTTGATATGGGGTCCGTCAGATTTTTTTTATTTATAAAATGAATTTTTATGGCAAAATGTTTTATTTAGATGGCCATATAACCCACCATTAGGTAAGCTTTCCTTTATCAGCACACAAAAAATTGGCTGCATAAAATGAGTCTTACTTAACACAGTAAAAAAAGAAAAAATGTATTTGTAATAAAAAAGTTATATAAATTTGACAAAACGGTTAAAAACATAAAAACCTATATATGTATAAGTAATTAACACAGTAAAAAAAGAAAAAATATATTTATTTAAAATAAAAAGTTATTGAATTATTTAAAAATTAATATAGAAAACTAAAAACCTTTTTTTAATTTAAATATAGTTTATTATTCATAATAAGTCTTACTTAACACAGTAAAAAACAAAAAAATAATAATTATTTGTATTAAAAAAAATTATTGAATTATTTCCACGAAACGATACTTTTTAACCATCTAAAACGCACGAAAAATTAAAACTTTAGTTTTTTTATTAAAATATAGTTAATTATAACGAAACAAGTCTTACTTAACACAGTAAAAAAGAAAAATTTATTTGTATTAAATAAGTTATATAATTTCTAAAAAACGATTATAAGATCCTTGATAAAAATATTAAAAACGGATTGAAAACATAAAAACCTGTATACTTAACACAGTAAAAAAAGTTCCTTATACGTAATAAGTCTTACTTAACACAGTAAAAAAACAAAAAATATATATTAATTTGTAATAAAAAAATGAATGAATTATTTCCGCAAAATGATACTTTTTTGTGTTAAAATATAGTAAATTATACGTAAAAAGTCCAACTTAACACAGTAAAAAAGAAAAATTTATTTTTAATAAAAAAGTTAAATAATTTCTGCAAAACGCTTATTCTTATTCGATAAAATAACTTAAAACGGATTAAAAATATAAAAACCTGTATATATTTAACACAGTAAAAAAACAAAATATATATGTATTAATAATAAAAAAATTATTGAAATGTTTTTAAAAAACAGTGCTTTATGACAAAAACGCATTAAAAATTAAAACCTTTAGTTTTGTCGATTAAAATATAGCCAATTATAGGAAATCTGTCTTACTTAACACAGTAAAAAAGAAAAAAATAAATATTTGTTTAAAATAAAAAAGTTATAGAATTTCCACAAAACCCACCTTAAAAACTAAAAACCTATATTTTTTTAATAGACATATAAATATAGTTCTTTATACGTAATAAGTCTTACTTAACACAGCAAAAAAACAAAAAATTAATAATTATTTGTATATATATATATATATATATATATATTGTAAAACGGTTATAAGACCCTTGTTAATATACTAAAAACGGATTGAAAACATAAAAACCTGTATACTTAACACAGTAAAGAGAAACAAAAAATATTTATTTTAAGAAAATACAATTTTAAAGTTTTAAATGAGTACCTATCAATTTTACTTTGTTTTCTTATAACCTTGACAAAAAATATTTATAAAAATTTTATTGTAACATTATTAAATAAATATTTGTTCAACAATACATTATTTAAAATTAACATGAAAATAGTTAACAAAATCTATTTACTTTAATAATATGCCTTTGGGCAAAAGGTTACATCATGATAAAGTCAATAAAAATAATTATGCAGTGTTTCTAAAGGTTAAATAGTATTTTCAATAAAAGACTAAAACCATATATTGATAAAAATTATCAACAAATACTTTTAATTACATAAAACTCACCATGTACAGCAATCCAATCATTTAAGTCTTCACCTTCGGGTAACTTAACAGCACTTCGAAGGTTAATACCAGAATTTAAACTGGCCTGTGCTTGCTTGTGCAAACTATAACGTATGGTACCGCGGGGAAATTTCTTTTTTGGCCTGAACGTCTGAAACAATAAAATAACTATTATTAGAAATGTTGATATTAAATTAAATACAATATTTTGATTTATAGTATTAATAGGGTGAGAAATTGATTTCATACATCAAATCCTACCTTGCCCTTCTGAAAGAACTCTAAAAAACCGTTCAAAGACATCCTTTATCGCAATATTACCAATGTATTGTAAACAATTTTGACGCAATGCACTTTAAGGTTAGTTTTACACAGCGATCTGTAATAAATGACGTTTACTTTTCCCTGACTGATAGATGGCGCTGTTATTGGCGATTTTGCGCGCCATCTAGTCAAAATTGTTTCAAGTTCGCGTAAAAATGGCGACAATTGTTTGTAATTGAAAGCCATATTTTGCAAAGTGATTAAAATAATTCGCGGATTAATTCGCAAACCACTTCAGCACGCGATTCAAGAGCTTGATTAAGCTCTAATTAAAATGTGCGGTTCAGTTGTGCGTTATCGATAATACTGCGTAGTTAGGGGTTGTTAAAGGGGTTAACAAATTTCGATTTTTTCGGTACGTACAATGTGATTTCCCTAGGATGTTGCAAAATGGAAACAAAGATCTGCAGGACTTGTGGGGGTCTAGGACAAAGTTACGTGGACATTTTCAGGACGGAGGGGTTAAAAAATAAAATCGAAACTTGCCTTCCCATAATCGTAAGTGTTTTGTTTATTTTACATCATTTGTTTACTACGTTTCCTTGATTTTAACGATTTATAAGGTTGCTATATAGTAATACACTTCGAGTGCTTATAAAACGCCGGGTTTAATGCAAAAAATAACAATAAAAGAAGTGTCAAAAATTTACCATAGAGTTTCAAATACAATTGTTTGTGCAAAACTACTCAGCGACTATTTATATTTATATTGCCGGCTTTTTTGTATTGTTTATAAATAGAACTAACCTATCCAATAATAGATACCTAGTTAAAACTTATTATAAGTAAACGTCATTTATAATAAACAATTTGGATTCTTCATAATTTAAAACCAATTTTATTTGACATTTTATCCAACATCTGACAACGATTTTGACTTAACTTTTTCCCGATTTGACATAATATTATGTCATATGGCTTTATACAGGGTGTCAACGAAAAAATGTTTAAATAGGTACATTATTATTCATTCGACTAAAAATAGGTAGATTTTGTCCAAAACATTTTTTCATATTTGTAATACCTAGATGGCGCTGTTATGAAAAAAATCAATTTTTTCGATTTTTCTTCTTGAATTTTTGTCATTTTTAAATATGGTCGACTTTTATATTGGTTTTTGACATTTTGTTATTACAATCTTAAATATATTTTTTACTTTTTTATTCTTGACATGTTTTTATTTTAAATATACATATACATTTTTTGGTTTGACATCGGTTCTTAAAATGTTATTGACATTCTTAAATATGATTTTGACATTCTTGAATTGGTTTTTGACATTTTGTTTTTACAATCCCAAATACATTTTTGACAATTTAAATAATTTTTGACATGATTTACTTTAAATTTGAGTTTGACATTCTAAATAAATGTTTTTAACTGTATTTTTGTCATTTTAAAATATGGTTGACTTACTGGAATTTTATTTTTGTTTTCGACATTTTGTTTAAACATGATTTTGACATTCTACATCTTTTAACATTTTATGGTTTGACATTCTTCAAATCTCTGAAATTTCAGACAATCCAAAAAGGTTTTTGACTGTCTGAAATATGATTTTGACATTTTACATTATGGTTTTATTTTGACATTTCTTTGTATTCCTTTAATTTTATGTTTTGACAGTCTTAAAATGTTTTTGACTGTCTGAAATTTGATTATGACAACTTAAAATGAATTTTTGTCAGTTTTAAATATGGTTGACTTTTACTTTTTTATTTTTGACATTCTGTTTACGATTCTACAACAATTTTTGAATAAAATAGGTACTTGGTTTTATCTTTTAAATTTATTTATAAATTCGCATTACCTAAAAACTAAAATTTAAAGAAGTATTTACAGATTGTGTAAAATTTTTTCCAACACTAACATTTAAAATACATACAGTGCCTTACTAAAGGGATGAAAATAATAGAACAAGACTAACTTGGTTTAAATTGTGAAAGAAACCGACAAAAAACGCATTTTTATACGTTTAAATTAACTCTTTATTAATTTCACTTATTATACAAAATTTACCAAAGAAATACGCACAAATAATATTTATGAAATATTTTTGACAGTTCGACACTTCTCCAACAAACATGAAAGCCATCTAAATTTTAAATTATAAATAAAACAATATTATATCGCTACTAAACGGGCATGAAAAAAATTAATATATCTTTTAAAGGAATACAAATAACAAAACAAGACTAACTGGACTGAAAAGATGAAGGTGGGGACAACATTTCCTGAAAGTTTCAGATTTTTATTTTTTCCTCAACATAATGATTTCTGAGGGCAAAATTGGCTAATTTTAAGAATTATCAAGTTTCAATAATTTTTTTAATAAAGAAAATGATAGCCTAGAAACTTAAAATAATAGTTACGTTTTCTATTGTATACGTACTTGATAGGTACCTGAAAAAAATAACTTTCTAGATTTAGAGAATAAGAAATTGACACGATTTCAGATTTCAAAAAAGTAAAGAATCCAAAAATTAAAACGGCAACGGATGTTCATAGGTATTTGATACCTAAAAGATCATCCTCAATTTTTTTTGTCAAAATAAAAAATCAAGCAGCGCACCCCATTTGGTGTTTTTATTTGGAATGACTCATGCAGAAGAAAAATGACGTGTTTAACCTCACTTTTTTACAGGTGTCGCCGCATATCCTTCTGCCAGACACGATATGCGTAAAATGTCAAGAAAATGTCGAAAGTTTCTTCTCCTTCATCAAAAAATGCTTGCACAACATTATCGTGCTGGAAAGTCAATATGACGTGCACGAATCTTGCTTGAAATCGAAAAGAAGGAAGGAAAAAAGTTGCACTGCTGATTTGTCGCTTGTTAGGGAGGAAAAAGGCAGTCAGGCTGACTTTCTCGACATATTCAAGGTTACCGGTGAGGTAGAGGGCGGGGTTTTTTTCGTCCCTGAAGTTGGTAACCCTGGAAAAAGTCATGGCTTGGTCGATTACGATGTTGAAAGTGTTAATAGTTCCGAGGGAGATAATGATGATGGTAGGGTGGAAATACCGTCAAAAAAGCTCGAAATTGACGATATTAATCGGTATATTGAAAACGTTTTAGCTAAAACGGATTGTTCAAACAAGAAAACATACTTTGACGATGAAGAAAACCAGTTGATAAACGAGATAGAGCAAAGAAAGGGGAGGAAACGCAAATGGGAGGTAATAGAAACCCAACCCACGAAAATCTTTAAAATGGACCGACGGAAAAGCAACAAACCGAAGAAATTGGAGCAAAAACAACAGGAAAATTCAGATTTACTCCTGCTGAACCTCCCTCAAATTTGCCTTCTCTGCGACAACAGATTTGAGGGGGCGGCCGCCCTAGCCGCCCACGTTTTTGAGTTGCACGGTATAGATATGGCGGAAGTGGTGGGCGGGGCCACCAATGGAGGGGCGGGGGGCGTGGCCACGGATTCAAACGAACGCTGCTGCTCTGATAGCGAGAAGAAGAAGAAGATCCCGAATTTGGTGAAGATTTCCGATTTAAAGCGGGAGGTGCAAGGTTAGTGCAATTTTTTACATACTTAATTGTGTTTTTGACGATCTAAATTTGCTTTTAACAATCTAATTATGTTTTTGACATTCTTGGCATTATTTTGACAGTTTAAATATTAACTTTCTTAATTATGCTTTTGACATTTAGTCTTAAATATCAGTATTCTTAAATTTGTTTTTTGACATTATTAAATGTGATTTTGACATTCTTTAATTGGTTTTTGACATTTTAAATTATGCGCAGATATTCTTAAATGTACATATTAGATATTTTTAAAAATTCCATTCATAATTTTTTTAAATTCCTGTGATTTTGACATTCTTTAATTGGTTTTTGACATTTTGTTTATACAATCCTAAATTTATATTTAATAATTTAAATTATTTTTTACATGTTTTAATTTTAAATATGATTTTGACATTTAAATTGTTTTTGACATTATTAAATTTGATTTTGACATTCTTTAACTTGTTTTTGACATTTTAAATTATGCACAGATATTCTTAAATTTACATGTTCGATATTTTTTCAAAATTCCATCCCATTTGTGGTTTGACATTCTTAAAATGTTTTTGACATTCTTAAATGTAATTTTGACATTATTTAATTGGTTTTTGACATTTTGTTTTTACAATCCTAAATTTCTTGACATGTTTTTATTTTAAATATAATTTTGACATTCTAAATTGTGTTTTTAACATTCTGTGGTTTGACATTCTTGAATCGGTTTTTACATTTTGTTTTTACAATCCTAAATATATTTTTGGCAATTTAAATTATTTTTGACATGTTTTAATTTTAAATATAATTTTGACATTCTAAATTGCATTTGTAACATTCTATGGTTTGACATTCTTAAATATGATTTTGACATTCCTGAATTGGTTTTTGACATTTTGTTTTTACAATCCTAAATACTTTTTTGACAATTTAAATTATTCTTGAATTGGCTTTTGACATTTTTTTTACAAACCCAAATACATTTTTAAAAATTTAAATTATTTTTGACATGTTTAAATATTAAATATGATTTTGACATTTTAAAATGTGTTTTTTTTTCATTTTATGTTATTGACATTCGTAAATATGATTTTGACATTCTTAAATATGATTTTTACATTCTTGAATTGGTTTTTAACATATTGTTTTTACAATCCTAAATATATTTTTGACAATTTAAATTATTTTTGACATGTTTTAATTTTAAATATGATTTTGACATTTTAAATTGTGTTTTTTTACATTTTTTGGTTTGACATTCTTAAAATGTTATTAACATTCTTAAATATGATTTTGACATTTTTGAATTGTTTTTTGACATGTTTTATTCTTAAATATGATTTTGGCATTCTAAATTGTGTTTTTAACATTCTGTGGTTTGACATTCCTAAAATGTTTTTGACTGTATTTTTGTCATTTTTAAATGTAGTTGACATTTTATTTATAAATGATTTTGACATTCTACATTTTTTAACATTTTTTGCTAGATTTTTTGGTTTGAAATTCTTCGAATCTCTGAAATTTCAGACAATCCAAAAAGGTTTTTGGCTGTCTGAAATATGATTTTGACATTTTACATTATGGTTTTATTTTTACATTTCTTTGTGTTCCTTTAATTTTATGTTTTGACAGTCTTTAAATGTTTTTGACTGTCTGAAATTTGATTATGACAACTTAAAATGAATTTTTGTCATTTTTAAATATGGTTGACTTTTACTTTTTTATTTTTGACATGTTTTTATTTTAAATATGATTTTGACATTTCAAATTCTATTTTTTAACCTTCTATGGTTTAAAATGTCTTTTAGACAACCCAAAAAGGACTGTCTGAAATTTTATTTTGACATTTTATAATATGGTTTATGTTGACATTTTTTTGTATTCTTTAATATTATGTTTTGACATTCTTAAAATGTTTTTGACTGTTTGAAATTTGATTTTGACAATTTAAAATGAATTTTTGACATTTTAAAGTATGTAGACTTACTGGAATTTTATTTTGTTGTTTATTTTTTCATTTTTATTCTTGACATGTTTTTATTTTAGATATGATTTTGACATCCTAAATTGTATTTTTTAACATTTTATGGTTTAACATTCTTAAAATGTCTTTGAAATTTTAGACAATCCAAAAAGGTTTTTGACTGTCTTTTATTTGATTTTGACAATTGAAAATTTGATTTTGTCATTTTTAAATATGGTTGACTTTTACTTTTTTATTCTTGACATGTTTTTATTTTAAATATGATTTTGACATTTCAAATTCTATTTTTTAACCTTTTATGGTTTAAAATGTCTTTTAGACAACCCAAAAAGGACTGTCTGAAATTTGATTTTGACGTTTTATAATATGGTTTATGTTGACATATTTTTGTATTCTTTAGTATTATGTTTTGACATTTTTAAAATGTTTTTGACTGTTTGAAATTTGATTTTGACAATTTAAACTGGAATTTTATTTTGTTGACATTTTGTTTAAAATCTATAATTTACTTTTTTCATTTTTATTCTTGACATGTTCTTATTTTAGATATGATTTTGACATCCTAAATTGTATTTTTTAACATTCTATGGTTTGACATTCTTAAAATGTCTTTTTATCTCTGAAATTTTAGACAATCCAAAAAGGATTTTGACTGTCTGAAATTTGATGTTGACAATTTTAGATGTATTTTGAAATTTTATGTTTTGACTGTCTGAAATTTGATTTTGACATTATAGACGAACGTTTCACACTTTCAGACGACAACCAAACCTCGCAGGACCAAACGGAGGAACAACCCCCCACTTTGCTACCGAGTTTCGTGTGTCCCATGTGTCCCGCGGTTCTGACGACGAAATCCGACCTGTTCGCGCACCTACGCGTCAAACACCTCGAATCGACGTCGCTCATGTGCGGCATGTGCCTCCAACAAACCAGCACGCACCTAAATCTGCGCAGCCACGTGGAAACATGCGCGCAAAACCACAATTTTACTTCGCCGTATCTCTGTCAGATTTGCTTTTTTGGAGACGACGATGTAAATTTGATGCGCAAGCATGTTGGGGTGCACCATTTTCTCGGCGAGATATGCTCCAAGCAAGACGTTACGTTTGACGCGATGGATTATATAAAGCAAGGCCCTGGCAAGCCCAACATGTTTTTCTGCGAGTATTGTAGAACAGACTCGTTCGAGAGCTTTAAGGAGTTTTCGGCGCATCGTAGGCTAGCGCATTCTATCTTCCACTGCGATTTGTGCACAAAATTGTACGGTAGAAACTCGCATCTGTGGAAGCACGTCAACAGGTTGCACAAAGGGCACGAGAGCGTCACTTGTCAGCTGTGCTTTAAAACCAGCGCTAGCGAGTACCACTTGCAGCAGCACTTGAACAAGATACACAGCGCTAACAAGGTTAAAGACGATTTTATGTCGCAAAAGTTCCAAGCCTTCGACTTCCAGTCGGTGAAGCAATCCTTCATGAAGCAAGAACTCATCGAGCAACAGAAATTACACAACCAGAACGCCACCGATTCTTCCGATGACGACGAAGACGACAAAAACAATTTACTGGACGCTCCAAAAGAGATAGACAGTAGTAGCAACTTGTACACGAACATTATCACTAATTACACCCCTCCGGTCAACATAGGCGACCACAAGTGCAACAAGTGCGGCAAAAACTTTCAGAAGAAGCCCATGCTGAAGAAGCACAAGAAGAACTGCAGGCCGCGGCCGCAGAAAGACCTCCTAACGCGTTGCAAAAGTTGCGCGAGAGTGTTCAAAGACCGACAAAGCTTGACGAAGCATTTGGACAACTACCATTCGGAGTACTCGTGCGAGATCTGCCATGTTCAGGTGCAAAGCAAGTGCGAGATTGTGTCGCACATACGATTCAGCCACCCAAAGTGCCATTTAATATGCAAAATTTGCGGCAACATTCTTAGAAGTAAAGAGGATTTGAACAAACACGTTCAGAACCACGGTGAAAGCTTCATATGCCAGTTCTGTGCGGATTCTATACCGAGCAAAATCAAGCTGAAAATGCACGTATTAAGTCTGCACAGAAAGATATTGAGCTTAAGTTGCGGCGTGTGCCTCAAGCTATTCGAAACTCAGCACATACTGAGAGACCACGTCAAGTTGGTGCACAAAGATCAACTTTCGCCGCTCACTTCATGCACCGTGTGCGGTAAAAACTACGGCTCGAAATGGAAGACCTTCGACCACTTGAACAAATCGCACGGGAAGATATTCAAAGCTTGCCGCATCTGCCTGGAAGTCTTCAATAACGAGGAAGAATTGATTCTGCACGGCGAGACGGTTCACCAGAACGGATCGCTAAAGAGTTTGAGCAGAATAAAGAGCGAAAACCACGAGAAAAAGAAGAACGACGAAGACGAAGCGCAAAACGACACTGAAGACGAAGAGGAAGAATACGAAACCCAGGACGAACCAGAAGAAGAAGACGACGTGAAATACGTCTTGACGAACGACCTGAAAATATCCCTGCTGGAGAAACGTTTGGTGGGGAAAAAGTTGACGGAGGAAGACACCAAACCGCTATCAAAGCGCGCCAAAAAAACACCCAAAAAAGAACCAAAAATCGCCGATGAAGATACGTCGTATTTAAACACCTCCAACACGCTTCAGAACAGCTCGAAACGAACCGTCTACGTCAACAGCAACGATCCAAGCTACTGCGAAATTTGCTTCAAGAATTGGCCGGCCAAGAAGCACCTGTGGCAGCACTACATCAGGTGTCACAAAGCTGTGGCGGCAACAGTGTGCGGGATTTGCTTGAAGACCAACGACAACTACAAGACTTTACAGGTGAGTTCATGCAGGTACTCAAAAAAGCCCATCGAGAGAGTTTTCTTTTTGTATATATAGTTGCATGTGGTTCAATGTTTGGTGATGAATTTTTGTATCCTCGTCTTCAACATCAAAGTTTTCTGAATGAAAACGAGCAAATCATTCACAATTTTCGCATTTTTTAGTCTTCTTCTCTATTTTGAAAGAGATCTTTTCGAGCTCCCAAAATATCCGTTTAAAACTGTTCTTTGATGCGTTGCAAATGGTGGTCTGATGGTTCAAGGTCCTGTCAAATCATCTGGCACCAAACATCGAGTTTCTTCTTGTTTATAGACAACTGCAAATGGTTCCAAACTGTTTGATTTGATTATTTAGTCTTCTTCAAGTAGAGTTTTAACTGTTTTTCAATACCAGGTGCATCTCCAAGAGAACCATCCGACTCTTCTCCACGGTCAAGGCTTCGGTTCGAATTTTATATGCCGGATATGCGGTCGATACCACAACGCCAGTTCCAAACTGCGGTTGCACATGGCGATACACGAGAACTTCGATTGGGGAATCTTGTCGGAAGAAAACGACAAAAAAAACGAAATCAAAACCGAGAACAAGCGCAGAGAAGCAAACGGTTACGGTAAGGTTTCATACGCCGAAAACGTTGCTTTTTTTTACGTTGTCTTCCCAGGTTACGATTACGAAAACGACGAAGACATAGAGCTGGAAATGAAGTACGAAAACGACATCAACTACGAGGACGACATCGAGCAAGTCGAACTGTCGGAAACGGAAGTGGTCGACGACGAAGAAGAAGAAGAAGATGTGGACGTCATCAAGCGGGAAATCGACGAGGAAGACGAAGAAGAAGCGACTTCGGTCTCCTCTGAAAATTCGTCGGAAAAATCCTTGAAAACCACGATGCTGCAGAACATGCTGCAAGAGAATCAGAAGAGGGTCCCGAGGGAAAACGGAAGCGATTCGGACGCCACCGAAGACGAATATCGGGAGAAAATAAGCGAAAGCGACGATGAAGAGGACAGCGGAGATTCCACGGAAAGCACCCAGAAGTACTGCATCAAAAGGTTAGTGTTATTTTTTTCTCTAACTTAACAATTCCTTTTCAGCTTTTATACCTTCATAATATTGCCTAGCTTCCACATTTTCAGCTGTTACATTGCTTCATAAAAAATTCCATTTTGTCAATTATGTACTTTTGTTGCCTTACAATTGGCAAAAGTTCTTGGAATAACTCGATTTTTGTGGCATTCGTTGGTTCTTCGAAAGTGTATGGGGGATCGAGCATCCCCTTCTAAACGAGGTAAAATGTCGGAAAACCACTTTTCAAATGATTCTCCGTTCATTTCCTCATTTCCTGACAACACACTCGACAAAATCACTATAAATAATAATGTTTTTTATGAATTTATACAATCCAAGAGGTACAAAAATAAAAAGCTCAGTAGGTACTATGCTCGACACCTCAAAGTCCCACCACGTGACCACGTACGGAACGCAGTCTTTTGAAAATTTGGCATTTAAGGCTTTTCTGGTTATGTATCTGTCAAAGTATAGTCAATGAAAGAAATAATATTTATAGTGTTACCGCTTATGTTTAAGCGTTAAAAGTTAATAAATCTTTATAGTATCACAATAACAATGGTTGGTTTAAGAATTTAGGAATATAAATACTGAATTTAATGAAATTTCAAAGTGTAAGGTATAAGTGATAATTTTGTGCATTGGGTCTACATTTCTCCATAAAATAGTTTTAACTAAACAGCATTTATTAAAAAAAATCTAACTTCTTTATTATGAAATAAGAATATCTGTATCAAAGGTAGGTTAATGTATTAGAACAAAAAATATCACCTAATTTTGTATTTTAAGGTTAGAAAAATCTATTTTGACCAAAATAAATAAGTGGATTATTTGGAAGAGTGTGTTAATATGGTCCTAAATAAATATAGGTATACTAAATAATTGTTGAATATGGTTCAAATTAAATTGAAGCTTTTATACTTCTAATGACAAAACTTGTGCATACCTCTCGGCATACCTACTTTAAGTTAGATTATAAGAAAACAAACAATTTTTAGAGAAACTTGCAATGTGAAAATATTTAATACTCCCATGACATGTGATTTATTAAAATTTTTAAAGTTATAATTATTTTTTGATGTAAATCAAGTTCAGTCGAAGCTTTTTAACTATTTGTATTGACAAAACTTTATGTAGGTACACTTTAAGCTGGATAAGAAAAACCACCACATTTTTAAATACCATATTATACAGTCTTTTAAATAATCCAAAATACTTATTTATTTTGGTCAAAATAAATTTTTCTAACCTTAAAATTACAAAATTAGATTATATTTTTGTTATAATATATTAACCTACCTTTAAAACAGATATTCTTATTCCATAATAGAGAAGCTAGATTTTTTTTATAAATGCTGTTTAGTTAAAATTATTTTATGGAGAAAACCAGATATTTGGACCAAATGCACAAAAATAATACTTATTTGGCACCATACACTTTGGAATTTCATTAAATGCAGTATTTATATTCTTAAATTCTTAAACCATCCATTGTTATTGTAATGTTATAAAGATTTATACATTTTTAACGCCTAAACATAATATTATTTCTTTCGTTGACTATACTTTGACAGATACATAACCTGAAAAGCTTTAAATGCCAAATTTTCAAAAAACTGCGTTCCGTACGTGGTCACGTGGTGGGACTTTGAGGTGTGGAGCATAGTACTTACCTAGTATAGTTTAGTTAAATTTAAATAATCTTTTATAATCTGAGGTAAATCTGGGGCAAAAAATATATCGAAAATATTGTTTGGTGTGACCGAAAAAATTATTGTCATCGCAATTTTGTATTTTTTTTTTCTGAGCGAGTTTTTGTCTCAGAACTCCCAAACCATTGAGTTTAACAAAATTGACTTCAAAATATCTTTTCTTACAATTATTCCTTAAATATTGGTATAGTTTTACAATTTGATCTTTTAACTTTGAAATTTTGTAATTTATGTAAAAATCAGTACCCGGAAAATACCGATAGATGTTCTTATGGGAAATCAAATGCTCTACAAAAGAAGTCTCCTAACATTTTTAGCTAAATTCTCTCCATCAAAAGTTATTCAAGGTTAAAGTTGAAGTCAAAAGGAAATTCTTGCTTTTTCTTTAGAAAATATAATTTTCACTGTTATTTAATTGTTTATAATAACAATCATGTTATTTTTTATTGGAAATTGTTAATTAGCTATATAATACACATTTATAAAGAAAAAAAATCAAATTATCATTCATAGAAAAATAAATCTATAGAGGAAAAAACAAGAATTTCGTTTTGACTGACTTCAACTTTAACCTTGAATAACTTTTGATGGAGTGAATTTAGCCAAAAATGCTAAGAGACTTTTTTTTTAGACCATTTGTTTTCCCATAAGAATATCTATCGGTTTTTTTCGGGGTAGTGATTTTTACATGAATTACAAATTTCCAAAGTTAAAAGATCAAATTGTAAAACTATGCCAATGTTTAAGGCATGATTGTAAGGAAACTGTTGATCTGACGGAAAATTTCATTTAGACCTTTTTTGTAGAGCATTCAATTTCCTTCAAAAATATATCTGTGTCAATTTTGTTAAACTCAATGGTTTGGGAGTTCTGAGACAAAAACTCGCTCAGGAAAAAAAAATACATGAACTGTTGTTCTTTTTAGCATTTCAAATTCGGACACGGGCGACTCTTCGTCGCGACCTGGCAACGCAGGCGCGGTTGCCACGTTTCGCGGCTATGAGCCCGAAGAACTCGATTCGGCCATAAAGTCCATCAGTTACGACGAAAATGAACTGGCTTCAGCTGTAGGAAGCATTTTGTAGGTGAAAAAAAAAATTCTGCCGAAAACGCATGAAATTTTTTTTTTTTTCGGTTTTATTGAGTTTTACGGCGATTTATGATCTCAAATTTGTTGCTTGATTTTATTTTTTGTTCCTTATGTTTTTTGTACCAATAATAAGAGTTGCGGACAATTGAAATTTTTTTGTGATTTAATTTTAATACATCTTTTTTGTATTCAAGGTAAGTAAAAAAAGTTTTAAACTGTGTATTCGGTTTTAAAAAAAATTAAAAGCTTTATTACCGTTGGTCTCATTTTTTGTAGTATTTATAACATATAAACTTCGACAAATAAAATGTTTTTTTTTAGTTGATATTTTAACAATTCAAATTAGCATTTATTTTTTGCTCTCTATCTCTAACTACACTCACAGGCAAAATAATAATCCACACAAATTTTCGATGAATTTCAATCGTAAATAACTTTTTTATTTGATGTCGGATTTAAACGAATATTAAAGAATATTGTAGATAAATTAATGGACAATCGCTCACATTTTAAAAAATTCCTAAAAAATAGACGTACGTTTATAATATACAGGTTTAAACAAAAAGATGTTTTTTACCATAAGTTTAAGACACTCTGTAGAGTGGCAAAACCGTATTTTGTTCTAAATTAAGTTTTATTTATCAAGTCACATATATATATAAATATTGGAAATTGCAATGTATTTTAAAAAATCCATATTTTCCACAAAAATAAATATATCGAGGTGAACCAAAAACAAAACTGTTAAAAATAGATGTGACTTGATAAGTAAAACTTAATTTAGAACAATATACGGTTTTGCCACTCTACAGAGTGTCTTAAACTTATGGTAAAAAACATCTTTTTGTTTAAACCTGTATATTATAAACGTACGTCTATTTTTTAGTAATTTTTTAAAATGTGAGCGATTGTCCATTAATTTATCTACAATATTCTTTAATATTCGTTTAAATCCGACATCAAATAAAAAAGTTATTTGCGATTAAAATTCATCGAAAATTGTTTGCCTGTGAGTGTACTTCATTAAGCGTATTAAGTTAGTACAGGGTAGTAAATTTACATTTTGACATCAAGTATAGTCCGAGTTGTCAAGGTATAAATATTTACCCTGTATACAGGGTGTGTCAGAATCCCAAAAAATTGTTAAAAAATTCTACCTTCACTATTGAAACACCCTGTATACAATTTATTGGTTATATCGGAGATTTAAAATTTCCGGAAAATTTGATAGCCCGAAAATAAACGTTTTTTTTCACAGAACAATTGAAGAAAAAAATTTTAAAATCAATTTTTCTTAAGGCCAAGAAAAAAACGTTTATTTTAATCTTTCGATTTTTCCGTACCGTTAAATCTCTAGATTCTAACGTGATTTAAAATGCCATAATTTAATTATTTTTTATAAACTTTTTGTGTAAATATGCCATATTTATAATTTGCGAAAAGGTGCGTATTTTTTTTTGAGACTGTTTTTTATATTTTGAACTCAAGCGCTTTTTTTAGATTAGATGTTTTTACATACATGCATGTATGTATTATGTATTTATTAATTTTGTCGATAATAATAATAATTGAAAATCTTAATATACTTAAGCCATTCCTTGATATTATATTTTAAGTAATTTTAGAAATACATTGTATATAAAATAATGAGTAATAAATATTTTGTAAATTAAGCGTGTTTTTATGTTGACCTTGAAAATAAGCGGACCCCATATTGATCCTTGAGGTACACCTATTTATCTCCCAAAAATGTTAAAAACTCATTTATAATGCCAAAAAATACATTTTAATGTCAAAAACACATTCTAGAATGTAAAACACAATTAAAACATCAAAAACACATTTGAAATGTCAAAAACAAATCAAGAATGTCAAAAGCACATTTAGAAAGTCAAAAATGTGGAAAACACTGAATGTTGAATGTTATTAAAAATACATTTAGAATGTTAAAAACAAATTGAGAATGTCAAAAATGTGAAAAACATTTAGAAAGTTAAATGTAATTAAATAATGTAAAAACTATCCTGACAGTTACCAACAAAATTAAGAGTGTTAAGAACAAATTTAGAATGTCAAAAATACATTCTAGAATGTAAAACACAATTCAGAACTTCAAAAACACTATTAAAACGCATTTAAAATGTCAAAAACAAATTAAGAATGTCAAAAATGGGAAAAACACTCAAAATGTTGAATATAATTAAAAACTGTATAAAACTATCTAGAAAGTTAAAAATATAATTGAGTCTTAATTATTAAGAATGTCAAAAACACATTCTAGAATGTAAAAAACACAATTCAGAACCTCAAAAACACAATTAAAACGTCAAAAACACAATTGAAATATCAAAAGAATGTTAAAAATGTGAAAAACGTTCAATGTTAAATGTAATTAGGTAAATAATTTAAAAAAACATCTAAAAAGTTAAATAATCATTTAACTTTCTAGATGGTTTTGTAAATGCGTTTTTGCATTTACAATGTCAAAAACACACTTTTGAATGTGAAAACACATTCTAGAATGTAAAGTATACAATCAGAACCTTAAAAACACAATTCAGATATCAAAAACACATTTAGAATGTCAAAAATCATTTGAAATGTCAAAAATACGTTCTAGATTGTAAAAAAGTTACAACATAATTAAGAAGGTCAAACACGCCTTTATAATGTCAAAACCACATTTTAAAATGTAAAATTGGTTATAAAAGATTTCCAAACAATACTTAATAAAAAAATGTATACTGGGTTGCCTAAGACATTGCGTTAAACACAAAACAATTTTGAGGGGATTAGCACTATGCTGGAAAACATTTGTAAAATTTATTAATTTATTGATAATTCATGATTTAAACATCGCAAATCCATAAACAGATTGCGCTCTTTTATAAGTTTCGCCATCTGGGTTGCCTATGCACCGATATATATACTCAAAATATATCGAACAAAATAAAATTTAATAAATTAATATTATAAATTTTTTATCAAGACCTGGTTTTTTCTTGATATATATCTGGAGAATCGGGACGGTATTTTTTTGAGGAATTTGGAATATTGGCATTGGCAACACTGTTTGTTTAGTGCACAAAGTTGTTTTTATACGAAAGATTAACCTCTGACAATAAAACTTATTTTTCTATTTAAATTTATTGAAGTGTTAATTTAGTTACTTATTACTTGAATGGTAAGTTTTTTAATTGTTTTCTATATATACATAGCTATAGTTTGTACTCACATTTTAATTTTTTTAAATATATGCTTGTCCTATATATAATCTATAGGTACGTACTGCACCATCAAAAGAACTTTTACAGAATTTTAATTTAAATTCTTAAAAAATAATATAAATAATATATAGGCTCACTTAAAATAATTATTTTAAGTGAGCCTATAACCCTTAATGATTATTTGTAGTTAAAATAAAAATAGAGAAATAAGTATATTTTTTAAAGAATAAAATTAAAAATGCAAGCACTTGTTGAATTTATTATAAAGGTGCCACACACACGTGTTCAATATTTTATACGCATTTGTGGATTTTGTTAAAATAAGGGGTAAAATATTACTTGGCCACGTGTTTTTTCGATTTTTTTTTCCGGAAAAATTAGATGATTATAAGCATTTCTTTTCTTGATGTCCTCCCAAAAATATTTCAGACAGTTCAATAAGTTTTCGGTAGTCATCTCTCACAATAGACTCTTTTAGTTATTTAGAGTAAAACCCATTAAGTTTATCAATTTCATAGTTTACGGCCTATTCACTAGACCCTTCCGGGTAACTAGCCACTCCCTGTGAAAATATACATTTTTATCAAAGTATACACATAAATAAAACTATATTTTAAAATTTGTCAATAATTTATAATATAAGGGTAACATAATAACAAACACAAAATGACTTACGATCGAAGACCTCGCGACCAACCGTGTTACAAAATACCGCGCGCCTAACGTTGGCTAACGGAGGGTTCAGATGCAAGTCGGCACGGGTTCCCGTTTATAGAATGAGCTGAAATTTTTACTGGGAGTATATAAACACGTAATAAATATAATTAGAGGGTATGCGTAAAAAAAATAAAAATAAGGAACAATAATAATAATATATATAGATACATAGATTTAAAATATGATTATAATTAACATAGAAATATTATTTCCAAGATAATTAATTTTATTTTCAGGCCAGATGGAAGACGAAACAATGAATCAGTTTACTGATGATCTTTTAAAAGAGAAAACATTCAACTGCCAGATTTGCGATGAACTTTGCACTTCCGATATTTTCCTGGTCAAAGGGAAAGGATACGTGTGTGGAAAATGTTTGGAAGAAAAGTGTGGGGAGGAAATGAAATCAAAGGCCGAATTAATCACGCGTCTAATGTCAATTATGGCCAAGCTAATGTTGCCATGCAAATTTCAATCTAAAGGCTGCGATAAGAGGGTTGAGTCTAAAAAGTATTCCAAGCACATTGGTACTTGCGATTTTAAGATTAAACCGTGCCCGATGAAAAATCTTGAAGGTTGCGATTGGAGCGGAAGCGACTTCGAAGTAAGCGGGCATTTATTAAAGAAACATGAAGAACATGTTATTAAGGGTGAGAACAATATTTTTAAGGTTAAAACGTCCCTAGGGGTACGCTTCAACGTTAAGATATTATCTAATGATTACCAAAGCTGCCTTTTAAAGACTTCAGTTGTTGATGATAAATTTTATTACGCCTTGAATCCAGTTGGAAAATCCGAAGAAAATATGGAATATACAGTGGTGCACAAAAGTACTCCAGAACAAAACAATAAAGAGTTAAAAACCTTAGGTACTCTAACCAAACTGAATGGTTTTTATGATGAAGAAAACCTGGATAAAAACCCCAACGCGACTGTGGTAGACATCAACCTGTTGAAACATCTTGCAGATAAAGATAATATGATCTCAAACGAATTTAATTTGAATCCTAAAGGAATAGATGAGAATTTGCTAAAACTATTGGAATGTCCCGTATGCATGAGCGTGATGAGACCTCCGATACATCAGTGCAATCGTGGACATAGCATTTGCATCATATGTCGCGGAAAAGTAAGTGCATGTCCTACATGCAATGGAGAGTGGACCAATGCAAGAAACTTCTTTATGGAGAATTTTACAACCAATCTAAAATATCCCTGCAGGTTTAAAAAATCTGGGTGCAAAGAGAACGCAATTGAAGGTGATATCAAGAAACATGAAGAAATTTGTTTGTTTTATAGCTGTAAATCTGCATTCAACAATATTGCTATTGATGAGCAGTCGCCAAAATGTTTGTCTCAAATAGCTTGCAGATTTTATAGCTTTGGATGCAAAGAGAGGGGTGTTAAAAGGGAAATAATAAAACATGAAGAATCGTGTGGGTTTTACAGATACAAATGCCCTTTGTGCCCACAATTTTTGCGCAAAGATCGTATGTTAAAGCATGCTGAAGACTTGCATAAGATAATAAATGTTTATTCTAGTAAATTTTCAAAGGTAGCAGAAAACGATGAAATCTATGTAAATTATATGGCATTTGATTTAAATTTATTCAGAATATCGTATTATGCTGAAGATATATATGTACATTTTGCTGTTGAATTGATTTGCTCTAATGAAAACCCCAGTCTATATACTTACGAAATTACTTTTTCAAATCATAATGCAGAAAGGCCATTAATATTAAAATCAACCTGTGTAGAAGAAATGCAAAGAGGATACCCAACACCAGAATTTGTAAAAATCCTTAATGATAATACTTACAATAAGTTTGATGTATCCATTAAAAAAGCAAATTAGTTCAACACAAATTCAAGTCGTATTTAAATAGGTTTAACGTTAAACGTTTAACATATATTTTCTATATTTTTTAAACTTAATGAAATAAAATTAATAAATGCACAATATTTTTTTATTTAATGCTCACGAAAAATATCCTTGTGTTGGCACCATCGTAACGAAACAGAACACCCAGTGTTGCCAACTGGCGAAGAATTCACTTTTTGGAGAATTTGTATTGTTGATGTTTTTTCTTCTGCCCCTTCTGAGGTTTTATATTAGGGTGAAATATGAATATACACGTTATATTTTACTGATTGTAGTAAGAAGATTGTTGGCAGAACTGTTGTAAAATCGTAATTTTCGGGGGTTTATGAACCTTTTTAAGATTTTTATACTCAAGCAAGTCAAATTTTTATTTATTTAAACATTAAAATACCTATTGTGTTAAAGTTATTTCAAATGGCGGCTGGTGGATTTTATGTATACCAATATCTCAGTTATTAGACATGGGACCCACACCAAATTTATAATAGTTTATAATGACATTAAATAGACAAGTTTGGCGCAAATAGAATTTAAATTAAAGTTTTGGAAAAAAAGTTAGTTTTTCACAACAAAATTTAGAAATTTAAATAATAAAAAACAACTTAAGATATGAAAAACCCATTCTAGAATGTTAAATAAACAATTCGAAACCTTAAAAAAACAATTAAAGAGTTCAAAACACATTAAGAATGTCAAAAACGTACCTATTTATAATGTCAAAAATACGTTCCAGAATGTAAAATAGTTACAACATAATAAAGAAGGTCAAAAACGCCTTTATAATGTCAAAACCACATTCTAAAATGTAAAATAAACAATTCAGGACCGCAAAAACACAATTAAGATATGAAAAACCCATTCTAGAATGTAAAATACCCAACTGAGATATCAAAAACATACTAAGAATGTCAAAAATGAGAAAAACATTTAGTCACAACCGTATTAAGAGTTGCCTACCATCACACAACAAAATTTAGAAATTTAAAAACGAATTTATAATAAAAGTTTTATTATAAAACACAATTTAGAATGTCAACAACACAATTCAGAGCGTCAAAAAGACATTTTAGAATGTCATAAACACAATAAGAATGTCAAAAGCACATTTGTTATGTCAAAAATGTAAAACATGTTGAATATAAAGTAAAAAACTACATAGAAAGTTTACAACGTAATTTATAACGTTAAAAACACTATTAAGATGTCAAAAACACATTTTAAAGTGTCACTTTTTTGGTAGGTTAAGTTTAATAAAATTAGACCATAAGCTAAATTAAACTAGTTTATTTCCAATAAAATATATACAATTAAAACGAAAACTAAGCTTTGGTAGGTGACCAAGCCTCGATTTTTGGTCTTGTAGTAGAATACGGCATATATTGCCCAGGGGTACCAGTTAAGTTTTCCGTGTGATCTGTCATCCACTTGTACTGCGGTCTGGAAGGATCTTGAGAGGGAATTAAGTCGGTTTTATAATGCATCCAACCAAACCACTCGGCTGGGATTTGGCTACCATCATATTCAAGAGCGTAGTACGGGGCATATTCAATCCATCTGTTTCTACCGTAGAAATACGATTTATTCTCGTAGTATTTGTTACCGTACTTATCAGTCCCTACGCAGGTACCCATACGCACTGAATCCATCCTAAAATACGCATAATATAACGAATATGACGAATATAAACAAGAAGTTAGGTTAGGTTACATAACTATACACCAAAACATACCTGTACATCTTCGCGAGGGATGCTCGTAACCCCCCATGGGAACTGATGGTTTTAAAGAAGTTCGTTATAGCCGATAAGCCGAAATAATTGGCCATTATAGCGAAATTATGCGAGAATTTGACAACCTAATTTTAGCCAAATGTCAACTGTCACTTTTTTGAACTACGAATATTATTAAAATATGTTTATTTATTAATTGTGCCTTAAGTTGTAAAATTGTTTATTCTATTATATGTAAATTACATTATTTTAAAAGAAAATTTAATAAATATTGCTTTAAAACATACGAATTTTATTTTCCACCTGTTGGTAATCTTTTTATGTTGGCCTTACTGCAGTTTACAAATGGTGTTTGTATTGAAATGTGCTGTCAAATATTTAATTTTTAAACGATTGTTGTTAAAAAGTGCCAATTTGTGTGGGATTAATCAATTGGAAGAAATCTAGGTGAGTTTTTAACATTTCTATTGCATTGTCATGCTTGAATATCGGTTTTTTGTAACGTATTTTAAGTGTTGTTTTAAAGACCATTTTTAAGATCTAAAAATATGTCAAACGCATTTTATTTGACATCTGACAACTGTCAAGGGCTCTTTCGAAAATAATAACAATTTCATGCTAAATCACTCTTTATTTTCACAATAATTGTTATTCTATTCTATAAATATTAGACAAAAACACAGTTGTATATAAATAAATTTTCATGTACTATATAAATATTTTATTAATATTATTTTTTAAAGCTTTATGAGTAAGGTTGCCAACTTTCGGTTATTGAAATAAAGGACAAATTGGGATTTTTTTTGGGTGCCACGTCTACTTTACAGCTTTTCCGATTTTTTTTTCGGACGAGGGAGGTGGTGTAGAAGGGGCACCGCTTGACGTAGATGTCTGTGACTTTGGGACATCATCACTTGCATCGACGACTTTATCACCATTCATGATGATTTTATTGATGATGTTTAGCAAAAACCTGCAAATAAATAATGCTACTTTTTATGAATCTGTTTAATTTAATTTTCCAATTAAAGTTTAAAAATATATTGCGACAAAAAACTGAAATCTAATAATATAATTTTAATATTGTATTTCCACTTACCGTTTCCTGTTGAAAAGTTGTAAAATAGGGTTAAAAAAAACACCTTACACACAGAGACTAGTCGACTACACACAAGGGCTCAACACAACGAGGAACAAAATAAAAATACAAGGTATGCTGGATAAATTGGAGCTCGGAGATTTACCAAAATATTTCAAATGTTGCCAATTTTACGTCTTATGGTATTTGTATGGTTCATTTTTTGAAATAATTGTGGATTTATCTGTATTTCCCTAACCAATTGGTCGCCACAAATGGCGGACTATCGTTTCCGCCAGCTATAACGTTTAATTCTTTGCAAGGTTTAATTATTAAACAACAAAAACGCATAGAACAAACCATAAGCGCTATTAAACAACAAAAAAACGCTATTAAACAAACCAAAAACCCTCAAACTGGTAAATAAACAAACACAAACTGTCATCTGTCAGAAAAAATGACACATAATCGGACTTCCGTCGTAAATTTATTACATTAACGAGATTTGGCAGGGTCCTTCCTGAGGTTTTTTATTCAAAGGTATTTCCGGATTTTAAAGGACATTTGCCGTCCTTTGACACCTTTCAAAAGGACAAAGGACAGTATTTAGAAATAAAGGACTGTCCTTTAAAATAAAGGACGGTTGGCAACCCTATATAAATTATGAGTAAAATTGAATAAAAAAATTTGTATTGTTAAAATTTAGTATAGCCTCTAATCTAAAATCTAAAGTAGTATGTATTATTAGTAAATCAACATTCCTAAACGTTTTTTAATGTTAATGTTTACCTTAACTATTATTTATTGTCTCACAAATATTGGAACTACTCGTCAGAAAAATATGCCGGGTATATCAGAAAGCAATTTCTGAGGCCACACATAATCTAATTGGAACATTTTTTGATTCAATTTTAATTTGTAAGTTAATATTAAATACAAATATATAAACAACAACAATAAAAAAGCTTCATCACAATATTGGTTTTAAGCTGCTTTCAACAACTTAAATCACTAACTACGTAATTTTTATACAGTCTTTATACAGACTGCAATAATTCGTTTATTACAAATTTACTTATTTTCTTAACTATGTATTCTAACCTAACTCTGATAAAACCGAGTCCAGATCTAGCTTAAGACTTTCAGTGGCATCTTTTTGCTTGTTTAGCTCGTCCTGGAGCCTTTCAGCGTTTGTTTTCAGCAGGAAGTTGCCTTTTTTAAGCGCATTTAATATACTTTCGTGCCTGTTATTTCTTCCTTCCAGGTTGGATTTTCGTTTTTCTGCTGGGGCTTCTTCATTTTCACTTTCGCTGGCTTCTGAGTCGCTTTCTTCAGAATCTGATTCTTCTTCCGATGATTCCTCTTCTGAACTTTCTTCTTCTTCTTCTTCTGGTTTGTCTTCTTCTTCATCCTCTTCTTCTTCTTCTTCTGCGTCTTTCATCAGGGCTGCCATTTTGTCCACCTGATTTAGTTTTTATGTAGTTGGTAGGTATGAATTAATAATTTATTATTTACCTCTTTCTGCAGTTGCTTGAATTTCTTCTTTTCTTCTTTTATGGCGGTTTGATTCCTCTTGATGATTTCTCTGAGAGCTATCCTTTCTTTTTTGGCGTTGTCTTCTTTGTTCTTGAAATTTCTGAGTTTATTTCTGAGGTGTTTGAGTTCCTTTTGAGCTTTCTTCTCTTTTTTCTCCTCGGTTTCTTCGCCATCACTTTCTTCTTCTTCTTCCGAGCTTCCGAAGTCCAGATCTGAATTATCCCCGCCGTTTGCCATACTTGCCTTGCGGTCCGTAATGGAAATCCGTTTACCTAAAAATCATCAAATGAAAACTGTTTTTCGTCAATTTTTTAAACATACAACATTTTCGAACAAAAATTAATTTCACTGGACAATTACACAAGGGTAACTGCTATAACCTGAATCGTCCTCATCATTTTCAACGCAAGATGAATATTTTAAGTACGAGTAATTCGGATAACACTCGGTATTGTATGTGTCACGGTATTCTTGGTCTTTTTCTGCAAGTTAACAATATATTTTTTTTTATTAAAATAAATTAATGTACCTATTTAGGGCAAAACGATTTAAGCGGCGTAGTAGAAAGGTCCAAAAGTTAAGTACTTAATAATATAAAATAGAGTGCAATGCCACTATCAGACTGTCAATTGGACATTTAAGTATGCAGAAAAATATATATATGTACTTTTGGACCTACCAAACTTTAAAATCAAAATTTTACAAAACTGATATATTACTAAAATTATTTACAGTAGATGTTATAAAGCCAAAACGTAACTAAGCAACATTTTTTTCAACTTCCCAAATTTTTACCATTTTTGATGAATAGGTACTATGCTGCACACCTCAAAGTCCCACCACGTGACCACGTACGGAACGCAGTCTTTTGAAAATTTGGCATTTAAGGCTTTTCAGGTTATGTATCTGTCAAAGTATAGTCAACGAAAGAAATCATATTATGTTTAGGCGTTAAAATGTATAAATCTTTATAACATTAGAATAACAATGGATGGTTTAAGAATTTAAAAATATAAATACTGCATTTAATGAAATTCTAAAGTGTATGGTGCCAAATAAGTAATATTTTTGTGCATTTGGTCCAAATATCTGGTTTTCTCCATAAAATTATTTTAACTAAACGGCATTTATTTAAAAAAATCTAGCTTCTCTATTATGGAATAAGAATATATGCATTAAAAGTAGGTTAATATATTATAACAAAAATATCATCTAATTTTGTAATTTTAAGGTTAGAAAAATTTATTTTGACCAAAATAAATAAGTATTTTGGATTATTTAAAAGACTGTATAATATGGTATTTAAAAATGTGGTAGTTTTTCTTATCCAGCTTAAAGTGTACCTACATAAAGTTTTGTCAATACAAATAGTTAAAGAGCTTTGACTGAATTTGATTTACATCGAAAAATCATTATAACTTTAAAAATTTTAATAAATCACATATCATGGGAGTATTAAATATTTTCACATTGCAAGTTTCTCTAAAAATTGTTTGTTTTCTTATAATCTAACTTAAAGTCAGTATGCCGAGAGGTATGCACAAGTTTTGTCATTAGAAGTATAAAAGCTTCAATTTAATTTGCCATATTCAACAATTATTTAGTATACCTATATTTATTTATGACCATGTTAACACACTCTTTCAAATAATCCACTTATTTATTTTGGTCAAAATAGATTTTTCTAACCTTAAAATGCAAAATTAGATGATATTTTTTGTTCTAATACATTAACCTACCTTTGATACAGATATTCTTATTTCATAATAGAGAAGCCTAAACATAATATTATTTCTTTCGTTGACTATACTTTGACAGATACATAACCTGAAAAGCCTTAAATGCCAAAATTTCAAAAGACTGCGTTCCGTACGTGGTCACGTGATGGGACTTTGAGGTGTGGAGCATAGTACATATTTTTTTGGTGGAAACAATACTAAAAAAAAATCTTTACAAACCTGAGAGTAAGGATGGTAAAATTTCGGTACGTTATAACGAACATATATATACGTTATTTTTGTCGTTTAGTTTATTTTTATTAACCAATTAGTTGTACGTAAGTTTATGTCGTCTATTTACCTATTAAATCATATTGCCCCAGTCCTGAAAATTTATCGTGTTGATTTAATTTTTCACGTTTTATTTTTAGTATTTTTTTTTTTTTTTTGAACGAAACTCACCCGAACCTGCGTCCATCAATTTTCTCTCCAACTCCCTGTTTTGCCGCCTGATCTCCTCCAATTGCGACTTGGTGCCGTCCAGTTGTTCCGCTGACTCCCTGTATTTTTTTTCCAGCTCCTCAGAATGTTTTTTCGCCTGCTCTGCTTCCGTTTTCAAAGATTTGATGATCTAAAAGTCAAAAGTCATCGAAAGTTAGGTTAGTGTATGTGTACTCGCCTTGTCGTCGGCTTGACCGCCCCCTCCACCTCCTCCTCCCCCCTCCGATTTTTTGTTTTTCTCCCTTTCCAATTCAGCCTCCAGGTTTTGTATTTTGGCCATCAGCATCTTGTTTTCCCTAATTTGGGCCTCCTTGTTCCTCAACTCCAACGCCAGCATCTGTTTGGTGCTTTGGAGATCGTCGCGGACCTTGTCGATGTCGTCCATTTCATCTTGTTCCTCCACTGGAAACTCCTCCTAAAGATATAACAGAGTCTTTAAAAAAACATTGTTGGGTTAATTGCACTTACAGGAGGTATGCTAGCCATAGACATGGACTTCTGTATTTGCTCCTCGATCGTCATTTGTCTTCTGAATTTCCGCAGTCCCTCCAAAACCGGCTTGCTCCTGTCGTTGGTCTTGACTTTTTTTAGTTTGACCCCGAATTGAATCTAGAAACATTACACGGACTAAACTTTCGCAAAACCGTTGGTTGGCCGGTTTTTTTTTACCTCCTTCAGTAGTACGTTGTGGCAGTTGTCCTTTTCGCTCTCGAAAACGAAATGATCCGTGGCCTTGGCTTCAGGCAGGAGGGGTTGTGATCTGTCATTGCAATGGACGTGTTTCAATTTTTTCGTACCCTCCAGGTCCTTTAGCAGCGATGACCAGTCCGGACGAGCTTTGGGCCTCGACCTAAAAGATGAAATAAGGCTTGATCAAAATTGGTCAATTTCATGACCATTTTAACACCAAATTCACACAGTATTAAAATAAATTTTACCTGGTGTAAATTGAACTCCTTTTCAGTGTTAAATATTATGTGTTTGTGGTCAAATTAAATCATACTACACAGAAAAGGAAACAGGAAGTTCCTTGACGCATTACAAGTACATTACCAGTGGTATTATTCCAGAAAATTAAACCTTCAACTCGCTAGAGATAATGTTTTTAGTGCGTTCCACCAACTTAAAATACTTCAAGTATTGACAGCTGTTTCCACCTGTTTAAGGTCTCTTTAGTATCGAACAACTTGTAGTGTCACACCAAAGCAAAGGACCACCTGAGCTTATATACTCTTCATGTGAGTCGACAGAGGCGAGATTTAAGAACATCACGTGATCCACGCCGCCTTTGCCGCGATCGGTGCACACTATGCAACCGGGAATGCACGGCAAATTGTTTTAATCGTTTTAACAGAGTGCTTTAGATTATTTTACAAACAACATATTTAGTAAAGTGAACCATACAGCGGGTTGGTTTCACTAAAGTTTTCTGGGTTATTTAACGAATTTAAAAAAAATATAACTATCTGGTTTAGTACCGTCAGACTAATCTTTGTTTATATTAACCTTCCCACAGTTGATTTACATAAATACTTATGGGTCAACTAAATTAATATAGTTAAATGAACTATACTTGGTGTTGGATTTTGACACCATTTTAAGATTACTCTTTACACCACAGATATTTTAAACAGTGTAATTACCATTTCACTGAAAACACTCTTACAGAAGTTGAACAAACTAAACAAGAAAGAAATCCAAATCCAAACATTATATGACATGTAAATTCCGCTCTAAACCTAATCACTAATTGCTTGTTTATATTTCTTTTTCAGTGATCAGTTCCTACTGCTGTCGAATCGAATTAAGTGCATTACTCAACCGTATCGTTATTTATAAACAAAGTAAAAATAGAGTGTTTGCAACAATGTTGTTAGTAGTAGTAGTTCAAACATGCTGTTTATTGTTGGAAGCAAAATGTGGATGTGGTAGGTAGCAAAAAAACGTCTTATCACCTGAGTTGCTCCAATTTTTTCTTCTGATCGTTGTTGAGCGGTTTTTTGTTCTCCGACCCAGGCATGGCGGGTGCCGGGGGTGGCATTGGGGGTGGCGCCGGGCTGTTGGTCATCGACATCTTCCTCATGCTCTCCGCGCGCATCACTGCGTTCCTCGTGGCTGGAACTTCCTAAAAAAAAAAAAAAATTCTAAAACATTGAAAGTTTCGAATGGTAGTGAAATGGACGACAGTCGCACCTCCTCTTTGTTTTCTTCTTCATTTTCTTCTTCCGAATCTTCCCACCACCAACTGGCCACCATTCTTACAATTAATTTTACAAAACCCTCAAGAAAATGTTAACGTCTGCGAGTAAAAATCGAAGTGAGTGGTTTTCAAACGTGAAGTCTATTTACGTAATCGATGTTTGAAAATAGTTCGGCCACATGTTGCCAATACTGATCGCTTTCTCGAGATTGATCGTCTTATTGTTTTGTTTTTGTATCGCGTACGCACCGTTCAAAATTTCATGGCCATTTTAACACCAAATTAAATCATACTACACAGAAAAAAAGGAAAAAAAGGAAACAGGAAGTTCCTTGACGCATTACAAGTATATTACCGGTGGTATTATTCCAAAAAATTGAACCTTCAACTCGCTAGAGATAATGTTTTTAGTGCGTTCCACCAACTTAAAATACTTCAAGTATCGACAGCTGTTTTCACCTATTTAAGGTCTCTTTAGTATCGAACAACTTGTGGTGTCACACCAAAGCAAAGGACTACCTGAGCTTATATACTCTTCATGTAAGTCGACAGAGGCGAGATTTAAGAACATCACGTGATCCACACCGCCTTTGCCGCGATCGGTACACACTATGCAACCGGGAATGCACGGCAAATTGTTTTAATCGTTTTAACAGAGTGCTTTAGGTTGAAGTAACTCTTATTTTACAAACAACATATTTAGTAAAGTGAACCATACATCGGGTTGGTTTCACTAAAGTTTTCTGGGTTAATTTAACCAATTTAAAAAATAAAATAACTATAGTTATATATCTGGTTTAGTACCGTCAAACTAATCTTTGTTTATATTAACCTTCCCACAGTTGATTTAAATAAATACTTGTGGGTCAACTAAATTAATATAGTTAAATGAACTATTCCTTTTTTTCTGTGTAGGTGCACTTCTCAAATATTTTTAGATAAACACCGTTTTGGTGTTTGCCGTATAAAACATTTTCAACCATAATTCATGGTGTTATATTAACACCACTTGGTGTTGGATTTTGACACCATTTTAAGATTACTCTTCACACCACAGATATTTTAAACAGTGCAGTAAAGTATTCTTACCTTGTCCAAGTCGTCATCGTCATTGGTTGGAAGCCTGATAAGAGATGGTTTTCTCGGTGGGTCCTTTAACTTTCTGTCCGCGACGCTTTTAAGCTCAGGCAGCTGAAGCTTGTGTTCTTTTTTCGGAGGTGTCGTTTCTCTGACTGGTACCGGTTTCAGCTTCGGTTTCATAAACTCTGGCTCTTTGTTGCCGTTCTCTTGTGGTTCGGCATTTTTTATGGACGTTTTTCTCAGCTGCACTCCGGCTGAACGAGGAAAACATGAAATATTAGAAACAACCAAAACAAAACACAAAGTGCTTTAAGAAGTGTAACTAAATCTGAATGTGAATTCAAAGATGTTGCAGTTACTCATAGTGATTGTTTTAAAAATGAGAAGTGATTGATAAGGAAGAAGAAGAAGAATAAATAGTCTAACATTCTGTTTGGTCTACCTAGTATGGGATTGTTCTCAGTGGCGTCCGTAACGCTGTTAAGTTTCGGCAGAGGAATTTTGTTCTTCTTCGGTATGCTGATCTCTTTCGGCGGTACCGGTTTCAGCTTGGGCTTCTCGAAAGTGACGTCCTTTACGGTCCCATTTTCAGTGGACTCTTTGCTCGGCATCTGAACCTTTTTTAGCGTCACTCCTAAGTGTTAAATGAGAGGTGAACCAAAAAAAAAAAAAAAACTAACGGAATGCGATGTTTATTTTGGATGATTGCGGTGTCCCTATGCGTGTGCAAACGTTCTTACCCAATGGGTTGTCAGTAGCATCTGCCCCGCTGTCTCTTCTGCCCGTTTTCTTCAACTCCCACGGTTGAGCGGGCACCGGTAACGGGTTGGGTCCCTCTTTCACCCATGGTGGTCTGAAGGTTGTGCGCACAGGATTGGTTGAGCCGGTCTCCCCATTCGCCTCACTTTTTCCCGACGGCATTGCTGTTCTGGGCACTCTGTAGAGCAAAAAATGTTTTTTTTATATGATATATACAAAACCATAGTTATGTATTTTGATTCCTTTTTTTTTTTTGACTTGTATTGACTTGTACTAAGTCATTTTAAAAACCGTGCCGGTTCTTTCAGACGAGAATGACAGATTGGTTTAAAAGTGAGAGCAGTTTTTCCAAAGAGTTATTTTCCAATATTTTGTGCGAGATTATTCTCGAAGATAACATTGAAACAGAGGAAGCAAGGAAGGCTTAGACTCCTCAATATCTGTAATCATACCAATTATTATAATAATTATTTAGCAAATTTTAACCAATAGTACAAAATACCGATTGTAATTCCGAAGATTCCGTTGCCATTCAATCCAATTGTGCTCTTTTTAAGTATTTTTAGGTATTTAAATAAACGTACGAACAATATTTAGCTATTTTTAAATTAACCACTTTCCATCTACATTGTTATTTACTATTACTATTACTTTTATGTCATACTAGGTACTTTATTATTGTGTTTTTATCAGTTAGTTTTGTAATTTCCACTTTACAGTCAAGTATACTTGGTGGTTAAACTTTTTAAGAATAAACAGTTTTAGTACAATGATTTGGCAGTAGAGATGAAAAAAACGGGTTTTTTCAGATTTGAAAAAAAAAAGGTTTTTTTCGTTTTTTTTTTCAAATGCGCTACAATAAAGCATATTTTGTCAATAAATAACATACATCTCAAAATGAAATTTTGAGCGAAATTTATATTAATAATAAAATTAAATGAGGCGTAGGTATACTGCAAAAGCGGTATAACTGAAAAAAAAATCATTTTGTGGTTTTTATTACCTCTGTTTACGACATTATAGATGCATGTGATTCCTGAAGGTCAGTTAGAATTTATATGCAGTAAAAGTGTTGCTGTTTTATAATTCAAAAGTTTCATTTCATTAATTTGCTATTTAAAAACCTATCCGCCGTGAAGTGTAATATCTCAGTAAGTAGATTTTTTTTATAAATGAAAATGAAAATAATAAAATATTGCCTCATTTCTGGGTGGATAGATATTGACATATGATATAATATCAATTGGTTTTTATGAAATTTTAAAACACTTCAGTTGTGATAAAACAATTAAAATTCCTAAAAACAACCATTAATTAATTAATAAATGATAATGTATTTTTTTCTACTCTTATGATAAGAGTCTTATCTTTAAAACGCCCTTTATTATTTTAATAAAATAAATAATAAAAATTTAAAATCGAATAAAATCTGTAATATTTGGATTTTTTGAATAAAATTTTAAATTTGTCGATAAATTATAGTAGATAATAAATTGCACCACTTTAATTTGAATTATCTCAAATAGGGGGGCCTGGAGGCAGGGTAGGCGACAGGAAAAACTAACTTTTTTTCGCAAACTTCAATTTAAATTCTGTTTGCGCCGAACTTGTTTATTTAATGTCAATATAAACTATTATAAATTTGGTGTGGGTCCCATGTCTAATAACTGAGATATTGGTATAAAATCCACCAGCCGCCACTGCACTATAGTGACCTTTTAAATACACATTGACAAGTTGGGGCTTTATGGCGCTTTAGTCACGGACTGAAGTTAGTTTTAAGTTAGTTGACAGTTGTCAAATGTCATACAGTCGTTAAAATAAAGTGCCTTTCTTGTAAAATAATACTAAATGTGAAAATTATTTTATTATCTCAATACAAAAGTATTAAATAGTTTCTCAACGCCAATATTTGAAATGTTTATATGAACATTGTACTGACCTTTTTATTTCGCCGGCAGTAAACTATAACTTAAATTCGGGCACGGACATTTTCTTTACTTTCACTGTGAAAAACTGTCAATTTTCAAGAAATACATTTCGATTTATGACCTTTATAATCTGTGTTTATAAAATGTAAAAATGTGACATTTGACGGTGACTCACAGATTCCCCTATTGTTTCAAAGATGGCGCTCTATACAAATTTTTGATTTAAATCATTTTAAGATAATAATAAGTATTTGTCGTAGAAAAAGTATAGTATACTATACTATATGCTATATATGCACCTCGTTTATAAACTTTTTTATACACTCATTAATTTAAGCACTCGCTCGCAAGCTCGCTCGTGCCTAAATTAAATTCTTTTATAAAATGGCATTTATCAAACTTGATACCTACATAATATACTATTTTCGAGCTGATGAATTGTTGAAACCACACCTTTATTCCATGATAAAATGTTTCTCCAATGCGCAATGCAGCTTTTAGTTCTCTTACGCTTTTGGTCTCATCTATCTTTGTTCTTGTGCTAAGAATTTCCGGCCAAGCATTTGGCAAGGTACCAGGCAAGATATGACACCAGGCAAGGTCAAAAAATAATACAAACGCGTTTTGAGTCTTACACTGTTCAAAATTTCATGACCATTTTAACACCATACATGGTCTATATCGATACAAACCAAAATGGTGTTAAATATGGTTCGTTGGTTCGGTGTAAATTCAAATACTAAAATAATGTTAATTTAACTTTCACACAGTATTAAAGTAAATTTTACCTGGTGTAAATTTAACTCCTTTTTAGTGTTAAAAATTATATGTTTGTGGTCAAATTAAATCATACTACACAGAAAAAAGGAAAAAAAAGGAAACAGGAAGTTCCTTGACGCATTACTAGTATATTACCAGTGGTATTATTCCAGAAAATTGAACCTTCAACTCGCTAGAGATAATGTTTTTAGTGCGTTCCACCAACTTAAAATACTTCAAGTATTGACAGCTGTTTCCACCTATTTAAGGTCTCTTTAGTATCGAACAACTTGTAGTGTTACACCAACGCAAAGGACTACCTGAGCTTATATACTCTTCATGTAAGTCAACAGAGGAGAGATTTAAGAACATCACGTGATACACACCGCCTTTGCCGCGATCGGTACACACTATGCAACCGGGAATGCACGGCAAATTGTTTTAATCGTTTTAACAGAGTGCTTTAGGTTAAAGTAACTCTTATTTTACAAACAACATATTTAGTAAAGTGAACCATACAGCGGTTTGGTTTCACTAAAGTTTTCTGGGTTAATTTAACCAATTTAAAAAAATAAAATAACTATCTGGTTTAGTACCGTCAAACTAATCTTTGTTTATATTAACCTTCCCATAGTTGATTTAAATAATTACTTATGGGTCAGCTAAATTAATATAATTAAATGAACTATTCCTTTTTTTCTGTGTAGTTGCACTTTTCAAAAATTTTTAGATAAACACCGTTTTGGTGTTTGCTGTATATAACATTTTCAACCATAATTCATGGTGTTATATTAACACCACTTGGTGTTGGATTTTGACACCATTTTACACCACAGATATTTTAAACAGTGTAAAAAAGTGTTTGAAAGATGTTGTCAATTTCAATCTTTTTAAAATTATTTTGGCTACAGATTAGGGTTTTACATATTGCGCAGATAAGATTACTATATATTGATGTATGTAAAGATAATCACAGCACCTATAAATTGCATTGCCTTGCGTAAACCGAGTTAGTTTCCAGTTAGACTGTGTACAACCAAAATGTCGAGTTATCTTGAAGATTTTCTGGACGATTTCGTCTGCTCTAATTGCTTCCGATATTTGTCCGTAATGCCCGTCAGAGTTTACCCAGGCAAATTAAGGAAATGCGGTCGGTGTGTGAAAGACGGCGACGGCGGTTTGGATTCCGATGCCATTAAACTGTACGAAACCATGAATTTCCCGTGCGTGAATCGTTTCGAGGGGTGCAAAAAGGTGCTGCTTCCATCAAAAGTTAAGGAACACGAAAAAAAATGCACCAGCAAAAAGTACAAGTGTCCGCTGTGCTATAATGCCGAGATGCCGCTCTATGAGATGTGGCAACACTTCAAAAGTTTCCACCGGGAGAATTTGCTCGAAAAACCCGCCGTTTCCCTTAATTTGAGCGAAAAAACTGACCGCACATATTTCTATCGCATCGCAGGGTTCATTTTTATGTGGAAAATTATCGTCGATGACGGGCGCATTCAGTTCAAAAACCAGCTGATTGGTCCCAACGAAATCGGTAGAAAAGTAGAACAACAGTTTAGAATGTCTTCAATTTTAGACGGTGTGGGGCAATTTTGGAAAACCACGTATAAAAAAGATTTATTTACTAATGCCAGCTTAATTTCCTGCGAGGTGATTATCGATGAAAACACGCTAATATTGAAGAAGGAAAAAACTGCTTTCAATGGAAACGGTCCTGAATCTATCTATAGGAGGAAGTTACATTTAACTGATGAATTTAAAAAAGATTATCCAGCATTGAAACTATCCCCCTGTGGATTTTTCCTTCTGAAGGGTTCGCACAAGTTTGCAGGTTTATGCGATTTATGTGGTGATTGTGGAAAGTATGTGTTTGATTATGGCAACTCTGGAACTGTTTGTAATTTTTGTAAAACATACTTAGATCAAAGATTTAATATTAATAACAAGATTAATTTTGATAAAATTGTTTATTCATCTGATGATTTATTTTATTACTGTAAATGGGATTGTAAAGAGAAGTTTAATTATCGCGAAATATTTAGTCATGAATTGTATTGCATAAATAGTCCAAAAATCACGAAGTGTCCAGTGGAAAATTGTCCAGCAAAACCATTTATAAACTTTGGGGAGCTTAAACGCCATTTTAAAGACCACGGTGGCAAATTTATTTCATTTAAAATGACAGACATATTTAGACTTTATAATAATGCATATTATGGTTTTAGTAACGAGTTTATTGTTTTGTACAGAGTTAAAGACAAAAATGTTTATATAATTCCAAATGATAATTATAATTCTAGGGACTTTAAACAGATAGAAATAGATCCAACTGAAGGCTTGGATCGTTTATACAATCACCCCTGGCCCTTTAATAGAATTGTAGATAATACGATTTTAAGGAGAATATATTCTTCAATCTCAGAACCTATAGATTCTGAGCTTAACAGGGCCTCGACCTCGCGCGATAGTTCGGATTTGCCACGAAAACGCTCTAAACATTGCTAAACACCACTTGTTTCAAAATAAGTTATATCCCGTCACTATTTTAAAGTATTTAAATAATGTAGGGCTGAACAAGTTAATTAGCTAGCTAACTGATCAGCTTAGCTAATTTAACCGGCTAAGCCGCCAGCTAATTAGCTAAGCTAATTCAGTTAACCGGTTAAATTAGCTAATTAACTTTTTTAGCCGGCCTAACCGGCTAAATTGTACAGCCCTAGTAGGTACCAATAATATTTAGCTGTTTTGAATTAATATATTGTATACAATGTTATAAATATTATAAATTTTTTAATTTACTTTCTTCCATCACACATACACTTGCAGCAATACCCAATGTATAAATATAAATAAATAAATTGTTGAAAACAAATTTTTGACCTACATTACTTTTTACCCTCCAAAACAGTCAAAGATGTTGACTTATCTTAAATTAGTCAAATTTTAACTACTTCACGGAAAGAAATTTTGAATACAATTAATCCAGTAAGGTAGTATTACAATCAAATTTTTGATCAATATAGCGCCAATCCAAAATTAGACTAATATCAATAATTCATTCGATTGAATTATTTGCTAGGCTTAAATGTATCAAACCGTGATAAATAGCAGCAAATAAGTTTTATAAGTCACTACAAAATTTAGAATAATTATAGTGAAAATTAAATTAAATTCGCCTACGATTTTCTTGAATCCACATAATATTTTCTAAAATTTACCAATTCTTTGATTCAATTAAGCACTTTTTAGGTCAATTTAATCTATTTTTTTAATAGGCAAAATTAAGAATAATTAGGATAAAGTTTATCAGATCATTTGATTGATTTGTGCAAAATTTATCTAAATAGTTAGTAAAGAATATATTGAATTTATCAAAAATTGTATTATTTTAATCAATTCAATATTTGATTATTGACTGGAATATTGATCTTCGTAATAAGCAGTGATAGTGGGGTAGGTAAAGTATATATGTCACGGCTAATGTGCAAACTTGGATAGTTTATAAACTAGCTGGATAGTTTATAAACTAGCCAAACTGTCAGCTATTTTAATTGAAAATGTATTTTCAACTAAATTAGCGGCTAGTTTACAAAATAACCAAGGATCTTGGCTAATTTACTTGAAATTATTAGGGAAACTAAAATAGCTGGATAGTTTGTATACTATCCAATTCAATTTGGCTAATATGAAAACCAAAATTTCTATTAACACAAAATAGCTAAGCTTTAGCTAGTTTGTAAACTAACCCACTAATCCTCTCATTTTTGCCCATTTTAGTTGGGTTTTTTGCTCAATGGGGCGGGGGGCCCAATGGGGCGGGGTCGGTTGGGTTGTGTTGTTGAGTTTGGGTTGGTTTGGGTTTTTTTCTCTCATTTTTGACCATTTGACCAATGGGGCGGGGTCGGTAGGATTGTGTTGTTTAGTTTTCTAACAAGGAAGCGTTAAAATTTTGCCTATGATTCATTTTAAAAACGTTAAAATGCACAAAACAAATCCGGTTAAGCCGGCAAAACGAAAAACAATGCCGTAACCTCACTTTTTTAATAAATTAGCCATAGAATTGGTTGGTTAGTTTACAAACTAGCTAAAGCTTGGCTATTTTGTGTTACTAGAAATTTTGGTTTTCATATTAGCCAAACTGAATTGGATAGTATACAAACTATCCAGCTATTTTAGTTTCCCTAATAATTTCAAGTAAATTAGCCAAGATCCTTGGTTATTTTGTAAACTAGCCGCTAATTTAGTTGAAAATATGTTTTCAATTAAAATAGCTGACAGTTTGGCTAGTTTATAAACTATCCAGCTAGTTTATAAACAGGGCCGAGCCTAGGGTATCTGCCGCCCGGGTGCAAGAATTAAATTTGCCGCCCCCATTAATGTAAAAAATCTACTTTTCTCGCTTTTTTAATAGCAAATTCCCTAATCAAGTCGCCTACATCCAAGTTGTTAGAAATATCTTCTTCAATACTTATAATTGCTTAATTTGAAAGCCTGAATTGACTCATATTTGATCTTAATTAGTTTTAATTTCGAAAATGACCGCTCTTCATGGACAGTAACTGGCATCGTCAAAAATATTCTTAAAGCTACAAATAAATTCGGAAAGATGCCTTTTAAATCATTAACTAGTTTTTAACTTAAACGCATTAAAAGACAAAAGAAACTACTATGTTTGCATCCTATTTGCCTCACGTTAATAGAAAAACTAAAAATTGCTGAAATACGCAGCCGTCAAATCGGAAGAAATTATGCTTTAACTTAACAGTTCAGCTTGTAAACAATATCACGTGGTACACAGCGCGCGATTTGATTGGTTTCCCGTAAGCCCGCTTCCGTAAACCATGAAACTTGACGAACTCGAAGCCGACGGACGGAAAGCGAAGCGGGCGGGCGGCAATCTATAAAACGGGCTTTAAGAAAATTGTCATCATCATTTTTTGTGGCTATCGCGCGTTCGGTTATGTCTTTTTTATCATTGCCGCCTGACAGCACAATTTTGGTATTGTTTTTGTGTGTAGAATAAAAACGATGATTCCTTGAAACGCCGACATCAATAAACCGCAAGTGATTTTTTTGATGATATTTTGCCGCCCTGTGTTAGTGCCGCCCGGGTGCCATGCACCCCTTGCACCCCCGGCACGGCTCGGCCCTGTTTATAAACTATCCAAGTTTGCACATTAGCTGTAACATATATACTAAATTTTGTGTTTATTAAATATTCATATATTTTAGCTTACAAACTTTCATAAAAAATCTCAATAATGGTTTAGTTTAACAAGTGTTTTTTATGTTTAATTGACTAATATAATGTATAATTTTTAAAGTTTTAAAATATTTGCGTTTAAAACCTTAAAAAACAACTGTTTAAATTTAATTTAACGGCGTCAAATTAATCAAAGATGGTGGCTGGAGATATCTCACGTGGTGCGCACAACAGTTTTCGTTCGAATGCAAACGAAATCGAACAGACCTTCTTGTGTGGATTGTGATCAAGATTTTAATTTTATCCATGTCCCTGACGTCTACTTGACAGTAAAACCTATATTACTCTTAATAACCAAAAACGTGGAAATTAATAAAATTTATTATACCTGCATATATCGCAAAAACTATGAGAGCGAAGTCAAAATAAACGGTTTTGGAATCTGCTGTGTTGAATAGACACGATCGTTCTTTCACAATTCACTACACCACCTGTCTCAAAGAGAAATTGCAAACTAAAACGCGTTAAAAATAAAAAATTGGCATGTTTGCTAAATTTGCTGTTTATATTACAGATTTGGTCAAAATATTAGCTTGACTTTAGCTGACTTTTAATAATTCAGTCAAATATTGGATAATCGTATTAAAAATTTGATAGAATTAGTTTTATATTTGATTAATGTTATAACATATATACTATAGTATATATGTTATATATATAGTACACATTTCTTAGGTCTTTTTCTAAAATTCAGTAAATTTTTCAATCTAGACAGAATTATTTTAATTTAAACATGTATATAAAAACAATAAAATAATAATATCTATAGATATTAGGCAATTATTTTATTGTTTTTATTCCAAATATATTTGAAATATGTTTAAATTAAAATAATCCTGTCTAGATGAAAATATTAAAAACATTTACTGAATTTTAGAAAAAGACCTATAAAATGTGTACTAACATTAATCAAATATAAAACTAATTCTATCCAACTTTTGATACCACTTACTAAAACTAGTAAAAATAAAGTTAAATCAATTTAGTTTTTATTTTAATATTATTTGATAAAATTAATCCAAATAGGAATATAATAATAAAATCCAAGAGTTTTTCTTTGAAAATTAAGCTTAACGTTACATAAAGCCAATCTTAATGTTTGATTGGTTTAAGAAAAACTTTGCTGTTCCTAGAAAAAAAACATATCGATTTAACACTTAAACGATAATGTTAATTTTAATTTGATGATATTAATCATTTGCGAAATGTACATACTTATCATAAAAAACTTAAATTTGTCAGTTTTTTTCTTGATTTGATCTTATTTTTTTCTTGATTTGATCTTATTTTTATCAAAAGAACAACTGGACAACTTACTACTTTATTATTGTGTTTTTATCAGTTAAACTTTTTAAGAATAAACAATTTTAGTACAATGATTTGGCAGTAAAGTCTATTTCGCAGTTAATACGCAATTTTAGTATTTTTTTTTGAAAATATTGAAAATAATAAAATATTGCCTCATTTTGGCAAAACATCAACATTTGTGGGTGGATAGATATTGACCATAAATTTTGTAATTTCAATGAAAAATTTTCAAACCTATTTTTCGATTCAAATCCAAATACAAATTTTTAAATAAAAATTAAATTAAATATTTTTTGATTAACCTTTATAAACTTGAACATTTTGAATTTAAATCGGTTGCTGTTCTCATAAACTGTTTATGAATTTAAAGTTTTTGTTGGTAGACATAATTTTGGTAAAACTCCAATAGATTTACGTAGGAGAAAGTGTTTACAAAACTTTGTGGATCTGTATTAAATCTAAATTTAATCTGTCCTCCACTATTTGCCTGTGTTGATATTTTAAAAATAAAAATGATTGTTTTCTTTTATGGCCCAAAATAAAATATATTATTAATTCTTCATAAGTAGGTACTATTCTGGTCTAACGAATCTAAAGAATTACAAAAAGTACAGTTTGGGAAATAATACACGAACTGCTATTTCCCTTTGCACAGAGTACAACCTTTAAATCCTCAAGATCTTCCACTAGAACTCTTTCGCTGGTTAAGAACAAAATGACATGAAGACCTAATAGGTCCTCACGTCTTAACAAATATACTGAACGGTGAAAAATACTTTAATAGCGTTATAAGGATTTTTTAAATGCATTTCCGAACACCCTGTAACTAATTTGTGAACTATCTATACCTACTCATATCAAGATTCAAAGTTTGTAGCAATCTTATCAAGGTAGAAACCATTTTGTAAAACGTTGATAAAAAAATCCTAATGTCTAGATAAACGGTAAAATTATTTTGTAAATTAATGTAATATCTACAATTATTTGTTAAAATTTGAAAACTAATATCTTAAATTTTCAATATCAAATATCTTAGTATCAAAAATTGACTTTTTCTTTTCTCCTTACCATCTCTTTGTATTAGCTCTTCAAAAAAAAAATTGAATTTTGAAAATATGTATTTGTGCTCACCCTGTACAACAAAATGGATGTTTCTCAACGCGAATCGTATTAATATAACAAGCAAACGAAATTATGAAAAATGATTTTTCCTCGAAAAATTGAAAATAAATATTTATAGTCCATCCGTGGACACACTGTATATATATTTATATATATATATATATATATATATGCAAAAATAAAATCGTAAAATGTGGTTGCAGCACGAGAAAGTAATTGAAAAAAAAAATAAACTTAAATCTATTTTTGTACCGGAATTATTTACATTTTTTATCGGAACATAAGTTCTTTATTATATAGACAGACAGAAACCTATAAAAACTAGGAAAAAATACGATATCAGTCTAAGGACACCGTAAGGCTCACTTAACTACCATTTAGCTTTGTAGAGGATTTATAAAAGCTGTGACAACCTCATTAAAGCAATTATAAGAAACCCTTTAGGTTGTGTGTGCAGTGTCAAAATGTTATGTAATTTTAACGAAAATAAAAATGGCGTAAAAGCGACAAAAATGAAACTTACCGATAAAAGACGATTATTAAATTTATTAAATTAATTTATTTAATGTAACAACACTAAAACACTAAATAAAGTTATTCACTAATATTTACAATTCTCGCGATATGTATATCTAATAGTAATAAATCACAAAATTAAAAAAAAAACTCGTTTTATTTTTTTTTTCGTTGGGGTGTTTCGTGTAAAGTTTTGTGGTGCGTGTTGGAAAATTTTTCGAAGAATTTCGTCGAATGTCCGAATTTCACTGAATGCGCTGCACAGAAATAGCAAGGTACCGGTTAAAAATAGCCCGAGTCGCGAGCTACTCCTTTCCACGATCTCCGCTATTATTCCGATTATTTTGGTGATTCGCGCGACGCACTGTGACCAAAAACCAACGTTTTGCGGAAAAAATTTAATAACTTTTTTATTACAAATAAATATTAATTTATTATCATCAGAAAAATGTTTAATATTCTAATATGTATATCTCCACTGTGTTACCAATTTGAAATATAAAATATAATTCGATAAAAAAAAGTAAATATTTATGTTCGTTAAGATACTTTTTAAAAGAAACCATTCCGATTCTTTGTTAAAAAAACAATATCATTAATATTTTCTTTTAGTCACTGTATTAGTGAATTAAACTCTAATTTTTAAACACGTATTACCAAGTGATAGTGTATAAAAATCATTTTAAGTATTTTTTTAAACAAAAACTAAAAAAGTAACGCAATAGACATTGGTGTCACAACGGACTGGGGTACACAAAGGACTTAATCAGATAACGTAAAAAAGAAACTATATAGGGTGGTACGATTTTAGAGTAATGCATAAACAAAATCCCTTGTAGTGGTGCTCACTTGCAGAATAACAACTTAGATTTCTAAATTGTAGACACCCTTTTTCTTTGACTATAAGCTGGTGAAGGTCCCTTTTAGTACTTGTATATTGCGTGGAATTTTCCCTTGGATGTAATCTATATCATGAGTTGTAATCACAAATAATTTTAAATTGGTTTATCATAAACTACTTTTAATAAAAGCGACGGTAAATATCCACTTTGTTGTCGAAAAATTCTATTGCGTTACCCTAAATTCCATTGCGTTACCATAAGGTAACGTAATGGACTCGATAACGCAGTTGACAAAGTTTTGTAAAACCATATTTAAAAAATAATAATAAGACATTATAGTCAATGAGCTTTAGTGCCCTAAAATAAACATAAACATGAAAAATAGTATTTTTTCTTACCTTATTTTTATTATTTTTTTGAGTAACTTAGCGGACAAACAATTATTACATTCGCGTTACCCGCACCTGTTTCAAGCGATATCTTCTTCCGGATTGAATAAATAAATTCAGCTGGGTAATGTGTACGTCCGAACATCATTTGTTGATCACGTGAGTGCCAAAAAAGTTGCCATATATATGTTTTTTTAAATATTCTATCGGTAACGCGACGGACGTAACGCAACGGAAAAAATGTCTGGGACATGAGTCAAATTTAAAAAAAATAGATTAAAATTAATTATTTTATATATAAATTGTTTACTGTATTAACTAAGGATGTTATGGATTGCTATAAAGCAACACAAAGTTCTGGTTATTCAATATTTAAAAAAAAAACATGTATGTAAGTTTTATAAAACACAAATAACGTGCGCGATTTAGCTGTGCAATTGAACAAAATTTGTCGAGTAAGACTTCTGCCTTCCTCTCTTTTGTGAAAAAACTACCTATTTATTTAAAAAGATGTACAATCTGTGATGTATTGTTGACAATTTTTAAAAACATTCTACTTTTGCTTTAAGATGTTTCTAACAAATTATAGTCATAATAAAAAGTTTTTAAAAATGTATGCACCGTGGTCTGTGGGAAAGCCGCACAGTCGTTAAAATTTCATTTAAAGAATCTGATGTATTATAATAATAATTTTTTTTATTTTAATAATACTGTTTTCAATCAAAAGTCTCTTTCTTGCCATCAGGTAAAGCCTCGTTCTGCCAGTTGGGCCAAGTTTGAATTTCTTCGAACAACCTGTCACCAGGACATTCCGTAGCGCCCTTCTTTTTGGTCTGTTTGTGCCCCAGAAGAATGTAGTCTTTCTGAATGGCTCCATCTCTAACCCCCATCTCTATTAAATCTTGCGTTACCTTAAGTTGTCGTTCAGGCGGAAGATCCGCTAAAACATGATAAATTCCGTTTATATTATAATAGTGTAGCGAGTACCGCTCTCGATCTCGCTGGAATATTCGGGAAGGCACGTAGGCACTGAATCAATCAAAAACATATTTTTGTTTAAACCTGTATATTATAAACGTACGTGTATTTTTTAGCAATTTTTAAAATGTGAGCGATTCTCCATTAATGTATCTACAATATTCTTTAATATTTGTTTAAATCCGAAATCAAGTAAAAAAGTTATTTGCGATTGAAATTCATCGAAAATTTGTGTGGATCGATTATTTTGCCTGTGAGTGTAGTTTAGTTCGAACAGTAAAAACGTTACAATAGATTAAAAATGTACCCACCACTCCAGTCTCCTATGATGCAGATTCCAATACTTTTGTCGTTAAATTTCGGAGCATGGGCTCCCACACGGTCCCATCCTCTGCCCATATACGCCCTACCATCGCCACCCACAGCAAATGAATACCCAATGTCGTTCCACGAGTGGTTTAGTTGATGGTAATCCTGCATCGACCTCACTAAAATGTGCAATTTTTTTAGTTGTTACACTGTTCAAAATTTCATGACCATTTTAACACCAAATTAACACCATAAATGGTCTATATCGATAGAAACCAAAATGGTATTAAATAAGGTTCGTTGGTCCAGTGTAAATTCAAATACCAAAATGGTGTAAATTTAACTTTCACACAGTATTAAAATAAATTTTACCTGGTGTAAATTGAACTCCTTTTCAGTGTTAAATATAATGTGTTTTTGGTCAAATTAAATCATACTACACAGAAAAAAAGGAAAAAAAGGAAACAGGACGCATTACAAGTATATTACCAGTGGTATTATTCCAGAAAATTGAACCTTCAACTCGCTAGAGATATTGTTTTTAGTGCGTTCCACCAACTTAAAATACTTCAAATATTGACAGCTGTTTCCCCTATTTAAGGTCTCTTTAGTATCGAACAACTTGTAGTGTCACACCAAAGCAAAGGACTACCTGAGCTTATATACTCTTCATGTAAGTCAACAGAGGCGAGATTTGAGAACATCACGTGATCCACACCGCCTTTGCCGCGATCGGTACACACTATGCAACCAGGAATGCACGGCAAATTGTTTTAATCGTTTTAACAGAGTGCTTTAGGTTGAAGTAACTCTTATTTTACAAACAACATATTTAGTAAACTGAACCATACAACGGGTTGGTTTCACTAAAGTTTTCTGGGTTAATTTAACCAATTTAAAAAAAATAAAATAACTATCTGGTTTAGTACCGTCAAACTAATCTTTGTTTATATTAACCTTCCCACAGTTGATTTAAATAAATACTTATGGGTCAACTAAATTAATATAGTTAAATGAACTATTCCTTTTTTCTGTGTAGGTGCACTTCTCAAATATTTTTAGATAAACACCGTTTTGGTGTTTGCCGTATAAAACATTTTCAACCATAATTCATGGTGTTATATTAACACCACTTGGTGTTGGATTTTGACACCATTTTAAGATTACTCTTCACACCACAGATATTTTAAACAGTGTAATTGAAATGAGAACTCCAAAATTTCTTACTAGCTTGCATGCAATCCTCAGTGGTGTTACAAGCAGGGGGGATGTAGCTGTGGTGTATTACGACGTACGGCACTGGATTCGCCATAGCTTCTATCATGTAGGGGGGGCGGGCCCCCCATGCATCTCTTGGTACAATATCGACGTCTGAGATTGCACATACTTCTGGAAAAGGAAAGGTTCCTAATGAGAATGAAAACATTTTGAAATCGCTGTGTTTTATAAACATTTTAGAAAATGTTATGCACTGAAAGAAATATATGTTTGTTTTAGCAATGTATGTGGTAGTCTATATATGAAACATAAAATATATTTACCTTAACCATTTTTATATTTAGTTTTAACATATTATGTTAAAACTAAATATAATATATGTTTGTTTTAGCAATGTATGTGGTAGTCCATATATGAACCACATACATTTGCTAAAACAAACATATATTTCTTTCAGTGTGTTAGGGAACGTACTATGCTCCACACCTCGTGACCACGTACGGAACGCAGTCTTTTGAAAATTTGGCATTTAAGGCTTTTCAGGTTATGTATCTGTCAAAGTATAGTCAATGAAAGAAATAATATTTATAGTGTTACCGCTTATGTTTAAGCGTTAAAAGTTAATAAATCTTTATAGTATCACAATAACAATGGTTGGTTTAAGAATTTAGGAATATAAATACTGCATTTAATGAAATTCCAACGTGTAAGGTGCAATATAAGTGGTATTTTTGTGCATTGGGTCTACATTTCTCCATAAAATAGTTTTAACTAAACAGCATTTATTTAAAAAAATCTAACTTCTCTATTATGAAATAAGAATATCTGTATCAAAGGTAGGTTAATGTATTAGAACAAAAAATATCATCTAATTTTGTATTTTAAGGTTAGAAAAATCTATTTTGACCAAAATAAATTAGTGGATTATTTGGAAGAGTGTGTTAATATGGTCATAAATAAATATAGGTATACTAATTATAATTGTTGAATATGGTTCAAATTAAATTGAATCTTTTATACTTCTAATGACAAAACTTGTGCATACCTCTCGGCATACCTACTTTAAGTTAGATTATAAGAAAACAAACAATTTTTAGAGAAACTTGCAATGTGAAAATATTTAATACTCCTATGACATGTGATTTATTAAAATTTTTAAAGTTATAATGATTTTTCGATGTAGATCAAGTTCAGTCGAAGCTTTTTATGTATTTCTATTGACAAAACTTTATGTAGGTACACTTTAAGCTGGATAAGAAAAACTACCACATTTTTAAATACCATATTATACAGTCGTTTAAATAATCCAAAATACTTATTTATTTTGGTCAAAATAAATTTTTCGAACCTTAAAATACAAAATTAGATGATATTTTTGTTATAATATATTAACCTACCTTTAAAACAGATATTCTTATTCCATAATAGAGAAGCTAGATTTTTTTAATAAATGCTGTTTAGTTAAAATTATTTTATGGAGAAAACCAGATATTTGGACCAAATGCACAAAAATATTACTTATTTGGCACCATGCACTTTAGAATTTCATTAAATGCAGTATTTATATTCTTAAATTCTTAAACCATCCATTGTTATTGTAATGTTATAAAGATTTATACATTTTTAACGCCTAAACATAATATTATATCTTCCGTACGTGGTCACGTGGTGGGACTTTGAGGTGTGGAGCATAGTACAATAATCCTTTAAATTAAAGAATTTAATGCTGCAGGTAAAAAGTGACCATGGTGCGCAATTGATAATTACCAACGAATGAAATAATGTATAAAAGTTAAACCAAAGGAAACCTAAATATTAGTTAAAAAATCGTGGGTACTTAAAAAATCAGATTTAATTTAATAAGATAATTATTACCAAAGAAAAATCGAACAAAATTGATTTAAATGCTTCACCCTGTATGTATATTTTTTGAACTTCGTAACCTTCCCTTGTATGAAGAAAACATTTAAATTGGTAATAGGATAACTGGTTTTAGTTTTTTTTTAAATAAATACAATTTGGTGGGTTTCACAGTTTTAACTTGTTATCAGTTATTTATTTCAAATATGCAAATTTAAAAAAAAATCTACTTTTATACCTAAGGCGTTACATAATATTTATTACTTCATAGTTCAAATATTACAGTTGTTTTGACAGTTTATAAACATTTCAAAGAAGATTTATTATAGGTATGTAGGTATTTAATTTTTCTACACTCACAGGCAAAATAATCGATCCACACAAATTTTCGATGAATTTCAATTGCAAATATCTTTTTTATTTGATTTCGGATTTAAACAAATATTAAAGAATATTGTAGATACATTAATGGAGAATCGCTCACATTTTAAAAATTAATAAAAAATACACGTACGTTTATAATTAAACAAAAAGATGTTTTTTACCATAAGTTTAAGACACTCTGTAGAGTGGCAAAACCGTATATTCTAAATTAAGTTTTAATTATCAAGTCACAACTATTTTTAACAGTTTTGTTTTTGGTTCACCTTGATATATTTATTTTTGTGGAAAATATGGATTTTTTTTTAAAAACATTGCAATTTCCAATATTTTTCCTGTATGAAGAACTAAGGTTGCTATGGTCCATCCATAGCCTATGGAGGATGACAGTGACAGTTTTGTTGAATCATCCCATACTTGGACATGCCATATAAGGCTTTCAAAAGCTATCAAATTGTTTTTTGTAAATTATTGTGTTAATTTTGAGGTGTCTTTTTACTTTAAAAAATGTCTCCGACTGATGTTGCCCTTTGTACTTTACTTCTTGTGACGTTTAAAATACTTGCCACGTAATACTGTGGCCGTCCATCCTGGATTAAATTAATGGCTCTGGCAACATCAGTCGGAGACATATCCATTTTTTAAAGTAAGAAGACACCTCAAAATTTAAACATTAATTTGCAGAAAATAATTTGATAGCTTTTGAAAGCCGTGTATGACATGTCCAAGTATGGGATGATTCAACAAAACTGTCAATGTCATTCTCCATAGCCTATGGATGGACCATAGCAACCTTAGTTCTTCATACAGAAAAATTGTAAATTGCAATGTTTTTCTTAAAAATCCATATTTTCCACAAAAATAAATATATTTAGAACAATATACGGTTTTGCCACTCTACAGAGTGTCTTAAACTTATGGTAAAAAAACATATTTTTGTTTAAACCTGTATATTATAAACGTACGTCTATTTTTAAGTAATTTTTTTAAATGTGAGCGATTGTCCATTAATTTATCTACAATATTCTTTAATATTCGTTTAAATCCGACATCAAATAAAAAAGTTATTTGCGATTGAAATTCATCGAAAATTTGTGTGGGTCGATTATTTTGCCTGTGAGTGTATAATGCAAATAAAAAAATGCTTACCTCTTAAAAAATCAGCCAATATCACAAATAATAGTAAACTGTACATCACTTTCAAAGGTAGATTTTAAATTGATTATTACAAATCACATATATATACTGAACCGTGTCATCTTAAAAATCTAATTAATATTTTTTTAAATATTGCATCTATTTTATCACTGTTGTCTCAATTATCAAATGTCGCGCAAAAAAATGAACATCGCGTGTAGTATACATACACTTATGTATACAGTGGCGGAGATATGGAGGGGGGGATTTGCCCCCTCCCAGGTCAAGATGGTTTTACAAAAACCAATTTTGTTTTTTATTATGTTTAAATAATTGTTAAGGTTGTGTTTATAAACTTGTTGTAGTCCCTAGAGAAAATTCCGTGGTACGCCACTGTGGAAAAATGTAGATAGCGACTTGGTTTAGAGTGCTAAAGTTAAAGGGGATTTTTTTAAATAAATAAAAAATATATAGATATGATTATGTTTGGAATTGTTAATGGTTTTGTTTTTATATTTATTTAGCTGGCTTAAATTTTAATTTACTTTAATTAATTGATTGATTGTTTTTGCCATTCATCAATTTAAGTTTTTTTTTAGAAAACAAATATGCTTGTTTTTGATTATACCTTTTAACCTTTTATTTATAATATTGCTACAAAATATTTTTAAATTTAAAGTTACTGTATATAAAAGGTAAACTTACCTGTCATTGAATAAAATAAAAAACAAAACACAACGTGTCTATAATTTCAGTGACCAAGAAAGAGTTTTATTTAGTTGTCTATCTATATTTATTTACAAGAACACAACTGAAAGGTCAAATATCTGTCCTCTTAATATTATTAATAGTTCAAACAATAATTTCTCAAAAAACAATGATTTTGTGGAACACACTCGATGAGGTTCAAGTCGGTACTTCTTGCTGGCCATGGCAAAACATATTATATTTTTTATTTTTGGTTGCTTCACTGTTAGTCTAGAATGGGGTTTTTGGGAAGCCACCAGGTCTAGTAATATATTATATAGTATATAGATGCATGCATGCATCTATAATGTCGTAAACAGAGGTTTTTGCTTATTTAAAATGATTAAAGCGCCATCCGTTGCATAAAATTTAAAGCAAAAACCGATTCACGGAGGATAGAATTAATTTTTGTAACACCTACATAAACGGTTATAAAAATTATTTCTTTTAATTTTTAATAATATTTTATATTTGATTCGATTGCTTTGGATGTGTTTAATTTACTTAGTGAACTGATATTTTTAGTATGCTTTTACTACCTCAGATATTTGAAAACATATAGGTTAACCTGGTACATTGTAAAAAATAATTAATTGCGGTTAAAAATCTGGAACATATCTACTTAATTATGAAAGATCAAATATTCAGCTTTAGTTTGTTGGAATCCCCTTACAAGGTTAATAAAATTAAAAATGAATATGTTAAAAAAATTAAAAATTATCTACATGGAAAGGTTTAATAACATATTTAAAATAATAATTACATAAAATGGTCTGTGTGAACAAAAATAAATAAATGTTTTTCTGTACTTTACAAAATTAATGTTGTCGATAAATTTATTTAATAATTTAAAACTAAACCGGATGAATAAATAAAATTGGTACATACTCATTAACTTATACATACACCGTTTAAATAAAAGAAAAACTAAAAATACCGTTTTTGCGAAAAACCAGGTTCCACGTGTTTTTATTTTTTTATACCAACACTAATAAGTAACATACGAGGTGTGTTCAGAAAATAACGGGAATTGTTAAATTTCGCGGGTTCGGAGGGTCCGTTTGTCATAAAATTCTTTATTATGTTGGTATACATGCCCCCGAAGTATGATAAAAACTTTAGCTGTTTTCATTGTTTACTTTGTCTGTGGCAGCCGCTAAGGTTAGACGTGTTTTATGAGCTCGGCGATTTTTCGTTCGTTAAAAGAAATGGATCAAAGAATTTGTATCCAATTTTGCTTAAAAAATGAAACAAATTCTGTGAAATGTTAACAAAGGCCTATAGTGAGTCTGCTATAAGTAAAACAAGAGTTTACAAGTGGTATAAGAGTTTCCAAGGCCGTGAAGACGTTGAAGATGACGAACGCCCCGAACGCACAAGCACATTAACAACCGATAAAAACATGGAAAAAGTGGAAGAAATGGTTATAAACCATCAGAGAAGTCGCTGATGATGTTGGTATATCGATTGGCTCATCCCATGAAATTTTTTCGAATGTTTTGGGTATGAAACGCGTGGCAGCAAAATTTGTTCTAAAATTGTTATATTTTTGGCCAAAAACAATACTGTAATGATGCCCCAGCCTCCATATTCGCCAGACTTTTTCCTATTCCCAAAAATAAAGAGAACCTTAAAGGGCCGTCGTTTTGCAAGCATAGATGACATTAAAGGCGCATCGCTGAAAGAAATAAAGGCTATCCCAAAGATCGAGTTTTAGAAGTGTTTCGAGTATTGGAAGAAGAGCCGGCACATGTGTGACTATTTTGAAGGCGACAACATTAATGTAGACGAATAAATAAATATTTGTTTCAAAAAACAAAAATTCCCGATATTTTCTGAACACACCTCGTATCTTGAATGAATTTCGTAAATATAAATAATTTTCATGGCTTTTGAACACTTTGCTTTTGGTTGAAAGAAGAAACTTTCAAGAGATTTTTTTTCTTCCAGTAAGAACTTTTTTCTTCAAGCAATAAATACTCTTGATGGTTTTCTCCATTAAATTTTGTTAATTTTTTTTGCTTATGACACTGACCACAAATTAAACATGAAATTGTTATTTTCCTGGTAATTTGTAATTTGTTTCGGTTAAAATATTTGACAATGAGTCACGAATATAGTATGTAACAAACCATTGCTAAAAATCCCCTGTATTGCAAAAAATGCGATGATACGTAATTTAGATACTTCCTACATGTTTTAGCACATCACCTTTACATTAAAAAAAAAGTAGACCTATGATTGTTTTAATCTCCGAAAGTATAGTTTATACAAACAATTAAATAAAAAGCTTTTCAGTAAATTTGGTGCATTCGCCCTTTTATTCCTTAATTTCACTCGCAAATGCAAAATCTTCCATCGTTGGTGCTGGGTTTCCTTTGAATTTGCCTGTTCTTCCAAACCTTGACGTGATGTATCGGGCAGATCGAGTAGTCCTCGTCTTCTTCTTCGTCAAAGTCCTTGGCAGCGTCATCTTCGGAAAGTTCGGGACTTTCGTCCACCCTTCTACTGCTCACAGATTCCTCATCGTTCAGTTCGTCTTTCGCAAACAAGAAAGATGGCCTTTTTGGTTGGCGACAGGTTCGCTGTTTATCCTTCAAGTAGGCCAGTCCGTTCAGCTGGTTTGCCACCTCCCTAAGAAATACAACACTACGTTAGATCTTAATTAAGTCTGCATAAGCTCTATTTTATGATTTGGACGTCAAATACAACATCAGAAAGAAGTTTTTAAGAAGTTCTTAAGACTTCGAATGCGCCACCTATCGAACTAATCAAGACTTCTCAAAAAATAACTCTTGAGGAACCCTTTTCTTTGACTTCGCAATTAAGCATTTTAAAGAGTCCTACTGTATAAACTTATAAAAAGACTTCTTTAGAATTTCCCGTTTTGGATATAGAAGTACTACTAGGGTACTGATGAAAAAATTACATACATCGTTGCTTATTTTGACATTTCAAGTTTATTTTATTATTTTAGGAATTGCGATTACTTCGTCTCACTTTTGTTTAAATTTAAGCTTTCACCGGCACCGATAGACGGCCTGTTTCGCTCTTTTGGAGCCCCTCAGTATCGGGTAGCCGTTTACCCAGGTCTAAGACCGTTTGGTATGGAGCACGCTCTAAATTCTACTTCTCCGCTTCTTATATCAAACACAAGCAGTTACAGCGGTGAGAAGAAAGTAATCGCATTAAAATGTCATAAAAGTGACGTCTCCATGTTGACGTCTTAAAGAGTTAATAATATGATTTCAGTAAGAAGTAAGAAAAGAGAACACAGTAAGATATCATATTACTGAAGTCTTATTTATGATACCCTTAGTAGCTTCTAATTTTGATTCCAGAAAAAAATATACTTTAAGATGTTAAAAAATTGACTTCTCATTCATGAATTCATCAAGAATTCTTAATCTTAAGCTCCTAAAAATAATTTCTCCAAGATGTCATATTGTGACCTCAGTAAGATGTTTTTCAATAGACTTCATACAGAAATCTTTCTGAATTGGATGCTGTCTGGGTCAAGATCATTGAGATAAGTGCAATCCCTTAGTATTCTACTTATCAAAATGTAATCGATTTAACCAAACTTTCTCTTTGGTTCTGTGAATACTTATTGACCCACCTGTTACGCTGTTACTTTGTCATTATTCACATATTTTCAAGATTTCAAAATTTAGCTAAACTCAGTGTTACCTTGTAATTTTCTTGGGCAAATCCCACGAAACACATGGGGTGGGGACTGACTTTGGGGCTCTTGGATATCCGGGTATAATGTACCCCTTTTCATTGGCTATAAAATTACTGTACCCAGTTCTAGTAAAGGGTTTGTCGCAATAAAATTTGGCTACTTCCCAATTACCCAACTTCTTTGGGTCGTATGCGACATTATACTGATTACCAGAGTAGTGTCTGGACATTATATTGGCACTGTTCTAATTTTATGGATATAAGTAAATATAGTTGCAAAAAAATATGTCATTTGACAGAAATTAACCTTAAAATTGATATTTTAATGTCATTTTGTCATCATTTTCTTCCGAATCTTCTGTTTGAGTTTCTGTTTGTGTTTGGGGCGTTAAAAATAAAACAATTTTAAAAGTATAAATTCATTTATTTTTATAAAACACTAACATAGCATGTTTTTTCTGTATATTTAGAATCTCTTTCTTCAACCTTTCTTCTTCTTTCCGTATTCTCTCCAACTCATCATCCAATTCCTTCAATTTTATGTTTTCCTGCTGAAATTTTCTGGCATTCTTCACTTTGACATCTTCATCCAACCCCACTCTTCTGTTGAGTTTCTTGTTTTCTTTCTCTCTGTCAAGCTTTTCCAATTCCTTATTGTATTCTTGTATGTTCACCTCATTTTCTTTCTTTTCTCGTTGGAGTTCTCTTTGTCGTTCTCGATTTTTCTCCAGGTTATCCTCGATTTGTTTTTTGATGGTTGCCAGCACCTCTTTCAGTAACTTTTGTCGACATTTTTCTTCGTTCTTCCACAGTTCAGTTTGGCGCTCAAAAATCTCCTTCGCTTCCGAATCAAAAACAAAATCCAGTTGCATTTGCCGATCCTTTTCCAACTCTTGTTGCATTTTGACCAAGTTGGCGTATTTCTCGAAGGTTTCCTTGACTTGCTGGCGCTTTTTGGCATCTTGCATCATCCTTTCCATATCCAGATTTTTTAGTTTGAGAATCAACTCGTTCTCCATCGCCAGATTCTCCTGGATATCTACGGCCTTCTGTTTGAGTTTCTGTTTGTGTTGCCTTATGTTGTAGAGGGCGCCCTCCCTCTCAAGTCGACGCCTTTCCTCCTGCATGTGCTTTTCTTCCATTTCCACCACGCTCATCTTCTTCTTGGATTCTTCGCGTTCAATCTGCTTTAACATTTCTGCCCCGAGTTGCTTTTGCTTTAGTTGCACCACTTGCTCGTCCAGCATGGTTTTGTACAGACGATTTTTCTCGTGGAGTTCCTTTTTCTAATCTTTCTCCAGCTCGCGTTGTTTCTTTAGTGTTTCCTCGCGTTCTTTTAGGATCTTCTTGGCTTCCTCTTCGTCCCTCTCCCGCTTCATCCTCTTTTCAATCTGCTGGTCCAGACAGGATAATTTCATGTTCCTATTGCTGTAGGCTCTTTCGCTATTTGACACAATGGGGATATTCATCCGCCATTGTTGGTATAACTTTGCTTCTGCTACTTGTTTTCGCTTTATTTCTTTGGTATCTCTCAAAGTGTCGTTTGTATCCTTCAGCAGGGAATGGAAACATCGTCATATTTGTTTTGGGTGCTCGGCAAAACTGTTTGTTTTTTATCACCACATTTAAGGGGCGCAAAACTTGACAAGGGGTTATAAATAAAACAATTTTAAAAGTATAAATTCATTTATTTTTATAAAAACACTTAAAATTACAATTAAATAAAAGCAAAGAGTTCTACTCGTCGAAGGCCTAACATTAGCATGTTTTTTCTGTATATTTAGAATCTCTTTCTTCAGCCTTTCTTCTTCTTTCCGTATTCTATCCAACTCATCATCCAATTCTTTTAATTTTATGTTTTCCTGCTGAAATTTTCTGGCATTCCTCACTTTGACATCCAACTCTACTCTTCTGTTGAGTTTCCTGTTTTCTTTCTCTCTGTCAAGTTTTTCTAATTCCTTATTGTATTCTTGTATTAAAATCTCTATAATACAATTAATGTGGACAATACTTTCAGCCCTTCAACTGCTGACACGATGGAGACTGCAAGAGGCAAGCACAGAGTGAAAGTGGAAAACGAGCAGATAAAACGCAGAGAAAAAGAATTTCTGCACGATCAGATGTGGGGAGGGGTTACGAAGTACTACGACCACTTCAACCAACGCAACGCGAAGTACGAAAACTGGACTTCGCCCAGATATTACACCAGCAGCATGAAGCAGTTCGAAGAATTGACGACGAAGCAAACGAAGGAGGATTTGCTGGTAAAAAGGCGGGAAAACCTGAGAAAACTGTACGAAGACGAGGCGAGCTCGTTCGATATAGAAATGATGGTGGAGAAAAACAAGCAGTTCTGCCAACCAACCGCGAGCAAACACGACGAAGTTCCCTACCATGTGCTGAAGGATATAAACGATACATTCAAAGATGCCCAAGAGATTAGGCGAAAGCAAGAGGCGGAGGCTAAGTTGTACCAACAGTGGCGGATGAATAGCCCCATAGTGCGAAACTACGAGAGAGCCTACAACAATAGGAACGTGAAGTTATCCTGGCTGGACCAGCAGATTGAGAAGAGGATGAAGCGGGAGAGGGACGAAGAGGAAGACAAGAAGATCATAAAAGAACGCGAGGAAACACTGAAGAAACAACGCGAGCTGGAGGAAGATCAGAAAAAGGAACTCCACGAGAAAAATCGCCTGTACAAAACCATGCTGGACGAGCAAGTGGTGGAACTAAAGCAAAAGCAACTCGAGGCGGAAATGTTGAAGCAGATTGAACGCGAAGAATCCAAGAAGAAGATGAGCGTGGTGGAAATAGAAGAGAAGCACACGCAGGAGGAAAGGCGTCGACTTGAAAGGGAGTGCGCCCTCTACAACATAAGACAACACAAACAGAAACTCAAACAGAAGGCCGTAGATATCCAGGAGAATCTGGCGATGGAGAACGAGTTGATTCTCAAACTAAAAAATCTAGAAATGGAAAGGATGATGCAAGATGCCAAAAAGCGTCAGCAAGTCAAGGAAAGCTTTGAGAAATACGCCAACTTGGTCAAAATGCAACAAGAGTTGGAAAAGGATCGGCAAAAGCAACTGGACTTTGTTTTTGATTCGGAAGCGAAGGACATTTTTGAGCGCCAAACTGAACTGTGGAAGAACGAAGAAAAATGTCGACAAAAGTTACTGAAAGAGGTGCTGGCAACCATCAAAAAACAAATCGAGGATAACCTGGAGAAAAATCGAGAACGACAAAGAGAACTCCAACGAGAAAAGAAAGAAAATGAGGTTAACATACAAGAATACAATAAGGAATTGGAAAAGCTTGACAGAGAGAAAGAAAACAAGAAACACAACAGAAGAGTGGAGTTGGATGAAGATGTTAAAGTGAAGAATGCGAGAAAATTTCAGCAGGAAAACATAAAATTGAAAGAATTGGATGATGAGTTGGATAGAATACGGAAAGAAGAAGAAAGGTTGAAGAAAGAGATTCTAAATATACAGAAAAAGCATGCTAATGTTAGGCCTTCGACGAGTAGAACTCGTTGTTTTTATTGAATTGTAATTTTAAGTGTTTTTATAAAAATAAATGAATTTATACTTTTAAAATTGTTTTATTTATAATCCCTTGTCAAGTTTTGCGCCCCTTAAATGTGGTGATAAAAAACAAACAGCTTTGCCGAACACCAAAAGCAAATATGACGATGTTTCCATTCCCTGCTGAAGAATACAAACGACACTTTGAGAGATACCAAAGAAATATAGCGAAAACAAGAAGCAGAGGCAAATTTGTACCAACAATGGGGGATGAATATCCCCATAGTGTCAAATTGCGAAAGAGCCTACAACAATAGGAACATGAAATTATCCTGGCTGGACCAGCAGATTGAAAAGAGGATGAAGCGGGAGAGGGACGAAGAGGAAGCCAAGAAGATCCTGAAAGAACGCGAGGAAACGTTGAAGAAACAACGCGAGCTGGAGGAAGATCAGAAAAAGGAACTCCTCAAGAAAAATCGCCTGTACAAAACCATGCTGGACGAGCAAGTGGTGCAACTAAAGCAAAAGCAACTCGAGGCGGAAATGTTGAAGCAGATCGAACGCGAAGAATCCAAGAAGAAGATGAGCGTGGTGGAAATAGAAAAAAAGCACATGCAGGAGGAAAGACGTCGACTTGAGAGGGAGTGCGCCCTCTACAACATAAGACAACACAAACAGAAGCTCAAACAGAAGGCCGTAGATATCCGGGAGAATCTGGCGATGGAGAACGAGTTGATTCTCAAACTAAAAAATCTGGAAATGGAAAGGATGATGCAAGATGCCAAAAAGCGCCAGCAAGTCAAGGAAACCTTTGAGAAATACGCCAACTTGGTCAAAATGCAACAAGAGTTGGAAAAGGAGCGGCAAAAGCAACTGGACTTTGTTTTTGATTCGGAAGCGAAGGACATTTTTGAGCGCCAAACTGAACTGTGGAAGAACGAAGAAAAATGCCGACAAAAGTTACTGAAAGAAGTGCTGGCAACCGTTAAAAAACAAATCGAGGATAACCTGGAAAAAAATCGAGAACGACAAAGAGAACTTCTACGAGAAAAGAAAGAAAATGAGGTTAACATACAAGAATACAATAAGGAATTGGAAAAGCTTGACAGAGAGAAAGAAAACAGGAAACTCAACAGAAGAGTGGAGTTGGATGAAGATGTCAAAGTGAAGAATGCCAGAAAATTTCAGCAGGAAAACATAAAATTGAAAGAATTGGATGATGAGTTGGATGGAATACGGAAAGAAGAAGAAAGGTTGAAGAAAGAGATTCTAAATATACAGAAAAAACATGCGAATGTTAGGCCTTCGACGAGTAGAACTCGTTGTTTTTATTGAATTGTAGTTTTAAGTGTTTTTATAAAAATAAATGAATTTATACTTTTAAAATTGTTTTATTTATAATCCTTTGTCAAGTGTTGCGCCCCTTAAATGTGGTGATAAAAAACAAACAGTTTTGCCGAGCACCAAAAGCAAATATGACGATATTTCCATTCCCTGCTGAAGGATACAAACGACACTTTGAGAGATACCAAAGAAATATAGCGAAAGCAAGAAGCAGAGGCAAAGTTATACCAACAATGGCGGATGAATATCCCCATAGTGTCAAATTGCGAAAGAGCCTACAACAATAGGAACGTGAAGTTATCCTGGCTGGACCAGCAGATTGAAAAGAGGATGAAGCGGGAGAGGGACGAGGAGGAAGCCAAGAAGATCCTGAAAGAACGCGAGGAAACACTGAAGAAACAACGCGAGCTGGAGGAAGATCAGAAAAAGGAACTCCACGAGAAAAATCGCCTGTACAAAACCATGCTGGACGAGCAAGTGGTGGAACTAAAGCAAAAGCAACTCGAGGCGGAAATGTTGAAGCAGATCGAACGCGAAGAATCCAAGAAGAAGATGAGCGTGGTGGAAATAGAAGAGAAGCACACGCAGGAGGAAAGGCGTCGACTTGAAAGGGAGTGCGCCCTCTACAACATAAGACAACACAAACAGAAACTCAAACAGAAGGCCGTAGATATCCAGGAGAATCTGGCGATGGAGAACGAGTTGATTCTCAAGCTAAAAAATCTGGAAATGGAAAGGATGATGCAAGATGCCATAAAGCGCCAGCAAGTCAAGGAAACCTTCGAGAAATACGCCAACCTGGTCAAAATGCAACAAGAGTTGGAAAAGGAGCGGCAAAAGCAACTGGACTTTGTTTTTGATTCGGAAGCGAAGGACATTTTTGAGCGCCAAACTGAACTGTGGAAGAACGAAGAAAAATGTCGACAAAAGTTACTGAAAGAGGTGCTGGCAACCGTCAAAAAACAAATCGAGGATAACCTGGAGAAAAATCGAGAACGACAAAGAGAACTCCAACGAGAAAAGAAAGAAAATGAGGTTAACATACAAGAATACAATAAGGAATTGGAAAAGCTTGACAGAGAGAAAGAAAACAAGAAACTCAACAGAAGAGTGGAGTTGGATGAAGATGTCAAAGTGAAGAATGCCAGAAAATTTCAGCAGGAAAACATAAAATTGAAAGAATTGGATGATGAGTTGGATGGAATACGGAAAGAAGAAGAAAGGTTGAAGAAAGAGATTCTAAATATACAGAAAAAACATGCTAATGTTAGGCCTTCGACGAGTAGAACTCGTTGTTTTTATTGAATTGTAGTTTTAAGTGTTTTTATAAAAATAAATGAATTTATACTTTTAAAATTGTTTTATTTATAATCCTTTGTCAAGTGTTGCGCCCCTTAAATGTGGTGATAAAAAACAAACAGTCTTGCCGAGCACCTGCTGAAGTTTGAGAGATACCAAAGAAATATAGCGAAAACAAAAAAATCTAGAAATGGAAAGGATGATGCAAGATGCCAAAAGAATAATACAACTTAACATTCGTATATTTATTGTTTTATACTTTTAAAACATAATAATAAATTATGCACCAAACATAGTAATACATGTCATATCACATTTAAAATTCTCTTTATAACCGAGAAAGTCAACAAAAAAACAACTATCAACACCACAAATAATTATTAACAACTAATACATTTGTTTGGAGATCTTCTTTTAAGTTTGGATGCCCTGAGACTTGGAGTAAACTAAATATTTATTTGGACAGATGGCGACACTTCATCCAAATGTTTCTTCATGTCTTCAAGTTTTTCCATGTGGCTTATGGAGCTGTCACATTTGTAAACTACCAAGGAGTGATAAAAATGGACGGCGAATATAACGAATATTATTAGTACTGGTATGACTATGACTGTGGCAGCTACTGCCGCTGTGAACGAGTAGTCCCAAAATTTGACCCAACACAATATGGCTACTTCTATTAGAAAGAGGAATAGACCTAAAACAAAGAGATTTTTTTTAGTAGTATGATAATGGTATTTATGTATAAACCTAGTACCTAGTACCGTTGAGAAGGCCCAGGCTAGTTCTATAAAACCACGCATTCTTTCGTGTGGACTCTCATCCACCATTTCACATATTTCCAATTTGGCTATCGCCTCTATGTTGGGTAGGATGTACGTGGATATCATGAGAGCAAATATGTGAACTGCTACTAAGATCGTTGTACATACTGCAAACATAACAAACAGCCATTCAGGAACGCTTGTGGGTTCGTTAATTTGAAGTTCAACCTAAAGAATACAAAATTGGTAGAACTGTTTCGCTTGAATTTAATATGACTTACCATTGCTATCATCGCAAACCCACTTAACAGCTCTGAAGTTGTAGCGGTTGCTTTTAATTTAGCTCTGGACATGTGTAGCCGTCTCCAAGACAAACCTTCTGGGGTGTTGGAGGGAAATCTCTTGCTGTTCGCAGACTCAACATCGTAACATTTGCAGCAACATTTTGAACCTGAGGCTGTGCTTTCCTCATCCTGAGAACGTTTGAACTAAGAAAACTTACTTTGATACAAAAACAACATTTTTAAGTATATCTTACCTTAGGTGGCATGTAGGGGGGCGGCTTAAACCCACCATTGGAAATAATACTGGAGTTACAAGAGAATGGTGGAGTTCGCTCCCTAGATATGGAACCCAAGTGTATCTCACTGGGAGCTGCCAACCTTAATATGGGGCTTTCACTGGCATATACCAACTTTGTGTTTCTATTCACACTGTCCAACGAGAAATTCAGGGATTTTGGTCTGGACGAAGCCGTACGTAACTGACCCTGAAATTTATATAAAAATAATAATTATTCTTTTGCTAAAATGGATACACTGTTTAAAATATCTGTGGTGTGAAGATTAATCTTAAAATGGTGTCAAAATCCAACACCAAGTGGTGTTAATATAACACCATGAGTTATGGTTGAAAATGTTTTATACGGCAAACACCAAAAAGGTGTTTATCTAAAAATATTTGAGAAGTGCACCTACACAGAAAAAAGGAATAGTTCATTTAACTATATTAATTTAGTTGACCCATTAGTATTTATTTAAATCAACTGTGGGAAGGTTAATATAAACAAAGATTAGTCTGACGGTACTAAACCAGATAGTTTATTTTTTTTAAATTGGTTAAATTAACCCAGAAAACTTTAGTGAACCAACCCGCTGTATGGTTCACTTTACTAAATATGTTGTTTGTAAAATAATCTAAAGCACTCTGTTAAAACGATTAAAACAATTTGCCGTGCATTCCCGGTTGCATAGTGTGTACCGATCGCGGCAAAGGCGGTGTGGATCACGTGATGTTCTTAAATCTCGCCTCTGTTGACTTACATGAAGAATATATAAGCTCAGGTAGTCCTTTGCTTTGGTGTGACACTACAAGTTGTTCGATACTAAAGAGACCTTAAATAGGGGAAACAGCTGTCAATATTTGAAGTATTTTAAGTTGGTGGAACGCACTAAAAACATTATCTCTAGCGAGTTGAAGGTTCCATTTTCTGGAATAATACCACTGGTAATATACCTGTAATGCGTCAAGGAACCTGTTTCCTGTATGATTTAATTTGACCAAAAACACATTATATTTAACACTGAAAAGGAGTTTAATTTACACCAGGTAAAATTTATTTTAATACTGTGTGAAAGTTAAATTAACACTATTTTAGTATTTGAATTTACACCGGACCAACGAACCATATTTAACACCATTTTGGTGTTAATTTGGTGTTAAAATGGTCATGAAATTTTGAACACTGTACATTAATTTCATTATTTCCACCTGTGTCTTTTGCTCGACGAACTCTTTTTTTCGGTTGAACACTCCCGTTTGTAGTAAACTGCTTGACTAGTATACTAACCAAGATATTTGAAAGTTTCAAGCTGACCTAAGGAGTACAGTACTTACCAGAGAGTTTGTGAAGGGCAAACTTCTTGGTCCACTGCTGTACAGATCTGACGATGTGTTGTGTCTTTTCATTTTTTTGAACTGTTCTATTGCCCTACTTGTCAATATGGGAAAATTTACCTGGGTACACTGATCCATTCTGATATCTAGAACAAACAAAATCAAGATTTAATTTAACTATTTGAAGGTCACTAACTGTCTCAGTGAGACTACTTAAATGAAAAAATGTTTATTAAAAATTTTTTTTAATTTTTTATCATAAAAAATGGTGATAACCTCTGTTTTCGTACTGTAATAATAATCATAACAATAATAATGATTCAACATTATAATGAATCGTTAAAGTTCAGGTTTAACAATATATGGCCATGAAATATTAATTTATTAATGATTTGCTGTTTGTTTTTTGTTATTTTAAATATTGCAAAGTTCTATCTATTAAAATCATATTAACCACATCAAATATTGACATACCTACGCAAAATAATTGTTTCCTGGATAGTTCACAATCAATATAATAAAATACAATTGTGGTTTGTTCGGCATTTGACAATATATTATTATTTCCAACGATTTGAGAGTTTTTCTAAACTTATAAATTAAAAAGGTGTTGATCAGTTAATTACTTAAACAAAACCATTTCACACATCATACATAATAAATATAATTTAAATTATGCAAATTTTATTGAAATATGGAAATTTAATTGTTTAACATCAAGTTACCTATGCAAATAAATTTATGTCTACACGATATTTATGAGATTGATTTTTATGGACAAAACGTTTTATTTCTACCATTACTTTACTAGACAGTAGTTAAATATAGGTGACTCCGGCCCAGGAGAAATATTTTACTATATTACAAAAGATCCAGGTTTTTTTAACTTGTCCCCCCAATTTTAATGTATTTTTTCAACTCCTGAATCAAATATTTGAGTGATTTTATTTTAAAATACATTCAATACATCTTAAATTTTTCAATTTCACTACAAACTATAAAAAATTAAATAATGTATTTTCATATTTTATCATAGATTCAAATAATAGCAATTTTTAAAAAATTGATCATCTTTGTACTCACTTTTACCTGTCAGTTCTGTGTCGAATGTTAAAATTCAAAATTCCTGCGAAATATTGAAGTTTAAACGTCAAGTTCTCGTTTTAACTCAAGTGTTGGTAATAAATTACCTACAGAGCCCGCCCTTTGCACGACAGTCATCTTGCAAACAATGCAAGCGGCGAAGTTGTGGTGAATGCACGTATAGTTCCAGTCAAAATTTCAGTACTGTGGTGAGTAGTTATTTTCTTACGTATATATATTGCATTGTAATTTATATAAGGCTATATGTGATTTGTTGATAAGTAGCTTCCACTAATAATAAAATACTTAATTCCGAATTATAATCTCAAATTTGTATCCCATTCATCAGTACCCGCGTCGTCAGTTTCGTTTATCTTTTTTTCGCAAACTTCAATTTAAATTCTTCTAGCGCAGAACTTGTTTATTTAATGTCATTATAAACTCATATAAATTTGGTGTGGGTCCCATATCTAATAATTGAGATATCGGTATACCCAAAATCCACTAGCCGCCACTGATGTGTGGTATTATTTGATTTTAAGATATTTAATGTGTAATATGCTCAAAGTTGCAATAAATCTTATATTTTCCAATAAATTATGTATTTAATTAGTACCCTGGTATACTTGTCACTTCCCTTGTATTCAAATTTAGAACAGTATATTTATTATATTATCATGTTCTCATAACAAAATACTGTTTAATTTTCTCCGAAAACTATATAAACAAAATGAGAATCACCCTTAAGCTACCAAATAAAAAAAAATAACTGTAGTTATACTGTAAAAACCACATAGGTTCGTGGTAATTTTTAATTGTAGTTTTCTTAGAATTGCTATTATATATAGGAATTATTATGCAATTGTTAGGTCGGTTAAATATTTATTTATATTGTACTTGAATTTTTAGTGGGAAAAGCTCAAACTTTTATTTCACAATAATTGTTCAGATTAAAATAAATACAATTTTAAACACTTTGTAAAGATTGATGTCACTTTTTATTTACTATCTCTGATTTAATTATTACATATTTCCAAACACCCTGTAATATGGTTTTAATTTGACCATCCACAACAATTAAATTACACAAGAACGTATAAGTTTGAATGTTTTTGTTTCAAAGGTCAATTTGACTACAAGAAATTGAACCTTCTACTTTCTAGAGTCAATGAACCCAAAAAGATATTCATATAAACAATTTTAATTAAAATTATTGAAAAATACTATTTTTAGTTAGTTAACTTTTTTTAAATAATATAATATAATATATTAATAAAAATTGACTTACTACTTCCAAAAAACTCAACAAGTATTGTACAACTATTACAAAAAATGTTTATTTACCAAACAAATGTATTATGGTAGATAAAAAATCAGTAATAAATCAAATATAATCAATGAAAAATTTATAAAATTTGAAACCAAAATGTGAGTCATATTATGGCAATCTTATCTATGCTAAATTTTAATAGTGTTGTGCAATATTTTTTGTATAATATTTAAATAAATAAATAAACAATGCTTTTTTTAGATTTTCTCTAAACTATCCAAATTTAGTGCGCATTAATAATAGGGTAAAGTAGACAAATAGGAGAAAATTCTTTAACGTATACCAAGTTAACATTAATTTCTCATTTTTAGGTTCCATGGGATAAAAATGAATAAAAGCATAACCAAAAAAGTTTTCCTCAGCAAATATTTTACAGGAAACATAGTTTTGGTGGCGAATATGTGTGAAGTTTGCTACAAAAACTGTCTGGATGTCAAAATTGTTGGGGTAAACAGCAACTTCTTGAAACGAACAAATAAAAACACAAAACGTAAAAAAACTATAAATATAAAAGTTGGTGGTATGGACGGAAATAATAATGGACGAATCTGTGATTATAATTTTGGAAAATTTGATCAAATGGAAGCACATTTTGTACAGTCACAGCCCAAAATGCTATGTCCCACCGTAAAAGTTGATATACCAAAATTTGTGCCTTTAAAATCACCCTATAATTTGATTGAAGAGTCTTTATACCATGACCCATGGGGTTTACTGGTGGCTACCATTTTCCTCAACAAAACCAAATGTCATGTGGCGAAACCACATTTAGAAAAATTTTTAAAGGACTTCAAGAACCCTCTACAAGTTTTAAAAAGTACACCTAAGGATTTTGAGGTTTATTTTACACAATCGGGTTTAAAGTACAAAAAATCGATCCAAATTTGGAGAATGAGCTACGATTTTGTTTTCAAAAAATGGAAAACAGTTAAAGATTTGTATGGTATCGGACAGTATGGTGAGGATGCATTTAAAATGTTTATTTTGGGCGATTTTACTGTAGAACCTGAAGACAGATTTTTAAAGATTTATAAAAATTGGTACCAAAAAATCAATAAAGAACAGTTTTAATGATAATGAGTCTTTTATTTGTATAAATTATCATAATTAATGTTTTAAAAGTCTAAAACCTATCCTCCGTGACTCTTTCTAGGTTAACCTATATGTTTTCAAATATCTGAGGTAGTAAAATATCAGTTCACTAAGTAAATTAAACACATCCAAAGCAATCGAATCAAATATAAAGCATTATTAAAAATTAAAAGAAATAATTTTTATAACCATTTATGTGGGTGTTACCAAAATTGATTCTATCCTCCGTGAATCTGTTTTTGCTTTTAATTTTATGCAACGGATGGCGCTTTAATCATTTTAAATAAGCAAAAACCTCTGTTTACAACATTATAGATGCATGTGATTCCTGAAGGTCATTTAGAATTTATATGCAGATGAGAGTGTTGCTGTTTTATAATTCCAGAGTTTAAGTGCATTAATTTGCCATTTAAAAACCTATCCACCGTGAAGTGTAATATCTCAGTAAGTAGATTTTTTTATAAATATTTTATGTTTGTTTTAAAAAATATTAAGGTGTCAAAAGATACAATAATATACAAAGGGATGTTTTAAAAAAACATACGAAATCATAACCTCCGTGAAGCTATCTTCCGTGAAGCTCTAATATTCAAAATGTATGATTTCTTAAAATAATTGCATTATTCGCCCTAATATAATATAATATACTGATTTAACACCTGGATAAAATTAATTATTTATTAATTTTGCATGAAAACCGCAACATTAACATTTAATTTATGTATTGTTATGTCAATATAATTACATACAAATAATAAATTAAGTTTTATGTAGCCATTGAAATTCTAAAAACCACAAATTGTGATTTATCTTGAAATAACTGACCAACAATTTGTTATTTAGTTTCCTATTATGTAAAATTATACCACATTTGATTTATTGTTTTGTTTTTTTTTCCTAAAATAATCCAAGGATTGACGCCATTTTATATTAACATACAATAAGGAAACACCCTGTATATTATTTGGAATACTCAATCCAGAATCATTATGCAATATTTTAATGGTTTTACCCATACATGTCAAAAAAAATAGTAACTGGGCTGAAATTATCGTCCTTTATTTATTAACACCAAAACCAATAGAATGGCCTCGCAGATCTCCAGATCTGAAACCTTTGGACTTTTTCTCATGGGGTCACTTAATAAATAAACACTCAAAAATATTTAAATATTTTCGTCCCACTAGTTCTAAGAAAACGGTGATTACATACATACCTTCTATTGAAAACCGGTCAACGAATATTTACTTTCGTTAATAAAAAAATTGCTTATTATTTGCCAACCAAATTTATTCAGCTTACATCCGCCTTATACAGTGTTGGTGTAAAATTAAATGAAAACTTTTTTGGATGGAATTCGGAGACGCCCTCTATATATCCCACTTCTGATTTTTCCTTAAAAAAATACTCTTAAACTCTGTGGAGTTATAACTTATTATATTTTGGCTATGCACATCACAAAATATTTGCTACGTAAAAGCCATAAGCAATTATTAGAAAATTTCATGGAATTAGAATTTAATTATACAAATCGAAAAAATGCGAAATACATACATATATAATTGTGTGTATGCGATAGTGAGGTTTATTAATTAATTATTTTTATACCATTGAAATGTTTGATGATAACAACCTTGAATATTCAAAAAAAAAGTTGGGTACTCTTTTTATACCTTTAAAATTATCTAGTTTATATATACAGATATCAATATGATATTGTAATACTTTCTAAACTACGTACCAAATAATAATGTAGGTGTAAAATTTTACGAACCATTAAATTAATAGTATTAACTAATAAAATATGTATTTGCAAGTTTTTAATGCTGTTTATTTTTTATTATTTCGTTTTAGAATAAGTAAATATTTTAGTTACAAAAATGGTGGATGCTCCGGTGTTAAATAAAAAATTGTTGATATATTTTCGTATCAATTGTGTTATTGAAATAACTAAAATCATAAATAGTAAAAATCTAAAAAATTAAAATTAAAATATTTTTTTAAATTGTTTTCTAATTTTTTTATTTTGTTACATTAATTTATCGCTATAATGTGTACTTCCGGAACCTTGTATACAACTATGTGTGTGTGTGTATGTAAGTATAGTATATTTATGAAAAAATTATGTTATCATTATAAAATAATTATATCTACTACTTATCAAATTTTAAAAATTACCGGATCAACTTTACAAGGGGACAACTTTTTTATTATTAATTTTTCGAGAAAAATGCATTCGTCATAAAAGTTTTTGATTGTCTTGAAATGGCCAATTCAGTTTATACTTTTTCGAATTTCCCTTCCGTTTCGAAGATAAATTGAAAAATGATAAAATATGGTGGACTTCATGTTTTTCAATATATCTCTGAGACGCGTTAGGAATTTAAAAATGTATAAAATGAATTGGCCATTTTGAAACAAAGGAAAACTTTTATGAAGAATGCATTTTTCTCGAAAAATGAATAATAAAAAAGTTATACCTCTTGTTTGTTTGCATCAGAAGTGGGATGGTGATTTTCTTATTCATTAATCAAATTAATTAGTAATAAATGTTTTTTATGTAAAGTTTAATATTTTAGTTAATTTTGTGTTGAACAGTGTTATTTAACGAATATCACATTTATGAGTAATAAAAATATTTAATTTGTTGACAAACCGATATAAAAGTAGATATAAATGTATTGATTTGAGGCTTAACACCAACTAAGTTTTAATTTTACCAGTCCAAACAAAAACAGTTTTACATGTAGGTACATTCATGAAGTGTTTCAAGAAACTAAATTACTGATGTGGTCTTAAAAAACTTACACTTAAAAATCCCTAAATATCGTCAAAAGAATCCAAAACTTATTTGAGGTACACTTAGTCAAAGGTTCACTCAACTTCACCAAATATAATAATATTACATTTATCGTATTAAAATAGTGTTATTCAAACAAATACCGTTTTGTGTGCTAAAAACACTACCTTTATTTATATACATATATATATGTTCGCAACTCAACGCTTAAGTCAGTACTGAATAAATTTGATTTGTACCGTACCTACTTACTATAGCCTATAAGTAACATAGGTAGGTATAGTGGTATCTGAAATATTGCACAGTGACTAGGCAAAACAATTTTCAGTTGGAATACTGGAATATTCTTAGAACCTTCCCTTATTGCTAAGAATGTTCTTGGGGACTTTTAAAACACTCAATAAATGCCCTTTTAATGATGCAATTAGATTCTTAAAAGCTTCTTAAAACCTTCCTAAAAAGCATCCTAAGAACATTTTAAGAATACGTTTTTGGAATGTTCTTAGAAGGTTTCTTATGGAGCTTCTAGGGAGCTTTTGAGAATATTTCCAAATATGTCAGATACCCACGTTCTAATATGTTGTATTCTACATTCGTAAAATTCTTCAGGAGACGGCAAATACGCCTCACTGTTATAATATGACAGTAGAATGTATTTGTCGTCCCCTTAAAAAATTTTGCGACATATTAATATATATTCATTTAAAAATATTAAATAAATAATTTGACCTCTAAACCATAAGTTGTATGACATTATTTCATAAAAAGTAAAATTGGAAAATTTTGGGGGATAAGTCAGATTAGATTGAAGTTATTATACATAAAAATTAAAGTTAATTCAGAAATAAAAAATCGGTATACAAATTAATAAATATTTATTTTTTACATAAAATAAAATACCTATAGTAAAAGTATTTTCGTTATCGAATGTTGTTTTAATTTGACAAATAACTATAAAAAAATATTTTGGATTGTGTTTTTTACTTAGTATTTAATACTAATTACTAATTAAGTACTTAAGTATAGGTATATACCTTTATACGTAGTTTATGGTATATTTTACTGTTATATAGGTAACTGAACTAAATATGCTTAACAGGAATATTCATAAATGAACTTTCTATAGCAATTACTTTCTTAACATTCTAAGCATATGTTTAGAGTAGACTAATTTTTACCACCAAAACTTTGCACCTTCTAAGAACCTGCCTATAGGCCAGTAAGAATATTCTTAGGATCATGCTATAAGTCTTTTAAGCATGTTCTTTAGAAGATCCTAAGAATATTCTCACTGTAAGGTTTAAGAAACATTCTTAGAATAAAGTGTGCACTATTTTTAAGTTGCAAATTTATTTTAAAGTTTTTACAAGTCAGTTAGTTTTAAACATAGTTTTGAAGCACTGTGAGGTAGTGTTCAAGAAGAATAGGTGCAAAGTCCAAAGTTTTAAACTGAAGATTTTTTTACGGATTTAATACAAGACAAAGTACATAACAACGCATTAGGTATAGGATTGGAATTTTTTTTAGTGTAGTATTTATTTGACCAAAAATAAATTTCGTATTAACAACAAATTACGAAAAGTTCAGATCAGATATTTCAGAAACACTTATTAAAAAAATTTCAGTAACAACACAAAATGAATGTTGATTCACAGAGCAGGGATTTCCCATCCAAACTTACCCTTGAAGAAGTCATCAATAAAATAAAATTTGAGATAAAAAAAAAGTTTTTCAACATTCGTTACCCATTTTTGTCTTGGTGAGTATCAAAGTCTTTTACGATAATTTTTGACATTTTTGACAGTTTTCCTTAACCAAGTTTTTTGTGCGATTTAGTTAAGTAAAATTTACGGTGTTTTTGTGAAAAAAATGTGATGTCAGGGGATACAGAAAATATCCAGGATAAAATTCAAGCCATCGATAAATGTAGGGGGTTATTAGATGAAAAGATTAATAGGCTGAAAGCCAGACACATTTCTTCAAGATTCTGGAGGTAATTAAAATGATTTGTGTCACAATTTTTTTTTTTTTTTTAATCGTTGTAACTCGTTTTCTATTGATCTGACAAAAACAAATTAAAAACAAAAAATATAGAGCCTAAAATTTTCAACAACTTTTCCTTAATGCAAAACTTTCTATATTTACTCCATAAAAACATACAGGACCCAGATGTAAACAAAAATTATTTTTTTTATATTTTGACCCCCTAAAATTGATCAAAACTAAAAATGGTAAATAAAAAAGTTATAGATCTTAAAATTATCTACAAATAATATATTGAGTTTAACACCATTAGATCAACCGTTTCTGAGTTACAGATGGTCAAACTTTTAAATCGTTAAATGGCTTGAAATGTGGCAACATGGCCCAGACCCAAAAATATCAAGATTTTTTAGAGATGGGAAGGTTTTCCCCGCAATGTAGAAAAATTATAATCTGGAAAATTTAAATAAAAAATAAACAAATTAGTATCATTAGAAAAGTTAAAATGTTATTAAATTAATAAATTATAACTATTAAACATTAAACGCAAATAATTATCACAACATATTTTGATGCGTTAGAGAATATGCACTTTGTAATAAAAAATACGTCACGAAATTTTTGCTAGAAATAACTGAATTAATTGTAGATTATTTACAAGGAAAAACCTTAAATAACTATAATTCTTCCGATAATTGTACAAAATAAATAAATTTATAATTAGTATCACCAGAAAATTTGTTCTTTACAAAATCCTACATTAAAAAACTATTTCCTGTTGAAAAATCACAATAAAATAAATTCCTTGGTCTATTTACTAAATTTTTCCTCCTTTAAGTTTTTTCCTATCTTGCTTCGTTTAAAAGTTATCAAGAAAATATGGTATATGTATGTAAACAACAAAAAAATAATTATCTATCCAATCACAATACAAATTTTGTCAAATTATTAACTAAGAAGGTACATATTATCTATTTTATCGGATATGATTAAAACAAATTGTCATGAAAATTAATATTTATCAAAATTGGAGTCTTTGTTATATAAAACCGGATGAAAAAGCGGTTTAAATGACGTCAATATCAACAAAATTTAAATTTGCTACCGCCCTCTATCTATAAACCATCAAAACCAACCCAACACAAGCGAAGAAATCTACTTTACCCACATCAACGTTTGTACAGTCAACCGACAGATGGCGCTTCACAATCTCGCAACATTGCACAACCACACGAAATCCGCTTTTACGACACGTGTTAATAAAGGCGAAAATCCTAAAAAATGCCAAACCCTGTAAAGCAAAATTTACCGTACGTGCACTGAAAACTTGCGGGTGTGACAGAGAAGTCATTGATGACGTGACGCAATCAGTTGGTGTGACTTTGACGACCTTTAAAAGTCTTTGAAAATTTTTAGTTGAGTTCTGCGTGCTAAACAGAAGAGCTGTGTTCGATTTTAAGCAAGAAAAGTAAGTTTTTAGTGGTTATTATTGATTAATTATGTAGTTTTGTGCGATAAGGGGTTTTGTGGGAGTGTTTTTCAAAGGTTTTTTGCGGAATAAACAGGGGTTTTTGTCAGGAAATTGTGTTTTTCTAATCTTTACATAACACGGGTGTTGATGTCTTATTTTTGTGTTTTTGCTCTTGATTTTATGTTTATTTTAAAGATAATGACAGTATTTAGTTGTTTAATACATTTTTTATATATATTTTTATCTATTTTATATCCTTATATGGTAATTTAATGTTGTTATATTAAAATTCTACAACATATAATATTAAATTAAAAAACATAATTTACCCTAAATAATTATCAAAAATTGTATAGTTTTTACTTTATATTAAGTACTTAAAACATTTTATACACCCTCAGTACTTTACTGTACAGAGGTCATTCCGAAGGTTATAACCTTTATCCTATAGGATTCAACTTTAAAATTAATTATTCATCTAATAATACCTAATAAAATATGATTTTTTAAAGTGTTTTACATTAATTTTTAATTAAATTTTCAAATATCGTTTTAATAACCAAAAATTTACCTAAAATAATAATGTATTTTTATATTATTTTCTTAAATTAGTTATTTAGAATTTGGGATTAAAAAACTTGGCAACTTTGTAAATCCGACAACCTGAAACATTATAGTTGTAATGGAAACAATTTAAATGGACATAATATGTAGATATTTTCTGTCAGTTTAGGGGTACCTAATTATTTTACAATAAAACCAAAGAAAGTTATAAATCAATTGATTTAAAGCATTCAGCTTTTTAATCAGGTAGTAGTTTACATTTTAGATGATTTTATTTTTAATTATTTTATGGTTAAAAGCAAATTTCAAATAAACCTTGATATTTATAAAACACTGCGTTGTCATGTGCAAAAATATGCTAAATCAGTTGATATAAATAAATCAACGTTTCTGTCCTAAGTGAAATATCTTTTTTGTTATTTATTTTTAATTTTATCTTTATTATTTGGACTTTATCCTGTAGGGTTTTTATGGCGCTTAACCTTGTTTATAACCTTTATTTTTGATAAAAATTCTTATATTGTTATTATTTACATAATATTGTTTCATATTCAGCATATATTTATTTTAACTTGTTGTTTGTTTATTGGAATTTCTTTATTTATTTATAGATTGGTTTTTAAATACCTATTTTTATCTATACTAGGAATAAATAGAAAGTGCGTTTTGTTTTTTAATTATACCTGTTATAAATAAATGTCATTATTTACTTTCATATTTATTAATGTTATTTGCTAAAGCATTAGCATTGTTTTACATTTTAATATTACTTTCTTAGTTCTTAACTCCAGTCATATAAGGCGCGGGTGCGGAGTTCGGAGTTGGAGTAGTGCACGGAATTTTTTTTCTAGCTTACCGATACACAAGATGCCCACCACTTGGACCTACCCCGACCAAGCTCTCCAAGATGAGCTCCGCAAGATCGCAAACGCCATTGTTGCCCCTGGAAAAGGTATCTTGGCCGCCGACGAATCGGTGTCCACCATGGGCAAGCGTCTCGCCGACATCGGAGCCGAAAATACTGACGAAAACCGCAGAAAATACAGGTAAGTGCTGCCCTCTATCTTTTCGTTTTGACACTTTTTTCGTCAGAGCAATAGGAAACCAATGGGGTAGTTAAATTTTTTCTGACCAATCAGAATTTCAATTGAGTTTACCGTTTTCGAGATATTTACAAAAAATATAAATTTTTATGACGTCACAAACCTCGCCGTGTGACCAACATTCTAAGATTTCTATTGGTTGAAAATTACCCTGTTGTCAAGTTGTCTTGTTAATGATTTCATTCGGTTATGTCAGAAAATACCCGAAGAGGTTATGTACAAATACTGTCACTGTCAGTTGAGTGAAAGATGGTCACCAAATTCATCGTCCTTATTACGAGGTATCATATTACTGTTTGATATTTTAGAGTCCAAGATATATCTAAAAGAATTTAAAGAACTAGGCATTATACTAATGAAATGCATTTACGACAAAATATGATTATAATTATAGGTACTTACTTTATTTGTTTAAAAGCTCCAATGTTCAATGTAACCAACCATTCCACAAGATTCCTCTGCCTTGGAGTCCGTTATTAATAAATCACTTATCTAATATCAATTACAAATAACATTGATTTTCAATAATCTAAATTTAAAAAAAACATAACCCGAAAAAAAGAAACGTCAAAAAATCAATTCTTCTTCTTCTCAACTAAAATTATAGATCAAGTGGTTTTAAAACTAAAATATTACAACGTGGCGCCATCTATCGTAAGAATCTTAAACTAAACACACTGGCAACCATAGAAAAAGCTGGCAACGTTGTCAATAGCCTAGTGACGTAATTAGGAGATTTTTTTTGTAAATATCTGGAAAACGGTAAACTCAATTGAAATTCCGATTTCACGGAAATGTTTAAAATTACAAAACGCCTTGAATAAAACCATAAAAAGTATAGGTCAGAAAAAATTTAACTACCCCGTTGACTGTACTTTAACCAAGTGGAAAAAACTACCGAGTTTTTTTTTCCAGACAACTCTTGTTCACCACCTGCCCCACCCTGGGCGACTACGTTTCTGGAGTGATCCTGTTTCACGAGACTGTCTACCAAAAATCAGACGATGGCACGCCATTCGTAGAGTTGCTGAAACAGAGGGGAATAATTCCCGGCATCAAGGTCGACACTGGAGTAGTTCCGTTGTTTAACGCCACCAACGAAGAATGCACCACACAAGGTATTATTTTTGAAGTGCGCACACTTAAGTTTTACCTTACATTTTTTGAAGGACGTTCAATTCAACGAATAATGAATTTTCGACAGTCAAGACAAAATACCAAGGTCGTGCGGTCAAGAGTGCGCAGCTTATAAGTGCGCACATTTAGGACGTTTTACCTTACATTTTCAGAAATCGTCAAATGTCGATTATAAAATGAACCAATTTCGTTTTGCCCAAAAATATTGACCAAATTTGTTAAAATTTGACGGCAATTAGAATTTGGTAGGATTGCGCGGCCAAAAGTGCGCGTTGCACACGTGCGTACACTCGGTCCGTTTTACCTTACATTTAACTAAAAAAATAAATCTTACGATGTTGTAGGATCGTGCGGTCAAGAGTGCGCAGGGTGCAAGTGCGCACACTTAGGGTGTTTGGGAAATGTCAAATTTCGATTATTAATATTGAAGGTTAGATTATTTAGACTTTCATCCCACCGAATTCGTTTTATTTTGTTGGCGTTATTTTTGTCTTTGAAATTCGACAGTAATTGAAATTTGGTAGGGTGGCGCGGCCAAAAGTGCGCACATTTGGGGCGTTTTACCTTATATTTTTTGAGAGAGCAAAATTTAACAAAAAAATTATATGGGAAGGTCGTTCGGTCAAGAGTGCGCATATTTAGGAAGTTTTACCTTCCATTTTCATAAAATGTCAAAAATCGATTATAAAATAAACCAAATTCGTGTACGGCAAAAATATTAAAGGTTAGATTATTTCATCTTACCAAATTCGTTTATTTTGTTGGCATCATTTTTTTCTTTGAAACTTGGCGGTAACTAAAATTTGGTAGGGTAGCGTGGCCAAAAGTGCGCAGTGTATAAGTGCGCATATTTAGGACTTTTTACCTTACATTTTCGATAAATGTCAAATATCGATTATACAAAAACATTAAAGGTTAGATTATTTACACTTTCATCTAACCAAATTCGTTTATTTTATTGGCAATATTTTTTCTTTGAACATTAGGACGAACTGAAAAATTAAATTTGACAGTAATTAGATATACCAAGGTCGCGCAGTCAAGAATGCGCATGCTTAGATCGTTTTACCTTACGTTTTCAGGAAATGTCAAATTTCGATAATAAAATGAACCAAGTTTGTCTTGCGCAAAAATATTGAAGGTGACATTTTTTTAAAATTTGACATTAATTAGAATTTGGGAAGGTAGCTCGGCCAAAAGTGCGCACAGTTAGGGCGTTTTACAATAATACAATTTTGAGGACTCCAAATTTAACAAAAATAATAATTTTAACAGTAATTAGAATATAGTAGGGTCGTGCGGTCAAGACTGCGACTTTTTACCGTACATTTTCAGTAAATGTTGCATATCGATTAAACAAAAATTATTTCATCTTACCAAATTTGTTTATTTTATTGACATAATTTTTTTTTTCCTTTGAAATTTGACAGTAATTAAATTCGGGAGGGTAGAGCGGCCAAAGTGTGCAGTGTATAAGTGCGCACACTTGGAACGTTTTACCTTTACTTTTTAGGACGAAAAGTTTAAATGAAGAATTAAATTTGACGGTAATTAGATATAGCAAGGTCGCGCAGTCAAGAATGCGCATGCTTAGGGCGTTTTACCTTACGTTTTCAAATGTCGATTATCAAATGAACCAAGTTAGTGATGCGCAAAAATATTGCTAGTAAAATTCTTTAAAATTTGGTAAGGTAGCTCGGCCAAAAGTGCGCACAGTTAGGACGTTTTACAATACATTTTTAAGGAGGCCAAATTAAACAAATTTTTTGTTAACAGTAATTAGAATATAGTAGGGTCGTGCGGTCAAGAGTGCGCACTATGGCCGTGCGGCCAAGAGTGCGCACCTCGGCAAACCGTAATTTTCTTCCGTTCCAGGGCTGGACGATCTGGCCAAACGCTGCGCCCAATACAAAAAAGACGGGTGCCACTTCGCGAAGTGGCGTTGCGTGCTGAAAATCTCCGCCAACACGCCCAGCTACCAGGCCATCTTGGAGAACGCAAACGTTTTGGCGCGCTACGCTTCGATCTGCCAGGCCAATCGCATCGTGCCGATCGTCGAGCCGGAAATCCTTCCCGACGGGGAGCACGACCTCGAAAAGTGCCAGAAGGTCACCGAGACAGTCTTGGCCTTCGTCTACAAGGCTCTGGCCGACCACAACGTCTTCCTAGAAGGTAAGTTTGGCCAATGCCAGGGACTAAAAATGTCAAATTACTCAATTTGACATTTAAAAATGGACTTAAATTCCATTTCGATCCCTTCAAAATGATGAAGACATCGGCCGTTACTTATACTCTTCACCTGCGGTGACAGCGGCGAGATGCGCGGTGCAGCCTCTGATTGGTCGCTCTTTAAAATTGCTTTAAAATTGCTTTTGAGTTTTTTTTGTAACTCGCATTGGTTCACCAGTAGGAGTCGTCAAAGGACAGTTTTTGAAAAAAATCGTTTTTTTTTTTAAATTTTTTCTAACAAACCGCAAAAAGTAGGGCTGAATCATAAAAAAAAGTTATCCAACCAACATTTAATGAATTTACAGCAATTTTTATAACTGAAAACGTAAGAAATTGATAATTACCAACCCATAATGTTATTTAGATTGATTTTTTCTATTTATTATAATGAATATGAAAACAACAGATAAATTCATAAAAAAACAATAAGAAAATTGTAACGTGGATTTTGCAATTTTTCAACATTTCTGTCATATAGCAAAAAAATATAAATGAAGATTATTTAATTTTTTGAAGCGAAATTTGAAATATGTTACATAAACTTCTGTATATTCCGATTAAAGTTTTGTTGTTTTTTTTTATGAATTTATGTGTTGTTTTCATATTCATTATGAGTGAGAAATCATAATAATTTTAAAAAAGTTCTTAGTGTAGGGAAATATAATGATAATAAATAGAAAAAATCAATCTAAATAACATTATGGGTTGGTATTTATCAATTTCTTACGTTTTTAGTTATAAAAATGACAGTAAATTCATTAAATATTGGTTGGATAACTTTTTTTTATGAATCTCACTACTTTTGGCGATTTGCTCGAAAAAATAAAAAAAACGATTTTTTTCAAAAACTGTCCTTTGACGACTCCTACTGGTGAACCAATGCGAGTTACAAAAAAAACTCAAAAGCAATTTTAAAGAGCGTGAAATTCCCCATAAGGTGTATTAAACCGATTTGCAATATTGTCGAAGGTGGGTAAGCATTAGAAATTTGAAAAAAAAATATATTTTTTACATGCATTTTAAACGGTAAAACTTTAAATTTAAATAGTAAGTGCTTAAAATTAATATTAAGAGCGCAAACTTGGTGAGAATGTTTTTTCCTATATGCAGATTAATATTTTGCTTGAGCACCGAAGAAAACAAAAACTTTGCGAAAATGAATCACCCTAGTGCACAGCCTACTTTATTTTTGTTTTGTGTTAAAGGTACCTTGTTGAAACCCAACATGGTTACTCCCGGTCAGAGCGCCAAAACTAAGGCATCCGCGGAAGAAATCGCCAAGGCTACCGTTACCGCTTTGTCCCGCACTGTCCCGCCAGCGGTTCCCGGAGTCACCTTCCTTTCCGGCGGTCAATCCGAAGAGGAAGCTTCGGTCAACTTGAGCGCAATTAACTCGTAAGATTTATTGTTTTTTAAAATACAGGGTGTTATGTAATTAATGTTATATATTAAAATGGGTTGTTCCTTAGGGTCCATAAAGAAGCACCCGAAACTTTTTTTTTCTAAATTCCAAAGTCTAAAAATAATTTATAATAACCTTTATCCTACGAAAAAGTACGCCACTGATCGACTAGGAACTTTAGGCTAATCTGGTGGATTTATTATGTTATGGTTGGTAACAACAGTGTTTCCAAAATCTCTCAAAAAAGTTGCCAAGTATTGTTTAAATTTAGCTTAATTACAAAAATGACAAAATTAACAATGCAAATTGTCAATTCGGCGTTTTTATTAATTGTCGGTTACGTCATTTTTGTACCGAAGGTAAATTCAAACAAAATCTGCCAACTTTTATGACAGAATCTAGTGCATTTCTTTCAAATTTTAGGTTATGTTTTCAAATTGTAAATATCTTAACTAAGGGAAGTGCTTTTGGATTTATTTACACAAATTAAATGTTTAAAGTTTAACCTGTGAACTGGTCCCAATTTCATCTGAGCAAACAGAGAAAAAAACTGATGAAAAAATTAATTTTGTGGTTATGGATTTCAAATTTCAAAAGTACTAAATTTTCTAATCATTGCTTAAGCTAAAAGCTGGATCGGTAAATAAATACAGAAGGGTATTAGAGCTTTAAGGGCATAAAACTTTTGTATTTATTGAGTTTTTATTTATTTTTTGCAAGACAATTTTTTACATCTGGCAACGCATAGCTACTTTGTTGGTTGGTATCTATGTACTCGGAAAATACAGGTGTGCAGAGATAAACAAGTGTGTAACCAGTGGCGTATCACAAAAAATATAAAAAACTTCTAATGCATATTTTTTCTTTATCTTTGGAAAAATGTTTTTTTAAATATTTTTCCTTTATTCCTTACGTCAAAAGGTATTCGGTATTTTAATATATAACATTAATTGCATAACACCCTGCATAACTCGGTTAATTTAACAATTCTCTTGACAGTTTCCAAGGCAAAAAACCATGGGCTCTCACCTTCAGCTACGGTCGCGCCCTTCAGGCCTCCGTACTCCGTGCATGGGGCGCCAAAGATGAGAACGTCAAGGCAGGACAGAACGAACTTTTGAAACGCGCAAAGGTAAATACACTCACAGGCAAAATAATCGATCCACGCAAATTTTCGATGAATTTCAATCGCAAATAACTTTTTTATTTGATGTCGGATTTAAACGAATATTAAAGAATATTGTAGATAAATTGCAATGTTTTTTTTAAAAATCCATATTTTCCACAGAAATAAATATATCGAGGTGAACCAAAAACAAAACCGTTAAGAATAGATGTGACTTGATAAATAAAACTTAATTTAGAACAATATACGGTTTAGCCACTCTACAGAGTGTCTTAAACTTATGGTAAAAAACATCTTTTTGTTTAAACCTGTATATTATAAACGTACATCTATTATTTAGTAACTTTTTAAAATGTGAGCGATTGTCCATTAATTTATCTACAATATTCTTTAATATTCGTTTAAATCCGACATCAAACAAAAAAGTTATTTGCGATTGAAATTCATCGAAAATTTGTGTGGATCGATTTTTTTGCCTGTGAGTAAGTAAAAAAAATCGGCAAAATTTTCAACTATTTACCTATGACTTTCAGGCCAATAGCGAAGCCTCCTTGGGCAAATACGTCGCCGGAAGTGTCTCGGGCACAGGCGGTGATGCCAGCTTGTTCATCAAAGACCACGCCTACTAATTAATGGCGCCGTCTTAAGAATTGAATTAGATTTTCGCGTGAATGTTTTTTATTGAACAATTTTATCAAGTCGTGGTCAAAATTTGTCAAAGTTTTAGCGTAGAAATGTATGGTTTTATTATGGACATCGTTATACCACAAATCTACACACTTTTTTTTATTTATAAATATATTTTTTAATTGTTTTATTATATGCATGTTATTGTTACTAAGACATATTATTGTAAATTAAATGTTAATAAATGGAACAAAAAGTTAAAATGTGTGTTTTATTTTTGTCACATTGTGTGTCCACCATGATTTTCTTGTGGGGTTATGTTAAAAGTAAAGCTTTTGTTAACAATTTTCAAAAATAAATTGTTTTTAAGTTTGTATTTTGTAATAGTGCAAAACACGTTTAGTTTTTTGGTTATAACTTTTTTGCTGTTAATTTTGGAAAAATTTTGTTAATACCATTATTAAGAAAAACAAATTATCTATAAATTGGAATATTTTTTGATTTTCTAGAATTTACCGTTTTCACAGTGCGCACACTTGGGGCATCTTACCTTACATTTTCAGAGATTATCAAATATGGATTATAAAATGAACAGAAGCACATTTTTAACGGTCTTCAGACAACGTTGGGAAACTGTTCAGATATTATTTTTAAAGTGCGCACACTTGTGTTTTACCTTACATTTTGGAAGGGAGTTCAATTTAAAAAATAATGAATTTTCGACAGTCGTGAGAATATAGTAAGGTCGTCTGGCCAAGAGTGCGCACACTTAAGACGTTTACCTTACATTTTCAAAAAATTGTTTATTTTATCTTAAATTAAAATTAAATAAAATTTGACGGCAAATAGAATTTGGTGGGATAGCGCTGCCAAAAGTGCGCGGTGTGCACGTGCGTACTCTTGTGCCGTTTTACCTTGCATTTAATTAAAAAATAAATTTTACGATATTGTAGGATCGCGCGGTCAAGAGTGCGCAGTATAAATGCGCACACTTAGACTTATTTAAACTTTCATCCCACCAAATTCGTTTTATTTTGTTGGCGATATTTTTTTCTTTGAAATTCGACAGCAATTGAAATTTGGTTGGGTGGCGCGGCCAAAAGTGCGCACAGTTGGGCGGTATTTTTTTTGTTTTTCTATAATGTATAGTTTTTAATATATTACGTTTTAAAGTTTTTATTACTTTTTTGTATATTGCAAGACACGTTCAGTTTTTTGGTAATAACTTTTTTGTTGTTAATTTTGGAAAAATTTTGTTAATGCCATTATTTGGAAAAATAAATTATCTATTAATTGGCATATTTTTTGTTTTTCTAGAATTTACAGTTTTCGAGATATTACGTTTTAAAGTTTTTATTACTAAACAACAATATGTAAGGAAAATGAATGAAGTTTAAGAGTTGGTATTACTTTTGTAGTAAGAAAATAAGAAGTCAATAATAAATTGATAACTTTTATTTTGCTATATGAGAAATATACAATAAAATAAAATTGTGTAAATTAAATATAAAGAATGACACAGTTCAGCATTTTGTTTAACTGCAAGTATAACAATTACATTATTTACAAGTAACGTGCATTCATAATAACATTTTCGCCCAAATTTTTTTTTAGACCACCCTTTATATCCATCCTTGGCCTTGCATCACATTTCTGTTAAATCTCAATCTAAACAGAAAAAACGTTTAAAAATCGCGATTTTTTTTTTTCGTACTAACCTCCAAATATCACTCGGCAATTTCGTTTCCGTTGTCATTCTGTCCGTCCCCTGCCTCCCGCGTCATGTTCTCGATGGTGTGGTTGTCACCGGCGACGTTGCCGTCCGTTTGCGGCGTTGCCGTTCTGTCGAAGGGATCTTCTAGATTGCTGGACAACTTATCGCTGCTTTTAGAATTCTCAGGAGCCCGTACGAAGTCCTCCTTTCGAGGTATCGAATCTTCGCGGTGGTCGTCGAAGTCGCGCGCGTGCGCGCTCGGCGATTCGCCGTTGTTTTCATCCCCGCCCTCCTCATTTTGCGCCGCCTGCTGCTGCAGATACTGTTGAGACGTGTTCTGCAGGTTTTGCGTTCCCGCCATTATTGCAGGAGATTGCAGGTTAGGTTTTCGTAGCTTGTCGCCTTTGAAAAATATTGCATAAAACAAGTTACTATTACATTTTTCTATATTGCAAGACACGTTCAGTTTTACGGTAATAACTTTTTTGTTGTTAATTTTAGAAAAATATTGCATAAAACAATATTTAAGAAATAAATTATCTTTATTTTGGTATATTGTTTGTTTATTTCTAGTGTATAGTTTTTGAGATATAACGTTTTAAAGTTACTATTACTTTTTTGTATATTGCAAGACACGTTCAGTTTTTTGGTTATAACTTTTTTGTTGGTAATTTTAGAAAAATATTTCAAAATCCATTATTTTAGGGAAATAAATTATCTATAAATTGAATAATTTTTGGTTTTTCTCGATTGTATAGTTTTCGAGATATTACGTTTTAAAGTTGACATTACTTTTTTGTAAATTGTAAAACACGTTCAGTTTTTCGGTAATAACTTTTTTGTTGTTAATTTTAGAAAAATATTGCATTAAACAATATTTTAGAAAAATAAATTATCTTTAAATTGGTATATTTTTTGTTTTTTTCGAGTGTGTAGTTTTCGAGATATAACGTCTTAAAGTTACTATTACTTTTTTTTATATTGCAAGACACGTTCAGTTTTTCGGTAATAACTTTTTTGTTGATAATTTTAGAAAAATATTGTAAATTCCATTATTTAAGGGCAATACATTATCTATAAATTGAAAAATGTTTGGTTTTTCTCGAGAGTATAGTTTTCGAGATATTACGTTTTAAAGTTGGTATTACTTTTTTGTAAATTGTAAAACACGTTCAGTTTTTCGGTAATAACTTTTTTGTTGTTAATTTTAGAAAAATATTGCATAAAACAATATTTAAGGAAAATAAATTATCTTTATATTGGTATATTGTTTGTTTTTTTCGAGTGTATAGTTTTCGAGATATAACGTCTTAAAGTTACCATTACATTTTTCTATATTGCAAGACACGTTCAGTTTTTCGGTAATAACTTTTTTGTTGATAATTTTAGAAAAATATTGTAAATTCCATTATTTAAGGGCAATACATTATCTATAAATTGAAAAATGTTTGGTTTTTCTCGAGAGTATAGTTTTCAAGATATTGCGTTTTAAAGTTGGTATTACTTTTTTGTATATTGCAAGACACGTTCAGTTTTTTGGTAATAATTTTTTTGTTGTTAATTTTAGAAAAATATTGCATAAAACAATATTTCAGAAAAATAAATTATCTTTATATTGGTATATTGTTTGTTTTTTTCGAGTGTATAGTTTTCGAGATATAACGTTTTAAAGTTACTATTACTTTTTTCTATATTGCAAGACACGTTCAGTTTTTTGGTAATAACTTTTTTGTTGGTAATTTTAGAAAAATATTGTACATTCTATTATTTAAGGGAAATAAATTATCTATAAATTGGAATATTTTTGGTTTTTCTTGAATGTATAGTTTTCAAGATATTACGTTTTAAAGTTGGTATTACTTTTTTGTAAATTGTAAAACACGTTCGGTTTTTCGGTAATAACTTTTTTGTTGTTAATTTTAGAAAAATATTGCATTAAACAATATTTAAGGGAAATTAATTATCTTTATTTTGGTACATTTTTTGTTTTTTTCGAGTGTATAGTTTTCGAGATATAACGTTTTAAAGTTACTATTACTTTTTTCTATCTTGCAAGACATGTTCAGTTTTTTGGTAATAACTTTTTTGTTGGTAATTTTAGAAAAATATCGTAAATTCCATTATTTTAGGAAAACAAATTATCTATAAATTGAATAATTTTTGGTTTTTCTCGAATGTATAGTTTTCGAGATATTACGTTTTAAAGTTGGTATTACTTTTTTGTAAATTGTAAAACACGTTCAGTTTTTCGGTAATAACTTTTTTGTTGTTAATTTTAGAAAAATATTGCATAAACAATATTTAAGTAAAATAAATTATCTTTATATTGGTATATTTTTTGTTTTTTTCGAGTGTATAGTTTTCGAGGTATAACGTTTTAAAGTTACTATTACTTTTTTCTATATTGCAAGACACGTTCAGTTTTTTGGTAATAACTTTTTTGCTGTTAATTTTAGAAAATTATTGCATAAAACAATATTTAAAAAAAATAAATTATCTTTATAGTGGTATATTTTTTGTTTTTTTCGAGTGTATAGTTTTCGAGATATTACGTTTTTAAGTTACTATTACTTTTTTCTATATTGCAAGACACGTTCAGTTTTTTGGTAATAACTTTTTTGTTGGTAATTTTAGAAAAATATCGTAAATTCCATTATTTTAGGGAAATAAATTATCTATAAATTGAATAATTTTTGGTTTTTCTCGAATGTATAGTTTTCGAGATATTACGTTTTAAAGTTGGTATTACTTTTTTGTAAATTGTAAAACACGTTCAGTTTTTCGGTAATAACTTTTTTGTTGTTAATTTTAGAAAAATATTGCATAAACAATATTTAAGAAAAATAAATTATCTTTATATTGGTATATTGTTTGTTTTTTTCGAGTGTATAGTTTTCGAGATATAACGTTTTAAAGTTACTATTACTTTTTTCTATATTGCAAGACACGTTCAGTTTTTTGGTAATAACTTTTTTGTTGGTAATTTTAGAAAAATATTGTAAATTCCATTATTTAAGGGCAATAAATTATCTACAAATTGAAAAATGTTTGGTTTTTCTCGAATGTATAGTTTTCGAGATATTTCGTTTTAAAGTTGGTATTACTTTTTTGTAAATTGTAAAACACGTTCAGTTTTTCGGTAATAACTTTTTTGTTGGTAATTTTAGAAAAATATTGCATAAAACAATATTTAAGGAAAATAAATTATCTTTATATTGGTATTTTTTTTGTTTTTTTCGAGTGTATAGTTTTCGAGATATAACGTTTTAAAGTTGGTATTACTTTTTTCTATATTGCAAGACACGTTTAGATTTTTGATAAATACTTTTTATATTGTGCTTTTGCCGTTCTAAATTGGTGTTTTTGACAGTCAAAAACCTACCTTTTCTCCAAAGAGTGATCTCCTGCTGTTTGAAGTATCTTCTGTCTTCAGTGTCCATAAGCACTAGATTCAGAAAATATCTGACCGAGAATTTTTTGTTGATGTCTCGCATCGTCGGCGTCAAATCGTAACCGGCCAAAAACACTCTTATAGGAATACTTTCTCCTACAGTATCAAAAAAAAAAAAATCGCCAACAAGACTTACAAACGTTGAGTATTTTTTTTTTTACCTCTAACAGGTGCCCCGTCCATAATCTCATATTTGGCGATGGTATTGTTGTCGTTGAAGATATTGGGCCCGGTACCGGTCGTTTCCCTTTTAATTATGGCGATTTCCATGTGCTTTATTTTTATTCGAACCAAGAGAAAATAAATCTTACCCACGATGACGTCTTTTAAATGGTACCTGAGAAATAAAAAATGTCAACCTAACTAGACATTCTTTTGTTTGCGCTCGGCGAGCACCGCTTACTTTGATTTGTTGTATTCGAACTCAATGTGTAAACAATCTTCAATTCCGACCTCCATTTTGATGGAGTTGTTCATTTCTGGGTAGCTTGATAAAGTGTGCACGGCAAGATCAATTTCCTTAACAATGTCCGCCAGTCTACGAATTATTGTTACCCTAAGGAAGTATCTTAACCTCACATTAGCACCTGCAATAGTTATATATTAATTCAGCAATTTGGATTTAGTTTTTTGGTAATAACTTTTTTTTGTCAATTTTAGAAAAATATAATAAATACCATTATTTAAGGAAAATAAATTATCTATAACTTGGTATATTTTAGGTTTTTCTCGACTGTATAGTTTTCGAGATATTACGTTTTATAGTTGGAATTACTTTTTTGCGTATTGCAAAACACACGTTTAGTTTTTTCGTCATAACTTTTTTGTTGTTAATTTTAAAAAAATATTGTAAAAAACATTATTTAAGCAAAATAAATTATCTATAAATTGTTATATTTTTGGTTTTTCTAGAATGAATAACTTTCGAGATATTACGTTTTAAAGTTGGAATAACTTTTTTGTACATTGCAAAACACTTGTTTAGTTTTTTGGTAGTAATTTTTTTGTTGTTAATTAAAAAAAAAATTGTTATTACCACTATTTAAAGAAATAAATGATCTATAAATTGGTAAATTTTTTGTTTTTCTCGAATGTATAGTTTTCGAGATATTACGTTTTATAGTTGGTATTACTTTCTTGCGTATTGCAAAACACACGTTTAGTTTTTTCGTCATAACTTTTTTGTTGTTAATTTTAAAAAAATATTGTAAAAACCAATATTTAAGCAAAATAAATTATCTATAAATTGTTATATTTTTGGTTTTTCTAGAATGAATAACTTTCGAGATATTACGTTTTAAAGTTGGAATAACTTTTTTGTACATTGCAAAACACTTGTTTAGTTTTTTGGTAGTAATTTTTTTGTTGTTAATTAAAAAAAAAAATTGTTATTACCACTATTTAGAGAAATAAATGATCTATAAATTGGTATATTTTTTGTTTTTCTCGAATGTATGGTTTCCGAGATATTACGTTTTATAGTTGGTATTACTTTTTTGCGTCTTGCAAAACACACGTTTAGTTTTTTCGTCATAACTTTTTTGTTGTTAATTTTAAAAAAATATTGTAAAAACCATTATTTAAGCAAAATAAATTATCTATAAATTGTTATATTTTTGGTTTTTTTAGAATGAATAACTTTCGAGATATTACGTTTTAAAGTTGGAATAACTTTTTTGTACATTCCAAAACACTTGTTTAGTTTTTTGGTGATAATTTTTTAGTTATTAATTTAAAAAAAATGTTATTACCACTATTTAGAGAAATAAATGATCTATAAATTGGTATTTTTTTTGTTTATCGCGAATGTATAGTTTTCGAGATATTACGTTTTATAGTTGGTATTACTTTTTTGCGTATTGCAAAACACACGTTTAGTTTTTTCGTCATAACTTTTTTGTTGTTAATTTAAAAAAAATATTGTAAAAACCATTATTTAAGCAAAATAAATTATCTATAAATTGTTATATTTTTGGTTTTTCTAGAATGAATAACTTTCGAGATATTACGTTTTAAAGTTAGAATAACTTTTTTGTACATTGCATAGTTTTTTGGTGATAATCTTTTTGTTGTTAATTTAAAAAAAAAATGTTATTACCACTATTTACAGAAATAAATGATCTATAAATTGGTAATTTTTTTGTTTTTCTCGAATGTATAGTTTTCGAGATATTACGTTTTATAGTTGGTATTACTTTTTTGCGTATTGCAAAACACACGTTTAGTTTTTTCGTCATAACTTTTTTGTTGTTAATTTAAAAAAAAATATTGTAAAAACCATTATTTAAGCAAAATAAATTATCTATAAATTGTTATATTTTTGGTTTTTCTAGAATGAATAACTTTCGAGATATTACGTTTTAAAGTTGGAATAACTTTTTTGTACATTGCAAAACACATGTTTAGTTTTTTGGTAATAACTTTTTTGCTCTTAATTTTAGAAAAATATTGTAAATACCTTTATGCACGATGACATTATAATATGACAATTATAACAAAAATTCTTTGACGTAAACGTCTTTTTATAGCCCGCGGGCGTTATTATGGCCCAGCGGGCTATAATGAAACGTCAAAAATTAAAAACAACAATGTTACACCATTTGATATATTCGAAGTAAGTTTTTTGTATAAAGATTTTGATTTTTCCGGCAGCAGGCCGCAATTTTTCGCCTTTTCAGCTGCTTCCTCAATTTCATTCATCTTTAAACTTTAAAACTGACTGATGTCAGTTGACATTATAATATGACAATTATTACAAAAATTCTTTGACGTAAACGTCTTTAAAAAACAATAATATATTAAAAATAATAATATATTAATCGTGCATAAAGTTTTGTATGCATTGCTGGCATAACTGGTTTTTATGGTCCTACGACGCTTTTCTAGCCCTCGCGCTAACGCGCTCGGGCTCGAAATAGCGCCTCGGACCATAAAAACCTTATTATGCCCTTAATACATAAATAACTATTATTGAAGGGAAATAAATTATCTTTATTTTGGTACATTTTTTGTTTTTTTCGAAAGTATAGTTTTAGAGATATAACGTTTTAAAGTTGGTATATTGAAAAATATGTTTAGTTTGTTGGTTATAACTTTTTTGTTGTCAATTTTAAAAAATATTGTTGGTACCACTATTTAAAATGAGTTTTATTACCTGTATAAACCTCAAAAGGTTTTTCCACACAGCTAAAATCAAATGGGTAGCTGGTGTGGGCGATCATTTCTCCAGGCCGAGCCAATTCCTTCACCAACGATATAAACTCATGGTGATTACCTCTATCATAATACATCTCAATCTGTCCGATAAACTCAATTTTGATACCCTGGTGCTCGAGCTTACTACCCGGCTTTTTCAAGCTTATATTCACCTGAAAGAAAAAACCCTTATAAATACCAAATAACCTTATCAAGGGTGTTTCTGGTGAAACTATCAAGCGTGCTGCGTTAGCGTTTTGTTTACTACGACCAATGGAAACGCACCTTGCCAGCAACTGTTTCACCATCGTAGTACAGAAAAAGTTTTTCTTTTTTGCCATCTTCCGTCTTAATTTCCGCGGTTTTTCTGTTTTCCTGGCCGTCTAGATAAACGTCTATCTCCGCGGATTGGCCGAATCCAAAAAAACTCTAAAAAGAACCAATCAAAACGATTTTATCGAGAAAACAAGGAATTTAACCTAAATTTACGCCTACTACAATATAAGGAGTACTCACCATTATAAACTAATTAAAATATGTTAAATATACAGGGCGTCGAGTAAAAACGGCGATAATAAACTGCTTGCGTGTTAAATTTCAACAAGATAAATAAAAACTACCACAAATACATCGTATTTGACAAGGTGATTAAAATTTTACCCAAGTAAGATGGCGGTCTCTAAATATTAATTTTCGGCCGAATTAGGTAGGATTGTTTACTGTTTAAGCAATAAAATTCCACAAATATCACAAATTACGCCAGTTTCGACAATCAAATTCGATAATAACTTAATTTTTCCACTGTATTAATAGTTTATGAGGGTGCAGATTTCTACAATACCACTGTCACTATAGTTCGGTTAAATTTTGACAGATGGCGCTGCATATGTAAGTACACTGATAAAAATCATTTTTGCACCACTAATTGGTGAAGACTTTTAAGAACACTGTCAAACTGTCAAAATTTCAATAGGATCTTCGTACGAATATGTGGTATTATCCGAAACTGATTTCCAATCAAGTTTCCTACACGTTTGGTCTAAAAATTGAAATTGTTCAACTACCGCAATATCAATGTATTACGATAGATAGAGGATCAACAAGGGGTAAGTTTTTGGGTTTTTTTTCTTTCGCTGATACAGACTTTGGTATCCAGATTGACAACACCAACAGCGATAGACGCATAGTGTTTAATTTGAAAGGCACGAAGGAATTTGGATCGTTCGTTATCCAAGCTGGTGAAAGAGTCCTGTTGAAAACTGTTATTAGCAACGGAAGACATTTTCATTTTACAAGTCAATTAAGCGAGAAAGGTAAAGAGGTGGTGGCAGCCAATGCCCTACGTAGCAACATAACCTACGAAAAGTCTTCCGAAATTTGCTCAAGACTAGTGTTTGATGTCGCCATTGAGGAAAGAAAACCAGTGTTATATGTCGCTGTTAAGGAAATCAAAAAATTTACTGTTTTCGTACACACTTTAACAGGAAAAAAACTGCAATTCAAAGTATCGTCGAACGATACTATTAACAAATTGAAACGCTTGATTCAAGCCAAAGAAAGAATTCCGATTTATCTGCAGAGATTGTTGGTAAAGAGCAAAGAATGGGAAGACTGGCACACATTGCATTCTTGTGGTTTACAAGACAATGGTAGTGTCCATCTGGTACTAAAAATAAGTGGTGGGGCAACCTCCAAAATGCCAAATGGCGATATTGAACGAGGAGCAATTTGCTTTGGCAAGAAAACCAATCAAAAGTTCATAATATGCGACGACTTCAAACAATCTGACATTGATCATGTGAAACCATTCACTTTGGAACTTTTTTTTAAACCAAGAATGTACTCGTTAGATCCATAGGTTGTATGGTGTTTGTAAAAAAAATAAACAATAAACTATGTTTTTGCTTTTATATTTCCAAAAAACCAAGTTGCCGCCTCTGCGAAACAACAATGACAGATTAATAATTTTGGTTGGGCAATGCAAAAAAGTTGTTTTTATTACCTAGAAAATGAAAAATAATTTTATATACAATAGCTATAACACAATAAATAATAGTATCAAGTTTGATAAACGCCATTTTATTTTGATTTAAATCAAAAATTGTATAGAGCGCCATCTATGAAACAATAGGGGAAACTGTCAAATTTCACATTTTTACCATTGAGTAAGAATCTTACTGTAAGATGTTCTTTACTCAATGTTTTTACATTTTATAAATACAATTATAAAGGTTATAAATCGAAATCGAAATTAAGGTCTGTACAATGTTCATATAAACTTTTCAAATATTGGCGTTGAGAATTCTCAAATTGCCTTTCTTGTAAAATACTACTAAATGTGAAAATTATTTTAAATACAAAAGTATTAAATAGTTTAAACTATTTAATACTTTTGTATTTAAAATAATTTTCACATTTAGTATTATTTTACAAGAAAGGCAATTTATTTAAACGATTGTATGACATTTGACATCTGTCAACTAACTAAAACTAACTTCAGCCCGTGACTAAAGCGCCATAAAGCCACAACTTGTCAATGTGTATTTAAAAGATCACTTAATGTCATGGAAACATGTACGATAAATGGCGTTTTAAAGGTGGGAGTGGAAAAAGATTCTAAAAATAGACTTAACTTGTAAAAAATGCTCGAAAATTTATAAATATAGTTATAACCAGTGTTGCCAATCACAAAATATGAAATTACCCCCATCCAGTACTGAAAATCCTCACATTTTACCCGCCATAATTTGAAAATCCTCACAAAATCCTCCCAGTTAAAAAATGTTAAATAATTTTTTCGAGTTTTGTAATAGGTATTAAATAATTGTTAAAGGGTTAGTTAAATTGTAGAAATAGGTATATAAGAAAACTACAAATTTATCAAACAAAATGAAAATAATTTATTTATATTAAATATACACTTTTTTAATAACATACATAGATGTACTCTAAAATGTAATTTAACATGATTATTTGTTAATCTAAAGTGGATATATTATACTTACAGCATAATTTTTTAATAACCAACTATCCATAATTAAAAGACGAAATAATTATTTCGTCTAGGAAAAACAGGATTTAAGGTTACTCATTACTTTTCAATCATAGACGTCTATATCAGCTGATTTAATTTTCTCGTATGTTTACCACGGGTTTACCGTTTAAAGATGTATACGTTAATAAGACAAGGATAGCTAACTAACTAATTCATACATTGTTTTCCTATAAGAAACATTCTGGGTTGCATACCTTTGTAAGAATATATCATTATTTTTACGTCTTTAATAAGTTTTTTCAAAAAGAAAAAATACGAAATCCTCACAAAATCCTCACATTTTACCTAACCCTCACAAATTCCCCACAAACGCATAAAATCCTCACAACGTGAGGAAATCCTCACACTTTGGCAACACTGGTTATAACCACAATCCATTGTGTGGATTGTGTTGTGTGGATTGAGGTTATAACTACCTAATATAGGCAACCCAATTAACATTCTTAAAATAAAATTAACAACAAACCCTAACTGTGTTTATTTTTTAAGATTTTTGTGTTTTGAAAGTATTAATTTAATACATTAGGTATTTGTTTAGGTGTTTTTTTAATCTTTATTATGGACAATGTGCACATTTTTATTTTTGCAATGAAAAATAAACATTTAGTTGATTGATATTAATTTAATTAATTATAATAATACAAAACAAAACTGTTTTCTTTAAAAAAATAAACTTAAAAAACATTTAAACAATAAATACACATGAAATTGTATACTGGGTTGCCTGATGCAATATTTTTTTATTTTAAGGTTGGTAAACATTGAAATCACCATTATTGTTTACCAGAGATAAAGAAGGTTGTTTACTAGATCTTAAATATATCTTGTTTTGTGCAAAAAGTTGTTTCTATAAGAAAGAATAACATCTACTTTTAATATTTTAACTTGTTGCAAGTGTTATTTATTTGGGTGAGCATTTTATGGCACTATCAAAGGAATTTTGTGTACCTACACACAAATTATTGTTTTTGTGGTTCAAACAATCATACAAACCGTATTTAGTAAGTTTATGTTTAAACAAGATAATCAAATATTCAAGAACTTGTTGAAATCATTTGAGGTGTGGTCAAGTTTGGAGGATTTCTCACAAGACTACTTGCATATCGTAAAAAAATTAGACATTATTAGTACCGTTAAACTGATACATAACCTCAATTTGGCTGTTTTTCTCCAAACAAAATATTTATAAACATATTCCAAAATTAAGGATTTTTCTTCAATTTTCCATAGCTTGGCGACATTTTACGTTACCACAATTTACACAGGTGCGATTTGTACAAGATTAGATGCCCTTTTAGTTGTTGCAACAATTTTACCACACTTCATATAGGTATTTAGACATGTATTATACGTAGGTATACTGCGTACTGAGAGCTTCACGGAGGTTAGGATTTCGTATGTTTTTTATAAACATCCATTTGTATATTTGAAATAAGTTATTGTATCTTTTGACACCTTAATATTTTTTAAAACATACATAAAATATTTATAAAAAATCTACTTACCGAGATATTACGCTTCACGGTGGATAGGTTTTTAAATAGCAAATTAATGAAGGTAAACTTTTGAATTATAAAACTGCATATAAATTCTAACTGACCTTCAGGAATCACATGCATCTATAATGTCGTAAGCAGAGGTTTTTGCTTATTTAAAATGTTTAAAGCGCCATCCTTTGCATAAAATTTAAAGCAAAACAGATTCACGGAGGATAGAATCAATTTTTGTAACACCTACATAAATGGTTATAAAAATTATTTTTTATAATTTATAATAATATTTTATATTTGATTCGATTGCTTTGGATGTGTTTAATTTACTTAGTGAACTGATATTTTTAGTATGCTCTTACTACCTCAGATATTTGAAAACATATAGGTTAACCTAAAAAGAGTAACAGTCACGGAGGATAGGTTTTATATTAAATGCTCTATATTTTTTAAACTATACATTTTATTGTATTATCGCATAGAATCTTTTTTATAGGAAATTAAATTTTCTATAAAATCGTGTTTACTTTTTATCTGTAACTTTAACCGTTTTGCCGTAATTTGTAAAATACCGTCAAGCTAATATATCCTAAATTTCCTGTTATTTAAAATCAACTTGACTTCCACGGCGACGATACGGGTTATTCCATGTCAAAATTACCAATAAAATAAATTCATCAAATTAAAAAAAAAATCGATATGGGGCAGCTGCCTCCTCTAGAGAAAAATGCAATAATAGTTATTTACGTGTCAAGCTTTGTAAATGAATCTTTACAGGCAAGCTGGAACTTTGTGGGGTGAGCGACGCAGGAGCAAACCCCATAATCCAGTGAGCCTAGTAAAGATTCATTGCAAAGCGTGACACGTACAAACTTTTATTTTCACCTTTAGATAACGATTTTCAAATTTAAAATTTCAATTCCAATGTGTCAAAAGTGACATTTCATTTCATAAACTGCTTTTCTACAAGCCTGTAAAACTTTACAGGTCTTTTCTACAGGCCCGTAAAATATTACAGGTCTGTTCCCATAATGTATCGTTTACTTGGATACAAAAACAACAAAATTAACCAATAAAATGTCATTTACTAAGAAGGTGGAAATAATAGCTATTTACATACCATGGGAGGAAAATATTGCATTTCCTCCCGCGAATAGTTTGATGCCCGACGCGAAGCGAAGGGCATTAAATATTCAAGGGAGGAAATGCATTTTCCTCCTGAGGTATGTATATAGTTCATAGATAATAAATCATATAGATACGCCACTGTCACATATTTGACGCTCCTTGTTACGCACACTCGGCCCGCTATGCCGCTAGTGTACCCGCCTGACATTTATTGGTTTTAGGTTATGGTTTTAATTTAGGTTATCCTGTCAAATTTTGACAGTCAAAATAGTAAAAAATAAAAGGCCTGATAGTTTATTTAAATTGTTTATTTGAAAAGCAAAAATAAATGTATTATATTTTAAATTATTCAAGGTATTTACTAAACTAAACCAATTAACAATATTATAATGTATTCAAGTGAATTTTATCTTATTAAAGAACACAAATCAGTATAAAGTAATAATATTATGTACCACATTTGTGTAAGTACCTTGTTTTAATAAAATAGTTTTAATTGAATAATACAATACAACCTTGTCATCATTGTGAAAAGTATGCATCATAACTTGACTGTTAGAGCAGCCCACAGCACAGCACAACACCATGTTAATGTTCAAATAATGTAGCAATATATAAAAAATAGAGTACACAGATAACGATAAATCGCAATTATAAAAGTTTTTAAGCGTACAGAACAAACCAAATAAACAATATGAATTTACAAAACTTTACAAAATTTATCAAACTGAAGTTTGTTGATTTCGTTACCAAGCAACCGTCAAGATTAACCGCCGCTCCTGCCACATGCAACTCGAGTGTAAACTAAAACCAAAGTCGACTAGACAAAAATGTGGATTTTGTTTGTTTAAGGCGAGTGCACAGGGCATGATATAGTTTTTTCTATTACCTTTTAACGGTTGTAAGACATTTTAAGCGTTCCGGTTCCTTTTACTTACCCGGTATGAGGCTATAAAATTATGACAAAATATTAAGTAGGTTTTGCGTCGCCGACGTTATGTTGACAACGCTTTGTTGCTATGGTATTTTTGGTAATACCAACATAACAGTTTTAATAAGCTGTCATAATGTTTATCATAAATTTAATAGTTGCAATTAATTTCCTTCCTTAAAAATCTAAAATAGTGAATATGAATATAGTTTGTTAAAAGAATGTTAAAAGAATGGTTGGACAAGCGCGGAGTAAATCTTTTTCCTACAAAATCAAATAAAGCTAGACAAGGTACAAAAACTCTTGCCAATATAAAATTTAAAAAAAAAAGAGGGAGGAAATTTTTTTTCCTCCCGGGGAGGAAAAGAGGCATTTTCCTCCCTCGCTCGGGGGTGGAAATAGCTATTTACATACCATAGGAGGAAAATAATGCTTTTCCTCCCGTGAATAGTTTGATGCCCGACGCGAAGCGAAGGGCATTAAATATTCAAGGGAGGAAACGCATTTTCCTCCTGAGGTATGTATATGGTTTTTTCTATTACCTTTTAACGGTTTTAAAGACATTTTAAGGGTTATTTTTACTAATCCGGTATTAATTATTATGACAAAATATTAAGTAGGTTTTGCGTCGCCGACGTTGTGTTGACAACGCTTTGTTGCTATGGTATTTTTGGTAAAACAAACATAACAGTTTTTATAAGCTGTCAGGTTATCATAAATTTGAAATTCTTCCTACGTTTTAAAAATGAGTTTTAGCGAAGAAGACCTGCCGCAAGATCTTGCTGGAGGCAAGAGTAGTTTAAATTAATCTTCTTCCTCAAAAATCGAAAAAGCGATATAAAAAGGAATGTACCTAGTCATGTGTTTTTTTTGTAACGTTGACACTGCTAAAACACTAAACTAAACAAAGAATGGTTGAACAAGCGCGGAGTAAATCTTTTTCGTACAAAATCAAATAAGGCTAGACAAGGTACAAAACTCTTGCTAATGTAAAATTGTTAAAAAAAATAGAGGGAGGAAATATTTTTTCCTCCCGGGGAGGAAATATTTTTTCCTCCCGGGGAGGAAAAGAGGCATTTTCCTCCCTCGCTCGGGGGTGGAAAATTAAGTTTTCCATTAAGGTAGTAGAAAAAATATTTTTTTCTACTACCTTACTAGAAAACTTAATTTTCCACCCTCGAGCGAGGGAGGAAAATGCCTCTTTTCCTCCCCGGGAGGAAAAAAAAATTCCTCCCTCTTTTTTTTTAAATTTTATATTGGCAAGAGTTTTTGTACCTTGTCTATCCCTATTTGATTTTGTATTTTTATATTGCTCTTTCGATTTTTAAGGAAATATTCTTGCCTTTTTAGCAAGATCTTGCGGCAGGTATTCTTCGCTAGAACTCATTTTCAAAACGTAGGAAGAATTTCAAATTTATGATTAACATTCTGACAGATTATAAAAACTGTTATGTTTGTATTTCCAATAATACCATAGCAACAAAGCGTTGTCAATATAACGTCGTCATGACGCAACAACTACTTAATATTTTGTCATCTATGATACCGGGTTAGTAAAAGGAACCGGAACACTTAAAATGTCTTAAAACCGTTAAAAGGTAATAGAAAAAACTATATACATACCTCAGGAGGAAAATGCATTTCCTCCCTTGAATATTTAATGCCCTTCGCTTCGCGTCGGGCATCAAACTATTCGCGGGAGGAAATGCAATATTTTCCTCCCATGGTATGTAAATAGCTATTACTGGGAGTTGATATGAAACAAAAATATTTTATAAGATATATTGTTTAATTTTTTTATGCACTTTTCAGGAAATTTTGCCCACAGTGAGTTTGTCAAACTTTGAATGGAATCTTTGTACGAAAATGTGATACCATCCAAATTTGATTTCCAATAAGGTTTCCTACACTTTTGGCCTAAAAATTGAAATTGTTCAATTGCCACAGCAACAATCCATTCCTATAGCGAAAGGATCAACGATTGACAAGTTTATTGGGTTTTTCCCCACTGCAGACACCGACTTCGGTATCCAGATTGACAACACCGGCAACGACAGACGCATATCATTTAATCTGAAAGGCACCAAGGATTTCGGATCTTTCGTTGTAGGGGCTGGAAGGAAAGCCCTACTGAAAACTGTCACTGACAACGGCCGACATTTTCATTTTACCAGTCAATTAGGCGAGAAAGGTAAAGAGGTGGTGGCGGCCAATGCCGCGCGTAGCAACATAACCTACGAAGAGTCTTCCGAAATTTGCTCAAGGCTGGTGTTTGATGTTGCCATTGAGGGAAGCAAATTCACCGTTTATGTGAAAACTCTGACAGGTAAAGTACTAGAAATTAAAGTATCGTCCAAAGTTGAAACTGTTGAAACATTGAAATCCTTGATTGAAGACAAAGAAGGAATTCCGGTCGATGAACAGAAATTGGTCTTTAAGGGCGAACAATGTGATGACGGTTTCACGATGAAAGATTATAATATACAAGCTGGTAGTACTCTCCATTTGGTACATAATCGAATTGGTGGTGGCGACATTGAACGTGGAGCAGTTTGCTTTGGAGAAAAAACCAATCAAACTTTTACAGAATGTCGCGATTTCAACGAATCCGACGTTGATAATGTGAAATCATTCACATTGGAACTTTTTTTCAATCCAAACATGTATTCTCTAGATCCATAAGTTGTGTGCTATTTTTGTGATAAATAAATAAACAATAAACTATGTATTTTATAATATTTATTGGTTTTTATTTTTTTTATAAACCAAAATTCACAATTTCCGTGTAATTTTTCGACACTCAAGATTGATGTCAAAAATGTCATATGTATGTCAAAAATAAGGAATAATAAATGACAAATATCAAAACTGACAAATGTCAAAATTGAAAAAATAAAAAATAACAGATGACAAAATTGAAAAATGTTAAAGATAAAATATAAAAAATGACAGATATAAAAATTAACAAATTTAAAATATAAAAAAAGACATGACAAAATTAACAAATGTCAAAAATAGCCAACGTCAAAATTAACAAGTGTCAAAAATGAAAGATGAAATACCAAAAACGGCGGATGACAAAATCATCAAATGTCACAAAAGACAGGTGTCAAAATTAACAAATGTCAAAATTTAAAATATAAAAATGACAGATGTCAAAAATGATTAACGTCAGAATTAACAAATGTAAAAAATAAAAGATTAAATAAAAATTACAGATAACAAAATTATCAAATTTCAAAAATGACACATGTCAAAATTACCAAATGACAGATGACAAAATTTAAAAATGTCTAAAATGGCAGATGAACAAATGTCAAAATTATAAAATATTAAATATCAAAAATTACAGATGACAAAATTAACAGATTAACGTCCAAATTTACAAATGTCAAAAATAGCCAACGTCCAAATTAACAAGTGTCAAAAATGAAAGATGCAATAACAAAAACGGTGGATGACAAAATTATCAAATGTCACAGATGACAGATGTCAAAATTAACAAATTTAAAATATAAAAAAAAGACAGATGTAAAAATTAACACATGTCAAAAATAGCCAACGTCCAAATTAACAAGTGTCAAAAATGAAAGATGAAATAACAAAAACGGTGGATGACAAAATTATCATATGTCATAAATGACAGATGTCAAAATTAATAAATGTCAAAATCGAAAAAAAAAAATGGCAGATTGCAAAATCAACAAATGTCAAACATTAATAACGTCAGAATTAACATATCAAAAATGTCTAAAATGGCAGATGACAAAATTAACAAATGTCAAAATTGAAAAATGTTAAAAATGAAAGAAGAAATATCAAAAATGAAAGATGACAAAATTAACAAATGTCAGAATCGATAAAAATTTAAAATGGCAGATGGCAAAATTAACAAATGTAAAAAATTAATAACGTCAGAATTAACAAATGTCAAAAAACATCAACGTCAAAATTAACAAATGTCTAAAATGGCAGATGACAAAATTAACAAATGTGTAAAATTGAAAAATATTAAAAATGAAAGATGAAATATCAAAAATGACAGATGACAAAAATGATTAACGTCAAAATGAAAGTTAAAATTCCAAAAAACGGCGGATGACAAAATTATCAAATGTCAGAATCTAAAAAAAATTAAAATGGCAGATGGAAAAATCAACAAATGTCCAACATTAATAACGTCAGAATTAACAGATGTCAAAAATGACAAACGTCAAAATTTACAAATGTCTAAAATAGCAGATGACAAAATTAACAAATTTCAAAATTAAAAAATATTAAAAATTAAAGACGAAATATCAAAAATGACATGAAAAAATTAACAGATGTCATAAATGATTAACGTCAAAAATGGCCAACGTCAAAATTAACAAATGTCAAAAATTAATAACGTCAGAATTAACAAATGTCAAAAATGACAGATGTCAAAATTAACAAATGTTAAAAATGAAAGAAGAAAAATCAAAAATGACAGATGACAAAATTAACAAATGTCAGAATCGAAAAAATTTAAAATGGCAGATGGCAAAATCAACAAATGTCAAAAATTAATAATGTCAAAATTGAAGGATGAAATAAAAATTACAGATAAGAAAATTATCAAATGCCAAAAATGACAGATGGCAGATGACAAAATTAATAGATAATAGAAGGCTACATTGAATAAAACAAACTAGTTTGGTGGAGAATATAATTGGGTTAAGTTAATTATAAGAATATGTTTACCTATATATTTGGAAATGTCAAATATAAGTTGTTAAAAAATGCAATAACTTTACCTTTGATGAAATATAGGTGACATTCTCAGCTTACACATACACATGCAAATAATTGACAAATGTCAAAGTATTTAAAATATTAAATGCCAAAGTATATTAACATACAATACCAACATAATAGAAATAATAGTATTATTTTTATGATTATTAATAGTATTATTTCTATGACCAACATAATCAAATATAAAAAACTTTATATGAAACTGTATACTGGGTTGCCTTATGCAAAATATCAAGGTTATCTCATTGGGTAAATATAAGTCTGAGATATGGTTATCATCATTCACTTAGTAGACTTTATTTGAGGTTTATTCTTTTTCTATGCATATGAGGTAAAGTTCAACTCTTCAACGCATATATTCGTACCTATATACCTACAGGTATATCGTCTCCAAGTGCAATTTTATTTTATTCTGGTTGTGGAGGCATTATTTTTTGGGTAAGTATAACCTTCTTTGTCTCTGGTATTTTTTGTGTAGTTAAATATCTAACTTAAATATATATATATATATATATATCAATTCGAACAAATCATGCATAATATACCATATAAGTGTATTTTTAAGCAAAAAAATCGAATAATATAAAACTTGTTTAAATTATTAAAGGTGTGGTCAATTTTGAGGGATTTCCCATAAGATAATTTAGCCGCAAATAAAAAAAATATATTCTATAAATAAACTACCTATTTATTCATTTGGGTATTTATTATAAGTAAATGCTTATATACAGGGTGTTTAGAAAAATATGCGCCAATGCTTGGCTGGAGATTCTTCACAAAATAACCAAGGAACTTGGCTAATTTACTTGAAATTATTAGGGAAACTAAAATAGCTGGATAGTTTGTATACTATCCAATTCAATTTGGCTTATATGAATACCAAAATTTCTAGTATCACAAAATAGCCAAGCTTTAGCTAGTTTGTAAACTAACCAACTTTTTACAATTTTTTTTGCATATTTTCGCAATTTTTGCCAATTTTTGTTGGGTTTGCTCATATTTTAGTTGGGTTTTTCTCTCATTTTTGCCCATTTTAGTTGGGTTTTTTGCTGAATGGGGCGGGGGGGGGGTCAATGGGGTGAGGTCGGTAGGGTTGTGTTGTTGAGTTTTCTAACAAGGAAGCGTTAAAATTTTGCCTATGATTCATTTTAAAAACGTTAAAATGCACAAAACAAATCCGGTTAAGCCGGCAAAACAAAAAACAATGCCGTAACCTCACTTTTTTAATAAATTAGCCAGAGAATTGGTTGGTTAGTTTACAAACTAGCTAAAGCTTGGCTATTTTGTGTTACTAGAAATTTTGGTTTTCATATTAGCCAAACTGAATTGGATAGTATACAAACTATCCAGCTATTTTAGTTTCCCTAATAATTTCAAGTAAATTAGCCAAGATCCTTGGTTCTAGTTTGTAAACTAGCCGCTAATTTAGTTGAAAATATGTTTTCAATTAAAATAGCTGACAGTTTGGCTAGTTTATAAACTATCCAGCTAGTTTATAAACAATAGTTGTCAATATATCCAAGTTTGCACATTAGCCGTGACATACAGGGTGTTTAGAAAAATATACGCCAATGCTTGGCTGGAGATTCTTTATCAAAAATAATTCAAAAAAAACTCATATGGGAATCTATATAATTTAATTAATGCAATTGCATTAAATGAATTCAAAAATTGTTTAATTTTATTTTTATCCACTTTTCAGGAAATTGGCCCACAGTGAGTTTGTCAAACTTTGAATAGAATCTTCGTACGAAAATGTTTTATCATCCAAATTTGATTTCAAATCAAGTTTCCTACACTTTTGGCCTAAAAATTGAAATTGTTCAATTGCCACAGCAACAATCCATTCCTATAGCGAAAGGATCAACGATTGACAAGTTTATTGGGTTTTTCCCCACTGCAGACACGGACTTCGGTATCCAGATTGACAACACCGGCAACGACAGACGCATATCATTTAATCTGAAAGGCACCAAGGATTTCGGGTCTTTCGTTGTAGGGGCTGGAAGGAAAGCCCTACTGAAAACTGTCACCGACAACGGCCGACATTTTCATTTTACCAGTCAATCAGGCGAGAAAGGTAAAGAGGTGGTGGCGGCCAATGCCGCGCGTAGCAACATAACCTACGAAGAGTCTTCCGAAATTTGCTCAAGGCTGGTGTTCGATGTCGCCATTGAGGAAAGTAAATTCACCGTTACTGTAATAACTACGACAAGTAAAGAAATTGAATTTAAAGTATCGTCCAATGATACTTTTGAAACATTAATGCTCTTGATTGAAGCCAAAGAAGGAATTCCGCAGGATCAACAGAGATTCATCTTTAAAGGCAAACATTGTGAAGGCGGTCGCACGATGAAAGATTATAATATACAAGCTGGTAGTACTATCCATATGGTGCTTAGATTGCGCGGTGGTGCCGTGTGCTTCAACTCGGTTAGAGGTGCTAATGACGGCACGCAAAGTGTCATGGCTGACGCTTCTTCGGCCATTGAGGTTTCTGTAAACCAGATTTCTGCTTCTACGTCTCATGAAGATGGTGATATTGAACGTGGGGCAATTTGCTTTGGACAAAAAACCACTCAAACTTTTACAAAATGTCGCAATTTCAACAAATCCGACGTTGATAATGTGAAACCATTCACATTGGAACTTTTTTTCAATCCAAACATGTATTCTTTAGATCCATAAGTTGTGTGGTATTTTTGTAAAAAAATAAACAATAAACTATATATTTTATAATATTTATTGGTTTTATTTTTTTTATGAAGTAAATTTTCCCCAACGGTTTAAGGTAAGAAATTAAATGGGAGTTACTTAAATTAAATAAAAATGACAAATGTCAAAATTAACAAATTTCAAAAATGACAGATAGCAAATTTACCAAATGTCAAAATTTAAAATATGAAAAATGACATGACATAATTAACACATGTAAAAAATGATCAACATCAAAATTTACAAATGTCAAAAATGGCAACTGACAAAATTAACAAATGTCAAAATTGAAAAATATTAAAAAAATGAAAGATGAAATATAAAAAATGACAGAAAATAAAATTAACAAATGTCAAAATTTAAAATATCAAAAATGGCAATGACAAAATTAACAAATATCAAAAATGACAAAAGTAACAAATGTCACAATTGAAAAATAAAAAAAATGAAAGATGAAATGTCAAAAATGACAGATGGCAAAATTTACAAATGTCTAAAATAACAGATGACAAAATTGACATATGTATCTATGTTAAAATTGAAAAATATCAAATAAAAGATATGACGGATGACGAAATCAACAAAATTCAATTACTTTTTCAAAAATGAGAAATGTCAAAAATGACAAAAGTAACAAATGTCACAATTGAAAAATAAAAAAAAATGAAAGATGAAATACATATTAAAAATTACAGATGGCAAAATTAACAAATGTCTAAAATAATAAATGACAAAATTGACACATGTCAAAATTAAAAAATATCAAATAAAAGATAAAATATCAAAAATGACAGGTGTCAAAATTAACAAATGTCAAAAATGACAGATGATATAAAATTAACAAATGTCAAAATTGAAAAATATAAATAAAATATCAAAAATGACAGTTGACAAAATAAACAGATGTCAAAAATGATCAATGTCAAAATTGAAAAATATTAAAAATTAAAGATGAAATATCAACAATGACAGATGACAAAATTTAATGGCAAAATTACCAAATGTCAAAAATGGCAGATGTCAAAATAAACAAATAACAAAAATAATGAATGGCAAAATTAACAAATGTCAAAAATGACAGATGACAAAATTAACAAATGTCAAAATTGAAAAATATCATAAATGAAATATCAAAAATGACAGTTGACAAAATTAATAGATGTCAAAAATGATCAATGTAATAATTGAAAAATATTAAAAATAAAAGATGAAATATCAAGAATTACAGATGACAAAATTAACAAAATTTAATGTCAAAAATGGCAGATGTCAAAATTAACAAATCGTCACCTGAGAATTATAGTGTTCTATCTGCATTTTCTTTTTTTTATTCAGGTTAGTCTTGTTTTAAGTATTAAAGATGCATATTGTTCTATCTATATATAATTGGGGTAGAAATTGTACAGTTTAAGGTTTAAACTGTACAATTTCTACCCCAATTATATATAGATAGAACAATATCATCTTTAAGACTTAAAACAAGACTAACCTGAATAAAAAAAAGAAAATGCAGATAGAACACTATAATTCTCAGGTGACGAAATGTCAAAAATGACGGATGTCAAAAATGATGGATGGCAAAATTAACAAATGTCAAAATTAAAAATATCATAAATAAAGGATAATAAATCAAAAATGACAGATGTTAAAATTAACAAATGTCAAAAATGACACATGACCAAAATTAACAAATGTCAAAATTGAAAAATATCATAAATGAAATATCAAAAATCGTCAACCGTCGTTGACAAAATTAACAGATGTCAAAAATGATCAACGTTAAAATTAAAAATGAAAGTTGAAATAGCAAAAATGACGGATGGCAAAATTAACAAATGTCAAAAATTACATGACAAAATTAACAAATGTTAAAATTGACAAATATAAAAAATGACACGTGACATCAACAAATGTCAAAATTGACAAGTATCAAAAATGAAAGGTAAAATATCAAAAATGGCCAACGTCAAAATTAACAAGTTAAAAATGACAAATATCAAAAATGAAAGAATGCTATTTTTGTAAAAAAAAAAAATAAACCATATACCTATTGGGTTGTTTTTTTATAAAATGTAATAAATAAATAAATGTAATGAAACCAAGTTATAACAAAACTTCATAGGAAAAAAAGGTAAAAAATAAAACAAAACGTGTTCTTTTCAATATATTTGTAAAAATACTAACAATAAAATTAATACAATTATTAGTTGAAAAAAAAAATGCAAAATCATTTATACACGTTGTATGTACATTATTATTGTTAGACTGTGGTAGCACACATTTCGAAATTTTTGATAATAATAAATTTACAAAAAATCCATATAAAAATACCAACAATTATTTAATATATAATACATATTATTACAGTAACAATAAAAATTGATTGTATAAAAAATAGGGCAAGGGGTCAAAAATACTTTCAATATTTTTTTAATTGTCAGTTAGTTATCAATCCTTTTATATTACATTTATTTTAAACGTAGTTTAAGAATCTAGGAAATACGAAATTATTAAGAAATGCGAATTGTACAAAATGTTAAGAAAAATTAACGCCAGACTTCATTATAGCACCTTAGTGTACGCCAGACTTTCATCTTGGCACCCTACTTTCCCAGATCCTTGTGATTGGTCAACAGTGCCTTTACTTAAATTATTAATTAATTATATATACAAAGTGTGAAGGAAAATTATTATCAAAAATTTCCCGATTTCATTAATCAAAAAGTCATAAACTATATAAATATATCTAACAATTTTGGCTAGGGGAGCGTTGTGCGTAACACATTATTAAATTCGTTTATTTGGTTGGCATAATCTTTTCCTTTGACATTTAACAGTATTTAGAATTTGGAAAGGTGGTGCGGCCAATAGTGCGCGGTGTATAAGTGCGCACACTTGGGACGTTTTACCTTACATTATTCGAGTACGTCAAATTAGAATGGGGTAGGGTCGCGCGGCCAAAAGTGCGCAGTGATTACGTGCGCACACTTAAACCGTTTACCTTACATTTCTAGAAAATGTCAAATATCAATGATAAAAATGAACCTTACTTTAATTAACTACGTATTGCGCGAAAATACAGCAAAACAAATGCAAAAATATTATTGGTAAAATATTTGACATAGCACCAACTTTTTATATATTTATACTAACAATAAATTCAATACTATTTAATACAATTCAATTCATTTAATTAATTCAATAAAACTTTTTTGTTCCTAAATAATAATAATAAAAACGACCTATTATAGTTAGTTGATTTTTTTCTAATAAGAGCACTTGTCGATGATGATGATTTTTCGTTGTTTAGAGTTTTTTGTGATGATAAAAATAAATAAAATGGTGTGTAGCTTAACTAAGATTATGTATAAAAAAGCGGACAATCAAAACATTTTTTTGTTTATGGAAGGCGGATACCTGAAAAAAGACAATTTTTTTAAAATGTGCATATTTTTTAAATTACAAATGTTAAAATTAACATAATATGTCGAAAATAACTCACGTCAAAATTGAAAATATCCAAAATAAAACATGAAATATCAAAAATAAAAAGTTCTGCCAAATCAACAAATGTAAAAAATGAACGTCAAAATTTAAAAATGACAAAAATCAAAATTGCAGATGACAAAATCATTAAATGTCAAACATAAAATCAAAAATGACATGAGTCAAAATGAACAAATGTCAAAATTAACAAATGTCATAAATGACGGATATCGAAATTAACAAATGTCAAAATAAAAAAATGTTAAAAATTAAAAATTAAATATCATAAATGGATTACAATATTATTGGTTTCAAAATTGAAAAATATCAAAAATGAAAGATGAAATAAAAATGTCAAAAATGACAAATGTCAAAATAAACAAATGTTAAATTTGAAAAAATTAAAAATGACAAAAATTAATAAATGTCAAAATTAAAGTATGAAATATCAAAATTGACAGATGACAAAATTAACCAATGTCATAAATGACGGATGTCAAAATAAATTTCAAAATTGAAAAATATCAAAAATTAGCAAATGTGAAAAATGACAAAAGTCAAAATAAACAAATATTAAAATTGAAAAAATTAAAAATGGCAAATGTCAAAAAATAATGGATATTGTCAAAATTAAAAAAATCAAAGATGAAATATCACAAATGGCAAAACAAAATTAATAAATGTCAAAATTAAAAAACATCTAAAATTAACAAAAATAAAAACAAGGTGTCAAAATGTCAAAAATGACAGATGTCAAAAATGACATCTGTCAAAAATGACAGATGTCAAAGATGACATATGTCAAAGATGACAGATGTCAAAAACAAAACAAAAGACAAAAGTTATTAACTCACCCATTAAGCAGATACTAAATATTTATGATATTTAAAAAATATCAAGGATGAAATATCACAAATGGCAAAACAAAATTAATAAATATCAAAATTAAAAAATATTTAAAATTAACAAAAATAAGCAACAGGGTGTCGAAATGTCAAAAATGACAGATGTCAAAAATTAGCAAATGTGAAAATAAACAAATGTTAAAATTGAAAAAAATAAAAATGGCAGATGACAAAATAATCAAATGTCAAAAATTAATATTGTCAAAATTGATAAATGTCAAAAATGACGGCTCTCAAATTAAAAATTAAAGATGAAATATCACGAATGGCAAAACAAAAATAATAAATGTCAAAATTAAAAAATAATTAAAATTAACAAAAATAAGTAACGTCAAAAATAATAACAGGGTGTCGAAATGTCAAAAATTAGCAAATGCAAAAATAAACAAATGTTAAAATTGAAAAAATTAAAAATGGCACATGACAAAATCATCAAATGTCAAAAATTAATAAAATAAATAAATAAAATAAAGATGAAATATCACAAACGGCAAAACAAAATTAATAAATGTCAAAATTAACAAACGTCAAAATTAACATAGCACGTACAACAGTCAAACATGACAAAAAAATTAAAAATGACGGCTGTCAAATTAAAAAATATCAAAGATGAAATATCACAAATGGCAAAACAAAATTAATAAATGACAAAATAAAAAAATATCTAAAATTAACAAATGTCAAAAATAAGTATCGTCAAAATTAACATGGCACGTACAACAGGGTGTCGAAATGTCAAAAATGACAGATGTCAAAGATGCCAGATGTCAAAAATGACAGATGTCAAAATTAAAAAATATCACAAATGACAACAAAATTAGTAAATGTCAAAATTAAATAATATCTAAAATTAAAAAATGTCAAAAATAACATGGCACGTACAACAGGGTGTCAAATGTCAAAAATGGCAGATGTCAAAAATGACAAATGTCAAAAATGACGGCTGTTAAATTAAAAATATCAAAGATGAAATATCACAAATGACAAAACAAAATTAATAAATGTCAAAATTAAAGGATGAATTATCAAAATTGACAGATGACAAAATTAACAAATGTCATAAATGATGGATGTCAAAATCAAAAAATGTCAAAAATAAAAAATTAAATATGAATGGATTACAATATTAATAAATTTCAAAATTAAAAAATATCAAAAATGAAATATCACAAATGGCAAAACAAAATTAATAAATGTCAAAATTAAATAATATCTAAAATTAACAAATGTCAAAAATAAGTAACGTCAAAATTAACATGGCACGTACAACAGGGTGTCGAAATGTCAAAAATGACAGATGTCAAAAATGACAGATGTCAAAGATGACAGATGTCAAAAATGACAGATGTCAAAAATGACAGATGTCAAAATTAAAAAATATCAAAAATGAAATATCACAAATGACAACAAAATTAGTAAATGTCAAAATTAAATAATATCTAAAATTAAAAAATGTCAAAAATAACATGGCACGTACAACAGGGTGTCAAATGTCAAAAATGGCAGATGTCAAAAATGACAAATGTCAAAAATGACGGCTGTCAAATTAAAAATATCAAAGATGAAATATCACAAATGACAAAACAAAATTAATAAATGTCAAAATTAAAGGATGAATTATCAAAATTGACAGATGACAAAATTAACAAATGTCATAAATGATGAATGTCAAAATCAAAAAATGTCAAAAATAAATATTAAATATCATGAATGGATTACAGTATTAATAAATCTCAAAATTCAAAAATATCAAATATAAAATGTTAAAATTGAAAATGACGGCTGTCAAATTAAAAAATATCAAAAATGAAATATCACAAATGGCAAAACAAAATTAATAAATGTCAAAATTAAATAATATCTAAAATTAACAAATGTCAAAAATAAGTAACGTCAAATGTCATATGTCAAAAATGACATATGTCAAAGATGACAGATGTCAAAGATGACAGATGTCAAAAACAACAGATGTCAAAATTAACAAAAGACGAAAGTTATTAACTCACCCATTGAGCAGACACAGTCGATCCTTTCTTCAGGCCTCACACCTCGTCGGCGGCCAGTTCCTGCGCCGCCGCCGACGCGGCCGACGTCTGCAGTCCGTCGCCGCCCCCTGCGCCGTCCTCGTCGTCTGTGGCGGCGGCCGCCGCCGCCGGCGCCGCCATTTTGCTGAGCGCCGCCTCGGCTTCCAAGGCGCGAATTCGATTCTCGTGCTTCACTATCATCGCTTTCAGTTTGCGGATCTCGTCGGCAAATTCTTGGAGGGTCTTGTCCTGAAGAAAATTATTGTTATTGAAATAAACATTTTTTAATTACAAACAAAAACTACACGTTAACAATAATTAATTAATTAAAACTTAAAATCTCATATTTTGAGGTTATATCGGCTAACAAACGTCATAAATGACGGATGTCAAAATTAACATAATGTCATAATTGATAAAATAATAAATGGCTGATGACAAAATCATCAAATGTCAAAAATTGATAACGTCAAAATTGAAGAAATCAAAATTGGCAGATGACAATATCATCGAGTGTCAAATTGAAAAATATCAAAGGTGGAATATCAAAAATTGCAAATGCAAATTAAAAAATATCAAAAATTAAAAAAGACAAAATTACAGATAACAAAATTTTAAAATGTCAAAAATGACAGATGGCAGATGATAAAATTAATAAATATCAAAATTGAAAAATATCAAAAATAAAATAAAAATTAAAGATGTCAAAATAAAAGAAATCAAAATGGCAAATGACAAAATCATCAAATATCAAATTAAAAAATATCAAAAATTAAAGAAATTAACAAATGTCAAAAATGACGGATTTCAAAATTAACAAATGTCATAATTGATTAAATAAAAAATGGCAGATGACAAAATCATCAAATGTCAAAAATTGATATCGTCAAAATTGAAGAAATCAAAAATGGCAGATGACAATATTATCGAATGTCAATTTGAAAAATATCAAAGGTGGAATATCAAAAATTGCAAATGCAAATAAAAAAATATCAAAATTTTCAAATGTCAAATATTACAGATGGCAGATGATAAAATTAATAAATATCAAAAATAAAATAAAAATTAAAGATGTCAAAATTAAAGAAATCATAATGACAGATGACAAAATCATTAAATGTCAAAATGAAAAATATCATAAATAAAAGATGAAATATGAAAAATGAAAAAAAATAACAGATGTCAAGAATAATCAACGTCAAAATTGAAAAATATTAAAAATTAAAAATGATTTCATATTTAAAAGGAATGACAAAATTAACAAATGTCAAAAATGACACATGACAAAATTAACAAACGTCAAAATAGAAAAATATTATAAATGAAAGATGAAATATAAAAAATACAGTTACAACAAATTTAACAAATGTCAAAATTGATCAACGTCAAAATTGAAAATTATTAAAAATGAAAGATGAAATATCAAAAATGAAGATGACAAAATTAACAAATGTCATAATTGATTAAATAAAAATGGCAGATGACATAATTATCAAACGCCAAAAATGAATAACGTCAAAATGAACAAATGCCAAAAATGACACATGTCAAAATTATTAAATGTCAAAATTAGAAAATTAAAAATGAAAGAAATTAAAAAATGACATAAATAACGGACATAATTCAAAAAATAAAAATTGCAGATGACAAAATCATTAAATGTCAAAAATTGATAACGTCAAAATTAACAAATGTCAAAAATTAATAACGTCAAAAATGAAAGATGAAATATCAAAAATGGCAGATAACAAAATTACAAAACATCAAAACTGAAATAAACAATGCAGATGTCAAAATTGAAGAAATCAAAAATGACAGATGACAAAATCATCAAACGTCAAATTGAAAATGAAAAAAGACAAAATTAATAAATGTCAAAATAAAAAATAAATATCAAATATCAATTTTACTGCATCTATTCCACAACTTTAGGTGCTAAATTAAAAAAGGATTTTTTGTAATATAGGGTTTATGAATAATATTAAGATTGCATCAAAAAAATAAATCAATCAAAAGAAATAATAAAAAAAAATCTATATGAGTGAGTACATTTCAAAGATATATGACTAGATAAAATAGGTAATTGTAGGTATTTTTATTATTACTATTTATAAAGTGGAAAAACAAATCATTATGGCATGAACATTATCATTATCATTAAAAAAATTAATACAAAGAAAAAAATAGTAGGTTAATATAGAAAAAAAAATTAATAAAAAATATCTACATTTTAATATTATATACAGTTAAGATGACAAATCTAATTCTTATAGCAATATTTTTATGTTATTTACCAGTGAATGCCAAAGCAGGAATGGTAAGCGTTTTAATATATTTATTAAAAACCGACCTAATATTTTTACTTATAGAGCCGTAAATACTTAATATTAGTGGAAAACGTGACTCCTTGCCCAGACAATGAAAAGCTCGAAAGTCCCATGAGAAACGTAGTTTTCAAAAGCATCAATCGGACACACAAAAGCATTAGTTACGATGTCACTTTTAAAAGGCCTTTGGACGAAAATATCGGGGTTAGTAAAAAAAAACAAAAACGTTGATAAAACCAAAAATGACATTTTTTCAGGGATCAGGAATTTTGGAGATATTAGGCAACACAGGTTGGATGCAAATGCCTTTCATGCCTTTTTACGCAGACGCTTGTAACACAATGATGAAATTTTTTCATAGTGCTTGGGTGGAGTATGTTAAATCTTTTGGGGTTAAAGACCCCGAGAAATGCCCAATACCAGCTGTAAGTTGCATTAAATTTTGCTAAACTGGTCTCCGTGTGTTGTACCAAAATTATTTAATTTTTTTTTATTTTAGGGGAAGTACAAAATTAAAAATTATAATATAAACTTGAACAACATAAATATTCCTTCCCGACTAGGCAAATATAGATTTCGCCAAATGTTTCAAACGGTAGATACTAGAAAAACAATTTTCTGCATTGCTGCTAGTGTTAATCTCAAAGAAGATAATAACTAGTTAAAAAAAATCAATAAATATTAAGCAATGCCATAAAGACTTTTTATTTTGATCACGAAAATTCTGTGCTGCAAAATTCCAAAATTCATAAAATTACAAACATTTCAGTTTCCAAAATTTTGGAATTAAAAAAAAAATCCTTCAAGTTCTTTAAAATTAAAAAATTTCGGTAACTAGAGTTTTTATAATTTTTTAAAATTTTTATAATTATCAAAATTGTTTAAATATTCAAGTTCTGGTAATTTTGAAAATTTTGTTAATATTGATAATTATCGATGTTGAAATTTTGATAATTATTATTATTAACCAAATCAAAAAATGTCAAAAATTAACGTTAAAATTAACAAATGTTAAAAATGACATGTCAACATTAACAAAAGATAAGTTAAAAAATATCGAAGATGAAATATCAAAAATGGCATATGACAAAATTAATAAATGTCAAAATTAAAAAATATTATAAATGAAAGATGAAATATTAAAAATGACGGATGACAAAATTAAAAAATGTTAAAAACGGCAGTTGTCAAAATTGAAAAAAATAAATCAACAAATGTCAAAAATTAATAACGTCAAAATGAAAAACTGTCAACAATAAAAGATGAAATAACAAAAATGACAAAAGACAAAGTTAATAAATTTCGAAAATGGAAATATCAAAAATGAAAGATAAAATAAAAATGTCAAAATTAGCAAAGGTCAAAAATGACAGCTGTCAAAATAAACAAATGCGAAAATTGAAAAAATTAAAAATGGCAGATGACAAAATCATCATGTCAAAAACTAATTGACAAATCTCAAAAATGACGGATGTCAAAATTCACAAATGTTAAAATTGAAAAAATTAAAAATGGCAGATGACAAAATCATCAAATGTCAAAACTAAGTCAAAATTAACAGATGTCAAAGTGAAAAATATTAAAGATAAAATATCACAAAATTAATAGATGTTAAAATAAAAAAATATCAAAAGATGAAATATCAAAAATGACAGATGACCAAATTAACAAATGTTAAAATTAAAAAAAAAGTTAAAAATAACAAATCAAAAATTTCAAAAATTTTGGAATTTTTTTATTAATATTGATAATTAAATTGATTTAAAAAATAATTTTGGAAATTATGAAACTGAAATTTTTGGAAATTTTATAAAATTTAAATTCCTTAAAATTTTCAATTCCAAAACTTAAATTTTACAATAATTGTTTATATCTGATTAAAATATATTTTATGAAAATAAACACAAATTAATTTAAAATTACAAACTAAAAAACGCATTTAACTACAATAATAAATAATAATAATAAATATTGAAATTTTGATGATAATCAATATTTTTTAAATATTCAAGTTTCAAAAGAATTTTCGAAACTAAAATTTTTGGAAGTTTTTGAAAATTTCATGAATTTTGATAACTTTCAATATTTTCAAATTAAACTAAAAATGTTTATCGTTTAACAAATTTCAAAATTTATAAAATCTTAAAAATTTTCGATTTTTTCAGTTTCCGAAATTTATTTATGTTTTTTGTAAAATTTTAATTCTTTAAATTAATTTCAAAAAATAATTTTGGAAATTTTGAAAATATTTAAACTAAAATTTTTGAAAATTTTGATAATTATCAATATTTTTAAATTTTCAAGTCAATGTTCAAAATTTTTAAATTATGAAAATATTCAAAGAATTTTGGAAACTAACTGAAAATCTCATAAATTTTGATCTTTCAATATTTTTAAATTTAAAAATTTATAAAATCTTAAAAATTATCAAATTTTCAGTTTCCAACGTTTATTTATTTTGTAAAATTTCAATTCTCTAAATTAATTAAAAAAAATAATTTTGGAAATTTTGAAAACTCTAAATTCTAAAACTTAAATTTTCAAAAAATTTAATTTTAATGCATTAAATAACAATAATCAGATCATTTTATAATTCAATGTTATATCTGATTTAAATTTATGAAACGATAATTATTTTTCAATTTACACGCACAAAATAACGCAAATTAATTTAAAATTAAACTAAAAAAAAACACCAACATAAATTCAAATATCATAAAAACGTCCAAACAGGTTGTTATTTACATAAAAAAAATGCCACTCACGTCGCTTACCGCAACGGGGGAGGTGCCCCCCAACCCGCCGGCGCCCGTGGGAGATTTCCCCCCTTTCGGCGGCATTTTGTCCAGCACGTTGGTACGCCTCGTCACGTTCATGGCCGCCTTAGATTCGGGCGGTTTGTACCCGTCCTTGAGAGATATGAGAATCGGCTCGGCATCTTTCCCGCCAATCCATTCGTCAGCACTTAAAGCTGCAGTATCCCCGATGGTGTCGGGATAAAGGTCCTGCTGAAATAATTCAGCCTTACGCGGCACCGTCATCGTTATCGCCTGAAAGTACGGGTTTAATTTAATGACAGATGGCGAATTCGCAAAAAGTTAGGTTAAAACCGGTCTGACAGATGTCAAATTGGTTAAAAGTGAGGTTAAAACCGCTTGACAGCTGTCAGATGAAAAGTCAAATAAAAAAATTAACTTTATTCTGAAAAAACATTTCTCTACGACTACTTAAGAATAGTAACATTCTAGTGTAATTTTTGATCATAGAAAGGATGTTTTTCTGCAATACTGTGCTAGAATATTCCTACTCTTGTTTAAGAATGGTCACAAGTAACGACATCTCCTGGCTGTTTACTAAACGTAAAAAATTTAAAAATATTTAAATATTACTGTATTTTTTATTAATTAAAAAATAATAGCAGTTGTATAATTAAGGTTTAGGCACAAAAAATTAGTTATATTTATTGTTTTTCAAATAATCAAATCAAAATTATAATAAATTTGATATTAAAATGATAAACCAGTTACCTACTATACCGGCTTTGAAGTTTTGACAGATTCAAAAAGTTTAAAAAAAGACCTTTAAAATGTAGAAGAAGAATAGATGTTGACATAGATTACTTGTTAAATTAGTTTTGTATTTGTTACAATGTTATTTTTTTTATTAGTTAGTGTAAATATCTATTTTTAATTATAATAAAGATTTAGGCATACCATTTGTTTAAAGTCGTTTTTTCGCGTAAATACTATGTAATACTACGGTTAAATAAGTCATGACGTCACAGTTAATTCATATAACCATTGAGTAAAGAAGAACACTTTACTCAATGATATAACCACAATCCACAATGTGGATTGTGGATATAACCATGGTTAGGTTTCTAACATTTGAATTTTTTTTACTTGTTCATAACCTATAATTTTTGAAATGTGTTTTTACCTATTTATATTTAATTTCTATGCTTTTACAGGTGTAAATAAATTTCTTTGCCTCTTCTTATACCTTGTATATTCTTTTTCTATGAACCCTAGTTCTTATACCTACCTTTTCTATACCTCTTTTTATATATAAACAGTTCCTCCCTGTTGTTTACCATAACTAAAATCCAACAGTGTTTAACGTTTATACGAAAATTATTATTGTGAAACTCAAAATTTAGAATGGAACCATTGAGTAAAGTTCTTTACTCAATGATGGAACCCCAAAGAAAAAGACGAAGGTTGGCGGTATGTTTTGGAGAAGGTATGTTTAGCACACAACATTATTCCTACATAAACATATTAAATATATATATTAAAAAGAGAAAGACTATTAACCACGTTGAATAACTAGCTCAGCGATATAGTTTTATGGTCTGGTATTTGTGACGTCATAGTTAAGATTTTTGAACGCACTCTAAACGCAAAAATGCCTATTAACCAAGGTTAAGTTTAATGACCATAGTATTTCATGGTATTTACGCGAAAAAACGACTTAAATTTATTATAATTTACATTATAAAATTGTGACGGCACAAAATGGTTTGACAATACAAAAAACTTAAATGTCAAAAACTGCTTGGTTTCTTTTCTCTGTTTAAAATTATATAAGCGTTACTTTTCTTACGTAGTCGTAGAGAAAATAATGTCTGAAACACGTTTGGAATAGCATATTCCACTCTCGTAAAACTCGTAAAAGAAAATGTCAAAGGCATTGAACAGGTGTATCAATTTAAAATATTAAAAATACAAAAGTATATTCATATAGTACAGTACCAATATACCTAACCAAATGTGTAAAATTTCGAATAAAAAAACATTATACATGAAATTGTATACTGGGTTGTCTAACGCAATATTTCAAGGTTATCATTGGGTAAAGGATCTTTACCAAAGATAAAATCACTGCCTACTGGACTTTCTTTATAATCTGTGAAACGTTGTTTTGATAAGAAAAAAATACATTTACTTTTTATATTTGATGTTTTGGTGTGTGTTTAGTTAATCAGGTATGTCTTTTAGTCATTTTCTATAGCACTATCAAGCGATATTCGTGTGTATTTTTATAAAACTTCGGCTTGTACATATTGTAGGTTACAATTTGTAACTATATATACAGAGTGTATAAATAGGTCAATTAACACAAAATCTTAGTTAATAATAATGAGAGATATGTCGCCCCTTTTAAATTTTTTATTTTAAGTGTAAAAATTTCAAAGTGTGGTTATGTAGGTACTAAAAAATACTTATTTTCTACGTATAAAGAAAATTGGAAAATTGATCAGTATACTTTTAACTTTTTATTTTAAGTGTAAAAATTTCAAAGTGTGGTTATGTAGGTACTAAAAAATACTTTTTTTCTACGTATAAAGAAAATTGGAAAATTGATCAGTATACAGGGAAAAACAAAAAGTTTATTTTTTTTCAATGGATCACCCTATATATGTATATATTTTTCAATTCCTTGTAAAATTCTAAGCATATTTCATATAACATACCGTATACCTAAATTCAACCGTTTCTGAAATATTTAAATTATTTTTAAGATAATATAATATAATAAGTTGAAATAGTTAGTCTTTCTCTGTCTGAGTAGGCCATTTTTACTTATTTAACAAAAAATTTTGGTATACCGAGTGGTATACTGAGGCTTCTTGATTTCTAACAGTTTAAAAGAAGATTTAATGATAACATTTCGAATGCGAATATTTCAGAAACAGTTGAATTTAGGATATGGTTTGTTATATGAATAATGCTCAGAATTTTACAAGGAATCGAAAAATAAATTCATATATAGGGTGATCCATTGAAAAAAAATAAACTTTTTGTTTTTCCCTGTATATTGATCAATTTTTCATTTTTTTTAATACGTAGAAAAAAAGTATTTTTTAGTACCTACATAATCACAATTTTAAATTTTTTGGGACACTTAAAATAAAAAAGTTAAAGGGGGGCGACATTATAGGGGATCACCCTGTACATTAGGTATAATGAATCAACAGTGCCAACTGTCATTTTGATTTTGACAGATTTTTAATGTGTTTATTGTAATAAATTGTTTAAAAGGTACTAAATAATAGTAAAACCAACTAAACATATTTTTTTTTTTTTGATACTTTCTAGTTTTTTTTATTCAAGTAGATTTATGCTACAGTTGATGAGACTCCTCTCTTCTTATAGGTCTCTATTCTTTAGCGCCCTCTTGGGGTTTCATAACAAATTTAAAAAAAATTTAATTTCTCAATCAATGCAAGAAATCTTATCCTGATTTTTTTCGAAATGTTAATAAATCACCCTGTATAATCGCTTCCTGTTGCAAACATAAAACAAGTAATGTTGATATCTCGCAATCTGAGAAGTTTGCCAAGTCAGCATTTATCCATGGAAAAATAATATCATTGATTCAATAAAAAATATATTATGTATACAGTAGGGTGTCCAAAAAAAAAAAGAATATTTTTTTTCTTCCCGTCTCTTGTGAAAATATGTTGGTTTGTCATGTTTTAAGAGCCCTGTCAAAAGATCAGCACCATTAAAAAATGTTTAGGGGTCGCTCAAGATTTTTAAAAATTACCAAAATCGTTTTAATTTTTTTTTCTTTCCGATATTATTTTTTAATTTAAAAATAATAATGATTCTGAAAATTTCAAATCGATATTTTAATTTCTAAAGGTCGCTCAAGATTTTTTTAACTTTCAAAGTAGAGTATTTTGAATGTTTTCGAGCGACCTCTGAATATAAATATCAACGAACTTTTAGCGACCTTTAGAAATCAAAATATTGATTTGAAATTTACAGAATTTTTATTATTTTCAACCTAAAAAATAATATCGAGACGAGAAAAAGAATTAAAATAAAACAAAAATTCAATTTTTGACCATTTTGAAAATTTTTAAAAATCTTGAGCGACCCCTACAAAATTTTTAATCGAGCTGATATTTTGAAAGGGCTCTCACAGCATGATAAACTAACATATAAGAGACATACAAGAGACAAGAAAAAAAAATATATTCTTTTTTTTTGGGACACCCTAGTATACAGGGTGTTTAAAGTGGTTACAAAGTCGGTTATATTAGCGAATTTCAATTTTCCATTTTTACATAGGTTCGTAAAAAAATTTCGTATCTCACTAACGAATGCATATTAAGAGCTTCATATTCTAACCACTAGACCATACGGGATATACTTTATATTAAACAAAACGCTCGCGATTTTCTTTGAAACGCCTACATTTATGGAAAAAACGAAAGAAAACTCTTTTTAGATCAGTTCAATTTTGAATTTTTGTTTTGTTTTTAAACTTTTACGAAAAAAACATGGTACAGGTACATTTTTTATTAAAAAAAAAATATTTTCAGGCGAGATGGCAAACGAAACAATGAATCAATTCACTGAGGATCTTTTGAGCGAAAAAATATTCCACTGCAAGATTTGCGATGAGCTTTGCACGTCCGATGTCTTCCTGGTCAAAGGTAAAGGAAACGTGTGTGGAAGATGTTTTGAAGAAAAGTGTGGGGAGGAAATGAAATCCAGGGCTGAATTAAACACAGCCCTCATCCTAATTATAGCCAAGCTATTGTTGCCGTGCAAGTTTAAATCCAAAGGTTGCGACAACAGGTTGACGTCCAAAAACTATTCCAAGCACATCGGTAGTTGCGATTTTAAAACTAAACAGTGCCCGATGAAAAATGTTGCAGCTTGTGACTGGAGTGGAATCAATTCCGAATTTGGTGGACATTTATTAAAGAAACATGAAGAACATGTTATTAGAGGCGAGAACAATATTTTTAAGGTTAAAACATCCATAGGGGTAGGCTTCAACGTTAAGATATTATCTGATGATTACCAAAGCTGCCTTTTAAAGACTTCAGTTGTCGATGATAAATTTTATTACGCCTTGAATCCACTTGGACAATCCGAAGAAAATATCGAATATTCGGTGATGCACAAAAGTATTGAAACAACGAACCATTCAGTATTAAAAACAGTAGGTACACTTACAAAACTGAATGGTATTTATAACGAAGAAAACCTGGATAAAAACCCCAACGCTACTGTGGTGGACATCGACTCATTGAAACACCTTACAAACGAACAAAAAATGGTTTCGAACGAGTTTAATTTAAATCCCAAAGGAATAGATGAGAATATCCTAAAGCTATTGGAATGTCCCGTTTGTATGGAGACTATGCGGGCGCCAATTTATCTGTGTTCCAACGGGCATAGTGTTTGCGTTTCATGCAAAGAAGAGTTGAAACAATGCCCAACTTGCAATGGTATGTGGGCCAATATTAGGAACTACTTCATGGAAAATTTCACGACAAATATAAAGTATCCATGCAAATATAAAAAATCGGGATGCAATAAAATTGTCATCGAAAGTCAATTAAGTAAACATGAAGAAACATGTCCGTCACGTGTCTATCAATGTCCAATGGATTGCTCTGAAACTGGAAACTATGAATTCATTTTGAAACATTTAAAGTCCAACCATAAGGATATGGAATTTACTAAAGAGATGGTAGAAAACGTATTTGCATATGAAATCCGTAAATGGATGATGTTTGATTCAAAGATATTTAGAATATCTTGTTTTATATCATCACATTATGTTTATTGGGCTGTCGAATTGGTATGCTCCAATGAAAATCCCAGTCTGTATACTTACAAAGTTAAAATTTTAAACAGTGAACATGTGTTAAAATGGACTTTAACACAAGCTTCCACTTGCTTTAAAGAAAGAACATGGTCGCTTGAAAAAATGACGGACTGTATAAAATATTATTCTCAACATGCTATTAAATTTAGTGTTTCTATTAAGAGAAGCAACTAATTTAATAACATCATTTTTATTTCTTTTAAATAAAATTAAAATATACCCTCCTATAGCATGTTTTATTCATCCTATCAAAAACATTTTTCAAGTTTTTTTAAAATTTTTGTTTTTAAATGTACCTCTCAGAAAAATATAGTAAAAAATTCAGATCGATCTTCAACGTTTATTTTGAATTTTGACATTTTTTGCAAATTCTCAAAATTTTTTTGATTATCAATAGTTTTGAGTTTACAAAAATTTAAACTATTATAAATGTCTTGGTACTATTTTTAAATACTAAAAAGTTTATCTTTACCGAATTTACCTCAATAATTTTATAAAATATTTATTTAAGTTTTAAAAAATGCCACCCAAATGAATTATACTTAAAAAATTATTTTTATTAAAAAATGATAGTAAGAAATTTTTGCAAAAATTGATAGAAAATAATATTGTTTAATACAGAAGTGAACTGTTAGTTGGTAAATTTTGTCTTTCAATACATGAAAGTTAGGAAAATTTTAAAGCAATAAACTTTTAAATTAATAAATTATTTAATAAATGTTACAAAAAAGGAAGAAAAAAATGGAAGATAATTCTGAATAATTTTTTTATATATTTTTTTAAACATTAAAAAACAAAAAAAAGTGTAGAAAAAAACATGAAACAAATGCCATTACAAATTAACCACTTCAAATTTTTTAAAAGCCTGTTTGTCCAAAAATTAACCAAATAACAATTTTTAATTTTCTTTGCTTTAAAATGTATTTAATTAAAAAAAAATCCAAAAACATTTTTTTGAAAAATGGCTCTTTATTTTTTAAACTATCAAAAATGGACTTTTCGAGACATTTTTGTTTTTAAATGTACTTTTCAGAAAAATTGAAAAAAAACGGTGTTCAACGTTTATTTTGAATTTTGACATTTTCTGCAAATTCTCTGAAATTTTCAGTTTTTTCGTTTTTTTAAATTCAATGTTTTTTTAAAATGGTAGAAAAAAATAGAAGATAGTTGTGAATATTTTTTTTTATATTTAAAAACAAAGAAAAAGAAAAATAATTTTATATCTATAGGTACAATAGCTATGTATAAATACAATAATAATTTTATATCTATAGGTACAATAGCTATGTATAAATACAATAAATAAAATTAGTAGTTAAATAAACAAAAAAGCGAAGATTAAAAAAATCATAAAACAAATTCCATTACAAATTAACCACTTAAAATTTAATTTCAAATTCTTTGTTTTAAAATGTAATTTTCAAAAAAAAATTCAAAAACATTTTTCAGATTTCTATTATTTCTTAAAAAGAGGTAATCATTGCAAAAATATCAATATTTTTCGAAAAAAGAAGAGATAAAACTACAAGAGAATAAAAAATAATTTTATATAAAATAAACTTTGTTTTTTCAGTAATTAAACAAAAAAAGCGAGATGTACAAAAAAAAACAAATGTACCGAATTATATATAATAAAAAAGTGGTATTTTGAGAAATGGGCTATTTTTCAGTTAAAAAAAAAATAGATAACGAAAAGACGCCACTAATACACTCACAGGCAAAATAATCGATCCACACAAATTTTCGATGAATTTCAATCGCAAATAACTTTTTTATTATAATAACTTTTTTATTTGATTTCAGATTAAAACAAATATTAAAGAATATTGTAGATACATTAATGGAGAATCGCTCACATTTTAAAAATTACTAAAAAATACACGTACGTTTATAATATACAGGTTTAAACAAAAAGATGTTTTTTAATAAAAGTTTAAGACAATCTGTAGAGTGGCAAAACCGTATATTGTTCTAAATTAAGTTTTAATTATCAAGTCACATCTATTTTTAACAGCTTTGTTTTTGGTTCACCTCGATATATTTATTTTTGTGGAAAATATGAAAAAAAACATTGCAATTTCCAATATTTTTCTGTATGAAGAACTAAGGTTGCTATGGTCCATTCATAGGCTATGGAGAATGACAGTGACAGTTTTGTTAAATCATCCCATACTTTGACATTTCATACACGGCTTTCAAAAGCTATCAAATTGTTTTTTGCAAATTAATGTTTAAATTTTGAGATGTCTTCTTACTTTAAAAAATGGATATGTCTCCGACTGATGTTGCCAGAGCCATTAATTTAAAAGTAAGAAGAAATTAACACATTAATTTACAAAAAACAATTTGATAGCTTTTGAAAGCCGTATATGACATGTCCAAGTATGGGATGATTCAACAAAACTGTCACTGTCATCCTCCATAGGCTATGGATGGACCATAGCAACCTTAGTTCTTCATACAGGAAAAATATTTGAAATTGCAATGTTTTTTAAAAAAATCCATATTTTCCACAAAAATAAATATATCAAGGTGAACCAAAAACAAAACTGTTAAAAATAGATGTGACTTGATAATTAAAACTTAATTTAGAACAATATACGGTTTTGCCACTCTACAGAGTGTCTTAAACTTATGGTAAAAAACATCTTTTTGTTTAAACCTGTATAACAGTGTATATTATAAACGTACGTGTATTTTTTGGTAATTTTTTAAATGTGAGCGATTCTCCATTAATGTATCTACAATATTCTTTAATACATTGCCTTATAATTGCTATACAAATTTCAAATCCATATATTTCCTTCCTCAATAAACTTCTATTGAATAAGTACAAAATATGTTTGACATTTATTTTGAATGACCCTCGTAACTAATTTACGACTACTCCTCGTACATTAAAAATGACAGCGACCTTGGAATTAAAAATGAAACAGATATCTAGCCCGTAGAATAACAGATCCAAGTCCATACAGGTCTGTTACTTTATTACCTAGTTATTCGCTTATTATAATACCTGCTTCAAAATACATTTTCCTATATATAATCAAGCCCATCTCGAGTCGTACTTATCCTCCCCACCTCAAAATCTGTGGTAAAGTCCGTAAGATAAGATTAGTAGAAAAGTTGTTTTCGAAAAAATATAACTTGTTTCTTAAATTTTGATTTGCTGGAATTGATTAAGGTAAGCCTTTTAGCCTTGTAGTTTAGTTTGTAGGAAAAAACGTTCGTATTTTTTTGGAAGTAACTAATAAATAAATATCTGAGCACTGGGTGTGGCCATGTATGGGGGATTCCCCACAAGATTACTTGCATATGGGCTATTCTGTGGAACGCGTTTTACTATTTGATAACATGCAATTGTGTTAAAAAACAAAACATGAGTTTAGACAAAATTCAGTAATATAGTTATTGGACAATTAAAATTAATACTGTAAAAACAAGAGTTCTGTAAATAGTTACCTTAAAGTCAAATCATTAGATGACGCTGTATACAATTATAACCATCTCAGTCGGTAATAATATAGAACTACTTTATTTTGGGTCCAATATAGGACAAAAAAGTTCGCACTTTACTTTGGTGGTAAGATTTTTTGTTTTTTTGTTAAGAGCAGGGCTGTGTTTAAATAACAATAAAAAATATTTCTAAAAAGTGTACAGATCAGTGTGTGGTATAAATGTGTTCCTCGTGGTTTAAACTTTATCACTTTAATGCGTTTTAATTTTAATTCTGAAAAGAAACAGTAAAATGGCCAGTGTACAATTACTGATTGGTAAAAATTGTAAATGTCTATTATTGGACATGTGTCCAATATCATACTCTATTTATATCCCAGAAAATTGTCCCCTGAATCCGAAAAGACCGTCAAAAACTATAAAAGTTAAGCAGCTTTTGACATATAGTCAATTCCATATTATATGTAAAATTGATTATATTTCAAAAACTGTTCCACTTTCATAACTTTTGACGACATTTTCGGATTCAGCGAATAATATTTCATAGGAATTGACTGCTAAATGTCCCGGATACAAATTTCTGTTGACGAGAATTATTAGTGGCTGCTTTTTCGCCATGACATTTTTGACTAATTCATTTTTAGAGAGTAAGTAATATAGTGATTTCTTCGCCACAGAATAACAGTGATTTAAATACAGTGCACGATAAAAAAACTAATGGCAACAAAATTAATTAATTCGGAAAATACTTTTAACATACCACCCGAAAAAATATTATATAACTTATGTTATTTGATGTAAAGTTGTTATGTTTATATACAAATTGTATGTCCAATAACTATGGTCCATGTGTCCAATTACTATATAAAATGTCCAATTACTATACTTTTTTGCATGTTTTTATAAAACTATTATTAAAAATTCAAATATTCTTATTTTTAAGTAAACGTAAATAAAGTTTAAACAAACAAACTATTCTTTTTGTATATTTATAAGAAAAAAACTAAAATCTTTAAAACAACGACATATAGGTAAAAATTTTAAATAAATAATATTTCTTAAGTGTCTAATAACTATGTGGGGTAAAACAATCCACACAACAAGGTCTGTTCTATCTCGTACTAAAAATACAAAAAATCACTGCAACACTGCACAGTTTAACGGCGGCCATTTTTGTTGTTTACAATTTTTGTGCTTTGGGTTTGTGCTCTGTTTATACAGATTAATAATCGTTTTAAACGTTGTGTTTCTCATAGTAAGCCTTAAAAGAGGCCTTAAAGTGCTAAGAACAACATTTTACTCCTCTATTGTAAAAAATAAACTTTACTCTATCAGGGCTGTCATAAAACTGTCAAATGTCAATTTTAAGGTTAAGTTATAACCCACAAATTAATCTTCAAATTGTCATTTGACAGCCCTGATAGAATAAGGTATATTTATTATAAAAGAGGAGTAAAATGGTTGTCCTTGGCACTTAAAGGCTTTATTTGAGGCTTTCAAGTGCCTCTGTAAGAAACCCAACGTTTAAAACAAGTATTAAACAGCACACACCCAAAGCACAAGAATTGTAAACAACAAAAATGACCGCCGTTAAACTCTGTGCAGTGTTGCAGTGATTTTTAGTATTTTTAGCATGATATAGAACAGACCTTGTTGCGTGGATTGCGGTTTACCCCATAGCAATCACTAACATCAACTACTTTATTTTAAGGCGGTAAACAAAACAATGAATCAGTTTACTGATGATCTTTTAAAAGAGAAAATATTCCACTGCCAGATTTGCGATGAACTCTGCACGGCCGCTATTTTCCTAGTCCGAGGTAAAGGAAACGTTTGTGGAAGATGTTTTGAAGAAAGGTGTGGGGGGGAAATGAAATGCAGGGCCGAATTAAACACGGCCCTCATCTTAATTGTAGCCAGGCTAATGTTGCCGTGCAAGTTTCAATCCAAAGGTTGCGACAAGAGAGTGGAGTCAAAACATTATTCCAAGCACATCGGTAGTTGCGATTTTAAAACTAAACAGTGCCCGATGAAAAATGTTGAAGCTTGTGACTGGAGTGGAAGCAATTCCGAATTTGGTGGACATTTATTAAAGAAGCATGAAAAACATGTTATTAAGGGTGAGAACAATATTTTTAAGGTTAAAACGTCCATAGGGGCACGCTTCAGCGTTAAGATATTATCTGATGATTACCAAAGCTGCCTTTTAAAGACTTCAGTTGTCGATGATAAATTTTATTACGCCTTGAATCCACTTGGACAATCCGAAGAAAATATGGAATATTCGGTGGAGCACAAAAGTACCGAAACAACAAACCATTCAGTAATAAAAACGGCAGGCACTCTAACGAAACTAAACGGTATTTATAACGAACTAAACCTCGACAAAAATCCCAACGCTACTGCGGTGGACATCGGTCTATTGAACCACCTTGCAGACGAAAAAAATACGATTTCCAACGAGTTTAACTTAAATCCGAAAGGCGTAGACGAACATATCTTAAAGCTGCTTGAATGTCCCGTATGCATGGAGACTATGCGGGCGCCAATTTATCTGTGTTCCAACGGGCATAGTGTTTGCGTTTCATGCAAAGAAGAGTTGGAACAATGTCCAACGTGCAAGGGTTGGTGGGCCAATATCAGAAACTACTTCATGGAAAACTTTACGAAAAATATTAAGTATCCATGCAAATATAAAAAATCGGGATGCAACGAAATTGTCATCGAAAGTCAGTTAAGGAAACATGAAGAAACATGTCCGTCACGTGTCTATCAATGTCCGATGGATTGCCCTGAAACTGGAAACTTTGAATTCATTTTGAGACATTTAAAAACCAACCATAAGGATATGGAATTTACTACGGAAATAGAAGATACATTTGGATTGGAAGAAACCCTCAAATGGATGGTGTTTGATTCAAAATTATTTAGAATATCGTATTTTGGTGCTGATTATTCTTATTTTGCTGTCGAATTGGTTTGCTCAAATGAAAACCCTAATTTGTATACTTACGAAATAAAAATTTTAAATCATTCATTAGAATGGACCTTAACAAAATATTCCACTTGCTTTGAAGAGAGAAAGCAGCGGCCGTTAAAAAAAATATCAGACTGTATCACCTATTATTATCAAAACAATATAAAATTTAATGTTTCTATTAAAAGAAGCATCTAAATTAATAAATTATATTATATTTTTTCATTATGTATTTTTAAATAAAATTAAAATCCGCTCATAATATGTTTTATTCATAAAACGCAACCAATTTTTAAAGTTAAGTTTAAAAAAAATATTTCAACGCACTTGAACCACAAAAAACCTCAATAAACTACTAAATAATTGCCCTCACATAACACATTTTTACCAATATCAAGCTCAATATTGATCGCACATAAAAATATGATGTATGTTAATTGTAGATCCATTAATTATCTACAAAAAAGTTAAAATGCATTTTCACGTAAAATTAACCGTTACGGATATATCGCACTTTGAAGTGTTCAAGGCAGATATTGGTGCCGTGACCAGGATTTTAGCGGTTCGTTGTACGAAAAAATGCATTTGACACTTTTTGTGGAGAATTTTATGACCAACAATTTTCATCCATGGCGTTTTGACAGCGGACCAATAGCAAGCTAGATAAACGCAAAAAACTGACGAATAAAACTTACTTGGCACAACCCTGAGTTGTTCAACCTGTAGAACCTGCTGATTTCGCATGAGTTAACGTCGCACCCGCGTTTGGGCATCATGCCAATGCCTCTCTGCGGATCTGGCGTTTGGAAGGTGTTGATGTAGTGTACAAACGGGGGTTCCGAACTGATCTCAAAATATCTAAAAAAAACTGTAATAAAAAAAAAACGCGTCCAAAACAATTCGTACCTTATAACGGAGTCGCCTTTTCCGCACAGGTATACCAGGTTCGTGTCCGGGTCGTACAAGGGAAACATCACCCCGTTAGAAGTGTCGAGTTCCACCATCACGATTGGTTCGCTTAGGCAATCCGGCGTGCGTAAACTGTACTGCCTCTCGGACATTTTCGAAAATCCTGTAGTGAAAACTAGACCGTGCCTGAGGAAAATTGCCCTCGTGGCTTTGGAACCTTAACGAAAGAAATAAAACCGTTATAAAACCGTTCACACCAAATGGCCGTAAGGTGTGACCTTTTATTGAGTTGGTAGCTTGTGGTGCAATATAAGTGATATTTTTGTGCATTGGGTCTACATTTCTCCATAAAATAGTTTTAACTAAACAGCATTTATTAAAAAAAAATCTAACTTCTCTATTATGAAATAAGAATATCTGTATCAAATGTAGGTTAATGTATTAGAACAAAAAATATCATCCAATTTTATATTTTAAGGTTAGAAAAATCTATTTTGACCAAAATAAATAAGTGGATTATTTGAAGAGTGTGTTAATATGGTCATAAATAAATAATTGTTGAATATAGTTCAAAGCTTTTATAATTCTAACGACAAAACTTGTGCATACCTCTCGGCATACTTACTTTAAGTTAGATTATAAGAAGACAAACAATTTTTAGCGAAACTTGCAATGTGAAAATATTTAATACTCCCATGACATGTGATTTATTAAAAATTTTAAAGTTATAATGATTTTTCGATGTAGATCAAATTTAGTTGCAAGCTTTTTAACTATTTGTATTGACAAAACTTTATGTAGGTACCTTTAAGCTGGATAAGAAAAACTACCACATTTTTAAATACCATATTATACAGTCTTTTAAATAATCCAAAATACTTATTTAATTTGGTCAAAATAAATTTTTCTAACCTTAAAATTACAAAATTAGATGATATTTTTGTTATAATATATTAACCTACCTTTAAAACAGATATTCTTATTCCATAATAGAGAAGCTAGATTTTTTTTAATAAATGCTGTTTAGTTAAAATTATTTTATGGAGAAAACCAGATATTTGGACCAAATGCACAAAAATGTTACTTATTTGGCACCATACACTTTAGAATTTCATTAAATGCAGTATTTATATTCTTAAATTCTTAAACCATCCATTGTTGTTGTAATGTTATAATAGTATATTAAAGAACTAATGCCATAAGACGTCATTTTGTCGCACGCGGACAATTTATAAAACGAGCGACGAAGGAGCGAGTTTTATAATGGACAAGTGCGACAAAAGGTCTTATGACATGAGTTCTTTATGCTATTTTATCTATTTTGCAAACATTTCATAAAACAAATTAATTTTATACCTTATATTTAATTTGGTGGAATTTTACTTTACATAGTTGGTATCACATTTTGAAGTTTGAAGGGTCATTAACCTTTCAAACATTATCACATTCTTTCGCTATGGCGTCGTTAATTTACAATAAGTATTTACAATAAGCGGCTGTTAAAGAAGAAAAAAGGATTTTCTTTGGTGTTAAACAAAATTTATTGCACGAAAAGTCTCGTAAGTACTAGAAAACAAATCATAAAAATATTATAACCTATAGGTATTCAAAATTGTATTTTACCAGTAGCCAACCTATAAAATCAAAATTTTGGGTGGAATAAAGTACCTCATTAAAGAACCAAAAGCGGTGTTATAATGAAGTCATTATGAAACCAAAATAGATAAAGATTTATAAATTTTTAACGCCTAAACATAATATTATTTCTTTCGTTGACTATACTTTGACAGATACATAACCTGAAAAGCCTTAAATGCCAAATTTTCAAAAGACTGCGCTCCGTACGTGGTCACGTGGTGGGACTTTGAGGTGTGGAGCATAGTACAATTTATATTTACAGAGACTGTATGCAATTTATTTCTTCATTCGGATTAACCTCTCGAAATACACCCAACAACACAACAAATAGTTACATTTATAACTAGTATAGTTTGTTTTAATCAATACAGCCAATGTTGGTTCCCTAATTACCAACCAAATTTGCAAACGTCAACTATTTTGTATACCTCTCAAGTTTTCACACATTCACACCGAAAAAATATGGATAAAGACATTCCGGAAGAATTCCTTCACAACACCGGTAATTACTACTCAGCCCCGTGTCTCATAGGACACTGGCAAGAGCGATTGGCCACTGTGGAAAGCACTGGAAGAAACATCAAGGAAAAGCAGAAACGCGGTACTTTGAAGATACAGAAGTTGCGCAATTTGATGACGAGCTTGCTTCAGCCGGAAAAATTGGCCATGGATACACCCCTGATAACATTTGGGGCGCATTACCAGCTAAAAAATACCGATGTGCCTTTGTATCACGACTCTGTAATATGCCACGGATTGTACGCCTCTGTAACGGTGGACAAAGCTAGGCTTGGGTTTTCTCAAGACTTTTGGGAGTCTTGTACCCCAACCGCCGCCCCTTATAACCGCCCCTGCGTCAGGAACACAATAACAATCGTGAGCTCTGACCCTAGATATGATAGATCGGGATTGCAAGTGGTTTATGAAGAATGCATTTGCATCCAGTTTACCTCACACAATGGTGGTAAATATTATCTCCACTACGACAGTTCACCAATGTCGGGAGGAAGCCAGTCGATCTCTCTGAAAACCGAAATAGGCCCCTACAGCATATTCCGGATACGCTGCCTGGAGAAGAATAAAGAAAAAACCCCCATTCCCATTGACTCCAAGGTCATTCTTGTCCACATGGCTTCGAACAAAATGATTGCAATCGACAAAAGTTGGGTGGACACTTTTTACGGGCCGGAACGTTTCATGTCCTGCCGTAGCGGCTACGACGCGCGCCGGAAGCTAATCAGCGATTGCGTTTGGACCATCGTCGGGCATCCCAAGCACGACGTCAGCATTATTTACCGTGCCTGCTTGGGGGAGAACATCCCCGAAGAGCTACTTGATTATTAATTAAATAAAACTTACCTTCGTGAGATATGGCGTCTGATTCCACCTCTCCCGTTCTTGGGTTGATCAGCCTGATTTTTTTGTCCTTGCATGACGTCAGCAGTTGCGAGCCGTCCCAGTTGAAGCATGCGCTGTAGACGATGTCCGGGTGGCATGTTATTTCCACCAGGGCTTCTCCAGTTCCTGCGGATGAAAAATTGTGGGTAACTGAGTTGAATTGAAGGTGTGGGATGTGGATGTGTCGATGTGCGTGCGGTTTTCGAAGGTGGTGGGAAAATGGCAGGACAAATTCGCACGGTGGCGTGAATTTCAAATTTTTTTAAAATTACTAAATTTTCGAATTTTAAAATTAGAAAATAGGGAAATAAAGCACAGTGGCATAAATTGAAAGAATGGTAGGACAAATTTTTAAAGTTTCCAAAATTTTCAGATTTTGCACAATTCTCAAGTTTTACACAATTTTCAAATTTTCTTATTTTTAAAAATTAGAAAATAGTGAGAAAAATGAGCACAGTGGCATAAATTTAAAGAATGGTAGGAAACATTTTTCCAAATTTACACAATTTTTAAATTTTATCGTTTTTTAAAATTTTCATTTTTTTTAAATTTGAAATTAGTAAGAAAAATGAGCACAGTGACATAAATTTAAAGAATAGTAGGACAAATTTGAAAATTTCCAAAAATTTTCCAAATTTACACAATTTTTTAATTTTATAGTTTTTAAAGTTTAAAATTAGTAAGAAAAATAAGCACAGTGGCATAAATTTAAAGAATGGTAGGATAAATTTTTAAAGTTAAAAAATTTCCAAATTTACACAATTTTTAAATTTTATCGTTTTTTGGAGTTGGAAAATAGTTCAAAAAAATAGCACAGTGGCATACATTTCAAGAATGGTAGGAGAAATTTTAAAAGTTGAAATTTTCCAAATTTACACAATTTTTAAATTTTATCGTTTTCAAAATTAGAAAATAACTAAAAAACTAGCACAGAGGCAAAAATTTCAAGAATTTTATCGTTTTTTTTTTTTAATTTAAAAATGGTGAAAAAAATTAACACAGTGGCATAAATTAAAAGAATGGTAGGACAAATTTTTAAAGTTTCCAAAACTTAAAATATTCAAATTTTACACAATTATCAAATTCTATTGTTTTTTAAAATTGGAAAATAGTTAGAAAAATTAGCACATCAAAATGAGAAAATAGTGCACAGCACAGTGGCATGAATTTTAAGGATGGTGGGACAAATTATTAAAGTTTTCAAAATTTTCAGATTTTTTAAAATTTGATCAAATTTTACAGTTTTCAAATTTTATTGTTTTTAAAAATTAGAAAATAGTGAGAAAAATGAGCACAGTGGCATAAATTTAATTAAAGAATGGTAGGACACATTTTAAAAGTTGAAAATTTCCACAATTTTTCAAATTACAAACGCAATTTTTAAATTTTATCGTTTTTCAAATCTAGAAAATGATTAGAAAAATAAGCAATTGAAAGAATGGTAGGACAAATTTTTAAAGTTTTCAGATATTTCAAAATTTGATAAAACAATTTTTAAATTGTATTGTTTTTAAAAAAATTAGAACAGTGGCATAAACTTTAAGAATGGTAGGAAAAATTTTAAATTTGAACATTTTCAACATTTTCCAAATTGTGTAATTTTTAAATTTTACCGTTCTTCAAAATTAGAAAATGGTTAAAAAATTAGCACAGTGGCATAAATTGTAAGAATGGTAGGACAAATTATTAAAGTTTCTAAAATTTTCAGATTTTTTTAATATTTGATAAAATCATTAAATTTTCAAATTTTATCGTTTATTAAAATTTGAAAATAGCATAATTTTCAAATTTTATCGTTTATTAAAATTTGAAAATAGCATAATTTTCAAATTTTATAGTTTTTCAAAATTAGAAAATAGTGAGAAAAATAAGCACAGTGGCATCAATTGAAAGAATGGTAGGACAAATTTTTAAAGTTTACAAAATTTTCAGATATTTCAAAATTTGATACAATTTTCAAATTTTATTGTTTTTTAAAAAATTATAACAGTGGCATAAACTTTAAGAATGGTAGGAAAAATTTTAAATTTGAACATTTTCCAAATTGTGTAATTTTTAAATTTTATCGTTCTTCAAAATTAGAAAATGGTTAAAAAATTAGCACAGTGGCATAAATTGTAAGAATGGTAGGACAAATTATTAAAGTTTCTAAAATTTTTAGATTTTTTTAATATTTGATAAAACTATTAAATTTTAAATTTTCAAATTTTATCGTTTATTAAAATTTGAAAATAGCATAATTTTCAAGAATGGTAGGACAAATTTTAAAAGTTGAAATTTTCCAAATTTTAAAAGTAAAAATTCCCAACATTTTCTAAATTTACACAATTTTAAAATTTTATCGTTTTCAAAATTATAAAGTCGTTAAAAAATTAGCACAGTGGCATAAATTTCAAAAATGGTAGGACAAATTTTAAAAGTTGAAAATTTCCAACATTTTTCAAATTTACACAATTTTTAAATTTTATCGTTTTTCAAAATTGGAAAATGGTTAAAAAATTAGCCGAGTGGCATAATTTGAAAGAATGGTAGGACAAATTTTTAAAGTTTCCAAAATTTTCAGATTTTTTAAAATTTGACAAAATTTTCGAATTTTACACAATTTTCAAATTTGATTGTTTTAAAAAATTAAAAAATAGGGGGAAAATTAACACAGTGGCATAAATTTCAAGAATGGTAGGACAAATTTTAAAAGTTGAAAATTTCCAACATTTTTTAAATTTACACAATTTTTAAATTTATCGTTTTTAAAATTAGAAAATAGTTTTAAAAAAATAGCACAGTGGCAAAAATTTCAAGAATGGTAGGACAAATTTTTAAAAGTAATAATTTCCAACATTTTCTAAATTTACAAAATTTTAAAATTTTATCGTTTTCAAAATTAGAATAGTTAAAAAAATAGCACAGTGGCAAAAATTTCAAGAATGGTAGGACAAATTTTAAAAGCTGAAAATTTTCAACATTTTCAAAATTTACACAATTTTTAATTAAATTTTATCGTTTTTAAAAATTATAAAATTGTTAAAAAATTAGCACAATGGCATAAATTTCAAAAATGGTGGGACAAATTTTAAAAGCTGAAAATTTCCAAATTTACACAATTTTTAAATTTTATCGTTTTTCAAAACGATAAAATGATGTGAAATTTTTTATTTTTACGTTTTACAAAATTCTCAAATTTGAGAAAATTCGAAAAATTCCCTAAACTTTCATTCAAACCTTATTTTTTTTAAGTTACGCTAAAGAAAAACTTTACCAAACGCACAGGTTTGGTTTATAGCGGCGACATGCAACCTTACATCCCACCGCTGTCACCCACACTTTTAGCTATATAAACCAAACACATTTCTCGATTATTCGGGTCGTAGATGTCTACGTTTCGGGTAACCGTATACCAAGGCAAGTAGATATGGGGTAACGGTAAAATACGCATTTTTACTCACCCACGTTCCATATAACCACCTGGTTATCGCTTCCGGCCGTCAGCAGGACGTTAAGCGCGGTAGGATGCCAAAGCACCAGCCCCACTCTACGCTGATGGTATACCAGGTCCACGATTGGTTCCGTAAGGGTTTTGTGCAGCCCTCCGTCAGGAATATGCCAAACTTTAGCAACGCAGTCTTCGGAACCGCTGGCAATAACATTGTCGTTGTGGGGGCAGAAAGCGATGTCGAGAACGGGGCCCTTATGCCCCCCCACAAGAGGATGATCAGCTGCTATGCGGCCGACCTGATAATTTCATAGTTATTCATTTTAGCAACGCACCGTCCGTAAGTTTGAATTCCAATAACTTTGTTAAAAATAATCGGATCTTATCGATTTAAAAACCAAGTGAAAGCCTAACAAGCCCTTAGTAAACTCTTTCAGAAAATGTTTGTTTAGTTACTTCAGAATAATTTTTTTTTAATTTTGAAACTTGTGAAACACACATTTTCGCATGTCCCATTAGCGTTTTATAAAACTTACATACATGTTTTTTTTAATATTGAATAACCAGAACTTTGTGTTGCTTTATAGCAATCCATAACATCCTTACTTAATAAAGTAAACAATTTATATATAAATTAATTAATTTTAATCTACTTTTTTTAAATTTGACCCATATCCTAGACATTTTTTCCGTTGCGTTACGTCCGTCGCGTTACCGATAGAATATTAAAAAAAACGTATATATGGCAACTTTTTTGGCACTCACGTGATTAACAAATGATGTTCGGACGTACACATTACCCAGCTGAATTTATTTATTCAATCAGAAAGATATATCGGTTGAAACAGGTGCGGGTAACGCGAATGTAATAATTGTTTGTCCGCTAAGTTACTCAAAAAAATAATAAAAATAAGGTAAGAAAAAATACTATTTTTCCTGTTTATGTTTATTTTAGGGCACTAAAGCTCATTGAGAGTAATTAATGACTGTAATGTTTTATTATTTTTTAAATGTGGTTTCACAAAACTTTGTCCACTGCGTTACCGAGTCCATTACGTTACCTTATGCTAACGCAATGGAATTTAGGGTAACGCAATAGAATTTTTCGACAACAAAGTGGATATTTACCGTCGCTTTTATTAAAAGTAATTTAAAATTATTTGTGATTACAACTCATGATATAGATTACATCCAAGGGAAAATTCCACGCAATATACAAGTACTAAAAGACACCAGCTTATAGTCAAAGAAAAAGGGTGTCTATAATTTAGAAATCTAAGTTGTTATTCTGCAAGTGAGCCCCACTACAAGGGATTTTGTTTATGCATTACTCTAAAATTGTACCACCCTATATAGTTTCTTTTTTACGTTATCTGATTAAGTCCTTTGTGTACCCCAGTCCGTTGTGATACCAATGTCTATTTCGTTACTTTTTTAGTTTTTGTTAAAAAAAATCCTTAAAATGATTTTACTATCACTTGGTAATACCTGTTTATGAATTTATAAATTTAAGTTTAACTCACTAATTCAGTGACTAAAAGAAAATATTAATGGTATTGTTTTTCTAACAAAGAATCGGAATGGTGTCTTTTAAAAAGTAACTTAACTAACATAAATATTTAAAAAAGGCATACAATTTTTAATAAAAATAAAATTGGAGTCAAAAGTTTGTGAACTAAGTACATTTTATTTCAAATTATTTTTATAACAACTTTTTTTATTGAATTAAATTTTGGATTTCAAATTGGTAACACAGTGGAGACATATAAAGCTAGCTAAACACATTTTTCTGAAAAAACGTAAAAAAAATTAAAAAGTGCACTGCCTGTCTTAAATGTAAGTAAACAAAACTCTAAACATTTATAAAAATCCAACCAAAAGTCAATTTAAGCAAAAAAAATTTTGACATTTAAAAACCTATCCACCGTGAAGTGTAATATCTCAGTAAGTAGATTTCTTTATAAATATTTTATGTACATATGTACATTTGTATTTTTTAAAAATATACAAAGGGATGGTTAAAAAAAACGAAATCCTAACCTCCGTGAAGCTATCTTCCGTGAAGCTCTAACATTCAAAATGTACGATTTATTCATCTCAATATATTCACCCATAAAACTACTTACGTTTTATTGTTAGGTAGGTATCTCAAAAATGTAAAATATGTTTTATTTTCTGGTAAACAAACTTTATCAAGAAAAATAGATAACATTTTGGAGGAATTATGTTTTCATAAATGGCTGATTGCTCACAACCAGAATTTACAATAATTTTTTTGATAAGAATTTTACTTGAATTACAAAAAGTTTGAAGAATTTCTAAACATTGTAATATTATTATTCTATTAATAATAATCCATGAATTGTATCATATTTCTACAGCATGTAACCACTTAAGATAGAAAATTTTAGTATGCATTGAATTAAATATGGACCATTCTATTTTTACGCAAAATGTTTGAAAATAGATTTTTGAAAACTAGCCAAAAATTTGTTGCACTTTTAACATATTCCCGTTTTTTTCTAAAAGCAGAAAACACATTCTAATGTCTAATATTGAAATGGTAAAATTTTTTTTATAAAAAATATTTAGAAAAAAATTAAATTTAATTGTTTTTATCTATCTTAAACCATATTTTAAAATAAATCAATACTGTAATAGCTTTTTTATCTACATGTACAGGAAAGAATTCTAAGATATCACATCCTGTTAATCTTTCCAATGAATCATACTGGTCATTCCTTAAAAACGATTTAAATTTATTTTAAATAGTAAAACAACAAAATCCACAAAAAAAATAGCTCAGAGGTTATCATAACACCCTGTATATTAGACCACCAGTAAAAAATTAAATAGCAATTTCATAAACAATTTAAGGCAAAGGAAAGCAATAAAAAAATGCTTACAATGGTATTTTATAACCAATTAATATAAATATAATGCCTATGTAAATATTAAATAGATTAAAAATATATCAATTATTATAATTAATATGCACAAAATGTTTCCCTTCAACTGATATAATTTGTAACACAAATAATAGAAAATGTATTTTTAGAAACATGATGACTTAAAAATCAAAATAAAATATTTATACCTAGATCTTAAATATTTCCTGAGAAATGCTTATTTTTAAAAATTATTGCAAATACTGTGTTGATAAAAATAGATATCAATAAACAATGCAGATAAAATATAGGATATTATATTATACAAGGTATATCTATAATACATAATTAACAATTAGGTCAACCAAAAATTTTAGGCTCCAATAATTTATTTAAATAATAATTAATTTTAATGTAAAATACCTCACTTTCTTTATAGATAATAAATTAATTAATAATTAATAACACAGTGTTTCAATATTAAGATTTTAAATGAATATCATTGTTGAGTTTTTTTGGTAGGTATCTTGCTTTGTTTATAAATATTATTTATTTATTAAATAATACAAAAAAAAATCGTTTTTAGTTCTCTAAACCAAGCTATTGATAAATATTAAAAAAGTTGATTTCATTTGACTTCTGTTTAACCTCACTTTTTCCCAATCTGACACCTGTCAAACGGTTTTAACCTCACTTTATCCCAATTCAATGCACTAGTACATTATAACTAAATTAACTGGTGTAATGATAAAAACTAACCTTATTGTGTGGTAAAACTATGAAAGCACCTCCCCCAGCACTTTCAACGATAATTGCTAAGAATTTAGGGTTAACAGCACAGAACGTTGAATCCCATGAACTTTTGGAAACTCTTATGTTATCATAGCATTGCTCTCTTTTAAGAGCTTGACCATAGACGTGACGAAATTTAGAGGAACGCACCACCCGAAAAGACATCTAAAAAAAATAAAAAACAATTTTTTGTTAGGACACATTCAACAGAAATTGTGATTTTTTTTATACATTTGCAGTAAAATTTAAACAAATAAAACAAACACAAAAATCAAATCACCTATGCACGAAACATAACCTAAAACTCTCATGTTTTGATTTGACGTATACGCACGGCTTACCTTGATAATCCGCAAAAAAACTAACTAAAATCGACGTTGATTGTGTTTACATTTAATAATTTACAATTTTGCTAGGCTAGAGAACGTTATCTATTTGCTGAACATATCTGGATCACCGTAGAGTTTATGAGAAAGCCCATATTTGGTTATGCGAATTTTTCGAAACGTCAAAAATGCGATACTAGCGCCACCTCCATTCGTTAGCTGCAAGCATCTATGGAATTTTTACAGAAAACTGTAGCCGAATCCAAGAAATGCTGGCATAAATTTTTAAATACCGAGTTATTTAGTTTGAATTTAATATCTAGCCCAAATTCACATTCTTAAAACAGTTTAGTTAACAGAATGTCAGTCTGTAGTAAAAACCTTTACAAAACAAATACAGCTTAAGTTGGCAGTGTAATATGCCTATAAAACAACCAATTACACCATTTACGTTGTTTTTAGTGTAAACATAAGCTTATTTAGTGGTTTTTATAAAAATGAAATCGTTTATGTCAAGTTGGCAGTATGGTTTCATTTCCGCGCAGTTGGCACTTCTGATTCAGTTTGTCGAAAAAGGTTATGGCGTACGTCAGTGAGAATGTTTGTCAGTGAAAATGTTGATTTTAACGTAATTCGGCTGTGAAATCGTTGAAAATGCGCGAAAAGGCGGAAAAAATGCGGCCCAAGCCGTCGAAACGAGTGGCCGGAATGATAATTCGCTCAAGGAATATAGTTGTAAAAGACGGAGTTGTCACTGTGAGTACCTATTTGACGTTGATTTTTTAGGAATTGTTTTTGTGTTTTTTCGGGGTTTTAACTGTAATTTTATGTCAACTGATAGGAAAATTTGCATTTTAACGCAACAAAATATGCGATAACAATATACGAAACATATTTTAACTCGTGTTTAAGTAGTTTAAATTGATTTTTTTAACAAGGGATTCTTATGTATACCTAATAGTAATTTTGCAATTTTTATTCATTCGCAAATTATTTATTTGACCTCTACAAACAAATTGTGTGCACACATATTTTTTGTTAACAATCTCTTTTATTATGGTTTAAACTGTCACATATGACTTTATTGAGGTGATTAAAATAAGATTTCGTAAAATGAAAATTACCAGATTAATCTTAATAAGTATTGATAAAATGTGTTGGATGTAAACATCAGTTTTGTATAATTAATATTTTTAATTATATTAACTTTCATTAAAAAACACTTGGGATAAGGAAAAAAAAACAAAATTGGGAAAAAGTGAGGTTGATATTGATAATATTTTTTTTTGGAAAATTTAATTATTAACTTGAAAATTTAGCCTTAAAACGAAATAATTCACGGTTTTACTTAAACAAGTTTATATCAATATCTTTCTATATAAAAGGTAAAATTGTGTCAAATTCTTGTTTGTAGGTACCTAGGTACCTACATACTTATGGACAAGCTCGTTTTATCAGATAAAAAATAATCGAAAACGCTTATTATTATTTTAATGCAGGTTGTTTTGCTTTTGTTTTATTAATGACACATATAGGTGATAAAACGTTATTAGCTTAAAAAATGTAGTTTTAACCTGTGTCTACCGAAACTGTTAGCGATTTGTTTTATAGTTTTTAGTGTGTGAAAATGTGCCTTGTGGTATTTTATTATTTATTTAAAAGATATATTTTGAATTTTCGGAGGTTTAAAAGGTTCTACCTCAATACGGCACTTGTAGGTATTTATTTTTATAACATAGTACTATATTTTGTGTTTTTTTATTAATTTAAAATTAAACTATTTAGATGCCAATAAAAAGTTACCTTATTTTTTTATTTATTTAAAATTACAAAAATAACATCTTTCTTATCACTTAAATTTAGGTCATACAATTGTGTTTTAATTTTTATTATTAGTAAGAACTAATGCAAGCTGTAAAAAAATATTGGGTATACCAAAAATTGCCTTACTTACTTAGTGTTTTTTATTTCGAGAGGAAATCCTGGGTTGACTTTTTACCGGTTTTCCAATAAACAGTGTTAATCTGAATGAAGAAATAAATTGCATACAGTCTCTGTAAATAAAAATTGTACCTATTAAATACAATAAATACTCATTTTAGTAGTGAAAAGTGTAAACATTTCAATTCAGTAAAAATCGTCAAACAAATAAGTCGTCTAAATTTAAACAGCATTGAGCATTTTTAAAAGCGTTGATTAAGAAAGTCTCCACTCAACGGTAAAATACCATTATATTATGTATTATATATAATATTATTTTGCCATGAATTCGTAGGTATATTTTGTTGTTTAAAATGCAGTTGTCGGCGTATTTTAGAGAACTCAAATATGAAAATGGTCGATTTTAAGGTTATGTTTGTGCAAAAATTATTTTTTACTTATTTCTTAAAAATGTTCAAACTTAAATATAAATTATATTAGGTAAAGTTATCATTAGTTAATTCTGCACCAACAAATGTACTTACCGAATTGGATCCTTTGGCAAAACATATTTTTTTTTCAAGGACAATCTCGAGATATCAATCTACTATTTGTAGGTACATATGTGCAATTTTTTCTCTGGTTAATTCACTGATAATGATTTGTCTCAATTATTTTTTTATTTATCCAGATAAGCATAGTTTGTTTGGTTTGTGAATTTGATGTTCAAATGGTGCTGTGTAAAAAAATGTGTATTATTCGTTATTATGTCAGTTGATTATAAAAATAATTTTTTCTACTCCCACCTTTAAAACGCCCTTTATCGTACATGTTTCCATGACACTAAGTGACCTTTTAAATACACATTGACAAGTTGTGGCTTTACGGCGCTTTAGTCACGGGCTGAAGTTAGTTTTAAGATGGTTGACAGTTGTCAAATGTCATACAATCGTTAAAATAAAGTGCCTTTCTTGTAAAATAATACTAAATGTGAAAATTATTTTATTATCTCAATACAAAAATACAAAAGTATTAAATAGTTTCTCAACGCCAATGTTTATATGAACATTGTACTGACCTTTTAATTTCGCCGGCAGTAAACTATAACTTAAATTCGGGCACGGACTCCACTGTAAAGTGCTCATAAAACATTTTCTTTACTTTCACTGTGAAAAACTGACAATTTTCAAGAAATACATTTCGATTTATAACCTTTACAATCTGCGTTTATAAAATATAAAAATTTGACATTTGACGGTGACACACAGATTCCCCTGTTGTTTCATAGATGGCGCTCTATAAAAATATTTGATTTAAATCATTTTAAGATAATAATAGTATTTGTCGTAGAAAAAGTATAGTTTATAAACTTGATACATAATATACTATTAAAACTTAAACTTTCTCTTGTTTCAGACGTCAGGGATTGGTCGCCCCAGCCTCTACCACGCCTTGGTGGTGATATTCTTGGAGTTTTTCGCGTGGGGTCTTTTAACTATGCCCTTAATCCAAGTTTTGAACAACACATTCCCAGAACAAACGTTTTTAATGAACGGGTTGATAATGGGAATAAAGGGGATTTTGTCTTTCCTTAGTGCGCCGCTAGTGGGCGCGCTTAGCGACGTGTGCGGGCGCAAGTTGTTCCTGTTGGTGACAGTTTTTTTCACATGTCTCCCGATCCCGCTAATGACAATAAACACCTTTTGGTTTTTCGCTATGATAAGTATATCAGGAGTGTTTGCCGTCACTTTCAGTGTTGTTTTCGCCTACGTTGCCGATGTTACCGACGAAAAGGAACGCTCGCTAGCCTACGGATTGGTGACGGGAACCTTCGCAGCCAGTTTGGTGATATCACCATCCTTGGGAGCTTATTTAATGGAGAGGTAAGTTTGCGGCGCTATATCTACGAAACTATCAACCTTAGAGAAAATTTTTAACGACAAAAAATATTCAACATCGCATTCTCTACAAAAAATGTTATTGCAGTTTTTGTCGAAAATTTGACCCTAACCGAGATTTAGTATAAAACGTCTTACAATGAATTAAACCAAAAACCTTGACTTGATAGATGATAGATTTTAATAATCGAACAAAAAAATAAAAATTAAAAGTTATAACATTTTAAAAACACATTGGTAAAATTAAGGGTACTAAATACATAATTTATTGGAAAATATAAGATTTATTGCAACTTTGAGCATATTATACATTAAATATCTTAAAATCAAATAATACCACACATCAGTGGCGGCTGGTGGATTTTGGGTATACCGATATCTCAATTATTAGATATGGAAGCCACACCAAATTTATATGAGTTTATAATGACATTAAATAAACAAGTTCTGCGCAAGCAGAATTTAAATTGAAGTTTGCGAAAAAAACATAACACATCGAACACGGTACTGATGAATGGGATACAAATTTGAGATTATAATTCGGAATTAAATATTTTACTGATATTTTTTATTAGTGGATGCTACTTATCAACAAATCACATATAGCCTTATATAAATTACAATGAAATATATATACGTAAGAAAATAACTACTCACCACAGTACTGAAATTTTGACTGGAACTATACGTGCATTCACCACAACTTCGCCGCTTGCATTGTTTTTAAGATTACTGTCGTGCAAAGGGCGAACTCTGTAGGTAATTTTTTACCAACACTTGATTTAAAACGAGGACTTGACGTTTAAACTTCAATATTTCGCAGGAATTTTGAATTTTAACATTGGACACAGAACTGACGGGTAAAAGTGAGTACAAAGATTATCAATTTTTTTAAAATTGCTATTATTCGAATCTATGATAAAATATGAAAAATAGATTATTTAATGTTTTATAGTTTGTGGTGAAATTGAAAAATTTAAGTTGTCCAACTTTTGTAGAATCACCCATACAGCGAAAGCAAATTTTTCAAAATGAGCACTTTCAGCGTTTCCTTTTAGTTTTTAACAGATTTATTTTTAAATAATGACAAAGACGTAAGTCTATTTTCTGAAAATTTAAAGAGAAGATTTCCAAATTTGGATGAAAATCAATTCACACTGGAAGAAGTTAAGGAATTATTAATGGAATAAATGCAATCTAAAAAGCATTTAAAAAATAAAGACCTTTATTTTTTTTTATTAAAATATAGTTAACTATACCTATTAAGTCTTATTTAACATGGTAAAAAATAAATATTTCTTTGCAATAAAAAAGTTTTTTGATTATTTCCTCAGTTAATCTAAAACGCATTTAAAAAATAAAAACCGAATGTTTTTCAATTGAAATATAGTTAGTTATACGTAATAATCCTTATATAATACAGTAAAAATGAAACAAATTGATATTTATTTTGAATAAAAAGTTTGTGAATTACATTTGTATTTCTGCAATTCAGTGCAATTATAATCTAAAAACGCATTTTAAAAATAAAAACCCTTAAAAATTTCGATTAAAATATAGTTAATTATTCGTAATGACTCATATTTAACACATTAAAAAAAGAAAAAATTAATATTTATTTGTAATATAAAAGTTATTGAATATTTTCCGCAAAACGCTGCTTTTTGACTATAGTGTGCGGTGGCTAGATTTGAGTGCAAACGTACCGAGAAAAAGTAAACACAAGAAAATGTACACTACATTCATAGATTGAAAAACGCCGGGATTTCGTGTTTTTCAGTATAACTCCGGAATTAAAAATATTAAACAATTGCAACTTCAGTATGTTGTAAGGGGGTATTAAGGCTAACTCCACACCAAATTTCGTGATTTTATCTTGCCTAATTTCGAAGATATTCGCGCGTAAAGTTGATCCCGCGATTTTTCGTTCTGTGAACGTGGTATAGCTCCACGTTACATTGCAAGGGGTGATATCGATTTTTCGGCGTTCAGTGCAGATGTAATTAGGTTAAAGGTCAGTTCTGCCAACTGAATTATTTTACATAAAATTTTGGCCATGGGCATTTTGATGTATTGTTTTCTTTTTTTTGTCTATTTATTTTTATGAGGTTGCCATTACTGGGTGTACATATTTTTTGCGATTTTCATAAAAAATATCACTTTTTGATCTTTATTACATGATTATGCTGCGATTAACCGTTTTCGTGATATTTTGATGAGTGCTCACTGTACCCATTAAAAAAATGGTACTTCTGCTGAAGACCTTAATTAAATACTCTGACACTGTCAAATTGACAGTATATTTATTATTAATAATTTACTTGTTAATTATTATATAATATCGATATAAAAAGATAACTATGCCGAAAATAATATCAGATTCTAAAGTAAAAGAACTTTTAAGGGCAAAACTTCATTTCGATGAAGTTATGCCAAATGCCTCAATGGCAGAAAAAGTACTAATGACCACGTACGGAACGCAGTCTTTTGAAAATTTGGCATTTAAGGCTTTTCAGGTTATGTATCTGTCAAAGTATAGTCAACGAAAGAAATAATATTATGTTTAGGCGTTAAAAATGTATAAATCTTTATAACATTACAATAACAATGGATGGTTTAAGAATTTAAGAATATAAATACTGCATTTAATGAAATTTTAAAGTGTATGGTGCCAAATAAGTAATATTTTTGTACATTTGGTCCAAATATCTGGTTTTCTTCATAAAATAATTTTAACTAAACAGCTTTTATTTTAAAAAATCTAGCTTCTCTATTATGGAATAAGAATATCTGTATTAAAGGTAGGTTAATATATTATAACAAAAATATCATCTAATTTTGTAATTTTAAGGTTAGAAAAATTTATTTTGACCAAAATAAATAAGTATTTTGGATTATTTAAAAGACTGTATAATATGGTATTAAAAATGTGGTAGTTTTTCTTATCCAGCTTAAAGTGTACCTACATAAAGTTTTGTCAATACAAATAGTTAAAAAGCTTCGACTGAATTTGATCTACATCAAAAAATCATTATAATAATTTTAATAAATCACATGTTATGGGAGTATTAAATATTTTCACATTGCAAGTTTCTCTAAAAATTGTTTGTTTTCTTATAATCTAACTTAAAGTAGGTATGCCGAGAGGTATGCACAAGTTTTGTCGTTAGAAGTATAAAAGCTTCAATTTAATTTGAACTATATTCAACAGTTATTTAGTATAGCTATATTTATTTATGAGCATATTAACACACTCTTTCAAATAATCCACTTATTTATTTTGGTCAAAATAGATGTTTCTTCTTAAACCAACCATTGTTATTGTGATACTATAAAGATTTATTAACTTTTAACTCTTAAACATATTTCTTTCGTTGACTATACTTTGACAGATACATAACCTGAAAAGCCTTAAATGCCAAATTTTCAGGAATATTTTGTCTCTCCTGGGCCGTAGTTGCTTGATATTACGTAATACACTGTGCGCATCATACCCGTTTCTTTTATGGTTGGATGAATAACATCTTTGTTTTAATTTGTTTGTGGTTCAGGTGGTCGGTAAACCTGGTGGTGGCTCTGGCCACCGCGGTGGCCATCTTGGACGTGTTCTTCATCCTGGTGGCCGTGCCCGAGTCTCTGTCCGAAAAGGTGCGAGTTTCGCCCATCAGCTGGGAGCAGGCCGATCCTTTTGCGGCCCTGCGCAACGTGGGTCAAGACTCCACCATATTGCTGCTCTGCATAGCTGTTTTTCTCAGTTATTTACCCGAAGCTGGGCAGTACAGCTGCATCTTCGTTTACCTGAAGATAGTGATGGGTTGGAGCGCCCCACTAGTCGCGGTTTTCGTGGGACTGGTGGGACTGATGGCTGTCATAGCGCAGCTTTGTTTGGGTAAGTTGGTCGAGTACTGCGCAGCCTTACATTTTTTAGCTAAATTTTAGCCAAAAAATCGTTAAAAACGTGGTTTACATTTTAGCCAAGGTAAGTAAGTTCAAAAAAAGTTTGTACCTATAAAATTGTTAAAAATATGATTTTACCTAAAATTCGTTAAAAACATACCTTAAAACACTCGAAATCGTTGAAAACATGATTTACATTTTTTAGCTAAAAAATCGTTCATAACCTGATCCACATTTCTTTACATTTTTTTATATAAATTTTTGTTGGGAAATCGTTAAAAACATAATTTACACTTTTTTAGCTAAAAAATTTTTAAAACAAGTTTTACATTTTTTAGCTAAAAAATCGTTAAAAACACATTTTTCTATCTAAATTTTAGCTAAAACATGATTTACAATTATTAGCTAAAAGTTAAAATTATAATTTACATTTTTTACCTAAAATCGTTAAAAAAATACTTAAAAAATTGTTGAATACATTTTTTTAGCTAAAACATCGTTGATAACACATTTTTTGTTCTAAATTTTAGCTATAAATCGTCATAAACATGATATACAAATCGTTAAATAAGTGGCTTCCATTTTCTAGCAAATTTGTAGCAAAAAAATCGTTGAAATCATGATTTACATTTTTTAGCTAAAAATCGTTAAAAACACGTTTTTTGATATAATTTTTGGCTAAAAAGTCGTCAAAAACATGATTTACAATTTTTAGCTAAATAATGGTTAAACTTATAAAATCGTTAAAAAAATACCTAAAAAAAATTGATGAAAACTCGATTTACATTTTTTAGCAAAATAATCGTTAAATACGTGGCTTTCATTTTTTTAGCGAATTTGTAGCTAAAAAATCGTTGAAAACATAATTTACATTTATTATCTAAAAAATTTTAAAAACATCTTTTACATTTTTTGGCTAAAAAATCGTTAAAAACACATTTTTTGATCTAAATTTTAGCTAAAAAATGTATTATTATTATTTACAATTTTTAGCTAAATAATAGGTAAAATTAGAATTTAAATTTATTAATCGTTAAAAACATACCATAAAAAAATGTTGAAAACTCGATTTACATTTTTTAGCCTAAAACGTTTGAAAAATTATTTACATTTTTTAGACAAAAAATCATAACATGATTCACATTTCTTAAGATAAATCGTTACATAAAAACAAAATTTACATTTTTTAGCTAAAAAATGTTAAAAACCCGTTTTACATTTTTTTGCTAAAAAATCGTTAAAAACATTTTGTTTTTACATTTTTTAGCCAAATTTTTGTTGTGAAATCGTTAAAAACATTTAGCTAAAAAATCGTCTTTAACATGAACACCTTAAAAAAATTGTTGAAAACTCGATTGGGGGTTCCATTTTTCAGCGAAGTTTTAGCTAAAATTGTTTAAAACATTATTTACATTTTTTAGCTAAAAAATCGTTCATTACATGATTCACATTTCTTTAGCTAAATCGTTAATTTTTTTATGGAAATTTTTGTTGGGAAATCGTTAAAAACATAATTTACATTTTTTAGCTAAAAAATGTTAAAAACACGTTTTACATTTTTTTGCTAAAAATCGTAAAAAACATTTTGTTTTTACATTTTTTAGCCAAATTTTTTTTGGGGAAATCGTTAAAATCATAATTTACATTTTTTTAGCTAAAAAATCGTTAAAAACATAATTCAGATTTTGTTTTTACATTTTTTGCCAAATTTTTGTTGAGAAATCGTTAAAAACACATTCTTTGAGTTAAATTTTAGCTAAATTATAAGTCAAATTGGAATTTACATTTTTTATCTATAAATTGTTAAAAACCTAAGCCTAAAAACGTTTAACACATTATTTACATTTTTTAGCTTAAAAATCGTTCATAACATGATTCACATTTCTTTAGCCAAATCGTTACATTTTAGTTGGTAAATCGTTGTTTTTTGGCTAAAAAATCGTTAAAAACATTATTCACATTTTGTTTTTGCATTTTTAAGCCAAATTTTTGTCAATAAATCGTTAAAAACACATCTAAATTTTAGCTAAAAAAGCGTCATAAACATGATTTACATCTTTTTAGCTAAAAACCGTTAAAAACATAATTTTCATTCTTTGGCTAAATTTTAGCTAAAAACACTGTTTACATTTCGTAAAGTATGATTTACATTTTTTATCTAAAAAATCGTTCAAAACATGATTTACATTTCTTTAGCTAAATCACTACATTTTTTTATACAAATTTTTGTTGAGAAATTATTAAAAACAAAATTTACATTTTTTAACTTAAGTTTAGCTAAAAAATCGTTAAAAACATTCACATTTGGTTTTTACAATTTTTGTAGCCAAATTTTGGTTGAGAAATCGTTATAAACATGATTTACATTTTTTAGCTAAATTATAGCTAAAAGGGAATTTGCATTATTAGCTAAAAAGTAGCTGTTACAAACGACTTTTTGCAAGTCTACCAGCGAATTTGTAGAAGACGCGCCTTTAATATTTAGCTAAAAAACATGGTTTACCTTTTTTGTCATTTTAGCTAACACACCTTAAAAGCCATGAGTTTTAGCTAAAAAATCGTTAAAAACATGGTTTACATTTTTTAGCTAAATTTAGCGAATATTTGCAGGTATTTTGATAAAAAACCTGGGAGCAAAGCACACCATAATGCTAGGGTTGCTCTTCGAGATGCTCCAACTTTTGTGGTACGGCTTTGGAACGACGACATGGATGATGTGGGGGGCGGGAATATTGGCCTCGATGAGTTCCATAACTTACCCCGCCATTTCCGCTTTTGTATCGGTCCACACGACGGCCGACAGGCAGGGGGTCGTACAAGGTAAAAGATCTTACTAAGCATGCACTATGCTCCACGCCTCAAAGTCCCACCACGTGACCACGTACGGAACGCAGTCTTTCGAAAATTTGGCATTCAAGGCTTTTCAGGTTATGTATTAGGGTGATTCATTTCCGCAAAGTTTTTGTTTTTTTTCGGTGCTCAAGCATAATATTAATCTGCATATAGGAAAAAACATTCTCACCAAGTTTGAGCTCTTAATATTAATTTTAAGCACTTACTATTTAAATTTAAAGTTTTACCGTTTAAAATGCATGTAAAAAATATATTTTTTTTTCAAATTTCTAATGCTTACCCACCTTTGACAATATTGCAAATCGGTTTAATACACCTTATGGGCAATTTCACGCTCTTTAAAATTGCTTTTGAGTTTTTTTTGTAACTCGCATTGGTTCACCAGTAGGAGTCGTCAAAGGACAGTTTTTGAAAAAATAGTTTTTTTTATTTTTTCGAGCAAATCGCCAAAAGTAGTGAGAAAAAAGGGCTGATTCATAAAAAAAAAGTTATCCAACCAATATTTAATGAATTTACTGCCATTTTTATAACTGAAAACGTAAGAAATTGATAAATACCAACCCATAATGTTATTTAGATTGATTTTTTCTATTTATTATCATTATATTTCCCTACACTAAGAACTTTTTTAAAATTATTATGATTTCTCACTCATAATGAATATGAAAACAACACATAAATTCATAAAAAAAAACAACAAAACCTTAATCGGAATATACAGAAGGTTATGTAACATATTTCAAATTTCGCTTCAAAAAATTAAATAATCTTCATTTATATTTTTTTGCTATATGACAGAAATGTTGAAAAATTGCAAAATCCACGTTACAATTTTCTTATTGTTTTTTATGAATTTATCTGTTGTTTTCATATTCATTATAAGTGAGAAATCAATAATTTTAAAAAACTTCTTAGTGTAGGGAAATATAATGATAATAAATAGAAAAAATCAATCTAAATAACATTATGAGTTGGTAATTATCAATTTATTACGTTTTCAGTTATAAAAATGGCTGTAAATTCATTAAATATTGGTTGGATAACTTTTTGTATGATTCAGCCCTTTTTTCTCACTGCTTTTTGCGGTTTGTTAGAAAAAATTAAAAAAAAAAACGATTTTTTTCACTGTCCTTTGACGACTCCTACTGGTAAACCAATGCGAGTTACAAAAAAAACTCAAAAGCAATTTTAAAGAGCGTGAAATTCCCCATAAGGTGTATTAAACCGATTTGCAATATTGTCAAAGGTGGGTAAGCATTAGAAATTTAAAGAAAAAAATATATTTTTTACATGCATTTTAAACGGTAAAACTTTAAATTTAAATTGTAAGTACTTAAAATTTATATTAAGAGCTCAAACTTGTTGAGAATTTTTTTTTCTATATGCAGATTAATATTTTGCCTGAGCACCAAAGAAAACAAAAACTTTGCGGAAATGAATCACCCTATTATGTATCTGTCAAAGTATAGTCAACGAAAGAAATAATATTATGTTTAGGCGTTAAAAATTTATAAATCTTTATAACATTACTATAACAATGGATGGTTTTAGAATTTAAGAATATAAATACTGCATTTAATGAAATTCCAAAGTGTATGGTGCCAAATAAGTAACATTTTTGTGCATTTGCTCCAAATATCTGGTTTTCTCCATAAAATAATTTAACTAAACAGCATTTATTTAAAAAAATCTAGCTTCTCTATTATGGAATAAGAATATCTGTATTAAAGGATCAAATATCATCTAATTTTGTAATTTTAAGGTTAGAAAATTTATTTTGACCAAAATAAATAAGTATTTTGGATTATTTAAAAGACCTTATAATATGGTATTTAAAAATGTGGTAGTTTTTCTTATCCAGCTTAAAGTGTACCTACATAAAGTTTTGTCAATACAAATAGTTAAAAAGCTTTGACTGAACTTGATCTACATCAAAAAATCATTATAACTTTAAAATTTTTAATAAATTACATGTCATGGGAGTATTAAATATTTTCAGTTTCTCTAAAAATTGTTTGTTTTCTTATAATTTAACTTAAAGTAAGTATGCCGAGAGGTATGCACAAGTTTCGTCGTTGGAAGTATAAAAGCTTCAATTTAATTTGAACTATATTCAACAATTATTTAGTATACCTATATTTATTTATGAGCATATTAACACACTCTTTCAAATATTTTGGTCAAAATAGATTTTTCTAACCTTAAAATACAAAATTAGATGATATTTTTTGTTCTAATACATTAACCTACCTTTGATGCAGATATTCTTATTTCATAATAGAGAAGTTAGATTTTTTTAATAAATGCTGTTTAGTTCAAACTATTTTATGAAGAAATGTAGACCCAATGCACAAAAATATCACTTATATTGCACCTTACACTTTGGAATTTCATTAAATGCAGTACTTATATTCCTAAATTCTTAAACCAACCATTGTTATTGTGATACTATAAAGATTTATTAACTTTTAACGCTTAAACATAAGCGGTAACACTATAAATATCATTTCTTTCGTTGACTATACTTTGACAGATACATAACCTGAAAAGCCTTAAATGCCAAATTTTCGAAAGACTGCGTTCCGTACGTGGTCATGTGGTGGGACTTTGAGGTGTGGAGTAGGGTGATTCATTTCCGCAAAGTTTTTGTTTTCTTCGGTGATCAAGCAAAATATTAATCTGCATAAAAAAAAAATTCTCAACAAGTTTGAGCTCTTAATATAAATTTTAAGTACTTACTATTTAAATTTAAAGTTTTACCGTTTAAAATGCATGTAAAAAATATATTTTTTTTTTCAAATTTCTAATGCTTACCCACCTTTGACAATATTGCATATCGGTTTAATACACCTCTTTAAAATTGCTTTTGAGTTTTTTTTGTAACTCGCATTGGTTCACCAGTAGGAGTCGTCAAAGGACAGTTTTTGAAAAAAATCGTTTTTTTAAATTTTTTTTTAACAAACTGCAAAAAGTAGGGAGAAAAAAGGGCTGAATCATAAAAAAAAGTTATCCAACCAATATTTAATGAATTTACAGCCATTTTTATAACTGAAAACGTAATAAATTGATAATTACCAACTCATAATGTTATTTAGATTGATTTTTTCTATTTATTATCATTATATTTCCCTACACTAAGAAGTTTTTTAAAATTATTGATTTCTCACTTATAATGAATATGAAAACAACAGATAAATTCATAAAAAAACAATAAGAAAATTGTAACGTGGATTTTGCAATTTTTCAACATTTCTGTCATATAGCAAAAAAATATAAATGAAGATTATTTAATTTTTTGAAGCGAAATTTAAAATATGTTACATAACCTTCTGTATATTCCGATTAAAGTTTTGTTTTTTTTTATGAATTTATGTGTTGTTTTCATATTCATTATAAGTGAGAAATCATAATAATTTTAAAAAAGTTCTTAGTGTAGGGAAATATAATGATAATAAATAGAAAAAATCAATCTAAATAACATTATGGGTTGGTATTTATCAATTTCTTACGTTTTCAGTTATAAAAATGGCAGTAAATTCATTAAATATTGGTTGGATAACTTTTTTTTTATGAATCAGCCCTTTTTTCTCACTACTTTTGGCGATTTGCTCGAAAATAAAAAAAAACGATTTTTTTCAAAAACTGTCCTTTGGCGACTCCTACTGGTGAACCAATGCGAGTTACAAAAAAACTCAAAAGCAATTTTAAAGAGCGTGAAATTCCCCATAAGGTGTATTAAACCGATTTGCAATATTGTCAAAGGTGGGTAAGCATTAGAAATTTGAAAAAAATATATATTTTTTACATGAATTTTAAACGGTAAAACTTTAAATTTAAATAGTAAGTGCTTAAAATTAATATTAAGAGCTCAAACTTGGTGAGAATGTTTTTTCCTATATGCAGATTAATATTTTGCTTGAGCACCGAAAAAAAAACAAAAACTTTGTGGAAATGAATCACCCTAGTGTGGAGCATAGTACATTAATCTTGATTAATTGGTGATAATTTTCAGGCATGGTCACCGGAATGAGGGGTCTCTGTAACGGACTTGGTCCTGCAATGTACGGTTTGATTTTCTACATGTTCCACGTGGACCTCAACGAAAACGATACGCAGCAAAATGCCACGCATTCCACCCAACCCCCTAACATATTCACAGGTAATATTAATAATAATCTAATGATGTGAAATGAATACTAATTTTTTTATATATTTTTTTTAGCTTGTGCCTGGCCCACCATTTGTTTTGGTGCTTTTCTAGTTGTAGGTGCGCTGATTGTAGCTTCATTCATCCCTTCAAAGACCCGTGTAGAAACAAGTAAGAATTTTTATTAAAATTTTTACATTTTTTGGCTAAATCGTTAAAAACGTGGTTTACATTGTTTGGCTATATTTTAGCTACAAAATCATGCAATAAATTTTTTTCACCAAATTTTCTCCAAATTATTAAAAAGATTATTTTCATTTTTTAAATAAAAAATCGTTAAAACAATTTATATCTTTTAGCTAATAAGGGTTAAAAACATTCACATTTTGTTAAAAAATCGATATAAACATTATTAGCGAAATTTTACCTATAAAATCGTTAAAAGCACGATTTACATTTTTTAGCAAAAAAATCTTTAAAACATTATTTACAATTTTTAGCTAAAAAATCTTTAAAAACCTTAAGGTGATTTTCATTCTTTGGCTGAAAAATAGTATGATTTTTTGGCTAAAAAATCGTTCAAAACATAATTCACATTTCTTTAGCCAAATCGTTACATTTTTTTATGCAAATTTTTGTTGAGAAAACGTTAAAAACATATATACATTTTTTTAGCTAAAGTTTAGCTAAAAAATCGTCATTAACATGGTTTACATTTTTTAGCCAAATTATAGCTAAAACAGAATTTTCATTTTTAGCTAAAAAGTAAAAAACATGATTTTTTTAGCCAAATGAAATAATGTACATTTTTAGCTGAAAATCGTTTTTCAGCTAAAAAATTGTAAAAAAAACGATTTACTTGTTTTTACCTAAAAAATCGTTAAAACGTGATTTCAATTTTTTAGCCAAAAAATGTTTAAAACATTATTTACATTTTTTAACTAAAAAATCTTTAAAATCATGATTTATATTTTTAGCTAAAAAACATGATTTTTGGCTAAACTTTAGGGTGATTTTCTTTATTTGGCTAAATTTTTGCTAAAAAAATCGTTGAAAAGACGATTTACATGTTAAAACCACGATTTTAATTCTTTGGCTAAAAAATCGTTTAGTATGATTTTTCAGCTAAAAAATTGTTCAAATCATGATTCAAATTTCTTTAGCTAAATTGATACATTTTTGTATACAAATTTTTGTTGAGAAATCGTTAAAAACATAATTTACATTTTTTATCTAAAAAATCGTCATTAACATGGTTTAAATTTTTTAGCCAAATTATAGCTAAAACAAAATATACATTTTTTATCTAAAACATCTTTAAAACATGATTTTCATTCTTTGACCAAATTTCAACTATAAAAAAAAATTAAAAAATATGATTTGCATTTTTTAGCAAAAAATCGTTTAAAACAAGATTCACATTTTAATTTCACTATTTTTAGCTAAATTTTTGTTGAGAAATCGTTAAAAACACATTATTTGAGCTAAATTTTAGCTAAAAAAATCGTTATAAACATGATTTACATTTTTAGCTAATTTATACCTAAAAACAGAATAAACATTTTTAGTTAAAAACCGTTAAAAATTGGCTAATTTTTAAATAAAAAAAATCGTTAAAAACACGATTTACATTTTTTAGCTAAGCAATAGCTAATTAAGTTGTTCTACAAAATGTGAATCATGTTTTTACATTTTTTAGCCAAATTTTGGAAAAATCGTTAAATATAAATTTTTGGGGTAAATTAAGGCTAAAAACAGAATTTAATTTTTAGCTAATTAAGTTGTTCTCCTACAAGCTAGGTGTTCTCCCAAAAGCTACTAACGTGCCTTTAATTTTTAGCTAAAAAATCGTTAAAAACATTCACATTTTGTTAAAAAATCGATATAAACATGATTTACATTTTTAGCTAAAATCAGAATTTTCATTTTTTACCTAAAAAACGCTAAAACCACGATTTTAATTATTTGACTACATTTTAGCTAAAAAAAAATCGTCACATAAACATGATTTAAATTTTTTAGCTAAATTATAGCTAAAATCAGAATTTAAATTTTTTACCTAAAAATTTTAAAACAGTTCTTTCTTTGACTTTAGCTAAAAAAATCGTTAAAACACGATTTTCATTTTTTAGCTAAATTTTGTATGCAAAATTATTTGTTTTAGCTAAAAATGATTTTTATTCTTTGCTTAAATTTCAACTAAAAAATCGTTAAAAACACGATTTACATTTTTTAGCTAAGCATTAGCTAATTAAGGTGTTCTACAAAATGGGAATCGTGTTTTTACGTTTTTTAGCCAAATTTTAGAGAAATCGTTAAATATAAATTAAGGCTAAAAACAGAATTTAATTTTTAGCTAATTAAGTTGTTCTCCTACAAGCTACCAAGTAAAAACATGGTTTACATTTTTTTAGCATTTTAACTAACATACCTTAAAAGCTATGATTTTCATTCTCTAGCTTAATTTTATCTAAAAAAACGTTAAAAACGTGGTATACATTTCGTTGCACTTTTTTAAGGTATTCCCCTGGACACCCACTACGAAATGGAACGGGGTCATAAGGTTGCAGGGACCCTCAGCCCCCTGATTCCAAGCAGTAGAAACAGTATTGACACCGCCATACTCTAAGCGCTTCATTTAGGGACCCCAAAGCAAAAAATAAACACCCCAAACGGGGTAAATTTTTGAATTAATTTAAGTGAATATTGCCGGCGCATACCAACTTATTTCAAGATGCCTGATGCAATAAAGAGAGAGAATATTTTTTAAGAATAATTTTTATTATTATATTATAGGAGGTTTGTAAATAGCAATGATGCTTTTTATTACATTATAAAAGTGCAGAAATGATTTTTAATAATCGGGTTTTTCGATTTGTGAAATTAAAATTTTGAAAAAAGTTCGTATCCCTAAATAAGCATAAAAAATTTTTTTGGAGTCATATCAGGTATTTTTACAATTCACCAGAAAAACTGCCATAATTTTTGACATTTTGGCGGTGAAAGTTTATAATTTTCTTAGTAGGATTTTCGGTAATTTTTTAATTTTTGATGCGGTAATTTAGTAATTTTTACATTTAAATGACCCCCAAGTTTCTCTATAATTTAATTTATTTTATTGGTTGTACAAATAATTCTTAAGAAGTAAATTTTTCGGCAATGCACATGTTTTTTTTCCAAGACTGATTTTGTATGATTTTTTCCACAAAAAAATAATTTTGTCGTAAAAATTATATTTATGCATTTTATACTGTACATTTTTCACGTGTCGTCCCTTATACTACTAATTTATTTTAATTTAATATCGAAAAATGTATAGTTCATTCCATGTGTATTGCCCACTACTTTTTTATTCATTTATATATCATTTTTATGGAACTGAGTAAAAAAGTATTAAAATTTTGAAACATATCTTTTTTGTTTGTGATATTTTTTAATTAAATGCAGTTTCAGAAAAAGTATATGGGGCATTCCATAGTTTTTCTACCCTATCAGAATTTTTTCAATTTTTTTTTTGAAAAATTGACTTTTCCAAAATTTGTTTTTTTCGCTTGAAAAAAAAAATAAAAACTAATAAAAAAAAATTAAAATGACAAATCGGTCTGAATAATAACATAAAAACAAAAATTTTGAAAAAAACGAACAAGTCAATTTTTGAAAAAGTTATAAAATAAACAATTTTTAAGTTCATTTAAAAAGTTTAAGCCAGATTTGGGATGGAATGTCCCATATGAATTTTTTTTCTTATAAAAAATAGATTCCCCAATCTGTTTACTAAATTTTACTTTCCTGAATTTTTTTGGATATCTTGCATTATTTAAAAGATATAAAAGAAATAAGTCAGTGACATAATTTAAAAAAAAACTTTTAAATAAAGCAAGATATTAAAAAAACCCAAAGAAAAAAAGTTTTGTAAATAGAACAAGGAATCTAATTTAATACATTTTTACACTTTTTCTGAAAAACTGAAAATTGTTCTTGTTAAACGGTTTTCCAGATTCTTTGTGTTTTTTGCCATTTAAATGTTAAGAAAATGCAATAATAATAAAGCTTAAATTTCTCGTCATTTTTACAACAAAATAAAAATTGTTAATGATTTTTAGAATATGTTTATTATTTTTTTAAATTTGGTGATTAACTTAATTTTTTAATTTTGACAAAGACATATTTATAATGAAAAGTATTTTAGCTATTAGAGAATTTAAAGTGTAAAATATAAAAAAATAAAATAATTGTTTATGTAGAAAGCTTTTTATTACTACTACTACCTCCACCAAAACAAAAAATAAAACAACGGTAATTTAATCAAAAGGTAATATATTTAGGAACTCTTTAATCCTACATAATACAAAAACCACTTTCGTAGGTATTTTACAACAAAATTTGTACAAAAGTATTTGTTCTTAAATCTAAATTCACAGGTGATGGACTAGTTAAAAAAATAATACCAACGGTAAGTACAAACAAAAATAAAAATCACCAGGTTATTGCACGAAATTTTTACGGGGAAAATAAATAAACATATTGACTAGTATGGAAAAACTAAACTTTGGAAGCTACTTTTGTTTTTTAATGAAAAAAAATCACCCTGTATATTCCAGATATACAAATATAAACGAAAACAAATTTGTCAATTTATTGACAAGAATAGAAACATTATATCAACGTTATAAAATATTTATTTAAATGTCAGTTTTTATGCATAATTTTGGACAATTTTCATAATAATTTCATAAATATTTTTAACCAACCAGAAATATTCTGTATACTATAAAAATTTTGTAAGAACCAACCAAAATTGTGCATTTAAGTCCAAATATTTCCTTGTCAGGCAATAAAACTGATCATTCAAACCCAAAAAAGCAAAAACAACAAAAACTTAACTTTATTGCACTGTTGGGCAACTTAGCTAACCTAAAACTAATTTGACAGTTGTAACGTCAATTTTGACGTTACAAATGTCATTTTCACGAAAATTTGACATTTGTTACATCTATTTTGACGTTTTAAGGCAAAATAGGCATTTGGCACATCATTTATAGACTCAATAGTCAAGTAAAACTAGTTAAGGCAAAGTTTGGCAAATTTAAAGCTATTTAGTCAATATTAGAGATCATTTGTCTAGATAACGCACCTAACCTCAAAAACTGGTTATTTGACATTTAATTGACAGGAACGTAAGTTGACAATTGCACCGTGTGATAACCTCAAAAACAACCTAATTTGACATTTGTTACATCGATTTTGACGTTTTAAGGCATCATTTTAGACTTCAATTAAAACTAGTTGAGGCACAGTTTGGACAAATTTAAAGCTATTTAGCGAATATTAGAGATCATTTGTTTAATAATTGCACTTAACCTTAAAAACTGGTAATTTGACGTTTCAAATGTCATTTTGACGTTTAATTTACTCTAAATGCCATTTGCGGACGTAAATTGACGTGATAACCTCAAAAACAAGCTGATTTGACATTTGTTACATGGATTTTGACGTTTTAAGGCAAAATAGGCATTTGGCACAACATTTATAGACTCAATAGTCAAGTAAAACTAGTTAAGGCAAATTTAAAGCTATTTAGCCAATATTAGAGATCATTTGTCTAGATAACGCACCTAACCTCAAAAACTGGTTATATGACGTTTAATTGACAGGAACGTAAGTTGACAATTGCACCGTGTGATAACCTCAAAAACAACCTAATTTGACATTTGTTACAACTATTTTGACGTTTTAAGGCATCATTTTAGACTTAATAGTCAATTAAAACTAGTTGAGGCAAAGTTTGGACAAATTTAAAGCTATTTAGCGAATATTGGAGATCATTTGTTCGATAATATGACTTAACCTCAAAAACTGGTAATTTGACGTTTCAAATGTCATTTTGACGTTTAATTTAGTGGAAATGTCATTTGCGGACGAAAAATGACTTTGTGATAACCTCAAAAACAAGCTGATTTGACATTTTTGACTTTTTAAAGCAAATTAGGTATTTGACGCGTCATTTGTACTTAAAAGTCGTGCAAAAGCAGGTTTAGACGAATTTAAAGCCATTTAGAGAATATTAACCTCAAAAATAGGTTAATTTGACGTTTGAAATGTCATTTTGACGTTTTTAACATCAGATGCGGCGTTTTGAGACGCAATAGCCATTTGACATTTTATTTATAGACCTTGAAGTTAATTTGACGTTTGAAATGTCATTTATTATAATTTTAACGTTTTTAACCTCACAAGTGATGTTTTGAAACGATCTAACCTCAAAAATATGTTTATTTGACGTTTGAAATGTCATTTATAGAACCAATAGTTAAATTTCTGTGCTAAGTGGCGAAACGTACCTAACCTCAAAATTTGACGTTTGAAATGTCATTTTGACGTCATTTATATTTACCTAATAGTCAAGTAAAGAGTTTGGACAAAATTAAAGCTATTTAGTGAGATTATTTGTCCCAAATCTTTTCGCTAGTTTGTGAGACGTACCTAACCTCAAAAACAGGTATATTTGATATTTGAAATGTTTATTTTGACGTTTATTATAATTTTGACGTTGTTAACCTCACAAGTGACGTTTTGAAACGACCTAACCTCAAAAATATGTTTATTTGACGTTTGAAATGTCATTTTAACGTTTATTTTGATTTTGTCGTTTTTAACCTCGCATGTGACTTTTCGAGACGAAATAGCTTCGTTTATTGTGCCTAACCTCAAAAAAAAAAGTTGATTTGACGTTTGAAATGTCATTTATGTCACGAAATGTACCTAACCTCAAAATTTGACGTTTGAAATGTCATTTTGACGTCATTTATATTTACCTAATAGTCGAGTAAAGACAGTTTGGATGAAATTAAAGCTATTTAGTGAGATTATTTGTCCCAAATCTTTTCGTTAGTTTGTGAGACGTACCTAACCTCAAAAACAGGTAAATTTGACATTTGAAATGTTTATTTTGACATTTATTATAATTTTGACGTTGTTAACCTCACAAGTGACGTTTTGAAACGACCTAACCTCAAAAATATGTTTATTTGACGTTTGAAATGTCATTTTAACGTTTATTTTGATTTTGTCGTTTTTAACCTCGCATGTGACTTTTCGAGACGAAATAGCTTCGTTTATTGTGCCTAACCTAAAAAAAAAGTTGATTTGACGTTTGAAATGTCATTTATGTCGCGAAATGTACCTAACCTCAAAATTTGACGTTTGAAATGTCATTTTGACGTCATTTATATTTACCTAATAGTCGAGTATGAAATTAAAGCTATTTAGTGAGATTATTTGTCCTAAATTACTTCGCTGGTTTGTGAGACGTACCTAACCTCAAAAACAGGTAAATTTGACATTTGAAATATTTATTTTGACGTTTATTATAATTTTGACGTTGTTAACCTCACAAGTGACGTTTTGAAACGACCTAACCTCAAAAATATGTTTATTTTAACGTTTATTTTGATTTTGTCGTTTTTAACCTCACATGTGACGTTTCGAGACGAAATAGCTTCGTTTATGGTGCCTAACCTCAAAAAAAAGTTGATTTGACGTTTGAAATGTCATTTATGTCGCGAAATGTACCTAACCTCAAAATTTGACGTTTGAAATGTCATTTATATTTACCTAATAGTCGAGTATGAAATTAAAGCTATTTAGCGAGATTATTTGTCCTAAATCACTTTGCTGGTTTGCGAGACGTACCTAACCTCAAAAACAGTTAAATTTGACATTTGTAATGTTTATTTCGACGTTTTAAAACATTCTAAATGCCGGCTCGATATATAGACTAGTTAAGGTTGATTTTGACGCGTTTTAAAGTCGCACAATTCCGCGCGCGCGTCTACTGATGCTTCTTGCTGAAGTCGAACATCAAAGGCGACTGATCCGGCTCGCCGAGTCGCATGAAACTCGGCATTTGCGGGTTGAACGCGAATTTTTTCTTACCCTCGCCTTCGTCGTCGGAACTTTCCAGCGGAGCGAAGCTCCGATCCATGTCGACGTCCACCAGATGGCGCTGGTACGCCTGCGCGTCGATTTGGGCCTGGCTGGTCACGGTGCTGCTGCAGCTGGGCTGCGGCGATTCCTCGTACTCGCCGAATATGTTCACCTTGCGCAGCTTGCCGGAATTGCGCGACATCTTTGCAACGGTCTTGGAAGGGCGGCTTGTGAGGGTCAGGAAATGATCGTTCGTAGAATACGAAGGCTGTTCCATGTAGTTAGTGGCCTAGGGCACGACGAAAAACTAATATCGAACGCAATAAAACTTGTTCTGATCTTATGAAAGAAAAGAAAAAATAAGTGGAATACACCAAAGATAATGCATTATCTTTGGAATACACAGCAAAACGGAAATGTATTGGATGCATATTAGGGTGTTTCAAAAAAACCTTTTTTTTTTGTTTTTTTTTCTCGGAACCACGCTCAAAAGTTTCGTATAGATATAAAAATGAGCCTGTGAAAAAATGAGCTCTTAATTTCAAAATTAAGATGCTCCGCATCGCACTTTTCGATTTTCCATAAGAATAACATGGGAAAAATTATTTTTGTTTCTTTTTATTTTTGTAACTAAAGAACAATACTAGTACTGTAAAGTACTGTAAAGTTCCTGACATATTTTTGTAGAGAATTGAACGCTCTACAAAAAAGGTCTAAAGTCATTTTTCGGTAAGTTAACTTGGTTAAAAGTTATTCAAGGTTAAAGTGAAATTAACCGTCAATTTAGTCGTTTTCTAGAATTTTTTCTGGATTTTTTAGTTCAAACAGCGTTCAATTCTCTATAAAAATATTTCAAAATTTTTTAAATGAGTCTGACATACTCGCCAAAAAAGTTAAAAATACAGTTCTGATAAAACTTTAAGATTTAGTATTCAAATGGAGAGTCATCCTATACACTTCTATATTTTTGCTTGTAATTTTTTTTATAAAAATCGATTAAGAATATCACAATTAGAAGAATTTTATTAATAAATAGCAGTAGGCCATGACGGCAAATTCAGCGGTGCCAATGAAGTAAAAATAAAACGTTGTATTTTAATTAACAAATTTCAACTTTATAACAAATTAAAGTATTATTAAAAACTTAAAACATAAACATAAAAAGTAATTAAATAACAATATAAATTGTTTATTTGTTGTTAGAATGGTATAGTTAGGGTTAAAAACTGTCATATTTTTGTGTTTCTTAAGTTGGCAGCAAGAAATTTGAAATGACATTTTTAAAAGGCGCTAAAAAATTGTTTTTTTGAGATTTTTATAGAAATAAAATGAAGATCCCTTGGCGGCATAATTAAGTATAAAGTTTATAAAATTATTTTTAAATTTTAAAATATACACCTCCATTTTTTAACTCGATTAAATACTCTACAGAATATTGATTATAACCTGGAAACAGATGTTGGATTAATTCGTAATTCTTGACACATCTGTTTTATCGCCGTTTTCAATTTTTTTAATAACAAACGGAGAAACAGTAAAATTAAAAAAAAAATTAAAACATACAAAATTTTAATCTTGAAAAATTACCTTGGAAATGTAAAAATTAATAAAAACAATTTGAATATAAAAAAAAATTTGGAGTAATTTTACAGAATTTGAAACATTTCTAAAAAATTGTTTTTTTGAGATTTTTATAGAAATAAAATGAAGATATCTTGGCGCATATTTAAGTATAAAGTTTATAAAATTATTTTTAAATTTTAAAATATACACCTCTATTTTTAAACTCGATTAAATACTCTACAGAATATTGACTATAACCTGGATCCCTTCGTAATTCTTGACACATCTGTTTTATTGCCGTTTTCAATTTTTTTAATAACGGAAAAACAGTAAAATTTAAAAAAAATTAAAACATACAAAATTTTAATCTTGAAAAATGACCTTGGAAATGTCAAATCAAATAAAAACAATTTAAATATAAACAAAAAAATTTCCCAGAATTTGAAATATTTCCGAGAACTGGCAACACAGCGCCACCTCGCGCACACATCAACATTCAAATATTACCAAAGTATAACGCGCAAATTTAATAAAATAAACACAAAAAACAAAATATATAATAATTTTTATAAACTTGTAAAAAAATAATTTACCTCTGTAACCCTGACAGGTTTGTTGGGCACATCGATGTAATGATTAGCAAAATCCATTCCCCCCCAAATGGGGTCCCCACTTCTTTGACTTTCAACATCAATAGTCGTGATGTGTTTCAAAAATCTCTGATCCAAACTTATCGGCTGATGGTTGTGGAACTTCTCAAAGTCCATTCTTATATTGCTCGACTCCCTCAACTCAAATATGTTGTGCTGCTTCCTCGTAGAGCACAAAATAGCAGGTTGTATTGCAGACTCTTCAGGTTGCGGCAGAACAATCCTCTGTCGTGGTGGAGTGCTGTAAACCCATTCCTCAGGCTTATACAACTTAAATTCCATGTTGTTATCAGGATTATTCGACTGCCTCACCAAATAAGGGCTCAAATCACTATCACTGTCTTGCCCCGATAGTATCCTATCAACCCTGTGGATTTCCTGCAATATATTCGCCCCAATCTGCGGTTTATTGTCGATATCAACTTTAACAGTCAAGTTTTCAAGTAAATCGCCGTTGTTTACTAAGTTAATATCCCTCTGTTGAGTTTGTACCTTTCTTGAGTCAAACAGAGGTGTACTTGCAGTATTTGACTCACCACACCTCTTATTTATCTCCCTGAATATGCTTTTGCTCGTATTTCTGCTCGTTGCGGGCTTCTCAAACCCCACATCAGTATCTACCGGCGAAAAATCCCTACTTTTGTGTCTAAACGACCTTTTTCTCGACTGCAGTCTAACAGACCGCCGTAAATGAGGAAATTCGTCCTCGGAATCACCTTTTTGCTCGAACAAGAGCCCGTGCAGGTCCTCCTCGAGTATTTTCTGCTGAAATTGCCGCGAATCTACACGGTAGAAAAAAATCCTATAAGAATCTACCTCGACATAACCCTAAGCTAAAAACTACGCTAAAAACCCTCTAAAAACAAAATAGTACTTACTTTTCGCCTTTTTGGCGACTTTCGACTTTATTCCGCCCGTGAAGAAGCCGGTAGCAGCCTGCAACGCAACGAAGCCGGTAAAAAAGACGTTGAAACTAAGCTCTGCTACTCACCACTAGTCGTTTTGAATTTCCCTCTAATTTTCTGCGTTTCGGCGGCGCGTTGTTGCCCAACTTGCGCGCCTCTTTGCCCGATTTTTGCATCGTACGCCTTGCACGCAGCATTTTGATCGTTTTGTGGGCGAAAACAGCGATTGTCATCGGCAGACGGGAGGGTTTTTTTGGGTTAGGGGTTTTTTTGGGGATTAATGACATAACGGTGACGTTTCGTGTCGTAGCAACCGCGATGCGGGAAAATGCACCAATGGGGTGAGTGGGGCAAAAATTTTAATTCAAATTTGAATTTTTGAATTTGATTGACTAAAATACCGTAATTAAGTGAAATATGTACATTACAATATTAAATTACAATTAAAAACCTCATGATAATATAAACTGGGATATCCTGTAAAAAATCAAATAAATTATAACAAAATTTATTAAACTAAATCAGATTAAGGTGGTAGGTATCTCCATTGAAGGTTTCCATAGAATGTCTTCAAAATTTAACAACTAATTTCAGATTTAAAAAATGATTATTACAGTATATTTTTATGAAAATCTCAAAAAACATTTTTTAGCAATTTTTAAAAATGTTTTCAAATTTTGTGCTGCCAACTTAAGAAACACAAAAATGTGACAGTTTTAAACCTTGATTTTGCCATTATTACAACAAATTGACAATTTATATTGTTGTTTAATGACTTTTTATGTTGTTTTAAGTTTTTGGTGTTACTTTAATTTGTAATAAAGTATTAATTTGTTAAAATTAAAATACAACGTTTTATTTTTACCACATTGGCACCGCTGTTTTTGCTGTTACGGCCTACTGAAAAATTGCACCAATAGGGTGAGTGGGGCAAAAATTTAAATTCAAATTTGAATTTTTAAATTTGATTGACTAAAATACCGTAATTAGGTGAAATATGTACATTACAATATTAAATTGCTATTAAAAACCTCATGATAATATAAACTGGGATATCCTGTAAAAAATCAAATAAAAAATGACAAAATTTATTAAACTAAATCAGATTAAGGTGGTAGGTATCTCCATTGAAAGTTTCCATAGAATGTCTTCAAAATTTAACAACTAATTTCAGATTTAAAAACTGATTATTACAGTATATTTTTATGAAAATCTCAAAAAACATTTTTTAGCACTTTTTAAAATTATCATTTCAAATTTTGTGCTGCCAACATAAGAAAAACAAAAATATGACAGTTTTAAACCTTGATTTTGCCATTATTACAACAAATTGACAATTTAAATTGTTGTTTAATGACTTTTTATGTTGTTTTTGGTGTTACTTTAATTTGTAATAAAGTATTAATTTGTTAAAATTAAAATACAACGTTTTATTTTTATCACATTGGCACCGCTGTTTTTGCTGCTACAGCCTACTGAAAAAATGCACCAATAGGGTGAGTGGGGCAAAAATTTAAATTCAAATTTGAATTTTTGAATTCGATTGAGTCAAATATCGTATTTAAGGATGAAATATGTACAAAATTGGCATAACAATATTTAATTACTGGTAAAAACATCATGATAATATAAACTGGACATAGAAAACTAGCACTTTTTAAAATTGTCATTTCAAATTTCGAGCTGCCAACTTAAGAAACACAAAAACATGACAGTTTTAAACTTTAATTTTGCCATTATTACAACAAATTGATAATTTTTATTATTATTTAATGACTTTTTAGGTTGTTTTAAGTTTTTTGTGTTACTTTAATTTGTAATAAAGTAATAATTTGTTAATTAAAATACTACGTTTTATTTTTATTACATTTGCACCGCCGATTTTGCTGCCATGGCCCACTGTTTGTTATTTATTTACCAATCTTCGAATGTTGCTAAAATTACGATATTTTAATTTGTTTTTTATTTATTACCATTTAATTTTTTTGTTGGGAAAATACCCAAGTGCAGGTAAAACATATTTCTCTTAAAAAAATAAATTTAAGGAATTCAAGTGCTGATTTGATATGCATCAAAAACAAAGAACAAGTAGGCCACCCTAAACAACGCAATTTCTTTAAATTCTCAAGTGGGCCACGCAAAAATCTAAATTAACAATTAAAAACCTCAGTGGAAGGTAAACAAATAAAAGCGGACAAGGCAAAGAATGATTAAATAAACTTTACGCGCACGCGCATTAAAACACAAGGAATCCTCAAAATCAATAGAGCTAAAAACGTGTTACCCGCGACTTTCCAACATGATTTTTCCGGAAAAAAACCGAGATATTTAACGAAATGTCCGCATTCATTAAATCTGGAGTGCTGTGGATGCCATGACGCGTGTAGAGGACAGTTGACTGTCGCGAAAGGTTCGTGCAAGGCTTGCCGAGATGTCTGGAGGGTTTTTGCAGTGTTTTTAAGTGTCAGGCGGAAAAATGCGTTTTACGGGACTAGAAGTTGCGTTTTTAGTGTTTACTGTGGGAGTTTGTGCCTCCCAAAAGCCCAATATGGACAACAGGAGGCATGATGTTTACATCGCTGGGTTTTTTCCCTTTGGACGGGGGGTGGAAAATTCAGAGACAGGTAATTATCAGAAAATAATATTTATCTCCGCGCGGTCTATAATTTAAACTTTATTGTTGTCAACATTCGATAAAGAAATACCTTGTTATGGCCTAGGCCGATGAAAATTTTTATGAGGCAAGTAATTAGTTCGATTTTTTCTCGCTAGGGGTATTGTTTTGACAAATTAATCCTTTTCTAAGAAATTAACGTACCAAACTGGCTTAATTTATTTATAATAAGCACTAATTTGTTTGTTTTACTGTTAATGTTTAATATTTTTCATTAAATTATTGTAAAATTAAATATGAATAATAAAACAAAAAGTGAGGTTAGGCAACCAAGAAAACGCACGATTCTTTTCCTACGATTTAAATTATCTTTAAGTTTTAATTCGCTTTAAGTTTTCAGTGAAATTAAATGTTAAACACAGCTTAAACATTCCAAACTACCTATTTTTTAAATAAAAATCCAAACAATTGTTTAAACAATTGATTGAATTCAATGTAATAACAAAAATCAATTTCTACTTAAATTATGTAGCTAGGTATTGTCAAACTATTACTGCTTCTAAAAGCAATAATAATTATTGTACATTTAATGTACCCAATATTTAGCTAATAAATAAATGAGATTCTAAAAAAGTGAGGTTAGGCCGCTTTGATGTTGAATTAAATTGACCTATATAAAGTACTTTGAAGATAAAATGTTGTATGCCATTCGGCCAAGAAGTGCCTTTTTGTGCTTCGCTCAATTGTAGCCTTACTTCTTAACCTAATGACATAAATAACTATTATATGACCGATTATAAACATACACTGTCACACCCCCCCATTTCAAGAAATTCGCCGTTTTTTTATGGAAATATTTTTTTGTAGTAATTTTTTTAACGAAATTCTTATTGGCCCTTTGAAAAATTTTAAAATATTGCTTTTAGGTTGCTTTAGTTAAAGTAAACAATAATCAATGTATTTTTATTTATAAATATAAGTTGGCCATGAAACTCGTTTCATGTCAGGGTAGCATTAAACAGTTTTTGCCATTATTATCATGTTTGACCCCATTTAAAACTTGTTTTGTCTAACTTGAACTTATTTACAAAATTGATAAAATATAGTTTATTTTTTTTAATCTGGACTGCGGCAACGTTGCAAATTTAGGGTTTTGGTTGGTAAATACAGTTGTCAAGTTGGCCGCATTGATTAAACCAAACTAAGCTAGTTATAAATCTAATTGCGGTTATGTATAAATTATTGTAGGTTACATTGTGCAGTTGTCAAGTTGAGTTTTCGAAATTCGTAGTTAAAAATGCCATTAATTTGGCTTTGGTGGTGCTTGGATGAGTAAAATCGTATAAAAAAGTAGTTAAATATAGGTTGCTTTACGGCCCAGAAGAGAAAGTATTCCTGGCGGATAATAATCTTCGCTTTGAAAAGAATTTATATAAAAGAAATTAAATTTTTTTTCCTATGGTAAATAATGTGTGATGTTATATTTATAAAACCAAATTCGTTACTTTTTTACTCCAAAAATGTCCATAAGGCGATGCACTTTTTCTTCAATTGTGGCATTTGGCATAATTTCATCAAAATGAAGTTTTGCCCTCAAAAGGACTTTTACATTCGAATTCGTTGCTATTATTTTTGGCATAATTAACTTTTTATTTATATATGACAAGTAAATTATCAATAATAAATATTATTGTCAATTTGACAGTGTCAAAGTATTTAATTAAATTATTTAGCAGAAGTACCAACATAACAAAAAAAGTCCAGATAAAAATAATTAAAAATGAACTGTATGTCTTTTTTGTATGTGTTATAAATCTGATACTGAAAGTGTTAAAAATGGCGGATGCTCCGGGATCACACCGGTAATTTTGTCCATTAACACTTTCGCTGCGGAAGTTATTTTTAAAGTATATTTCTGGGTGCGTTACGGGTCAGAACTGCCCCGTATTAGTTTTGCACAGAGTGCGTTACGGGGTATATGTGTCCCGTATGCACTGTGTTGCATTTTTATTCGTAACTTAGTACATGCTTAAAGTAGTAAGGAGTTAAGTTGGCAAAGTAATCTAGAGGCTTGGTTTTATAATTCACTGCGACCGCGCGGGGCTCCTTACAGAAATTTACATTTTATTGCAAAAAATTTTTTTTTTTTTGTGAAAAATATTAATTTTATGGCATAAAATAACTTTTTTCTTCAAATTTATTATAAAGTGTTTTTCTTGTTCTGAAGATTCTGAATTTTTTTTCGAATTCTATTTATTATAGTCAATTTACAGAATTTAATTATTTTTATTTAAAAAAGTTATTTTTTTTGTGAAAAATATTAATTTTATGACATAAAATTAGAATTAAAACAAAAACCTTCACTTTTTTTGATTAATTTTATAGCCAAGACACTTAGGTTATGCGCAGATCATCAAAAGTCACTGCTTGACGATGAACCCCGTACCGCACACAGTGATAAATTTATCATCCAGTGCGTTACGGGCCGTATATATCCCGTATTATTTTTGGGGCGAATAAAATTAACAATAAGGTATGGATTCGATATGTACCAATAACATTTAAATATCTTTAAAGTTGACTGAGTTATTGCTTCCGCATTTTAAGAAGGATATGCTTTATTTTATGCCGCACGGCAGGAGAATGCGTTACGGGGTCGTATCGACCCCGTAACGCAGCGAACGTGTTAAAAAAATTCATAGCCCACTTGAAATTTGTTTTTTGTCATTTAGTTGTAACATTTAAAATTCAGTACAACCCCATACCTTATAAAAAACACTTTGTATTCCACATTTTATATAATTTTTTTTTGTTTTGTTTTAGGGCGAGGGGTCATGCCCAGTGTAAAGCTAGCTTTAGATCACGTAAATGAGCATTCTGCTATTTTGAGAAACTATAGACTGCATATGTGGTGGAATGATACCATGGTAAGTACGTAATTTTAACCGTCTCTAGACTTTTCCAACGATGGTCTGTGGGAAAATTGGGAAACAGGAGCGTAGTAAGAGGTCGGGAAGACAGTTGCGGCGGATTAGTGTTAAAAAAAAATCGGTCCAGTGTCAGCCCATCCTCTTGTCACGTCTATAACTACTTAATACTGGAAAGAAAGAATGCTGATATACAAAAGTACTATTTTATACAAAAGTACTATTTTAGTTCCACCCTTACTTCCTAAGAAGTCCCAGAAGCGGCTTGAGGCGGGTCAGGGGTAGGAACGGACCGCGGGCTTAAAGTCCCCTCCGAAGGACTAAAACAATTCCAACTTTAAGTTTCTAAGAATTAATGAGTTTTTTTTTTTAATTTTTAGTGTAACGCTGCCGTTGGGGTAAAGGCCTTTTTCGACATGATGCATAGCGGCCCACACAAACTAATGCTCTTTGGAGCTGCCTGCACGCACGTTACTGACCCTATTGCAAAAGCTTCGAAACACTGGCATTTAACACAGGTAACAAAATAAAAAATGCAAAGGTATGGAACAAATTTATTTCAGCAAGCATTCGTTAAAAAAAAAAAAAAAGTTAATGCAAGTGCTGGGTATCGAACCCGGTACCTCTCGCATGACAAGCAAGCGCCCTTTCAACTGAGCTATAAGGTTCGCGATAAAAATGAAAGCTCGCTTGAATCTTGAAACGTTCTCTTCCACTTAATCTTCGAATTTGAATCCTCGACTCATTTGACATTTAAGGCATTATAGGTTATGTATCTGTCAAAGTATAGTCAACGAAAGAAATAATACACTCACAGGCAAAATAATCGATCCACACAAATTTTCGATGAATTTCAATCGCATATAACTTTTTTATTTGATGTCGGATTTAAACGAATATTAAAGAATATTGTAGATAAATTAATGGACAATCGCTCACATTTTAAAAAATTACTAAAAAATTGACGTACGTTTATAATATACAGGTTTAAACAAAAATATGTTTTTTATCATATGTTTAAGACACTCTGTAGAGTGGCAAAACCGTATATTGTTCTAAATTAAGTTTTATTTATCAAGTCACATCTACTCTTAACAGTTTTGTTTTTGGTTCACCTCGATATATTTATTTTTGTGAAAAATATGGATTTTTCAAAAACATTGCAATTTCCAATATGTATGAAGAACTAAGGTTGCTATGGTCCATCCATAGGCTATGGAGAATGACATTGACAGTTTTGTTGAATCATCCCATACTTGGACATGTCATACACTGCTTTCAAAAGCTATCAAATTGTTTTTTGCAAATTAATGTTTAAATTTTGAGGTGTCTTCCTACTTTAAAAAATGGATATGTCTCCGACTGATGTTGCCAGAGCCATTAATTTAATCCTAGATGGACGGTCACAGTATTACGTGGCAAGGGTTTTAAACGCTACAAGAAGTAAAGTACAAAGGGCAACATCAGTCGTAGACATTTTTAAAAGTAAGAAGACACCTCAAAATTAACACATTAATTTACAAAAAACAATTTGATAGCTTTTGAAAGCTGTATATGACATGCCCAAGTATGGGATGATTCAACAAAACTGTCACTGTCATCCTTCATAGGCTATGGATGGAACATAGCAACCTTAGTTCTTCATACAGGAAAAATATTGGAAATTGCAATGTTTTTTTTTTAAATCCACAAAAATAAATATATCGAGGTGAACCAAAAACAAAACTGTTAAGAATAGATGTGACTTGATAAATAAAACTTAATTTAGAACAATATACGGTTTTGCCACTCTACAGAGTGTCTTAAACATATGGTAAAAAACATATTTTTGTTTAAACCTGTATATTATAAACGTACGTCAATTTTTTAGTAATTTATTAAAATGTGAGCGATTGTCCATTAATTTATCTACAATATTCTTTAATATTCGTTTAAATCCGACATCAAATAAAAAAGTTATTTGCGATTGAAATTCATCGAAAATTTGTGTGGATCGATTATTTTGCCTGTGAGTGTATTTTTATCAATTACTATCTATCTTAAAACGTTCTCTCCCACTTAATCTTCGAATTTGAATCCTCGACTAAAGTAGAGAGCATACAATATCCATTGTTACATAGCCCAAATACCTATACACAAGTAAGGCAGAATGAATAACATTTATTAGCACAAGAAAACGTTCACGGAGGATAGAATGAATTATATTCATCAGCACGAGATTTGAACACTTCACATTTTTTAATGAATTTGTTCCACACTTTTGCCTGTATGTATATCTGTATATCATAATATGCCAAGGTTATTTTTCCTAATGCTATATTATTTCTTTTTATAGCTATCTTACGCCGATACCCACCCGATGTTCACCAAAGAAAATTTTCCGAATTTTTTCCGCATTGTTCCTTCAGAAAACGCTTTTAACTCCCCTAGATTGTCCCTACTGAAGGAATTTAACTGGACTAGAGTTGGCACAATCTATCAAAACGAGCCTAGATACTCGCTAGCTCACAACAGGTAGCTACATTTAGTCAGTCAAGTCAAAACAAAACAAAATATTTAAGTCAGTTGAGGCATTTTCGGGTTTAAAGCCTGAATTATAGATTGCCTTCCTTCCTTCCTCCCGTAGTAGTGCCCGTACGATTTGGGCGTCTTGTAAAAAGTCAATTTATAGATTTCCATGTAAAATTCCGTAACCATGCGCAATGACACCTAAAATGGTTGACATTTGTTTTCGTTTATATTCTGCGTTTTACCCATTGTGTGTAAATATGAAAGATAATCATTTATATATTAGTGCAGTGATCACAATTTTAATTGCCCAGGCAGCTTGTTGTATACCGCCCAACTATGGAAAAAGGCAGTAACTGCTAAACAAGAAATTTGTGGGAAATTAGCATAAACTACATTTTAACTTAAAAGATAGTTACTGCATTTCTTTGTTGAATTAAGATACAAAATGTCCATAGGTTTATCATAGCAAAAGAAAACGCATTTGTAGTTACTGCCTTTCTCCATAGTAGGGCAGTATAATGAAAAAAAACATCGAACAAGACGTTGGAAGACTCGCCCACTTTACCAAGACCGGGAAACTACGGGGTTTTACAAAGCAACGTTTCTAAAAATGAAAGACATTGATCATAAACAATATCTAAATATCCTATTTAGAGTCACAAATTATTTAATAAACTGAACACCTATCTTAAATAATACTAAACAATCGTAAATATTTTGTGCCTACGCGCTGTCACCCTACAGCGCATGTCCATAACAAGCACTGTGATTGGTCATGTCAAAGACCTTTACGGTGAAAGATAAAACTTAAAAATTTCTACGGGAGGAAGGAATGCCGTCCTTACGGTACGGGAATCTATAACTGGCACTACGATTTAAATAAACATTTTTGACGTAATTATCACCATTAACATTGCCCGTTATTAATTTTAATTAAACTTAAAAATTATTGATACTTTAAAATATTAAAATAACTTCAAAATATAATTTTGTTAAGAAAATATGTTATTCTTTGATTTTTTTTATTACTATAATTGCAAAATATTATCACAAAGTATTAAAAAATCCTACACGGGAAATGTTAATGGTGACAATTACGTAATGTTCATCTTCTACGGGAGGAAGGAAGGAAGGCAATCTATAACTCACGCTTTATTGAGACATTTGCTCTTACTTGACAGACTGAAGGTTTGATAGGAAAGGTTGTCTTTAATTTTTTTTTGTTAGATTGGTAGCAGAACTGGACACTTTGGGATACCAGGTGGTTGAAACTCAAAGTTTCACCAACGAGGTGATAGCTGCTTTAACCAAACTAAAAGAAAAAGATACCAGAGTGATATTAGGTACAGTATTCGTCTTGAGGTAAAAAGCGTAGCTCAACAAAATTTATTTCAGGTAACTTTAACGAAAAATGGGCAAGGGAGATATTTTGCGAGGCGTACAAACTGGAAATGTACGGTAAAAAATATCAATGGATCATAATGGGCACTTTCACCTTTGAATGGTGGAAAAAAATGGACGTGGATTTCAACTGCACGTTAGAGGAACTAGAACTGGCTTTGCAACAAACTATACTGACCGATTTGCTACCTCTGTCCACGAGTGGTGAAATCACCATCTCCGGAATCGTAAGATTTTTTTTGCCCACTGTGCGGAGGAATTTGAATTTTACCCCACTGTGCAAAGATTTTTTTGTTTTGAATAAAAGCTCAAAAAAATGTTTGCTCACTGTGCGGAATTTTGTCCGGAGGAATTTGAATTTTACCCCACCGTGCTAAGATTTTTTGTTGTGCATAACGCCGTAATAAAATCTCAAAAAAAAATTTTGCCCACTGTGCGGAATTTGAATTTTACCCACTGTGCAAAGATTGTTTTGTTGTGAATAACGCTGTAATAAAATCTCAAAAAAAATGTTGCCCACTGTGCGGAATTTTGTCCGGAGGAATTTGAATTTTACCCCACTGTGCAAAATTTTTTTCTTGTTCATAACGCCGTAATAAAATCTCGAAAAAATTCTTGCCCACTGTGTGGAATTTGAATTTTACCCCACTGTGCAGATTGTTTTGTTGTGAATAACAAAAAAAATTTGCCCACTGTGCCGAATTTTGTCCGGAGGAATTTGAATTTTACCCCACTGTGCAAATTTTTTTTCTTGCCAATAACGCCGCAATAAAATCTCAAAAAATTAATTAATATACAAAACATTTTATTACCAAAAATATAAATGGTTTTTAAAACCCGATAGAACACATTATTGCAAAATTATTTTCAATATTGCTTTTCTTTTTCGTTCCCTAATTTTTCTCAAGTAACGTCTTCTTCGTATCGCTAACCGCAGATATTTTTCTTTCTCCTTGAACGTCAGTAACTTCCACATCCTGGCCCCTAACCTCACTATTTTGCTTTGCGGCCAGTTTCCGTAATGCGAACGTAAGTCTCGTAAATAATTTAAATACGCGTTTGTGCTTCTTTTGCCCTTTCGGCCCCTATTTTGCTTCAAAAAATCCGAACTGACAATTTTTAGGTTCAAAATTGGAGCTCTTCTGTTGGTGTTCTTTTTTTTCCTTTTAAATTTCGCTTTTGCTCCTCCATTGCATTTTTTACTTTTAACTTTACACACCAGTTTGGTTTTAATTTGTTTCCTTAAGCATAACAAGTTCGGTTTCCATTTCTTCTGTTTCGCAAATTTACAGGTAACCATCTTCCATACTGGTAATTTTGATACAATTAAAATGTAGATCCTTCAACAATAATTTTGACGTAGATTAGAATTTAGACTGACAAATTTGACAAATGTCTGTTGCATGTTATTATACAGGGTGTTTCACATTCGTGCTTTCGAGCTTTAAGGGCATACAACTTGTATTTATTAAGTTTTTTTACTTTATTGGTTGGTATCACAGAAAACTAGTGTGTAACCAGAAACTTTTAATGTACTATGCTCCACACCTCAAAGTCCCACCACGTGACCACGTACGGAACGCAGTCTTTTGAAAATTTGGCATTTAAGGCTTTTCAGGTTAAGTATCTGTCAAAGTATAGTCAATGAAAGGAATAATATTTATAGTGTTACCCCTTATGTTTAAGCGTTAAAAGTTAATAAATCTTTATAGTGTCACAATAACAATGGTTGGTTTAAGAATTTAGGAATATAAATACTGCATTTAATGAAATTCCAAAGTGTATACACCTTATAAGGTGCAATATAAGTGCATTGGGTATACATTTCTCCATAAAATAGATTTAACTAAACAGCATTTATTCAAAAAAAAATCTAACTTCTCTATTATGAAATAAGAATATCTGTATCAAAGGTAGGTTAATGTATTAGAACAAAAAATATCATCTAAATTTGTATTTTAAGGTTAGAAAAATCTATTTTGACCAAAATAAATAAGTGGATTATTTAGAAGAGTGTGTTAATATGGTCTTAAATAAATATAGGTATACTAAATAATTGTTGAATATGGTTCAAATTAAATTGAAGCTTTTATACTTCTAATAACAAAACTTGTGCATACCTCTCGGCATACCTACTTTAAGTAAGATTATAAGAAAACAAACAATTTTTAGAGAAACTTGCAATGTGAAAATATTTAATACTCCCATGACATGTGATTTATTAAAATGATTTTTCAATGTAGATCAAGTTCAGTCAAAGCTTTTTAACTATTTGTATTGACAAAACTTTATGTAGGTACACTTTAAGCTGGATAAGAAAAACTACCACATTTTTAAATACCATATTATACAGTCTTTTAAATAATCCAAAATACTTATTTATTTTGGTCAAAATAAATTTTTCTAACCTTAAAATTACAAAATTAGATGATAGAGATATTTGGACCAAATTCACAAAAATATTACTTATTTGGCGACATACACTTTAGAATTTCATTAAATGCAGTATTTATATTCTTAAATTCTTAAACCATCCATTGTTATTGTAATGTTATAAAGATTTATACATTTTTAACGCCTAAACATAATATTATTTCTTTCGTTGACTATACTTTGACAGATACATAACCTAAAAAGCCTTAAATGCCAAATTTTCAAAAGACTGCGTTCCGTACGTGGTCACGTGGTGGGACTTTGAGGTGTGGAGCATAGTACATTAAAAGTTTCTGGTTACACACTAGTTTTCTGTGAGTACATAGATACCAACCAATAAAGTAAAAAAACGCAATAAATACAAGTTTTATGCCCTAATACCTTCTGTAAAGACTTTATTCTAATTTATTTATTGGGTAAATATTACTTTCCTCAGTTTGGAATTAAAATCGAGTAAAAAATAAATTGAAGCTTGGTTGTGGAGCAAAAATAGTAGGTTTTAATTTCTAACTTGCTGACACTGTCTATAATTATTATTTAGTTTATTCATTTTAATAAATTAATGTTCAGTTATTTGCAACTTATAAACTGAACTGTCAAATTATCTTTCATGCTTCCAATGGTAGGTTTGGTTACTATGCATAGAGAAAAGTCCATGATGCCTACTATGATAAAAAAAAAATTAAAAATATAGAGTTTGGGAATCATTACTGAGATTAAAGCGGGATGCTCGATACCCCATCTACCTTTGATTAACCAGAACACTCCAAAACAATTTAATTCGTCAGCTTTATTAACATAATGGTTTCAGACTGCAGATGAATATGCCATGGAGTATGACTCGAGGCGAGGGAACGAATATTCTCGTTTCCATGGTTACACTTACGATGGTATATGGGCAGTTGCGTTGGCCATACAAAATGTCGCCCATAAGATTAAATATTTTCGTAGAAACCAAACTGTGAATGATTTTCGTTATCGTGATCCACTATGGGAGAGGTTATTTTTGGACGCCTTGCACAATACTAGTTTTGAAGGTAAATAGACTTGTGGATGCCCTGTGGAAATTTTTCTCTGAGAAAGTCTTACTTTCTCTGAAAAAGTCTGAACAATACTTATTAAGTCGGAAAAAGTCAGAATAAGACTTATTAAGTCGGAAAAAGTCTTATTAAGTCAGACTAATAGCAAGATTTGGGAGTCTTCTGGAAGAGTCAATAAGACTTTTTAAGACTTAATAAGACTTGTAGTAGAGAAATGGTAGGTACCTACGGAGATAAAAATAAATATCCGAAATAATTCATAAAGGTTGTATTTGGTTATCGTAAAATAAAACATATAGAAAAGTATTTATTAACATTTTTGCTGTTGTTATAAGCCAAGTTTATTGCATAATTACCTATATAATAACATAGGTAAGATGTAATAATTATAACAATTATAATTTTATACATACGATGCGCTTGACATGCTTTCATTGTTTCCACCATAGAAAAAGGAGTTGCCACTGTACGTTTTATTTTAATAGTTTCTTTTGATACACGCAAATATTTTCCTATCTAAACATTGTTACAAACGAAATATCGAGAGACCAGCTCAGCTAGCTGACCAATTAGAGCACAGCTGACCTGTCAGTGGGACACAGTGTTGCCGTTTGATTTTACTCGAAAATCGGGTATTTTCGTAATATTTGCGGGTGATTTGCAAATTTCTATCAAAATAATAACAAAATAAATTTTCAGTAAATAATATTGTATATTTACTAAATATGCACAATTATTTTATTCTATCCTGTTACATTTTTATTATTATTTTAGTATTTTGTAATTTATGGTCAGGAACTTTTATGGCAACACTGTACGTAAACACGAAGATCAACCATGATACAAAGATGAATGAAACACGAAGATCAACCATATTTGTCTTATGAGTCTATCGAAAATATCATGTCTATAGACATGATATTAACTCCTTTTTCTATGGTGGAAACAATGAATGTATAAAATTATAATTGTTATAATTATTACATCTTACATATGTTATTATATAGGTAATTACAATAAACTTGGCTTATAACAACAGCAAAAATGTTAATAAATACCTTTCTATGTGTTTTATTTTACGATAACCAAATACAACCTTTATGAATTATTTCGGATATTTATTTTTATCGCCATAGGTACCTACCATTTCTCTACTAAAAGTCTTATTAACTCTTCCAGAAGACTCCCAAATCTTGCTATTAGTCTGACTTAATAAGACTTATTCAGACTTTTTCAGAGAAAGTAAGACTTTCTTAGAGAAAAATTTCCACAAGGGTGGGTGAAGTATTAAACACGATTTCACAATTTTTATGATACTACAGGTGTTACTGGTCCGGTAAGATTCTACGATAACGAGAGGAAGGCAAGTATTCTACTCAAACAGTTTCAAGAGGGTATTGAGGTCAAAGTAGGCGAATACAGTGCTGCCACTCAACATCTAGACCTCACACTGGGGGCTCCTCTGAAATGGATTGGAAAGTAGGTTGTAAAATAAACCTTACATCATTGAAACCTTAACTTTGTTCAAGGTACCCACCAAAAGACAGAACTCTTCTGATCATAGAACACACCAGAGTCAATAAAACTGTGTACGCCATTTTGGCGTCACTTGCCTGCTGTGGGATTATAATGGCGTCAGTTTTCCTCGGTTTCAATATCAAGTATAGAAACCAACGTTACATTAAAATGTCGAGTCCGCAACTCAACAACTTAATCATTATTGGTTGTATGTTGACCTATACCAGCATCGTCTTTCTTGGTTTGGATTCTGGGCTGTCTAGTATAGAGGCCTTCCCTTACATCTGCACTGCGAGGGCTTGGACTTTGATGGCAGGGTTCTCCCTAGCGTTTGGAGCAATGTTCAGCAAAACTTGGCGGGTACACTCCATTTTCACGGACGTGAAACTCAACAAGAAAGTCATCAAGGACTACCAACTGTTCATGGTGGTTGGTGTACTGCTTTTCATCGATTTGGTGATTATGACCACCTGGCAAGTGGCAGACCCTTTTTACAGGGAAACGAAGCAGATGGAAGCGTATGTACGTGTAAGAGACTTTTTTCCTAATTTGTAGTTTTTTTATGTCAAAGCACAAGCACTCAAAATTTTAGCACTTTTCAACAACAACAAAAACAAACTTCTGAGCAGTGTGCGCCGACGAGTGGTGGGGGTAGGTGATGACGTATTTTGGCGCCAAATTCAAATTTCTGAATCAAATTTTATTGGAATCTCTCATATGATTTTTTTAAATATATTAATTATTTATATACCAAAAGTAATGATATAGTTTTGTAAATTAAAATCTGAAATACTAGAAATTTTTTGACATTTTGACATTTAAAATGTGCTTTTGACAATCCCAATGGGTTTTTGACATTCTGCATTGTTTTTGACTGTCTAAATCGTTTTTGCATAACATTAACATTCTAAATTATGGTTTTAAATGTTTTAGACAATACGATTTGATTTTAGACATTTTAGTTATGCTTTTGACACTTTCAGAATATTTTTAATACACTTATTATAAACTACGTTTTTGACATTCTGTTTTTTTATTGTTTTTTGTCATTCTAAATTTGTTTTTGAGATTTCAAATGTATTTTTGCCTTTTGACTTTAAATTTTGTTTTTGACTTACTAAACCTTTTTTATATTACATTTAGATTCTAAATTATGGTTTTGAAATTTCAAATGTGTTTTTGACATTCTTAATTGTTTTTGACTTACTAAACCGTTTTTGCATTACATTAACATTCAAAATATAGTTTCAAAATATATTTTTGATTTCAATTATGCTTTTGACACTTTCAAAATATTTTTTCCCGGTAAACTTATGAATTATGTTTTTGAAATTCCAAATATGATTTTGACTTTCTAAATGTATTTTTAAAAATCCCATTACGTTTTAACATTTTCAATTATGTTTGACGTACAAAATGTGTTTTTGACATTTTAAATTTTGTTGACTGTCTAAACCGTTTTTACTTTACAATAATATTCTAAATTATGTTTTTAAGAATTTAAATGTGTTTTTGACAATTCCATTTGGTTTTTGAAATTTCAGTTATGATTTTGACACATTGTTTTTGACATTTGACATTTCGTCATTTTAAATGTGTTTTTGGCATTCTAAATTATGTTTTTGACATTCCGAATGTGGGTTTGACTTTCTAAATGTATTTTTGACAATCCTATTGCATTTTTTACACTTACACTTGTTTGTGACTGTTTAAACCGCTTTTACATTACATTAACATTTTAAATTATAATTTTAGTTTATTATTATTAAATTATTACATTTATTATATTACATTTAGATTCTAAATTAGGTTTTTGACATTTTAAATTGTTTTGACAACTGCATTTGTTTTTGACATTTATTCACTAAACAGGTTTATATTTAGATTCTAAATTACGGTTTTGACATTTAAAATGTGTTTTTGACATTGCCAATAGATTTTTGACATTCTAAATTGTTTTTGACTTACAAACCCGTTTTTGCATAAATTTAACATTCGAAATATAGTTTTTACATTTTAAAATGTTTTTGATAGCCCCATTTGGTTTTTGACATTTCAGTTATGCTTTTGACACTTTCAAAATATTTTTTCTCGGTAAACTTAAAATTATAAATTATGTTTTTGACATTCCAAATGTGGTTTTGACGTTCTAAATGTGTTTTTGACAATCCTATTGCGATATTGATTCCAAATTATGTTTTTGACTTACCAAACCGTTTTTATATTACATTATGATTTTAAATTATTATTTTTACGCTTAAATGTGTTTTTGACCATTGCAATAGGTTTCTGACACTTTTGGCTGTTTTTTATTAAACTTAACATTTTAAATTATGTTTTTGACGTTCTATTTTTGATTGGTTTTTGCCATTCCAAATGTGTTTTTGACAATCCCACTGAGGTTTTGACAGTCAATTGTGTTTTTGACATTTTAAATTATATTTTTGACTTACCAAACTGTTTTTATATTACATTACGATTCTATGAAATATGTTTTTGACATTCTACATTGTTTTTGACTGTTTAAACAGCTTTTACATTACATTAAAATTCTAAATTATATAGTTTTGACATTTTTGACACTACATCGATTTTCTCTTTAAAATTTACTTTATGTAAAGATTTATAAAACGTGTTTTTGACTTTAGAAATCGGTTATTTTCATGATTTTGACACTTTTAAATTATGTTTTTGACTTCCCAAACCGTTTTTAAATTACATTACGATTCCAAATTATGGTTTTGACATTTTGACATTAAAAATGTGATTTTGACAATCCCAATGGGTTTTTGACATTCTACAATGTTTTTGACTGTTTAAACCGCTTTTACATTACATTAACATTGTAAATTATGTTACACAATTAAAAAAAATAAACTTTATTACAGTTACATCCATACAATGAAGATATAGTCATAATTCCTGAAAATGAATACTGTGCATCGGAAAGGATGACAATTTTTGTAGGAACAATCTACGCCTATAAGGGATTGTTAATGGTAAAATTTCTGTTATAACCTGCAATATCAGGGTTAGGACATCACACACGTACAAAATTGTAATTTTTTTAGATTTTCGGAGCCTTTTTGGCTTGGGAAACCCGACGTGTCTCCATTCCAGCCCTGAACGATAGTCGACACGTCGGCTTGTCGGTTTACAACGTTGCCATAATGTGCATTTGCGGCGCTGCCGTCGCTTTGGTCCTCGTCGACCACCAGGACGCCATGTTCTTGATAATCGGTAATAAAGAACGCTTCTTTATCTCTGAATAATACACTCACGTGCAAAATAATCGATCCACACAAATTTTCGATGAATTTCAATCGCAAATAACTTTTTTATTTGATGTCGGATTTAAACGAATATTAAAGAATATTGTAGATAAATTAATGGACAATCGCTCACATTTAAAAAAAATACTAAAAAATAGACGTACGTTTATAATATACAGGTTTAAACAAAAAGATGTTTTTTACCATAAGTTTAAGACACTCTGTAGAGTGGCAAAACCGTATATTGTTCTAAATTAAGTTTTATTTATCAAGTCACATCTATTCTTAACAGTTTTGTTTTTGGTTCACCTCGATATATTTATTTTTGTGGAAAATATGGATTTTTTTTAAAAACATTGCAATTTCCAATATTTTTCCTGTATGAAGAACTAAGGTTGCTATGGTCCATCCATAGGCTATGGAGAATGACAGTGACAGTTTTGTTGAATCATCCCATACTTGGACATGTCATATACAGCTTTCAAAAGCTATCAAATTGTTTTTTGTAAATTAATGTGTTAATTTTGAGGTGTCTTCTTACTTTTAAAAATGTCTCCGACTGATGTTGCCCTTTGTACTTTACTTCTTATGACGTTTAAAACACTTGCCACGTAATACTGTGACCGTCCATCCTGGATTAAATTAATGGCTCTGGCAACATCAGTCGGAGACATATCCATTTTATAAAGTAAGAAGACACCTCAAATTTAAACATTAAGCTACATTCGTAATGAATTCGCTGGCCGAGTGACACTTTGGCACGCAAGTCGGCACGAAATTTACCATTCACAATAACTTTAGAGTCGAATTTAACGCATGGGCGTTGGTAACTGTCATGTTCTTTGTAAGGTTAGAATTTGCATTATTTTGTTTTTTTTTGGTGCTATTTTTTAAATGCAAAAACGGACAACAATCAATCAAATAGTTTACTTATGTTCAGTAATAGTTTATTTAGTGATAAATTCTTATTATGTAATATATAATATTGTACAATGTCTACAAAACACTAATGTTCTCTTTATAATAAATAATAATAATAATAATTATAATAAACTTATTGTAAAGAAAGTATACATTAAGTTATATACCTAGATAAAACAATGGGTTCAACACTACACTGTTGTTTACCTAGTACAATTTTCAGTTCTCTTTTTAATTTAATTGCATTATCACAAGTCGAATAAAGATTATTCATTTTGTTACCACCAAATCACTTTAGTTTATTTAAATAAAGCAAGAAAAATGTATTTAATCACAATAAAAACACTACACACACGAAACTCAACGCCATTGAAAATGTCAAACCTTCATAACAAAGGCAATGCGCATGTCGCATAGCCGGCACGAAAGTCGAAGTTGAAGTCGAAGTTTGCAGCTTGCAAGAAATTTTGCCCACTTCAACTTCCACTTTAACGTCGAATTTCATTGTGAACGATCACACTGTTACACATTTGCTTAGCTTGCAAGTCAAATTGCCACTCGGTCAGCGAATTCATTACGAATGTAGCTTTAATTTGCAAAAAACAATTTGATAGCTTTTGAAAGCCGTGTATGACATGTACAAGTATGGGATGATTCCACAAAACTGTCACTGTCATTCTCCATAGCCTATGGATGGACCATAGCAACCTTAGTTCTTCATACAGGAAAAATATTGGAAATTGCAATGTTTTTAAAAAAAATCCATACTTTCCACAAAAATAAATATATCGAGGTGAACCAAAAACAAAACTGTTAAGAATAGATGTGACTTGATAAATAAAACTTAATTTAGAACAATATGCGGTTTTGCCACTCTACAGAGTGTCTTAAACTTATGGTAAAAAACATGTTTTTGTTTAAACCTGTATATTATAAACGTACGTCTATTTTTTGGTAATTTTTTAAAATGTGAGCGATTGTCCATTAATTTATCTACAATATTCTTTAATATTCGTTTAAATCCGACATCAAATAAAAAAGTTATTTGCCATTGAAATTCATCAAAAATTTGTGTGGATCGATTATTTTGCACGTGAGTGTATTTCACGTTGTTGTGGTGCTCTTTGTAGGTGTTTTCGTGCTGTTCTGCACCACTGCGACCCTTTGGCTCGTTTTCGTGCCGAAAATGCTCGAGTTGAGACGCAATCCCGGGGGGTCTATTGACAAAAGAATTAGAGCGACTCTAAGGCCTATGTCAAAGACCCGACGGGATTCCAGCGTTTCCGAGCTCGAGACGAAGCTCAAGGACGTCAAAAGTTTGAACTCCAAGTTCCGCAAGACTCTGCTAGACAGGGAGTCCGAGCTACAGGTAAAAAAAAATTAACATGACCGTCGCACACTTTTTTTTCAAAACATAGCGAGCAATGGGGTAGTTAAAGGCGTTTTGTAATATTAAACATTTCTGTGAAATCGGAATTTCAATTGAGTTTACCGTTTTCGAGATATTTACAAAAAATATAAATTTTTGTGACGTCACAAACCTCGCCGTGTGACCAACATTCTAAGATTTCTATTGGTTGAAAATTACCCTGTTGTCAATTTGTCTTGTTAATGATTTCATTCGGTTATGTCAGAAAATACCCGAAGAGGTTATGTACAAATACTGTCACTGTCAGTTGAGTGAAAGATGGTCACCAAATTCATTCCTTATAACGAGGTATCATATTACTGTTTGATATTTTAGAGTCCAAGATATATCAAAAAGAATATAAAGAACTAGGCATTATACTAATGAAATGCATTTACGACAAAATATGATTATAATTATTGGTACTTAAGTAATTACTTTATTTGTTTAAAAGCTCCAATGTTCAATGTAACCAACCATTCCACAAGATTCCTCTGCTTTGGAGTCCGTTATTAATAAATCACTTATCTAATATCAATTACAAATAACATAATAATAACATTGATTTTCAATAATCTAAATTTAAAAAAAACATAACCCGAAAAAAAGAAACGTCAAAAAATCAATTCTTCTTCTTCTTCTCAACTAAAATTATAGATCAAGTGGTTTTAAAACTAAAATATTATAACGTGGCGCCATCTATCGTAAGAATCTTAAACTAAACAAACTGGCAACCATAGAAAAAGCTGGCAACGTTGTCAATAGCCTGGTGACGTAATTAGGAGATTTTTTTTGTAAATATCTCGAAAACGGTAAACTCAATTGAAATTCCGATTTCACAGAAATGTTTAAAATTACAAAACGCCTTGAAAAAAACCATAAAAAGTATGGGTCAAAAAAAATTTAACTACCCCATTTATGTTGCTATATTATCACTATAGACGGTCATGTTAATAATACAAAAAATACGAAGAACTTTAACTTAACTTTTCTATATCAAAATACACGACAGGAAATGTAAATATATCGCTAACTGATCTGCACAATTAACTGTCGCCATTAGCAACAATAAAATATTTTAACTCGCACATGCAGTACCATCTAGCGGCAAATAGACGGTCATGTGAAGAAAACGTCAATATCATTTTCTTTGGCTACTTAAAAGTTGAATTAAATTTTTAGAAGATCGTAAATATTGGATTTTGCTCTAGGGACGTACGACGGTCATGTAAAACAGGAGTTTTAAAACCAAAATTATTGAAATATTGAACTTTTGGTATTATAAGTCGATAAAAAATATGCCTGTCCAGTAAAATGTAAAAAAAAATTATAATATAAAGGTTTTAGTTTTAATACCCCTAATCTTAAAAGTTCTGAAAACTACATTCTAGATTGCATAAGTTTTGAAGTACTATAGCATATATAGTAAATTTAAAAGTAAACTACGTACACGTCATCGATGACGTCATAAATTTGCGCACTGGTACCAACACTAAATGACTAAATCGAAGTCTGTAATTGAATATTTGAATGCATTTTAACCTAATTAAGTTGGCAACAATGGGGTAGTTAAATTTTTTCTGACCTATACTTTTTATGGTTTTATTCAAGGCGTTTTGTAATATTAAACATTTCTGTGAAAACAGAATTTCAATTGAGTTTACCGTTTTCGAGATATTTACAAAAAATATACATTTTTATGACGTCACAAACCTCGCCATGTGACCAACATTCTAAGATTTCTATTGGTTGAAAATTACCCTGTTGTCAAGTTGTCTTGTTAATGATTTCATTCGGTTATGTCAGAAAATACCCGATGAGGTTATGTACAAATACTGTCACTGTCAGTTGAGTGAAAGAAGAAGAAGAGGAGGTTAAAGAAAATTCTGAAATTAAAAGTTTTATTGATAGGTTTACACATTGAAACACCGTGTGAAACCTAATAAAATGTAATAAATAGGTACCTAATAACTGTCTAAAGCAGAGTTTAATATATTTCATAGAAAAAAGTGGCAAAATAAAGCTGAAAATGAATGAAATAAATTTACAAAAAATAACAGTAAATGTAAGTTAACAATGGTATTTATGATATTTGTGTATAGTTTTTATAAAACTTGCATCCCTGATGATGAGCATCAAAACCTTACAACCAGTACAATAAATATATCTTCTGTGTAGAGAAACAGATGGTCACCAAATTCATTAAGTACCTATCTTCCTTATAATAAGGACCTTATTACGAGGTATCATATTACTGTTTGAGTCCAAGATATATCTAAAAGAATATAAAGAACTAGGCATTATACTAATGAAATGCATTTACGACAAAATATGATTATAATTATAGGTAGGTACTTACTTTATTTGTTTAAAAGCTCCAATGTTCAATGTAACCAACCATTCCACAAGATTCCTCTGCTTTGGAGTCCGTTATTAATAAATCACTTATCTAATATCAATTACAAATAACATAACAATAACATTGATTTTCAATAATCTAAATTAAAAAAAAAACATAACCCGAAAAAAAGAAACGTCAAAAAAATCAATTCTTCTTCCTCTCAACTAAAATTTTGGATCAAGTAGTTTTAAAACTAAAATATTATAAGGTGGCGCCATCTATCGTAAGAATCTTAAACTAAACACCATAGAAAAAGCTGGCAACGTTGTCAATAGCCTAGTGACGTAATTAGGAGACTTTTTTTTGTAAATATCTCGAAAACGGTAAACTCAATTGAAATTCCGATTTCACAAAGATGTTTAAAAATACAAAACGCCTTGAATAAAAGCATAAAAAGTATAGGTCAGAAAAAATTTAACTACCCCATTGTGATGTTGTCATGTTTACATTCAAATTTTTCATATTTAAATGACACATAAAAAAGAATTTGACGTTTTAGAATTTCAAAGCTGTCAGTTGTGTTTTTGAATATTTCGTCTAAATCGTGTATTATTTCGTTTATTTTGTTTGTTGTTTGTGTTATTTTATATCGTTTAAGTTTTCATTGCCGTTTTTGTGTTTGTTATATATCGTTTTTTTGTGTTTCCTATATTTAAAATGCCGAAGCATTTAAATAGTCGGAGTCAAGAGTTTGTGTCATCCTTAATACGCTATTTTGAGGCAGAACGGGATAATAATGGACCTTTGTTACCTTTAACAGCTGTTAGAGAGGTAAATAGGATTATTATTAATTATATATTAGAATATTTAACAAAATATATGTTGGATACATAAAATATTAATATATATACCAGAGACTGACTTTAGATGGCAAAATTTTTGGGTTTTATATCAGAAAATGTCTTTAAAAATGGCTAAAAACATACTTTTGGCGGTGCATCATATAGGTTATAAAAACTCAGACTTTTGACATTTTAGTATTATTCATGTAAACGCCATCTATCGCCCTGTAGTTGCACTACCACTTTCCCTTGATGCAAGGATTTTAGCATCACATTGACAACCGTGCCCGATCAGCTGATTGATGACGTGTACGTAGTTTACTTTTAAATTTACTATATGCTCCACACCTCAAAGTCCCACCACGTGACCACGTACGGAACGCAGTCTTTTGAAAATTTGGCATTTAAGGCTTTTCAGGTTATGTATCTGTCAAAGTATAGTCAACGAAAGAAATAATATTATGTTTAGGCGTTAAAAATGTATAAATCTTTATAACATTACAATAAAAATGGACGGTTTAGGAATATAAATACTGCATTTAATGAAATTCTAAAGTGTATGGTGCCAAATTAGTAATATTTTTGTGCATTTGGTCCAAATATCTGGTTTTCTCCATAAAATAATTTTAACTAAACAGCATTTATTAAAAAAAAACTAGCTTCTCTATTATGGAATAAAGGTAGGTTAATATACTATAACAAAAATATCATCTAATTTTGTAATTTTAAGGTTAGAAAAATTTATTTTGACCAAAATAAATAAGTATTTTGGATTATTTAAAAGACTGTATAATATGGTATTTAAAAATGTGGTAGTTTTTCTTATCCAGCTTAAAGTGTACCTAAATAAAGTTTTGTCAATACAAATAGTTAAAAAGCTTTGACTGAATTTGATCTACATCGAAAAATCATTATAACTTTAAAAATTTTAATAAATCACATGTCATGGGAGTAATAAATATTTTCACATTGCAAGTTTCTCTAAAAATTGTTTGTTTTCTTATAATCTAACTTAAAGTAGGTATGCCGAGAGGTATGCACAAGTTTTGTCATTAGAAGTTTAAAAGCTTCAATTTAATTTGAACCATATTTAACAATTATTTAGTATATCTATATTTATGACCATATTCACACTCTTATAAATAATCCACTTATTTATTTTGGTCAAAATAGATTTTTCTAACCTTAAAATACAAAATTAGATGATATTTTTTGTTCTAATACATTAACCTACCTTTGATACAGATATTCTTGTTTCATAATAGAGAAGTTAGATTTTTTTAATAAATGCTGTTTAGTTAAAACTATTTTATGGAGAAATGTAGACCCAATGCACAAAAATATAACTTATATTGCAAACTTTGAACTTTCATTAAATGCAGTATTTATATTCCTAAATTCTTAAACCAACCATTGTTATTGTGATACTATAAAAATTTATTAACTTTTAACGCTTAAACATAAGCGGTAACACTATGAATATTATTTCTTTCATTGGCTATACTTTGACAGATACATAACCTGAAAAGCCTTAAATGCCAAATTTTCAAAAGACTGCGTTCCGTACGTAGTCACGTGGTGGGCCTTTGAGGTGTGGAGCATATTACTTACCTTTACTGGTATCTTTTCAAACTTTTTTCTGTACTACAGAGTCTGTGTATGTTTTAGATGTTAATCAGAAGACTAGGCAGTGAGGCAAGGGAAATTCTGGACTCTAGAACAGACTCTATGAGTGATACCAACCGTTTATCAGTTCCTTTGCTAAGAAAAGAAGCCCCAAGTGCTACCGAAACAAGTGACATAACGTCGCTGTGTAGTTTGAGTAGTCAAGATTTCCATTCATTACACCAAAGCGACAGTCAAAAGTAAGTATTCATCGAAGAAACAATAAGAAATGAGTCTAAACTTGTTTAACAGGAAAAAGAAGTTGCCTAGCACGGAAAGTCCGCAGAAAATAATCCCCAAACAAGAAGCGCCACCGTTGACAGAAGTGCCAACTAAAAAGCAAGTAAACGGCAACATAGCAATACAAAACAACAAAAACCTGGACTCGAATTGCAACACCGTCAAAGATGTGATCCAAGATAAAGACGATGCGATAGTACCAACGCCGAAAAAACAAATAGCACTGGAGGAAAAACGAAAAACCCCAACGCACGAAAGACGTCCCAGTAAAGTCCCGGATATAGACTCATCGACCTTGGAGAGAATAGAGAAGTTGGAAAAATTGGAAAAACGAAGATTGAGCAAAAACGATTTGAGCGAAGATGAAAGTTGTCACCGTAGGGTCAGTATTTCCAGCCAGAGGGCCACACCCAAAAAAAAAAGTGACTGCGGTACGCACGTGGTATCCAAAAGCGAGCTATGGGACACAGGGAGTCAGCATAGATGCCCAAAAAGTCACTCCAAAAGTAGCAGAGTCAGTATATCGCAGGATGAAGGTTAGTGGAGCACTTTTTACAAAATTTACAATTTTTTTTTATTATTTTCGAAAGCCTCCTAGATCAACAGATCTGACACCATTGGACTTTTTTAGTTAATTTTTTTCTGACCTATACTTTTTATGGTTTTATTCAAGGCGTTTTGTAATTTTAAACATTTCTGTGAAATCGGAATTTCAATTGAGTTTACCGTTTTCGAGATATTTACAAAAAAAATCTCCTAATTACGTCACTAGGCTATTGACAACGTTGCCAGCTTTTTCTATGGTTGCCAGTGTGTTTAGTTTAAGATTCTTACGATAGATGGCGCCCACGAAGAAGAATTGATTTTTTGACGTTTCTTTTTTTCGGGTTATGTTTTTTTTTTAAATTTAGATTATTGAAAATCAATGTTATTGTTATGTTATTTGTAATTGATATTAGATAAGTGATTTATTAATAACGGACTCCAAAGCAGAGGAATCTTGTGGAATGGTTGGTTACATTGAACATTGGAGCTTTTAAACAAATAAAGTAAGTACCTATAATTATAATCATATTTTGTCGTAAATGCATTTCATTAGTATAATGCCTAGTTCTTTATATTCTTTTAGATATATCTTGAACTCTAAAATATCAAACAGTAATATGATACCTCGTAATAAGGAAGATAGGTACTTAATGAATTTGGTGACCATCTTTCACTCAACTGACAGTGACAGTATTTGTACATAACCTCTTCGGGTATTTTCTGACATAACCGAATGAAATCATTAACAAGACAACTTGGCAACAGGGTAATTTTCAACCAATAGAAATCTTAGAATGTTGGGCACATGGCGAGGTTTGTGACGTCATAAAAATTTATATTTTTTGTAAATATCTCGAAAACGGTAAACTCAATTGAAATTCCGATTTCACAGAAATGTTTAAAATTACAAAACGCCTTGAATAAAACCATAAAAAGTATAGGTCAGAAAAAATTTAACTACCCCATTACATTATAATTACATTTATAACTAGTTTAGTTTGTTTTAATCAATGCAACCAACTTGAAGCTAACTTCAGCCCGCGACTAAAGGTGGAAGTAGAAAAACCATATTAATTTCTCTTTCAGATGATGCGCACATGCACCGTTCAGTATCGGAACGAAATCGTCATTCCTCGCAAAAAGAAAAACGCGAAAAATCGCCCATACTGAAGAAACAACAACAAACGGAAATGCCCACGAACATATGCAACCAACAGTGCAACAAACTGGGCTACTTTCAGTCGACGCCCAACGTTGCCGCGTTGAAACAAACGACGGCAACGCCGAAGAGGGATAAATCGATGTACAACGCTACTTCGGAAAGTGAGTTGTTGGATCGGGAAATTTTGCCGATTTTTCAAAAGTTACTGACCGAAAGAAACAAGAGTCAGCATAATATTGACTATTCTTTCGGGAGGTCTTGCCCGAATATTTCGATTAAGTGCGATATCGTGGAGTATTTGTAAGAAATTTACGTTGGTAACACCCTTGTGGAAATTTTTCTCTGAGAAAGTATTACTTTCTCTTAAAAAGTCTGAATAAGTCTTATTAAGTCAGACTAATAGCAAGATTTGGGAGTCTTCTGGAAGAGTTAATAAGACTTTTTAAGACTTAATAAGACTTTTAGTAGAGAAATGGTAGGTACCTATGGCGATAAAAATAAATATCCGAAATAATTCATAGAGGTTGTATTTGGTTATAATAACATAGGTAAGATGTAATAATTATAACAATTATAATTTTATACATACGATGCGCTTGACATGCTTTCATTGTTTCCACCATAGAAAAAGGAGTTGCCACTGTACGATTTATTTTAATAGTTTCTTTTGATACACGCAAATATTTACCTATCTAAACATTTTTACAAATAAATCTTTTAGACGTAATATCGAGAGACCAGCTCAGCTAGCTGACCAATTAGAGCATAGCTGACCTGTCAGTGGGACACAGTGTTGCCGTTTGCAAGTATTTTACTCGAAAATCGGGTATTTTCGTAATATTTGCGGGTGATTTGCAAATTTCTATCAAAATAATAACAAAAAAAATTTTCAGTAAATAATATTGTATATTTACTAAATATGCACAATTATTTTATTCTATCCTGTTACATTTTTATTATTATTTTAGTATTTTGTAATTTATGGTCAGGAACTTTTATGGCAACACTGTACGTAAACACGAAGATCAACCATGATACAAAGATGAATGAAACACGAAGATCAACCATATTTGTCTTATGAGTCTATCGAAAATATCATGTCTATAGACATGATATTAACTCCTTTTTCTATGGTGGAAACAATGAAAGCATGTCAAGCGCATCGTATGTATAAAATTATAATTGTTATAATTATTACATCTTACCTATGTTATTATATAGGTAATTATGCAATAAACTTGGCTTATAACAACAGCAAAAATTTTAATAAATACTTTTCTCTACGACTACTTAAGAATAGTAACATTCTAGTGTAATTTTTGATCATAGAAAGGATGTTTTTCTGCAATACTGTGCGAGAATATTCCTACTCTTGTTTAAGAATGGTCACAAGTAACGACATCTCCTGGCTGTTTACTAAACGTAAAAAATTTAAAAATATTTAAATATTACTGTATTATTTATTAATTAAAAAATAATAGCAGTTGTATAATTAAGGTTTAGGCACAAAAAATTAGTTATATTTATTGTTTTTCAAATATACAAATCAAAATTATAATAAATTTGATATTAAAATGATAAACCAGTTACCTACTATACCGGCTTTGCAGTTTTGACAGATTCAAAAAGTTTAAAAAAAAGACCTTTAAAATGTAGAAAAAGTATTATTTATTATTTAAAAAATAATAGCAGTTGTATAATTAAGGTTTAGGCACAAAAAATTAGTTATATTTATTGTTTTTCAAATATACAAATCAAAATTATAATAAATTTGATATTAAAATGATAAACCAGTTACCTACTATACCGGCTTTGCAGTTTTGACAGATTCAAAAAGTTTAAAAAAAAGACCTTTAAAATGTAGAAAAAGAATACTGCCCTACTATGGAGAACGGCAGTAACTGCTAAACAAGAAATTTGTGAAAAATTAGCATAAACTACATTTTTATAAAAAGCAGTACGTATTTAATTTATTTTTTAACTTATGAGATATTTGACTGCATTTCTGTGTTGAATTTGGTTACAAAATGTCCATAGCTTTACCATAGCACAAGAAAACGCATTTTGAATTTTTTTGCAGTTACTGCCTTTAAATTTATTATAATTTACATTATAAAATTGTGACGGCACAAAAGGGTTTGGTTTCTCTATGGTTTCTCTATGGTTTGACAATACAAAAAACTTAAAACTCAAAAACTGCTTGGTTTCTTTTCTCTGTTTAAAATTATATAAGCGTTACTATTCTTACGTAGTCGTAGAGAAAATAATGTCTGAAACACGTTTGGAATAGCATATTCCACTCTCGTAAAACCGTCACACTCGCCTTCGGCTCGTGTGTCAAATTTTTCCTCGAGCGGAATATGCTGTATTCCAAACTTGTTACAGAATGTACTATTCTATGTGTTTTATTTTACGATAACCAAATACAACCTCTATGAACTATTTCGGATATTTATTTTTATCGCCATAGGTACCTACCATTTCTCTACTAAAAGTCTTATTAACTCTTCCAGAAGACTCCCAAATTTTGCTATTAGTCTGACTTAATAGGACTTATTCAGACTTTTTCCGACTTAATAAGTCTTATTCTGACTTTTTCCGACTTAATAAGTATTATTCAGACTTTTTAAGAGAAAGTAAGACTTTCCAGGGAAAAATTTCCACAAGGGCATTGTTTTAAACCTTCTCAAATGCAGCGAATTAACTGTTTAATATAGTGAACAAAAAACTGACTTAAAAATTATAAAAATCACTGCGAATATGGCTTATTAAAAATATTTCGACGATATATTTTGTTGAAATATTTTTTTCAGTCTACACCAGCCTATTTTGTTGAAAAATTTTACCGATTTTTCAAAAGTTACTGATCGTGAGAAACAATAGTCATCATAATATTGATTACTCTTTATGGCGGTCTTGTCTGAATATTTCGATACAAAAAAGTGAGTAAAACATAGTGTTATAAGAAGGATTTATATAGAATGAACAAAAACTGACTTAAAAATTAAAAAAATCACTGCGAATATGGCTTATTAAAAATATTTCGTCGACATATTTTGTTGAAATATTTTTTTAAGTCTACACCAGCCTATCTGTCCTTCTAAAATTAAAGGTTTTTTATACTAAGTGTTTGTTTTTGCTATGTACCTATAGGATAAAATTTGCTAAATTTATATTCTATAATTTTTATTTTTTATTATACGGGGTCTGAAAAATGTCAAGCGATTTTTTTTATTTTTGTTTTTTTCAAAGAAAAGTCATCCTTGATAAAAAGTTGTGATAGTCGAAAAAATAACATGGACATGAACAAATTTGGGATTTTATATACAGCGTGTTTAAAAATAAGGAAAACATGAAAACGATTCATTATTTTGAAAAATTTTATAAGAAAAAGTTGTTTGTTATTAAATACGAAGTCTGAATATAAAAACTGCGAAAAAAATTATGTAGTTGATTTTTTTTTTCAGGAATAAATCGATTTCTGTTTTCCTGATTTTTAAACACCCTGTAGAGAAAATCCCAATTTTTTTATGTCGACGATCACCAAGAATGACTTTTCTTTGAAAAACTAAAATCCTAATTGTACATTTTTGGACAACCTGTGTAATTATTTATTTGCATTTTCCTGCAGGAACATGTTAATTATATTAAACATAATAGTTTATCGATTTGTTATCCATTTTAAAATTTTAACATCTTTAAATAATCTAAAAAATATATTTACTTATTTGTTATATTAGCAAAAATTTTAATTAATTTTTTGGACCTCTGTATTTCTAAATAAATTACTATAAATAAAATTATACAATACATGTCAATTATATTACTAGAAAAGTATTAAGCACATAGAAAACTCAAATGTTAGCCTTACAACAAACTTTTTAAGCATTTTATAAATGAGAGTAAAAAAAGTTTAGGAAAAATTATTTCGTTTTTATTAAATTTGTAAAGGAGAATTTTAAAAATACTTTATTTACATAAAACTTTTGTATATAAATAATTGTTATATTTATTTGAACCACATATATCTGTAAATACCTAATAAATGAATGTTTTAAACCCAAAATATACTAATTTGTGTGTAGTTATTATATAAAAATTAAAAAAAAAACATCCCGACTTATAATTTAAAAAATAAATTAAACAAACACTTAATTGTAAGAAACAATCTGATATAAAAATGGTTGTGGTTATAGGTATATGTTGTAACAATTCTAAATTTTAGACCTGTAAATATCTAATAAAATTAAAAATTGATTTTTTGTATTTATTTATTTAAAAAATCCTTAGTACGGTACTGTGCTCTACTACGGTCCTGTCCTTATCTAGTTACTTTTCCGATTTATAAAACTGTCTTAATTGTTTGAAAACATACTTAAACGGTCTTAAATATGTTCAAACTGTCTTAAAAGTTCTTAAATATTAATAAAATTGTGTTTAAACTAAAATATTTCTTAATTTCACACCGCTCTAGGGATTTTCTGGGGTTTTTTGATAACTATGTTGGCTATGGTTGTTTTGAAACCACACCTCCATGTTTATGTGTCAAATGTGTCATACCTTCAATTAATAACAATAATAGGTGATAAACGCCCTGAAAGTGCTATAAGGGGTTAAAAATGAGTTACGGCACGAAATCTCCCACACAGGGGCCACCGTCTGTTTACTCCCACGTAACGACTCGTTCCAGTGCTAATTTACGAAGCAGTAGAAGTGTTAAATCACTCAAAACACCGTGGTATCAAAAACCTTTGATTACAGAAGCTATTTTTTTGGATGTACAGAGAGCTTCGTTGCTAACAGCCATATTTTCACTGGTAATTTATTACAATAAAGCAAAATAACGAGTGTTTCTTTAATTATTTTTTTGTTTATAGTGTTTGTCGATATTCACTGCAATCACAGCAGTCTTTGATATTTATTGTTATTCCATGGCCGCCCCTGGTTCAGCGCACTACGGATATTTTATTATATCATACGAGTTTGTTTATGTTGGTTCTAAACATGGTAAATTATTTATTAACATATTAATAATATGGTGTTTATTTTTTAATGTTTTTAGTGAGGAATGCGCTGATAATGTTTGCAGCTTTCTCTATATTATTCTCTGTGGCTGTATTTGTGACCAGCATTAAGCTAATTTTAGCTTTACGGAAGGTATTTATTACTGACTTTAATTTATATAGAAATAAAATTAACCAATGTTTTTTAGGAATATGAAAATAAAATGTTGCCTTGGCTATACGTATTTGGTCCTTTTACTGTGTTCAGATTTTTGGCCTTCTTATTTTTCTCCATTGTCAACGATATGATTTTTACGTACAATATTTTTATGTGCCTACTTTGGACATTCTTCATCATTGTAAGTGTGTATGGTTGGGTTTTAGTATACTCCTTGTATATTGAGCTATCTGATTTGACAAAGTTGGAGGATTTGGCACATTTAAGGGTAAGTTTTTTTCTTATTTTTTTGTTGGTGATACATATATGTATTATTGTCTTATTAGTATATGTGTAGTTAGTTAACATAGTTTTTATTTTCATTCATGCAACCATAAGACTTTTGAGCGTATGAATTTAGGTAAGGTAGCTGTGAAAGTAATGCACTGTCTTTTGTTTTTGGGGAAAATTAAGGGTTCTAAAAAAAATATTTTTAAAATCCTTGGGAGAATTTAACAATTTTAGAAATTTTGAAAATGAAAAAAAAATTGAAATCCTAAAATTTTTGGAATTTTGTGATTTTTTACAAATTTTCAAATTTTTTGAAATCTTGAAAATTTTAGATCTTGAGGATTTTGGAAATTTTTTAAATTTTGTTGCACTGTCTTTTGTTTTTAAATAAAATTAAGGGTTATTAAAAAAATTTCATTTTTTGAAATTCTTGAAAAATTTGTGATTTTTGAAATTTTTAAAATTTTGTGATTCAAATCGTATTTTTAAAAATTTGAAGGTTTAAAAATTTATAAAAATTTTCAAATTGTATGTGAAATATTTTGTGATTTTTAAAAATTTTCACCCTGTCAAACAAATGCATATATGCATATGCATATATCTAGTTTTTATTGAAATCTTAAAATCCTAAAATTTTGCAGTTTAAAAATTAAAAGCTTATTTTTTTGTAAATTTGTGAAAATTTTACCTCCTATTTATATTTAAAAATCTAAAAATTATTTTTTTTAATTCTTGAAAATTTTGTGATTTTTGGATTATTAAAATCTTAAAAATTTTCTAATTTTAAAATTGTTTTTGAAATCTTTTTTTGGTCTATCTATAAAGTAATATTTAAAATTCTTCTTCAAATTTCATATTAATAAATTTTGAAAATTATTTTTTTCTTTTCCTAAATTTTGAAAATTTTGTGATTTTTTAAATTTTAAAATTTTTACCCTGTCAAACAAGGCAAATTTTTGCAATTTTAAACATTTTTAAAGCATTTTTTTGAAATTTGTGGATATTTTGAAGATTTTCACCTTGTAAAATCCTTTATATTTTCTTGTGAGATATTTAAAATTTTTGGAATTTATAAAAATTGAATTTTTTTAATTCTTGAAAATTTTGTGATTTTTTTAAATTTTAAAATATTGTGATTGTTAAAATTTTAAAATTTTTCGAAAATTTATGAAATTTTTTACCTTGTCAAACAAATCATCTTGTTTATATTAAATTTTTCAAAGAGTTTGTTCTATAATCTACTATTTAAAATTTTAAACATTTTGTAAAATCAATTTTTTTGATAACTTGAAAATTTTGTGATTTTTTAAATTTTGAAAGTATAATTTTTTTTTGAAATCTTAAATATTTGTGGAAATTTTGAAAATTCTCACCTTGTAAAATCCTTAGAATTTTCTTGTGAGAAGTTTAAAATTTAGGAAATTTTTAAAATTAAAATATTTTTGAATTCTTGAATTAATTATTTTTGAAAATTTAAAAATTGATGAAAATTTTGTGGTTTTATTAAAATTTTGAAATTTTAAAAATTTTGAAAGCACAATTTTAAGAAATCTTAAATATTGTGGATTTATTTATTTTCATCTCTTCATATTAGCTTTCTTCACCTGGTCTATAAGGTACTATTAAAAATCCTTTTTCTTGTGAAAATTTTAAAAAATTTGTAATTTTTTTTACCTTCAAAATTTTGTAATTTTTTAAATTTTGAAAGCATAATTTTTTCTAAAATCTTAAATATTTTTGAAATTTTCTTGTGAGATGTTTAAAACATGGATATTTTCATAATATTTTTTTTTGATTTCTCGAATAATTATTTATGAAAATTTTTACCTTGTTAAACAAGTCATCTCGTTTTTATTATTTTTTTTTTAAATTTTGAAAATTTAAAGTTGTTTTTGAAATCTTGACAATTTTAAAAAGCATGCTTGGCTATAATTTTTGGATTTTTATAAAATTTAGCAATTTTAAAAGCCTAATTTTTTTGAAATCTTGTATATAAACTTTACTTATGCACAGCCACCCATTCCCTCCGCCACAAATAAAATTCCCTCTACCTCGCTAAAAATGTTAATTTAAATTTTCTTGTGAGAAATTTAAAATTTTGGAAATTTTTAATTTTGAAACCATAATTTTTTCTGAAATTTTCTTGTGAGATGTTTAAACATTTGGAAATTTTCAAAATAATTTTTTTTTTAATTCTTGAATAATTATTTATAAAAAATTTTACCTTGTTAAACAAGTCATCTTGTTTTTGTAAAAAAAAATTTAAAATTTTGAAAATTAAAAGTTGTTTGTGAAATCCTGACAATTTTAAAAAGTATGCTTGGTTATAATTTTTGGATTTTTATAAAATTTAGCAATTTTAAAAGCGTAATTTTTTTGAAATCATAAATATTGTGAAAATTTAGAAAACGAATCGGATTTATTTATTTTCATCTCTCTCCTTCACTTATGCTCAGCCACCCATTCCTTCCGCCACAAATTTAATTCCCTCTACCTCACTCTCGCTAAAATTGTTAGCATTTGTCACATGACTTGACTTACGCGTTACGAAGTAACGTTTTAATAATAAAAAAAAATAATCGCGGTATTCAGATGGGCACAATGCAGTCCCTGAACGCTTCTACAGTCCCATCTCTTGCGGGATCTCGTCCTACAACCCCTCACAGCACCGTATCCACAATGCCAGCGTAGATTTAACAATCGGAGATCTGACAACAACGCCACGAAGACACCCGAACATACCCGAAGCGGGTACTTCGCACTCTGAATCGTTCATGACCGATCACATCAACATATCTACGATATCTTAGTACCAATTTTTTTGATTTTATCGAATTATATTTCAGGATTTAACAGGGGATTCACCTAGCTTATTCATTAAACCTGGTGATATCAACATCATTCAAAACAAAACAATGTTTTTTATTGAAATAATAATTACACTAATCAATGTATTCTACATTCGTAAAATTCTTCAGGACACGACAAATACCCCTCACTGTCATAATATGACAGTGAAATGTATTTGTCGTCCCCTTAAAAAATTTTGCGACATATTAATGTATATTTATTTAAAAATATTAAATAAACAACTTGACCTCTAAACCATAAGTTGAATGACATTATTTCATAAAAAGTAAAATTGGAAAATTTTGCGGGATAAGTCAGATTAGATTGAAGTTGAAGATAGTTAGGATTATTATACATAAAAATGTTAATTCAGAAATAAAAAATCGGTATACAAAGTAATAAATATTTATTTTCAACATAAAATAAAATACCTATAGTAAAAGTATTTTCGTTATCGAATATTGTTTTAATTTGACCAATAACTAAAAAAAAATATTTTGGATTGTGTTTTTTACTTAGTATTTAATACTAATTACTAATTATGTACTTAAGTATACCTTTATATGTAGTTTATTGTATATTTTACTATTATATGGGTAACTGAACTAAATATGCTTAACAGGAATATTCCTAAATGAACTTTCTATAGCAATTACTTTCTTAACATTCTAAGCATATGTTAAGAGTAGACTAATTTTTACCACTAAAACTTTGCACCTTCTAAGAACCTGCCTATAGGCCAGTAAGAATATTCTTAGGATCATGCTATATGTCTTTTAAGCATGTTCTTTAGAAGAAATATAGCATGATTCTAAGAATATTCTCACTGGAAGGTTTCAAAAACATTCTTAGAATAAAGTGTGCAAAAAAGTTTTAGAAAGAACTATAAGAACTTTTAATAATAACCCCACTCAGAAAGTGAGACAAGCGTTTACTGTATTGTCCCATGAAGAAATTTTGAGAAAAACTTGTAAAGGTTTCTTTCGACATATCAATGTGTGTCGTGAACAACACTGGCGATAAATTAAACAATTACTTCAGATTTGTTTTATTTGTTACATTTATTTAGTTTATTTTTCAATATAATTTTTAAACTTTAAATTGATAATTATTTTGTCGTTGTTTATTGCGAAATAAAACAAATACTTAATAAAAGACAATCCAATGCACACTTCCAATATTGCAAATAAGCAAATAAGCGGTATTTTACATTTTTTGTAATATCTCTAAAACTATTCATTTTATGTATAGGGAATGCTGCAGCATTTCAATAGAAAACATTATTTTGTGTTAAAAACTGTTAAAAATAACAAAATAATCTAATTTTAGTATTTCTAGATTTTACGTGGAATTTAAAAATGCAATAAAATTTTAATTTGATAAACCATTTAAACTTCTAATAAATAAGTTAGGTAAATCACCCTGTTTAAATTAAAATTAGGAAAACATTGTATGTTGTAAAATATGCACATAGGTAGGTACAAAATATACGTTTAGATATGGTAAGTTACAAAATTTGAATATCATTTTATTTTTATAGTATTATTACTCAAGTTAAATTAATGTTTAATGGGTTGCCTACCCATACATAACTAATCTTAGTTTTATATTTTTTTATTAGTTTAGTTATTAAGTAAGAGAATCTCTAATGTTATTTAATTTAATCATGTGACATATTAATTTTTATTAAGTATATGTTATTAGCACAATTCAAATATTTTATATGAATATGATATTTATTAAATTAGGTTAATGTTTAAGCAAAATAAACCGTCCAAGATGTGCTTTCTGTTAAAAAATATTTATACATTTCTTTTGTATTGTATCCGTCCATTTTTTATGAATATACACCCATTTGCTATAAATTTAGTTTTATTTATTTTCAGTGGTAAAAAATCTTTGAATACAAATAATTGAGGTAATGTTTATGTCAGTGGAAGAGTTAAATACAAAAATAATTTAATTATTTATTAATCCTCATACTCTAATATCTCGTAAAAATCACCCACTTTAAGTGCAACCCCTTTATCCGACTTAATTTCACTGGGCATATTCGTAGTGTCTTCGACCACTAAATCTTCAGTATCCCCCAATAAAACTTTCTTCCTCTCATTCAACTGTTTTTTAGCGTTGTTTATGCTGTCTATAATATTTTTTTGCACTTTCACACTCTCCTCCAAGTACTCCAAAGTTTGATCCAGCGATTTTAAAACTGTATACGATTCTTGGTTCACTGAGTGTTGTATGTAATACTCTCCTGTGTGTACAATCTTACCATTCATGTAAATATTCTCCGCTAGAGGTATTAAAGCGTCTTTTTCCGGATAGCAACTCAAAAACTTTATATCCTTCTCTGCCAATACAAGTTTTTCCAAGTTATACTCTGTTTCTCTCAGTAAATCATCGTTTTTAGCGATATCGTTATTCAAGTGCGTTAAAAAGTTGCTTCTGTCACTTATTTCTTTAATTATCTTGGCTGCCATGGCTTTAAAACTATGGAAACATCGTTTTTGTTTACCAAAACGTTGACGTTTGTTTTTGAGGTTAGACAGTGTTGTTCACTGTTGCCAAATTTAAAGGACAAAATTTAGGGATTATAACGTGTATAAGCCATGTTTCAACCCCAAAATTAGTTAATATAAGTGGTAGGTACTTCAATAATATATCCCAATGGTTTAATAGTTTATTTATATTTATAGACAAAGAATTCCGCTATATTGTTTACAGGGGTGCTATCTGGGTTGCATACTGTGGAATTCTTGCTCAAATGTCATTGATATGTAAAATTTTGGGAATTTATCAGTTTGTTAAACTTTGTTTTAATAGGAGTATCCTTTATTCAATAATGGGACTGAATTTTTATTATGCCAATTAGTATTTATTTATATTATCAATATTTTATCTTAAATAATTTCTATTAAAATTAATAAAGCTTCTTTGAAATATATTTGTTTTAAATTTTTCGTTTATGTTTCATTAAAATACGAACAGCACTGTTTTTTTATAAAAAAATCTTATCTTTTCAATGAAAATGTTCTGTAAAAATCGTGGATGTTATTTCTTGGGTTTATACCCAATTAATTATTTGTGATTAAAAAATTTGCATCTCGTTTCTCGAGTACAAATAGTCGAACATAACCTAAATATCTGCTTTTAGATCACCGTAGGCTATGCTGAAGTTGTATTTAGGCATAGGCGTGCGCCATATTTTTTATTTATTTTTGGTTAAAACTGTCATTAATAAAAGTCGAATTGTCAGATTTAAAATTATATTTTTAATTTAAATTATCGGTAAATTTTAATGTTTAATGTTGCAACTTGCATAAATATCAATTTTTATATTGGTTATGTTTTTTAATAAAGAATGATTTTTTATTGTAATGGAGTAAAATGTTTTTGGCTAAAACCGTTAGGTGCGCCACTGCATACCTGTTCCGCCAACTACCGACTTCTACCTGTTGAATCGCAGTCTGCTTTGGACAGTGTTAACAACTGTTAGAAACGAAAATAAGCCAACTAGACTTGAATTTTAGCGTTTTTCGGTTGTTTTTGAGGTATTACGAGTGAAATTAGGTGATAATTGACTGAAACTAGTGAAGTTTCGTGATATTTTAAAGTGGTTTGTGTATATTTGACGTTTTGGATATCCACTGAGACATTAAAATTATCGGTAAGTAGCGTATGTATACAGATGTTCATAAAAACATTCTTAAGGCTTTAGGTGCGTAAAAATCAATAAAATGTTGTACGTATAGAGACAATTCTATTATAATAAATGTTAGTTATAATATCTACAGGGTGTTTTACATTCGTGGTCAATTTTCTGGGGAACGGAACAAGATAATAATTTGAAATTTTAAAAGCGTTTATAATCTATTTAAGACTATTTTTATAAAATACTTTAAACAAAATTCCACTTCCGGTGAAACCGGAAGTGGCATCAACTTTGTTATTTTAAATAGAACACCCCATATATTTTAACATTATTGAATTCTACATCAAATTCTGAGTAAAATTACTATACCATGTCCTATACCTAAAGTGAATATTTTCAGAGATATTGACAGTTTCTAAAATTTTAAATATTATTTTGTATCTGTCATTGTTCAAAATTTTATGTAAAACCACCTTTAGGTTTATAAAAGATATATTAAAAATCTAATAAGACTTCTAAATGTCAAAAAATTAAAGATCATTTTTATTTTTAAATATTTAGTTTTCCACAAAGCAAAAAACACCCTGTATATAAATTATTTTATTTTTAATAAGTTCTTCCAGTGATTAGGTACGTTTAACATTTTGTTTTAATAAAAAAAACATTTTTACTTTATATTTTGTTTGGAGATACCAACAGGCGATGAGACAACGAAACTTTTGCAAAATTTTTAAATTTTCGAGTGGATATTCGTTTTGACTGGGAAATTTAAAGTTGAAATTACTTTTTGATTTTTTTCGAAATTTGGCTTCGTTTAGTAGATATAAGCAATTTTATTAAAATTATTGTTTGATAAATTTCAATCGCAAGTAACTTTTTTATTTGATGTCGCATTTAAACGAATTTTGAATAATATTGTAGATAAATTAATGCACAATCGCTCACATTTAAAAAAAATACTAGTAAAATTGGAAAATTTTGTGGGATAAGTCAGATTAGATTGAAGTTAGGATTATTATACATAAAAATGTTAAATCAGAGATAAAAAATCGGTGTACAAATGAATAAATATTTATTTTTAACATAAAATAAAATACCTATAGTAAAAGTATTTTTGTTATCGAATATTGTTTTAATTTGACTAATAACTATAAAAAAATATTTTGGATTGTGTTTTTTACTTAGTATTTAATACTAATTACTAATTAGGTACTTAAGTATAGGTATATACCTTTATAGGTAGTTTATGGTATATTTTACTATTATATAGGTAACTGAACTAAATATGCTTAACAGGAATATTCCTAAATGAACTTTCTGTAGCAATTTCTTTCTTAACATTCTAAGCATATCGTGGGTTGAGTATTATATTGTTCTATAAATCCAAAATGAAATTGTTGGGGAATGGCGATTAAATATTCCAGGCTCATTCTAATACCGTTTGTAAAGATTTTTATAATTTTAAGTACTGGTTTTGGACTCATATCCTTAAGAATTAAAAAATGTATTGTCCCTATTTGAACTTATATCTTCTAATACTGGGTTTTACAAAATAAACAATTTTTGATAGAACATTTTTTTTTATTGAAAACGAAAATTTTACACAAAACATCAGATTTTGTTCTAACAGCATACAAAATTCTTTAAAACTAAAAGTTTTTAGTTCTAAAGAATTCCAAAACTTTAGGGTTCTAAGAAGTATCCCTTAAATAAGAACATACCTACGTATTCTTTTTTTTAAATTGCACCGCACAACCACGTGATTATTACTTGCATACAAAACTGAAACAGCAAAAATTATATTGTTCTAACAGATCAAAATTCTCTTCTCTCATTGGTTATATTGTTCTAACAGATCAAAATTCTCTTCTCTCATTGGTTGGTCTGTTAGGATATTATAATTTTAAACCGTTTTTAAATAAGTGCGATAGAACAATTTAATAATGCTTTTTTTTTAGTTTGTGTATTAAATTAAACAGGCATTTTTATATACATAGAACAGAAATTTTATGTACTATTTTTCTATCAAAAAAGCCGATTTCGCGCCAAAAGTGCTGTTAGAACATTATAATACTCAACCCACGATATGTTTAGAGTAGGAGTAGACTAATTTTTACCACTAAAACTTTGCACCTTCTAAGAACCTGCCTATAGGCGAGTAAGAATATTCTTAGGATCATGCTATATGTCTTTTAAGCATGTTCTTTAGAAGAAATATAGCATGATCCTAAGAATATTCTCACTGGAAGGTTTAAAAAACATTCTTAGAATAAAGTGTGCTATCAGGAATTTACTATCGACATAACCACATTTTATTTTGATTATTACACAAAAAATGTCACAAATGTTTACAACTGAAATTTTGAAAATTTTTGTGACAAAATGAGCAGACTTTTAACGTGTGCACTGTACATTCCGTATAAGCACTACCTACATATTTATCTATGTAGGAAGCTAGAAATCTTCTCAAGATTCTATTAAACTAGTAATTATAATGCAGGAAAAAAATGAATGAGGAAAAACTTTTCTACTAAACTAAGCATAAAGCATTTGATTAATCTATTGTACTAACCGTTAATACACAACATTATTACTTCATTTATATTTCTTATAATATTAATAATTAATATATGAATAAAAACAACACTGTTTTAAAGTTTCACTAATTTATTTATGTTTTTAATAATTAACAATTGTTTCGCTACACTGTAGCTTCTGAAGAAGAAGAAGAAGAGATACCCAAGAAACAACAGAAGCTACAGTGTAGCGAAACAATTGTTAATTATTAAAAACATAAATAAATTAGTGAAACTTTAAAACAGTGTTGTTTTTATTCATATATTAATAATATGGAGTTTCATCAAGTAAAGGTCGAAACAATCAACAATATTAATAATTTATTAAATAAAAGCTGCTTTTATTTTTTACGAACGGGATAATTATAAAACGTGACATTTTTTGTTACTTTTACTTTTCTTATAAATTTACTCCTGAATAATCATCAATTTATCTTAAATTTTTCACTACAAACTCTAAAACATTAAATAATGTATTTTTCATATTCTATCATAGATTCGAATAATAGCAATATTTAAAAAATTGATAATCTTTGTGCTCACTTTTACCAGCCACTTCTGCAGAAGTGACGGGACACATGTGTCCAATGTTAAAATTCAAAATTCCTGCGAAATATTGAAGTTTAAACGTCAAGTCCTCGTTTTAACTCAAGTGTTGGAAAAAAATTACCTACAGAGCCCGCCCTTTGCACGACAGTCATCTTGAAAACAATGCAAGCGGCGAAGTTGTGGTGAATGCACGTATAGTTCCAGTCAAAATTTCAGTACTGTGGTGAGTCGTTATTTTCTTACGAATATATATTTCGTTGTAATTTATATAAGGCTATATGTGATTTGTTAATAAGTAGCATCCACTAATAAAAAAATACCACTAAAATACTTAATTCCGAATTATAATCTCAAATTTGTATCCCATTCATCAGTACCGTGTCGTCAGTTCCATCTTCGATGTTTCGGTTATCTTTTTTCGCAAACTTCAATTTAAATTCTGCTTGCGCAGAACTTGTTTATTTAATGTCATTATAAACTCATATAAATTTGGTGTTGGTCCCATATCTAATAATTGAGATATCGGTATACCCAAAATCCACCAGCCGCCACTGATGTGTGGTAATTTAATTTTAAGATATTTAATGTATAATATGCTCAAAGTTGCAATAAATCTTATATTTTCCAATAAATTGTGTATTTAATTAGTACCCTGGTATACTCGTCACTTCCCTTGCATTCAAATTTAGAAAACACAGATATTTCGGAAAGTGTTTGAAAAAGTGACTGGCCCGGTCTGGAACGGTATATTTATTATATTATCTATGTTCCCATAACAAAATACTGTTTAATTTTCTCCGAAAACTATATAAACAAAATTTTTGTAGCAAGACAAATTTTCATTTCTTTTAAGAGATTATTTTTTTCAGTACTTAAATAATAAGTATGTGACTAGATCATGATCTAAATACTTGCCCATTATAATGGGAATAACTTATTCTTTAACCGTATCTAAATGCAACAATTAGAAAAACTCACATCTTCCATGGTTGTAATAAGAAGTTCACCCAAACGTTGAATGTGCGTCCAATTATATTATTATCCGATTCACATGTTCCATATCTCACCGTTTTTTTTTTTATTATAATCGCCATCTTATTTGTCTTTTGTTTTTGATTCACCTACTAAATTAAGGCATGTTATTACGTAATAAGCATGCTTACAGTAACATAAACATGATTTAACATAAAAATTTTATTAAATATTTTATTTAATACCTTATCTTCAAAAACTTTGCAGAAAAGAACTACAAGGTGTGTTCAGAAAATAACGGGAATTGTTAAATTTCGCGGCTTCGGAGGGTCCGGTTGTTATAAAATTTTCTTTATTATGTTGGTATACATTGTATACCAACATAATAAAGAAAATTTTATACTATACAAGCCCCCGAAGTATGATAAAAACTTTAACTATTTTCATTGTTTACTTTGTCTGTGGCAGCCGCTAAGGTTAGACGTGTTTTATGAGCTCGGCGATTTTCGTTCGTTAAAAGAAATGGATCAAAGAATTTGTATCCAATTTCGCTTCAAAAATGAAATAAATTCTGTGAAATGTTAACAAAGGCCTATAGTGAGTCTGCTATAAGTAAAACAAGAGTTTACAAGTGGTATAAGAGTTTCCAAGATGGCCGTGAAGACGTTGAAGATGACGAACGCCCCGAACGCACAAGCACATTAACAACCGATAAAAACATGGAAAAAGTGGAAGAAATGGTTATAAACCATCAGAGAAGTCGCTGATGATTGGTATATCGATTGGCTCATTCCATAAAAATTTTTCGAATGTTTTGGGTATGAAACGCGTGGCAGCAAAATTTGTTCTAAAATTGTTAAATTTTGAACAAAATTTTTGGCCAAAAACAATACTGTAATGATGCCCCAGCCTCCATAT